TGTCCCCATAAAAATGGGGGGGGGTAAGATTCCAAACAGGTAAAATTTGGGTTTTTCCACCCTTTTTTTCCTTTCCCCTTTTCCCCCCACCCCCCCAGTTTTACTTTTCCCCCCCCCCCCCCCCCCCCCCAGCCAGCAACCCAAAACTAACACCCATCCCTAGAACCGCACGCTACAACTTCTATCCCAGCAACGGGCCCAGCACTTCCGCACCCGCACAAGCCGGGAGCAGTAGCAGCAAGCAACCCTCCATCATCAAGACCCAGCCGCTCCCCGCGCTCCCTCAACCCGCGAAGCTCGCTCGCGCGAACGCGGGATGCGAGTGTGAGCAGGCCGGCCAGAAAGGGACCGACGGCCAGGACAAGTCTTGCCTCCGCGGCGGCGCGACGGGAAACTGCTGCACCGAGCCGTTCGGCTGCTGCTACCACTGGGCCAAGAACATCTGCGGCGACGGGACTAACTGACTCGACCCGCGCCCCGATTACCAATGCCGGTGTCGTCCCGAGCGCCCCGAGCATCACAGGATGAAGTGTGATTGCGGGCTGGGGAAATTGTTGGTGAAGGTGTGGAATTGGATGAATCAGGATGTCGTGATTGCTAGTCTTTGAATTTACTGATGTCAGGGTTACGGTTGGCTTTCTTTTACGTGAAGTGGGAAGAGTGGGAAGAGTGGGAAGAGGGAAGACGGTAGAGGAGGTCAGGGGGCTGCTGTTACATTACCGGCTACCGGCTACTGGGAGAGTAGACCTGGAATAATTATTGAAGGCTGAGAGGCACGGAGAGACGGTATATATACAAGAGCCTAGTTTAGCCTGGTTTGTCTTGTTACGACTTAGGGTTAGCGAGCGGGTTGAATGGTCTCGGATTGTAATTGTGGTTGTAACTTTTTTCTTGTATTCATTGCAAACTCAGGAATAGCTATCCTGGAGGAAAGAGGGAAAGCGGGTTATTGTAATAAGAATTGAAATAGGGGAGGGCATAGAACAGGTAGATTGGGTACCTAAAGAACAGCGTTTACTGTACTGGGCATTTGTATACGAGAAATGCTCGCTCAACCACCAATATATCCCCAACGATCCTCCCTCTCGATTAATTCTTAGTCGAAGAAGAGCCTGATGCTCGGTTAGAGCCGGCCTTGCCTTCGGGTTTCTGCTTCTTTATGTAGAGGCAGATATGTCGAAGGTGCTCGTGGTATCGGAGTTTCACCAGATCATACTCCTCGAGTAGCATCTTGTTGACTCGCGAAGACGAGGGGTCCGTGCTATTTATTCAATCTCGGTTAGAATCATCCTTATTTCAAAGTACCGTTAACTGGAGCTTACCATTGGGCGACGTTCTCGCCATTAAGCTCCTCTACGTGAGTCATCCGGATAATGGCGGCCGGGCGCGCAAGATTTTCGATAATCTGCTGGGCCGGGGTGTTGACATCGATGGAGACGACGAAGCTGTTGTCGTTCATCTCTAGGAAGCCGAAGGGATCTTTGTAGATCTCCATGCCCATGTCCGAGAGGACGGCCTCGTCCACCTCGGTGTAAGCGGGGTCCTGCAGGACGCCGCGCACGACGAGGTCGACAGGCTCCTTCTTACGGGCCTGCCGAAGGCTCTGCCGCACCCTGCTGTTCTCCGGGTGCATTCTGGACAGCACCTTGCGCAGGCTGAAGGCCAGCGCGTGCTGCGTCGTCGCGAACTGGCAGCGCGCGCGCCCGTGGGCGAGCGACCCGCACCCGAGGGCGACGACGCTGTCGATCTGCGACAGCCGGTCGGAGTGGGCTTCCAGCTGGCCCTTGAGGTAGGCGTACTGCTCGGACTGCTCCCAGGCGCGCCGGTCGAGGTTGAAGATTGTGGTTAGCTCGGATGGGTAGAAGGTCGTGGGTAAGATTGATGCTTGGAGGTCGTCGGCGGAGGTGGAGCGCGACTCGTGCACGTGGTGCGCGTGGCACCGGCCCGCGGCGCTCGGGAACATGACGACTAGAGGTAGGAAGGCCTTCTCTGCGTCGAATTGTTTCATGTCCCGGTGCGTGAGCATGGATTGGATGCTCCGGTAGTAGATATAGGGACCGTTTCTATTAGGAGGTGAGTGCTAGGTTTGCTGGGACCTTGGGTTTTTTGAGAGAGAAAGAAAGTTTTTTTTGGGGGAAGAGAGGGAGGGAGGAGATTAAATACTTTCGGTCACCGTGGTTGCATCTAACGTCTTTGAAGACTGGGGACTCGGTGTCCGGGTCGATGTCGAGGGACACGAGGTCGCCTCTGATGTTCTCGATGGCGTAGGGCTTGTTGGTCAGCATGCCGTTCTCGTAGAGGTGGATCTGTAGCGCAACTCGTTGGAGCAGCGCGCGGTTGAAGAACGGCAAGCCTTCGTTGTACTGCTTTCGGATGCTTTCGACGATGGGGGCCCACTCAGGGGAAGGAGGGTCGGGGAGAGGTCGGAGAGACATGGTGAAGCGACGAAGAAATTCAAGCGAAAACGAAATTGACGTTGAAGTTAGGGAAAAATGAAGGATCGAATTTTTGCGCGCCGAAAATTGAAGATACGGTCGAAGAAATCGATGAAGGTTGTGAAAGTTGTCACTTGTGCAGGTAACGACGGTTAGAAAGGAAATGTGGTTTGTGGTGCGAATAAACCTTTCAAGGTGGGTTGTTGGAAGAATTAGATGAAGTGTGTAAGTATTGCGGCGTTCCTTCCTTCTTGGTTTTGTGTATACGATTTTACTCTACGGGAAGCTAGGGTAGGAAGAAATGGTTATATACTTATACGGTTGGGAGTCATACTCAGGATATCTATCGTGAATGGACGTTATACAGCATGAGCACTGATACACTCAACACGCCAACTCAACTTACAACAAGAGTGGACGATACACGTACATACTGGTCACAACATTGTTGGCTTACCTAATGTGCTGCAGTGCTGTCTATTCACTACTATGAAGAGGATACATAGGTTGGTTTTTGTATAGGTCTGGTGTTTTTCAACGTCATCCCATACACGTTAGGGAAAGTGTAACATTTTGTCACCATACAATAGCTCCCTTAAAATTGTACTCAGTCGAAGAACCTTGTCAAGCATGGTTTTAATCAGTTGTTGTATTAATGAGATGAAGTCTACCTACTTAGATACGATGGTGCTTCCAGCTTCCCGGCATCCCATGTGATCTCCGGTGGTCGGGTCAGTGATGAGGCATCTAAGCTGTCCCGTGCCTGGCTTAAAAGGTAAAACACCGGACCAAATTTCTCCAGAATCTTCAAACATCCAGACGACCAATTTAGCTTTTTTATTCTCGTTCCCTCCGAGCTGAAAACTTGTAAATGAAGACGTGTCAATTCCCCTTGCTGTAAATTCGTAATAGAATACAATGCTTAAGTGAATCAATTCAAGAAGTCGCCCTTTGTTTTTGCAACCTGCTCATCATAATCTGCTGGGTGTTAGCTAAGGATTATGTGTACAAATACTATTGTAAAGCGGAATAGGGGCAGAGGGGTAAAAGATAGGGGGAAATCAGCTCAAAGAAAGCTTACATGGTTGAAAAGCCAACCATCCTTTATCTGGTCCTCCAACTTGAAGAGAGGTATATGCAGCCTCGTCGTCGTCGATGAGAATCTTTTTGTACCCGGCAGCCGATGCTGCGTCCGCAAGTAGCTGGGCTTGGCAAGTTCTCTCGAGACTGATAAACCAGAAAGCTGCCTCATCGACGGTACTGCCAACGGTAAGCAGGCCATGGTTTTGAAGTATCACTGCTTTTCCATTCCCGAGGGCCTTTCCAATCCTCCTTCCTTCCTCGCTATCGAGAACGACACCTCTGAAATCGCGATATACACCATGACTCTTGTAGAAGCGACATGAATCTTGGGTAATCATCTCGAGCTCTCGACCAAAGACCGAGAAGGCCTTGCCGTGGACACTGTGAGCGTGACAGGCGGCGTGGACGTCCGGCCTGGCCTTGTGGATCTGGGAGTGGATGGCAAAGGCAGCCGCGTTCACTGGTTCATCTCCCTCTACCACATTCCCGTCTTCATCGCAAAGGATCAAGTCCGACACCTTGATAAGCGAGAAGTGTGTCGAGAGCGGGTTCAACCCTATGTACCCCTAATTAGAGGCCGAATCAGAATGAACTCCAATATTGAACTTACAGAAGTGGTCGGTTAGAATGGGGTCCCGGACGGAGATGTGACCTGCCACACCCTCATCGAAGCCGCGGTCAGCAAATACTCGGAATGCTGCTGCGAGGTGCTGTTTGCGGTAGAGTCTCTCGTCTGCTGGGTTCTCGAACTTGGGATAGGTCCGAATGTTCAATTTCTTCCCGCTCTTGGTCGTGCCGGTGACTTGAACTTGCGGAGGGTTATCAACCTTGTCTGCTCCGTTGAACCCAGTTCCCTGAGATTTCTCACGGATGGCTGGTGTAGTCTCGGGGGCTACTGCTGAGGGTGCCATTCTGTATTAGTACGGATTATTCAATGTATTCAGGAGTCTTAAGTGAGAGTTATTCTTCGGCATACCTATCAACTAAAAGGGACCCCCTTTCTATATATGTATAAAAAAGATGTCGCTTACATGATTCCGTCAGGCGGGGAAAGAGTTGCGTTGAATACCTCCTGCCAATGGCGAAGTCGGTTTATGATGAAGTTGGAAATAGTTCTCCAAATCGTACATATATCGACAATCAACTACCGTCCGTCGTCGTAGCCGGTGCGGAGAAGACAGCGTCGGAATTGTGTAACAGCGAGACTGGACCGGTCATTGAATTTTACCGCAAGCTCATTGGCTAATTATGACGCATGGTGTTCTACTCCGTTCGGGTTGATATTATATGTATCTTGTTCGGCACACTTCGTTACGAGACTACACGCGCAACCGACTTTCCTCGGAACAAGATTAGGAACATCATAATACCTAGTAGGACAGAATATGAAGAAATATGGATATTAAGAAATTACACTACATAGCTGTTAATGATATTTTTTGGAGAAGGCGAAATTTTGGGGATTTATTAAACTAATGCCATCAATTTTGTCATGAAAATTTTCCAATTGCAGCCACGAGAGGTCTAAGATAGGGGTCAAATAATCTATGGCACAAATCTCGAGCTCATATCTTGTTCTTAAGTTCTGAAAAATTGAACTATAGAGACGTGTATTCGAACGTCGCCGGAGCAGCGTGGTGACATAATAGGGGTAGGTCGACGCTCCGTTAGCTTGACATAACAGATTTAAGTATGAGATTCTTACTTAATCATCGACTGGTGCTAATGCCTATATAATACTGAACTCTTTTAATCCCCTTGATATAATGTCCTTTATTCATTTGACTATTTTATCCTAAGATTCTCTCCAGTCTCCTCGGCTGCTAGAGTACATGGCGCAGTGTATACTTTCCTAAAGAGGCAAGTGGGTACTTGTATGGCCGTTGTGAACGGTGACATGGGTTCTATTGACCTGGACCGGGGTGCGTTCTCTAAGGTTTCCAATAGGAATAGGCATTTTCATCGGTAACTATCACAGTAATTATGAAATTTTATGTATTGTGCAAGCAAAGGTTTGACCTTCCCGGAATTCAATCGCAGTTAAGGTTAAAGAAAGCATCGCCTCATCATTGGGGTTGTGATCTTGAAAATATGTACCTAGGTACTTAGATACTTAGGCAATAGTTAGGTAACTGCTGGTACACATACAATGCCGAGTACCGTCTTGGTACAAGGAGCTGAAACGATAAGCTGACAAGCGCCAAGCCACAATGGCAATGACCTATGACATCGATTGTGACGACGCTTAGAGGCTCAGCAAAGCTGCAATCTTACAGAACTGCATTCAGTTTATCTTTTTACTTACCAAACTTCCACTTGGCAAAATCAAAGTCCAAATACATTGGTCGTTGGATTGAAGGTTGCTTCGTCAACAGCATGCAGGTGATAGGTACCTTGGGTAGCTGAGTTGGATAGCAATGGCTCATAGCTCCATTGTCTCGTAATCGTTCCCTGACAACCCGACGACCCGCTTCCATCCGTCGCCATTCACTACCATTCAACGCATTAATCAATTCACAACGCCACTCCTTCGGGCACCGACAACTTCAACCTTACAATTACCTACGAACCTCTGTCACCTGGAGTGACCTACATAAGAAGTACATGAAGGGAACCCCTCTACCTTGGTAGACAATACAATCCCGCAATGTCCATCCGAATATCCCTCGACGCCCCGCCCGAGTTCTATACGAACCTCGACTTCATCAGCGGCCGCGTGATCCTCGTTCTACACAAAACAGAAAATATAGGAAATGTAATCGTCAAACTCGAGGGCGAGTCGCGCACGGCGCTCACCGTCCCCTCTCCTGGCGACCGAGACGACTACTACCACGCACGTCCTCCCGGCGGGGTCATGGGCGGCGACGTCATCACCGAGAACCACAAGATCCTATATAAAGTGTTCCAAGTCTACCCCGACGACGGCGCCTCCATCGCCTTTCAACCCGGCATGCACGAGTTCAAATTCAACTTTAAGATGCCTCTCAATAATATCTGCTATGACGAGAAAGCCATGAGCGGGCTACTGGGCCTCGGCGGTATCGGCGGTAGTAGCGGTTTTCGCACTATGGATGGCACGAAGCAGCTCATGCTGCAGCACGTCAAGTCTACCTTACCTCCCTCGCTCACCGGCTTTCCGCAGGAGGCCGAGATCCGATATTACCTTAAGGTCACTATCCAGCGCCCGGGCTTCTTTAAGGAGAACTGGCGCTACCAAGTCGGTTTCAAGTTCCTGCCTATCGAACCTCCGCGGCCAGCGAAGACAAGCCAGGAAGCCTTCGCTCGACGGCCGTTCACATTCCGGCCACGCGCCCCAACGCATCATCGCAAATCATTCTTCGGCAACAAATCTCCCGGGCCCGGCGCCGAAGACCCGAGCCAGATGCCACCGAACATCGAGATGTCGGCGCGCGTGCCGTTCCCCAGCATCCTGACCTGCAATGAGCCCCTGCCCCTGCGCATAATAGCGCGGAAGCTCGCTCCGACGACGACGCGTGAGCAGCAGGTGTATGTGACGGCGCTCGAGCTTAAGTTGATAGGATACACGCAAGTGCGGGTGGAGAACCTCGAAAACACCGAGGTCACCGCGTTCCCCATCTTCAGCGCCGCGCGCCTCTCGCCCCCGATCGCGCTCTTTAGCTCCCCCTCTGACCCCGTCGATACCGAGTTCGAGATCCCGCGATCGTTGTGGGCCGAACGAAGACTGCCGAATACGGTCGCGCCGTCGTTCCGAACATGTAATCTGGCCAGGCGGTACGAGCTACAGATCATGATAACGCTGAGCTGGGGCACGCCTCCGTCCGGTTCTTCGATCTCGCTGGCGTCTGGCAAGCAACCTCTCGCGCAGACCATAACGCTACCCCTAAAGCTCTCTAACGTGGAAGTCTTTTCGGGTATCGCGCCGCCGCAAGAACTCCTCAACTCTATCAACCACAACGCTAACGGTGATATCGTCGGCGCCGGTATCGGCCCCGGTTTTGGTATCGGCGGCCCTCACATCCGTCCGCCGCATCTCCCTCAAAGGCCGACGGGACAAAACGCACCGAACCAGCAAGGTCCGTCGCAACCACAGAGACCTCCTCACGACCCGTTGTACCCGCCGCAGCTGGGCACCCCCGCCAACGCCCAATTCGACGAGGCGCCGCCTAGCTACGACGAGGCGATGGCGGACCAGCTGGCGGGACCCGCGGCGCGGCCCGCGTACAGCGGGGTTACAGCGGAGAATGCGCCGAGCACGATGCCTGCGCAGAAGTCTTGATTCAGGTTCTGTGTCTCTATTTACAGTGGTAGCGCGTAAGCTTAATAGGCATGATGAGATCGGTGTATATTAGCAGGTTAGGATAAGAGCGCACGGAAAAGGAACACGCCGCCGACGATTCGCGGAATTGCAGACGGCGGGACAACGGAGGTCAGGGCTTGGTTGTCAAAGACATAGCGGATGATACCCCCTCGGGTTGGCTAACGTTGTTTATTTATAAAAAGCTGCGGTTGGTGTTCTGGTTGGAGTTACGGGATCGAACTTACTTCTAAAGGGTTGCTGGTTCGGCGTTGCGATGGATGGGACGCATAGAAGGCACGGGGTGTATATAAAGTTGGTACCTACTACCAGGTACCTAGGCAGGTAATTACTAAATTAATTCCCAGGCCTTCGAATTGGCTTGATGATTGATCTGGCATGACGTATAGATGTCTGTCGAAAAGTATACAGCCGTGAGAAAAGTTTTGGACCTCCGTTCAGATATTTTTACCTATACAATATTTCCGCGCGGGAAATGCAAGCATGCTTGCTATCTATTTACAAAGTCCTAGATACCCCTAAGCTTGAGTTATCTAGGAACACGGTATGCAGAATCGTGTCGCGTCCCATCCATCCGTTCGTATCCCCGTGAAGACAGGCCCCTGACAGGATCGAGTCCTGAAAACAGTAGTTAGTTGGTAGCGTGTACCCTTTGGCGCTGACCAACCATACGTGCTGTTATTGTATGCATGTATCTAGTTTTTACGCAAGTCTTAGATCTAGAGATGTTGATCTACGTCTAGTCTAGCCTCAGATACACGGACCTCATCTATAGCTTCTCCTTGAGCACGCCCTTCAACCTCTTCTCGACGGCGTCGAGGTACTCGTTGGTGGTAGCGTAGTCGGCGCGGTCGGTCTTGCCGCAGGCGAGGGCGAGGTCCTTGGTCATGACGCCGTCGAGCTCGACGGTGTCGACGCAGGCCTGCTCGAGGCTGTCGGCGAAGGCGGCCAGCTCGGGGGTGCCGTCGAGCTTGCCGCGCTGGGCGAGGCCGCGCGTCCAGGCGAAGATGCTGGCGATCGGGTTCGTCGACGTCTCGCGCCCCTTCTGGTGCTCGCGGAAGTGCCGCGTCACCGTGCCGTGCGCCGCCTCCGACTCGAACGTCTTGCCGTCCGGCGTGATCAGCACCGACGTCATCAGCCCGAGCGACCCGAACCCTTGCGCTACGATGTCGGACTGCACGTCGCCGTCGTAGTCTGGTAGGAAGAAGAAGAAGAGATTAGTTTGCGTTCGCGCTCAGAATTTCTGGGGGAATGGGGCCTCACTCTTTAGCGCCATGATATATCCGCCGGAGCTCTTGATCATCTGGGCTACCATGTCGTCGATCAGGCGGTGCTCGTACCAGATCTTCTTGGCCTCGAATTGCTTCTTGTACTGGCTGTCGTATAGCTCCTGGAAGATGTCCTTGAACCTGCCATCGTACTTCTTGAGGATGGTGTTCTTGGTGCTCATGTATAGGGGAAGCTCCTTGTCTAGGGCTAGCTTGAAACTGGCATGCGCGAAACCGGTGATGCTCTCGGTGGTGTTGTATTGGGTCTGTGCGACGCCGCCACCTTCCTTGAATTGGAAGACCTCGATCTCTTCGGGTTTGCCGCCCTCAGGGGTATATACCATGCTCAACTTTCCGGGTCCAGGGATAACCTTGTCCTTCGCCCGGTATTGGTCGCCGAAGGCGTGACGACCGATAATGATGGGCTTCTTCCATCCCGGTACCAATCGCGGGATACGGGGGATGACGATGGGCTCGCGGAAGACGGTGCCGCCAAGAGCGTTACGGATCGTGCCGTTGGGGGAGAGCCACACTATGCAGGGAGAGGAAAGTTAGTTAGCCTGTTGGAGATCCCCGATCAAAAGCAATGCGGCTATGGGGTGTGCGCTGGGGCACTCGAAGGTTAGAGTGCGGGGTTGGAGATGGGGGGGCTCATGTGCAGGACGGCAGGACGGGATGCAGGCAAGACTGCATCACTCGTGGCTTACTCTGCTTTAGGTTGAACTCCTTCACACGGGCCTCGTCCGGAGTGATGGTAGCGCATTTGACACCGACCGAGTACTTCTTAATGGCCTCGGCAGCATCAAGCGTGACTTGATCGTTGGTCTCATCTCGGTACGGCAATCCCAGGTCGTAGTACTTTAGGTCGATGTCGAGATAGGGGAAGATGAACTTGTCCTTAATGACCTGCCAGATGACTCTCGTCATCTCATCGCCGTCGAGTTCCACGACAGGATTCTTGACCTTGATCTTTTGCGCAGCCATATTGTAACCAGTTTGGTGAAAGAGCGCCACTGGCACTGCAGGTCTTACCGCGATAGGCGACGATCTGAGCAGTGGCCTCGCCGATCTAGAGAAGGCAGACGGCCGAATAGATCGGGCTGCGGATGTGCAGATAGCGTTCATCGTGAAAGGGGATCGGGGACAAAGGCGCCACTGCGCATGCGATAATTATACGTGAAGGCGAGGAAGAAGCTTAGAAGCTAAGAACTTAGAACCGAGGAAGCTGTAGATGATGCGACGCGGCTAAGCTTAATATGGGTCCGGGCTCGAGGAAGGATCTGGCGCAATTGAGGCTGTCTAGAACTCTAAAAAGGCGCTGCAAGAATGCACCTCCCAAGATTCGTTAAAGACTCCCGGATGTAGCTGCGTATATACGTTAAATATGATGCTTGCGGTGCTATGTACAGTCGCACGGGTAGCAAAGGCAAAAATTTAGGATGAGGGGAATGGACCAATCATCTTTCACGCCGGGGATCTTAATCCCCCACAAATTCTGCCGATATGCGGAGAAGAGGAGTTGAATGTTACACAACACTGGCAGATTTAGTCTGATGATCTTGTGGGTCGATATTTTATCTGATCCGTAGATCCTTACGTACATAGAATTTTACATATTCCCACCTACAACAACCCTAAACACTCTCCTTAATAATTTCAATCCATCTATCAATCAACACTGGAATTACGAATCACGCATTCATTCCACTAAGAAGTTGGTTAACAATATGATTACATACAGTATCGGCATGTGGCTTAGATGTGGCTTAGCATCGTACTGGAAGATACCTGAATTGAGGCCTAAAGCAAAGCCTAAATGGATTGTTACAAATACTTAACTGCTTCGCTAATACGAACCCAGCTTTTATAAATCCGTACCGTATATTTCGAAAAATTAGAAGCATATACTAGATTTTTAACTTCCAAGGAAAATAAAGAGACGATGCCTCTCACCAACTGCCCCGTTTGCGGTTCCAGACCCAATGGCCCATCCAGTATATGGCCAGAACCTGAATCTCTTACCGAACTGCCTCTAGGTAAATGGAATGTCAATATTCCAGATTTGCAGGTCGAAAAACTCGCACTTGACAATTGTTGTGCAATCTGCGCGACAAGTGCCTTGGTATTGTTCGCTGCAGGAAAGAAATTTGGAAGCATAGCAGATTCAGAAGCGAGAATGGGTTTCTTTGCTCATAACGTAGCACCAAGCCAACGTTACTTGCTGAGCATACACCTACCAGATCCAATATTAAGAGTCCTGGCAGGTAGCGAGGAAATGTGTATACTGTTTAATCCATTCAGTAAGTGCTATGAATTCATCGTTCATTTCCACATGAGTATGTCGGATCAGTTCTTCTTAAGCTAATGCTAGAGGTTAAGTGAACTCGCCTCTACGCGAAATGTATGAGCCATGCGGCGAACTTCCAGTCAACAGCGGCTCGCTCGAAACACTTGGCCTCGCAAAGAGGTGGTTGGAGACCTGCAGGATTCAACATCCAGAATGCACCGCACAAGGCGGGCATTATGTGCCTACTAGGCTTCTTGATACTAATCAAGGCGACATTAAACTTGTCTTCCGTGAAGAGGTTGAAGTTTCCCAAGGTGGTATCAAATATGTCGCGTTGAGTTATTGCTGGGGCGGCTCTCAGCCTCTCAGAACACTGAAAAACAACATGAGCTCGCATAGAGTACGAATGCCATTTGAAAATTTACCCGCAACATTCAAGGATGCTATCAAGGTTGTCAGAAGTTTAGGGCTGCGATATATATGGATCGATAGTCTTTGCATCGTCCAGGACGACCAAGAAGATTGGGTGCGAGAAGCAGAGCAGATGGAAAGGGTCTACAACAACGCAGAACTAGTTTTAGCTGCCGCTGTTGCATCATCCGCTAACGATGGCTTCTTGCGAGATCGGCCTCGTGCCAAAGGAGGCCGCATCAATTTGAGACTAAACGACACAAACGCCGCATCTCAATCGGACCAAGAACCAGATCTGGAAGACAAATCGGACATAAGAGCTGAACCAGACTTAATCCAGTGCGATTATCGCGTAATTTTTCAAGATACCCACACTGGAGCGTCAAAATTACCTTTAGATGAACGGGCATGGGCATATCAAGAGAGACTTCTGGCGAGGAGGTATCTTATCTTCGGACGTGACGAGATACGATGGGAATGCCTCGAGGATTCTTACTGCGAGTGTGGCTGGGTATTCACGGATACATCGAGAATCAGGCAGAAAATGAACCTCGAAAATATGTTTCTTTCTGCATCTAAATGTCACACACAGACGGAAGGATGGTGTGATAACATCGAAGATTACAGAAATAGGATTCTTTCCGCATCTAAATATCACGCACAGACGGCAGTATGGTGTGATATCGTCGAAGATTACAGCAAAAGGGAGCTCACTGTACGGTCGGATAAGCTAGTGGCCCTCTCTGCAATAGCCTCGAGATTCCAATCCAAGTACGGTGGCACTTATCTTGCCGGTATCTGGAAAGAACATCTTATCCATGGACTTCTCTGGCACCTGCAGAATTCGTATCCCTCCGGCCCCGAGAGTCCGAATAGCGCGAATAGTCCGGAAGACTTCTATATCCCTAGCTGGAGCTGGGCTTCTATTAACGTCGGCGACTACTATGTCAGCTACGGCCGTATAAACAAGGTAACGTCGTATGGGGAATGTAGCTGCGCCTACATTGTGAACGCTTCGGTAACACCCTCAACGACGAACTGTTTTGGTCCTGTCTCTAGTGGATCTATTCAACTCCGGGCCCAAGTTATCCAGTCGACCATTCGTTTTTACACTAACAAAAATAGGGAACCTTATATTGAGCCTTTCGACACCAATCTCGAACATAGTCGCTTGCTTTTAGACCTACCACTCGCTGCTTATGATGCTGCATTAGATCATACTTCGGGGGAAATAATTGCCTCTGCTAGGCGAATCAATTATGCTGAAAAGGATAGTCTGCGAGCGACTCTCACTACGTGTTCGACCTGGATATTGCCACTGACGGCTAAAGGGAAACGCCTGTATTATCTGGCGTTGGGTCCATCTCCCAAACAACCAGGCTGTTTTGAACGCCTCGGGATGGGATGGTTCTGGGCCAAGTGGGAGAATGCCAGTAAAACGGCAGACTACATTTCTACCAAGTATAAAACCGATGAAATCACCCTTGTGTGAAGAAAACCAACCGACGTATTATTCAACTTCACTCTCTACCTAAATATAGACTCAGATGATGTGTATAGGGAAGGTTGCGTCTTACATGTACCTAGTTGTTAAACCCCGATTTGAATCATAAGCAAGGTCTTATGGAACTTTTGAATTCTCCATATTCTTCGGTACACTTACCTACCTGACTATCCTATTGATTCCAACCTTCGATGCCGGACGCATATCTTTCATATTCAAATACACACAACCTATAAATATCAATATACGTAGTTGCGAAGGAGTAGGTCTCACAACGTTACATGCTTATACCGAAATAAGGCAACATAGAACACCGTGTTTAGACAGTAGTTACAGCATTCAGGCGCTTTAGAAGTGGTGTCATTGTCCCTGTATCTCAGTCGGTTTACCTATAAAGGTACACTGCATATTAGGCGCAGGGAAGGCAGCAAGGCAACCAACTACATTGCAGCCAAAAAACAATATCGCCTTACTTCACAAATGTAACATACCTCCCTGGATTTAGGACAATTTGATAAGCAATGTGCGAGCCGACACTATTTCGAAATTCGACACCGTGTTCGCTTCGATCCCCGATCTGCAATGCGCATGACGGGGAAGTGATCCCGAGCCATGCATAAGTGTAAGTAAGGCCCAGCCTTACGTGAAGTCGGCCGGTTGCCTCGCGCAGGCAGACACCGATGTTACAATACATGCCTACCACGTTTCAGTCACTGCAGTGACTTCCTCTCGGGCCGATCCCATCCAACATTTCTGCGCGGCCAACCGGACTCGGGACAGTTCCCGGATGTTGCCTACCTCGAGGCTCAGGGAATGCTGTTGTTCGCCGAGCACGTTGGCTTCGTACGTAGACAAAAGACACGAATTCTCCGAATGGCTACTGCGTTATTATATATGCACGTAATATCAATTTTGGCGTCGGTATAGGTGTGAGCAAGCCCTTCGATTTATCTGTTGCACCACCTGGAAGTCACCCTTGCTGGCCCCCCTATCCTCCACGCCATCTCTTGCCGCTTTACTCAGGCCTGGCTATTAGGCGTTTGATCTGGGGGAGCTCAGCCACCTGTTGTACGCCAACCAGTCTTGATGATTCCTCTTGCCTTTTTGGATTACCTATTCATGTTACGGATAGGCGTGAGGGCCGTAGGTCTTTGGACTCAGCCTTTCCGCCGGGCTTTTTCGTAACAGTGGAGGACCCTGCGTTTCCTGGACGTCGAATTAGGTGCGTAAGAGCCTAGGAGCCTGAAGAAAGCCTTGGGTTGTGGTCAAAGAATCACATGATGTGGTCAGCTGTCACAAATACCGTGCTGCTGATTAAGGGGGCTTGATTAACACTGTGTACTTGCTATGAGAGCCAAATTGTTTTCCTATAACTATAGTAATAGAATATGTATTAGGTATGTATCTCTACTTATAACGTGGGTTCCCCATATAGGTACTCAGGTACCTAGGTACTATTTAGAAAGTATTTACCCCTTATTCATAACTTGGTTTCATTACTAGATACCTACCGGTAGGTACCTACTCGAAATTCCCCTGAGATGTGAATAGAAAATATGAGCTCTAGGGCGGCCTTATACACCAACTTCATAAATCGTCACTTGTTGCGCATTAATCTAGAATAATTTCTCGCTCCTCAAAGTATGGCAACCTATAATCTTTCCCCCAGTCAATGATTCCGAGCCATGTCCATATTCCATCACCAGGTTTCTGATACTTCTTACCACACACGGCAAACACAAGCCCTTCAGAAATACCACCATATCCTCCATAGATGCTTGCGCAAGGTTCTTTATAGCTCTCTATACCTTCTCCTTGCGCAGCCTCCCGCTGTAAAGGCTGGAGTAGTATGCCCTCCTTATAGCCTTTTAGGTGCTCTTTTAACTGATCAGGCACGGTCTCATCGACCAAGCAGTTTGCTGTGGATTGAAAGCTACGGTAATGCGAAGCAAAGCCGTCCTTGAAGTGAATAACTGCAACTCCCCAGTTTGCTCGGAGATATGCGTCCCCGTTCTTACCAATCTCAATCAGACCAATCTGGGACTGAATGCCGTCATACGGAGGGTACAATTTGGATGCCGGAGGCTCTTCATTGGCCGCAGGGTAAGGCCCTGGTTGTCTAGGTGCCCATGATGGCCCTTGGCGTGAAGTGAGCCTCTGTACGCTTGAGAGTAAGTGGCCAGTGTGAACAACGCTGTCGAGGCGTGCTCCTCCATACTTCCCTCTAGCCCATAGATCCTGAGCATCCGTCACCACTGGGTCGTCGACGAGGAGGCTCCATATGATAACATCGTCTCCGGGGCGAGAAGCGAATCTTTGTCCCAGAAGCGAGGCGGCCTCTGATACCGCGACGAAACCACGGTCTATTCGTGCTGAAACGATACTGGCATCGAAACTAGCATCGAAGATAATATGTTGAAACTTCGACAGCTCTTGGTTACTTGTTTTGACTTTAATCCAATGAGTAGCGTTCGGGGGTGGAAATAAGTGGTGGTTCGTTAAGAGGAGTATCGATATGGTGATATCCCCACAGAATGCCACAGTGCGAAGTATTTCGGTTAACGAAATCAGTTTGTTTTCGTTTCCCGATTTACACAGAAGCTGGATGTTCTTTCTGCCACGTAAGGCCTCTAGTAACGTCCAGGCCCTCACGTTCCAGTCACAAACAAGGACTATAGAAAGGATAGATTCCTGAAGGGCTACACTAGCAGGTGTGTTGTCTGTGTCTTGTATAATCGAGATGTCGATGTCCATTAGATCTCTATCGCACAATATAGTTGCATGACTCGTTGAGAAGACTTGGTTTATAGTCGAAATAGCTTCTTTGCGCAGGACGTGCTCATCAGGGATGCCTTTATGAGTAAACGTTAGCAAAGAATGTCATTATGTAGCGTACGAACTAAAAGGAGAGACCTTCGGAGTTGATACTAACAAGCGGCATCTATCCAGTAGCTCGAACAGCCGAAATCTTCTGCAATCTTGCAGTACCGACGATGAAGACATTCATTCATCCCGTCTTACGGCCGACCGCCTTGGCCATGAAGCCATACGTGTGAGATCGCTAGGGTTTTCGCGTCGGCTAATTTATAACATAGTTGATCGGAGGAGCTAGAAATAGAGACAGCGCGTGGCCCGCATACTTCTAGATATGAAGCTTTATTCCATACCATACGGCTGCATCCCTGTTTACGCGTACAAGAGAGATCGTGCTGACTTTGGTCCTCGATTTTGTCACCTCCCCTAATTCGCTTACAATGGTCAGGTCCTAGTCCAGAACAGACCCGATTGCCAACGCATCTTGCTGGCCTTTCACCAAACACTTGAATAAATCTCTGGTGAAAGTGCCGCAGATCGAGCAGGGAAGTCGATCTACTTCGTTGTAAGATTTGAAATGCCAAGTTACACATGTATTGCAACTTGTCTTGCGACCTAACCTTCTGCTGCAACTCCAGGGCAAGAAACGAGCCTCTGTTCGGGCGAAGCCCGAGTTCTCCGAAACCAGTGTAGTCAAATCCTGTTTGCAAGCTATCTTGCAGAACTCGCCTTCACCATATCAATAGAGACGACTATATCTAGTTTAACGGCGTTACTCACCAGTAGTGTAAGGCCAAACAGCGTTGCCAGGTACTCCACAGATAAGTAAGAAGTGCGAACCAACGCCATGTGCTATTCACCCACGTGTCGTTCTTTTTCACAGGCCCCTTCTCAAGCTCGAAGAAGACGCCGTCAATAAGGTCGGAGACGAAATCCAAAAATTGCCTGAAGTCGTGAGATTCAGAACTGCTCACGTTGAGGTCGGCCTTTCTGTCATATGTCAAAGCTATGGCAATCCCCATGCGAATCACACTGCTCGACAACCTGGAAACCGTAGAGAGTTGATCCCAGGAGTATTCATTTCCTGCGTCACTCTTAAGCCAGCATCCCCCTATAAGTTCCTCTGTTGGCTGTAGTATATCACTAGGCAGCGGAAGTGGTGTAGGTGGTAAACGTTTCAGCAAGGCTGCCGTGCAATTAACAACATCATCCCTCTTCGATTGAGAATCCGGGACCATGGATCTGGTTATCACGGCATTCTGCATAAACGTGCGGTCTAAATGCTCCCATGAGAAGTTGGCGTGAGTGCACCTGTAGAGATCTCTGATCATCATCCATCGTGATCGTTTATGGGAATCTGATGTTGAATGAACTCCGGGGAATGAAACACGTTTACTAGGTCGTGCGGATGCAGCCTGTTTATTAGCAACTTCTTTTGCCAGGCGTCCGTTTATATCGATCGTTGAGATATCTCGTGGCCTGAATTCACTAATGAGGTGAGAGCCCACAGTCTTCTCGGCGGAACATTCTTTCAACTCCTTCAATACTCTCTCTTCCAATGGCGAAACCGTATGCTTAGAATTCATAATAACTTGGCGTTCCTCGCTGCTTAAGAGCAGAGCGAGAATCTAGCATAGGTAGTTGAAACTGCTTGATTAGGTAGGAACCTACCCCTGGCTCTTAGGCGTGCCGGGTCAACTCTCCCTCGCGCCTCGAAAAAGCCTCGTGTACCCCGCCGCCCCGGTCCAGGTGGAGAAACCCCGCCAATCGGGTTTATTTATTAAAAGGGAGCGCTATATATTTTCAGGCTTACAGCGCTAAAGCACTAAATCTGTAGCACTTAATAGCGAGCACCTTTCTATAAAGTTACAACTAATCCAATCGTAGAATGCTATGGATAGCCAATTATGCCTTGTCCTGACATAAAAGTTGCAAATTGCTACTTAATAGGCTGCTTTGACTGCTTAAGTGTACTTACACTGCCTCCCTCTTTTCTGTCTTTCTTTTCCAATAGTCCTTTCCTCCTTCTCTTATATCTACTCAAATCAGGTCTTCAAATTATCCATATTCTTGAACTTGAAAGGATTCATAGCGTTGCATTTTTTACGAAGCGTTTATTCAATTTATTCCGATGGGACCGCAAAACCCCCCTGCCAGCTATGGAACCGATGGTGCCACACCACCTGTCCTACCAGCGGCATCGTTCAATGTTTCCATTATTTTTGAATGGGCAGCGCTTCTACCACTAGCTATATATCTTGCTCGCAGTCGGCTGCCGCACCAGTTAGTAGGCCAGGCTGCTTTGGCCGGTCTCATCGGCGTCGGCCTGTTTCCTCGCCTAGGCGTTCTGGGAACCATTGCCGATTTCCTTCAGCAAGATCAGGAGTTTCTCGATTGTGCCTCGTCCGTTAGTGAGATGCGCCATATGGTTTGGGATGCAAATTGGGGCAGCATCTTTCCCTGTGCCAACGGGGCGGCGGCGGCGATGCTCAATTCTTATGTCCTTCGAAACGTCAAAACACAGCTTGCGCCGGAACACCTACCGAAACCTTTATCTAGGACGTCGTCTCAATCTTCCAGTCCCGGTCGTAAATCTAATTCAAGCGGTAGTACACCCTCTACAAACGAAACGCCAGGTCCAGGTTTCCGTCGCTACCAAACGCTACACATTCTTCATTTCTCCGACTCAACGACGCCTAACACAAGGCCCTTAAAGCATAAAATTACCTCTTCTTATTCTTGGGCGATCTTTTTCGAAGCGTCAGGATTGATCGTGTTGCTTGGCGTCAGCATCATCTGTATCCTCTATGGCCTATATGGAACAGCTGCTGCCGTCGTTCTCACTATTCTATTCAGAATTTCCAGGCAGCTGATTACAATCGAGCGGCCTGCTGGATATCTCCACAATAATGAAGGGGATCTCCCTGGATGCATGCTTATGGCTCTCCATGAAAATGCTTCGACGTGGTATCTTTACGTCGGTTCTCGCGGCACTATTGACACTGTGCTGAATAAGACCATGATCCAAAGTATCAGGTCGCCTTTGAATGGTTGGCTAGCTCATGGTTTACGTGGCCTTGAAGTTCTACAGCTCATTATAATGAGCTATGTAGCCGCTCAAAAAGGATGGGATGGCATTGCTTTGCTATGCCTTATACTCGCGGCTTGGATTTTCGATTGGATAGTCTACAGCGACCAACGAGTAGCAGGGCTATGGCTACAACGCGAGGGAATTACTGTGAAAGCGCAGAGCCTTAAATTCGGAGGCCGGACGCCGATGATTGGCTTGATCCACGCTTTAAGCAACAAGAAAGTGACATCCTGGATGGACGGGATCATTTCTTCCTCAGATCGGCGCGCTGCGTGGCTGCAGAAGTTAGGATCACAAAACGTCGAGCCGGAACTCGAGCAGCAGCTCAGTCAACGTGATAAGGAATGGGTCGATTTAAACGAAACGTTGACACGCGCAGCATTAGAAGCTACAAAAGACATTGGAAATAGCACAAATGATGTTTGAGAATAACTTCGCCCATCTTAACGAGTTAAAGCGCGCCCCTGACTACCCAGTCGGACCTCGCCGCCCAATCAGACCCCTACAATCAGCCGCAGCACCGTATACCTTGTGGCTAGCTAATCGGAATATTTCCAGGTTATTTGTGGCTTGACATTTAGGACTTTGGGGGGCTAAAGTAACTGGAAGGGTCGGAAGCGTCCATTCTGCCGAGTATTAGCCGACCCCGCAATTATTAGTCTCAAGTTAGACATTGTTCTCAGGTCCTAAAATTTATATCTTTTTGATAACTTGAAGTCTTGAATACTCTAAAGATACTCTTCACTTTCCATATCCAGGTTACAGTTGTTTATATAACCGCTTCCTAGAGTTATACCCTTCACCCCTCTCCTAGGCCTTCTAGCCCCTCATTCATATGAGATCTTGCTACCTAATAGATGTTCACAGTATTGTCTGGCACGCCGAGGATAGTCTCAACCAATACTCCGGGGGTCAGGCTTCTGGTGAATCTGATCACTTGCTTTTGATTCCTGCTACCCCAAGTATCCTTTCCTCCGTTGGCTCGAAGAACGAACCAGTCCTCGTTTCCCCCTTTGCCAAAGTCACTACCAGTGGCAGTGACACTGACATTAATGTCCTCGGAGGTGTTGTTGATTATTGTGATAACACCCATATTGTCTATTCAAAATGTCAGCGCCTTTGTCAGTTGTCAATTAATGCAACACGGCTTGCCTACTTGTAGGTACCTAGTTGGCGACAAGTTCGAGACTTGTAGGAACAACAATACTTGCGATTTGGTAAAGTTGATCTCGGATATAAGTTACTAGCAGTGTGTGTTTGTCGAGAGCTAGGCTTAAGTGTCAGATCAAAAGGAGTCGTCCTCGAGCTTAAATAGCCACACGCACCTAACCAAAAGGTTAAGCTGGGAACTTTAAGCCAACGCCAGCGTGATTGCTGGAATGGCGTTGCTGAGAACACACCATTTTGTTTCTACGATCCCCACCCCTCATTGCCGAGTTTTTAATTACTAATGAGCTTTCTCTATTATATGCATACACAGCTAACGGTTAGAATAGCCCTCGTATGATTACTCGTCTTTGGGCAACTTGTTCTAGGGCTGAAAATTCATTGCTTACTCAAGTAGAAAATAAAGCGATGATCTATTTTACGCACCCCAGCTGAAACCCAAGCCAAGCCCGACACCAGTCACCGATTGGAGAAGTTGGATCTATCATATATCACTAGGACGGCCCGGCCCGAGCCTTAATTAAAAGAAGTAAGTATTGGTAAATGATGTGCTTCTGGACCCTAAGGACCTAGCTGATATTGCAGTTGTTTATGCAGTTTTCAGCTTGTGAGGGGGGGTTATCATGGCCGGTTCTGCCAATCCATACGTCAAAAGCCACCCTCACCCTACCACTGAAAGAGGTACACGGTATGAGTATCACGTTGTAAATCGAGGAAGTTAACTTACGATAGGTAACCCGTATAACCTTGTGGGTAGTACATTGTATACCACTTGAATACAATGTATACTTAGACTTCCAGCGACTTAATATTTCAACACATATCTCCATCGTTTGCCCCGTTACTAAACTTCAACGGTCCATAAACTATTTTCTGAAATTTTCATCTTCTAGAGCGTTCAAAGTTCTCACTACCAAAGACCAACCTGACGAGGTAGTTTCCTTGTAAAATGATTATCCAAACCGTATCACTTAGAGATCCGAACAAATACTACCTCTCTTGCAGGTCTAGCGATGGGAGTCTGGTGTTCGACAGGGTTGATTTAGACCCCTCTTGCAAGTTCTTTATGGTACCCGTGGGTTCCGGGAGAACCTGCTTAAAAGGTCCTAATGGAAAGTTTGTCGACCTCCATGGAGACAGGTTCCGTTGCGATGGCATCACAACCGGAGTAGGTTTTATCTTCTCCGACACAACTCTCCAACTCGATACTGGCAAATATCTCAGTAACGTTCTCAACAACAATACAATTACTGCCAACAGCTATCCTACCAGTTTGGTAATCAAGTCGACGTCGTTCGAAAGTTTCAGCGTGAGCACATCACTATCCGTCCCTGCGATTACTTACAACGAGGATGTGTCTATTGAGTGCCGATATAGACCAAAAAGGAACTATCTGGCCCTGAAGAAATCCAGCGGAACTATCGACATTATCTTCTCCATTCCTTACTCGATGGATGGACAGAGGAACGGAACCGTGGAGGTGATCTTGAATCACATGAGAGATAATAGTGCTGGAGGAGTCATCGACATTAATCTGAATGGCCAGCCACTCATCAAAAGGCATGCCTCTGCTACTACGTTCCAGACAGAGAATGTATGCTGTTTGTCACTACCTGCGCTGTCCGGAGAGAACAGACTGTCCATCTCGCTGTCCAAAGGCTTTTTAGGGACCTACTGCTTCTCTGATGCTGCTTTGGTGTTCAAAGATAACAATGGATACTTGAAGCAAGAGAATTCCGTGTATGCCCTTGGGCTGTCATCTGGATCATCATACAACGGTGGGAAACTTGTGGACAGCCTTAGGAAAGGCGACCCGTACCTTTCTCTGGAAGGAGAGTCACGTTGGTCGAAGATCACCTTTGCAGTCAGGGAAGAATTGTTGAGTATAGGGCACTGTGTGATCAAAGTTCAGCATAGGCGGGAGTGGGGAACGTCTATCGATATTTACCTTAACGGAATCAATATCGAAGACCGATACGACGACATCCCGACCGACTCATTTGGTACATCCTCCTTCCCCATCCACAGTTCCCAACTGAAAAGGAGCAACGAGTTTGTCATAAAGCCCAACGGCGGAAAATATTATATCTCTGATGTCAACCTCGATGTGGTTTCCCTCCTTCCGGAGGTAAAGGAAGAAAACTTCAAGACTTACCTTAAGGATTGGATTCTCCACCAGAGAAAGAATATTGGAGAGCTCAACAAGATCCCTCGGGGGGATTTATCAGCCTGGAACTTCGTTAAAGAAGCGCCTTACTGGTTCTTCATCCCATTTCTCCCCGTCTCACCGGAAGAGATTAGCGTGCTCTTCGACTACTACAACATGATGTTTGTTTCCGTAGCCTTCGAGATTAGGGATCTCAACAACGAGGCTAGAGACTTTCATAGGGAGCTCATCAGCACTGATCTCCCCAGAAAAAATGCTCTCAGGCATGCGTATTGGACTGCTATGCTATCCAGACGATTCGGCAAGTATTTCGCCCTGGATCTCTCAACGGCCCATGAGGAGGCTCATGTTGATTTGACGATCGAAGGCCCCTTCGATCATGTCACCGATAAGATCAACAACGCCGTGGGATCCCTCATAGGTTCGAGGACTCCTAGATCCAAGGATCTCCGAGATGTAATAGATGCAGCTTGGGCGAACAGAGAGCTTGCGTATGCGAAAGACTTCAGAGAGACTGCTTCTGGACAGACTGCTCAGGTGTTTTGGCAGAATGCGTTGGATATGATGGCGATGAAGTATAATGTAAAGCCGAGGTTTAGTCAGTCGGAGAAGAATACCTTGGTAAGGATGAAGGTGGTGGAGCCGGATGTTCCCATTATCCACTAGGTAGGTAGGTAGGTAGGTAGGAAAGCAAGGCTACATTGATATGTGACCAAGATGTCATGACCGTTGATGCCCGCGACCAATCGGTACGGCAATGCGAGATACTTGTGTCGATTCTACTCCTTAGTGACTGGAATATCCGAGCCTGAACTCTGCTCGAGGTTGTACGAGGAAACAGAGTCGTGCACCTCCTGTGTAAAGATAATATTACTGTTTCGCTAAAAAGTGTTCTCTAGATATTATATGAGCACGGAAGCCTTGACTTGTATACAACGTGGAACTATACACCGCAAGCCAACTTGCCACTTCGACAAAGTCGTGCTGGGAATGTGCCTCGCAACTTTCCTCAGAAGGCTATATAAGGGTGGTCTTCCTTCGTCCCATACTCTCAACAGTACACTGACATAAATGAGTTTGCTGCAGAGGAATGGGAATGGAAAGGAGTTTACAGCTCTGTTCCTAGTCGTAGCTTCGCCGGAATTGGCTTCGAATGTAGATGGCTAAAAATAGTTTAAACTATTGCGCTATACGCCTTAAAGCGTTAGCGCTATCGCTCCCCGCATATACCTGATAGGTACTACCTATATCCCCCATTAGGTACCTCAGACAGCCATTACCTTTAACCTATTGTTTCCCGATCAATTTAATACGTACAAATACAGACATATCTTAGTCAATGAGATTTTAAAAGGTGTATCAAATGATACAGTGTATAGTCAGTTTTCGATTCTAGATTACTAGCCTTATATAGATCTTGTAAGAGTGCAGCCTGCGTCGTCCGATTCGGCTTTGACAGCTCTATCGGTTAAGGGATGATAAGGGGTAATGAGACTTTAAGGGTTTTCTGTGGGGAGGTAAATCTATGGGCTAGTGGATGAGTCATCAAGGACAAGTGGAGCCCTGCCCACCTAAGGGGTAAATTTAGCAGTGCGCGCACTCTTGGTGTAACACTTGGAAATAAAATTTTTCTGGCCTTTTTTTTTATTTTTAAAGTACGGCCCTTCGCAATGTACGGGAGGGGTGGCCCTTCGCAAGCTATGGGACCCCTGGCCCTTCCAAAGCTACGGGGACTTCAAAAATAAAAAAAAAGGCCAGAAAAATTTTTCTTCGCAGAAAGCAGTATACTTGGGAGGCAGGGCTTAAAGGGGGTTGGAAAAAAAGGCAGTATCCGTCCGAAGGACTTCAAATCCGTTGTCTTGAACAGGTTCTTCAAACCTGTCCCTAAATCAGGTTAAAGGTCAGTTGGACAGTCAGTCCAACAGTCAGTTCAACAGTCCCTAGAACAGTCCCTTAGTCAGTTCAAAATCAGTCTAATTAGTCCCTAAGTCAGTTCAAAGGTTAGTTGAACAGTCAGTCAGCCAGTCCTTAAGTCAAGTCAAAAGTCAGTTCAATGGTCTATTGAACAGTCCCTTAATTAGTCCCTAGGTCAATTGATCAATCAGTAATACAGTCCCTAAATCAGTCCTTAAGTCAGTCCCTAGGTCAGTTGAACAGCCGGTCCAGCAGTCCCTAAGTAAGTTCAACAGTCTGTTGGACAGTCTATAAGCCAGTCCTTAAGTCAGGTCTAAAACCTGTTCCTAAATAAGTCCCTAAATCAGTCCCCAGGTCAGTTGAACAGTCAGTTGAATAATCAGTCCCAAAGTCAGGTAAACAGTCAGTTCAAAATCAGGTCAAAGGTCAGTTCAACAGTCAGTCATCCAGTCCCTAAATAATCAAAACATATACCAAATGGGGGGCTCCCACCGCCCCCCAAACCCCCGGAACTAACCCTAATCCTAACTAACCCTAACCACCCTAACCTTAGTCTCCTAAGTCAGGTCTAAGGTCAGTTGAATAATCAGTAAGTCAGTCCTTAAGTCAGGTCAAAAGTCAGTCCCTAGGTCAGTCGAAAAGTCAGTCCTTAAATCAGTTTAAAGTCAGGTCAACAGTAAGTTGAACAGTCAGTATGCCAGTCCTTAAGTCAGTCCCTAAGTCAGTTCAACAGTCAGTTCAACAGTAGGTTGAACAGTCAGTAAGCCAGTCCCTAAGTCAGTTGAATAATCAGTCCCTAGGTCCCTGGACCTGATGACTAAGCTTATCAAAGGGATGCACCCAATCAAATGCGCGGACAAATTTAAGGTGTTTGCCAAGGCGCTAGCCTTCTAGCGCGACCAATAAGCCAATTAATGCGTGTGACAATTCCTTATCAGCTTATCAATTACTTATCAATTAGATAAGATTTATTTACGTAAGCGCTTACTAATTGAAAAAAAAGTTTGGGCGTAATATGTCCTTCGGACGGATAATAACCTTTGGCCCGACTATTTACATTTTCTAATATTTGTAAGACAATGAACATTGATGCTACTTGTGGTCAAACTACGACTTAAGTGTAGGAAGAAGTATCAAAAGGTAGAGCGCTCCCTATGCGTTTATTTTTACTTCTGGTAAATGGTAGGCTTAGGCACCTGGAGGTCGCTCAAGGCAGCTTTCCGGTGATGCGTAGGGGTTGTTCCATTTCCTGGTATAAGCCTTGCCGAGATATCTCCATTTGTTTAAAGAGCCAACACATCACGAAAACAAAGTGAAATTTAATTAATTCTTAACTGAGGCCAATTATGATATTTGGAATAGTAAGCTAGGTTAACTTGATCATCCGAGGAGTTACGAGAACGAAAGGCTACGAGGTGGGATTTCTCGGAGAAAATTTCTTTTATTCGGTGTACGCTATTATTGATTTACACGACACGAAAGCAACAATGATTCCAGTCCTATTTAATAGTATGAAATTATTTATTGCTTTTACAAGGGTTAATGCCGATGATGTCCAATATTTATCAAAACAGGGAACAGACAGGGGGATAGTCTAAAAAAAACCTTGTATCGAAGATACCGAAATATTAATTACCTCCCGACTCAGAACGGACTGCCGTCTTATCTTCTTTGTTAATGAGCTACGTCGAGGCTTCAAAATTATTATCGGCCGCGTGGTGAGAAGCTTATTAGGACAGCTTAGCATAAACTCTGAGTAAGAATCATGAGGCTCGTATAATTAATATGACTTCATCTCGACCAATTTTTTCACAAGAACCTTCCAAGTAACTAATCAAAGCCTCTTCAGTTGTATGAAGTACCTTATACCGAATCATGCCCTTTTCTTAAGTTAAACAGATATACCTATTACTAAGTTTTAAAATTTTCACCGACTAAACTCGCCGTCTGAACCATGTCTTACATAATTATTTGAAGGTAGAAAGCCTTAGTTAATCTCATGTAACGTTGGCATACCTTCCTAGCGAGAGACAAGGTTACTCGTAGGGTAAGACTCGTATTCAGTTGCCTAGGTAAACACAACCTGCAGAAATAGCCAGCCGTTAGCACTACTCATTTGAAGGCGTATTTGAACTACCTAGGTATATACATGATCAGTTAAGGTACTGGATAATCACTATCGTGACTCAACCCCTTATGACTGACAGTTAAGTACAATGCTATGCTACCGTAGTATCAATACCACATGACCACAGTTACCACAACTCCCACGATATCAGGGATATTAATAGACATCAGAGACAACGCAGGAACAGTAAATCATGTCAGACCCAATATAATCCAACCTAACAAGCTGCTCCCCATCTCCATATGGATATCTCTACATACGTTCCTGCAGAGCCTCTCTAGGTCGCCGCGACCTACAGCGCAGCCATGTCCCGCAGCCCTACTTGTACACGTACGGATATGCACTTAGCCCTGTCGAGGCCGCGTATGCAGGACACTTCATCTGATCTCCGAGTCAATCAAAAGACACAGGGACTCCCATGACAACTGAATACCTACCTAGGTACCTTGATATTATAACAAAATCTCAAAGCCCAAAGTATGCCTAGCCATCGGCTAACAACAATGGTTCGAACCGATTAGTTAATATCATTTATTGGCAGCTATCTGCCTAAGCATCTGACTGCCTACGGTAGGCAAGCTACCCTTAAACGTAACCCAGCCGTGGGTTGCTACCGCTAATAGTACCTAGCGGTAGCCCTATCGTTACAAGACCATCCTTCCTTGCATAAGTACAACATTGAAACAGTGAATAAAAAATAACCATACGGGTAAACCGAGGAAAAAGAGCCAACCGGATCCCCAGGAGAAAATGCTGAACTTGGGTACATTCCCCCGCCTAGGACTTTCTGTTTGTTACGCAAGTGGCTCTCCCGCGCCCTGACTCATTTGAATCATCAAGTGAGTAACAAAGTAACGCTTAAAAGAAGGCAAAAAATTGAAGAAAAAGAAACAGCCAACCACCGAAAAAAACTCACTGAAAGCAAGGAGAGAGGAAAAGCGGAGAAAAGTAGTAAATCCACCTTACAAATAGCAGATGTAAAAAGCCAAATCTAGCCTTGCGCCTTCGAGTCCCCTGTAACCCAGTAATGGAACATGAAGTTGCCATACAAGATGACAGGGTGGCAGGTAACAATAGACAGGTAATTAACAGTGTATGTGGTAACGAAACGCCTCGGCCCAGGGAAAATAAAGGGGAAAAGATTCCGCTGATCAAGACAAGGTAACCTTAGCCATAACCATAAACAAACAAACAAAATCAAAACATAGCCTCATCACTTCATACTCGTCCCGACATGGATTAGAGAAAAAGGGGAAAATAGCATCAACAAAAGAGGCAGGGAAGCGGGGAAGTTAAAGGAAGCGCGAAAAGGGGAAAACCCAAAAAGGGCATTAGACTGCCTTGCCTCTAAGATAATCTACCGCCCAGCCCTATATGCAATGAACTGTAGAAAGACCAATAGCCACTCGGATCGTGCCGCCTTCTATGCAGGATATGTTATAGCCCTACGCCATTTGCCGCCAGAAATTGAGAAAGGGAAGAGTAGTACAGATAAATTTGGTTGCGGAGAAGGAAAATCAGTCCGGGGTAAGCGAGGCGAAGCAAAAAAACACAGTATATTTCTTCTCAAGTCAGTTTTTTCCAGAGAACGAAATGAAATTGAGTAATGAATGCGTAGGGTTTGGGTAACTCGTAGAACAGAAGCGTGGTCTCGACGATGCTCTCGAATCAGGCCTCTCTTAGCAGCTATTGTGCTGAAGCCAAGTTAGGCGAGGTTGAAATTTGGTAGCGAGTACGCCACCGCTCATTTGTAGCCCCTTAGCTTTCGTCTTTCCGGCTCACACGTTGTCTTGCAGTTGGCGCATTCGAAGCGCTTGCTGTCGATAGGAATGCGGCTAAGACACTTAGCACATCGCCACCACTTGGGGTCGACATTCCGACTATCCCACCATTCGGGAGCCTCTTTGTTTGACCCGCGTCGTAGCAAGTCTTCCATGTGATAGTCGCGGTAGTGTTCTCTGCAGTGATCGAGCCGATAGAAGGGTTCCTTGGATCTCTGGCATTTCTTCCAGTCGCAAGGGAACGGCTTCTTTTGGTTGACGTCACGATGTTTGTGGAGGTAATGCCTTTGTAGATCTGCTTTACGTTTGAACGGCGATGCGTTACAGTAGCGCTCGAGACAGACGTGCTTGCCCGAAATGCCATTGGCAGAACGTGGCCTAGATATAACTAGTCAGGACCTGAATACACCTTACATAAATAATTTGGTGGGTTCACTTACACTTCAGGGATCGGATCATAGTAAGGTTTAGTAGCTGGGAATTCTGCAGATGGTGTATACTGAGGCTTCAGTTTCCAGTGCGGCCCTTGCCCTGACTCTCCTCCAGTATCGAAATCGTAGTACTGGTATTGGAATGGGGGCTCTTCGACTTGATTGTTCGCGTCATACCCTTGCCCGTCCGTTATATAGGCTGCCGCATCTGGCACATTGGGGAAATAATAGGTGTTGACACCTTCAGAACTTGGTGATAGTGCAACATCGTATTGTCCGTTGCTAGATTCTGAGTAGTTACTATAGTCGCTACCGTGTGATGTATTTCGTGCCATGGCCGTGCTAGTAAGCCAATAACTCTGATCGCCGTAACCGATATAAGCTCCTGAGAAGTATGTTTGGTCCATGACTGAGTTGATTAGTTGAGGTATGTTTTCTTTGATGTCGATTTGTGTGCCGTTCTGTTAACCGGTCTTGTCTTGTCCTTGAGGGAACGAGTACACGCTCTACGGGACGGAGTCGTACTTATATTGGTATGTTGCTCACTTCACTAGGAAGAGACACGATTCGACTAGCGAAGAGCAAACTTATTTTCGTTGGTGGTGAATATGCAAAGCGGTTGACGGAATGAAGTTGCCTAATGGTTGATAATAGAAAGGTGCGGTAATACAAAACTAGAAATTGCGATGTTTGGTTTGAGATGTTCATTGGGCTGCTGAAATACTGTCTGTTATCATTGTTACCAGAATATCAGGTTGACCAATACATGGTAGTCGTCCATGGGTGTGACAACCATTCAACTCGCGTCGGTGGAGTAGATTAGGGCTCAAACTGCATATCTCGACAACATGAGGCGAACGCTGAGTCTGGCTGGGGCTTCGAGATGCGTGAATAGATGCCCTGCTGAGATCTCCAATTTCTGTCAGAGTATCGTTAAGACGTAGCCAGGATGTAGGAAGTTAACGGTAAACAGGAAATCATAAGCGAATACAGACGCTCATTGCTCATGATAGCTAAGAGCATTGCCCCGGGGTAGTGCATATGGAGGTCTCGGGTGGTATATCCGAGTTACTAGGTGTTCAGTGTACGATAAAGTAAGCCACACCGAGGTCGCCGTGCTCCGTCTAAGAAGGATGCAACAACGGAGCAATACTTCTGCGAATGGTTCTTAGAATTAAACCGGAAGTATCATTGTAAATTCTGTAATTTCGTGAAATCTCTCAAGTGAGACACCTAGTTTGGGTTCGGTGAACATATCCTATGAGTAGCTACTACCTTAGCCGCGGACCTTAAGTAGTTGCATGACAATGCCACCTGAGGGTGGACCACTACAGCCAAGTGTTCAGCCCAAAAAAAACATGCTCCATATACCACATATGAGCGGATTGCTGCCGCTGGGTAAGGCTGACAAGTGCACATAGGATGCGGAAACAATTGAACGAACGTAAGCACTCGGACATCTTAGTTGGAGATGATAAGACGGGATTGGGAATTTGTGCTGGAAGTTAGGGTTTGGCAAGCATCTCGGAACGGCAGAAAGCCGAAAATCACCTTGGGGTAAATAATATCAACAACCAAACGCTGACGGATTGGACATTACCTAGGACAGAGTTGTGACGCTAGCAGATCTGTAGACGTCACGACTGCAAAGGGAAGGGATGCTGTCTTGGGACTTTCCAGAACGTTCCCGTACGACATCAGACCAAAGGTCGTTGGTTGCCTGTAAAGAAACGTAGGACACAGCCACTAAAGGGTAGGAGTTCAGCCTCAATAGGGACGAGCTATTGAATTTCATTCGATAGCTTAGGGTGCCTGGGACGCTTGGGATTGAAAGCTCTACCTTCAGGCGAACCAGTCCGCCTACCGAATGCCTTGCCAACGCAGAACTTTTGTTTGCCTGCCGTTCGCTGCCTGATCAGCCCCCGTCAGGTGAGTCGCGAGATAGCTCTATAGTTCATCAGTCCGAGAGTCCGCGCCCCAGATGCGCATACACTAGCTCTGCAGAAGTGAGGCTTTCAAGTGGGAATCTCTGGGAAATCTGCTCGAGGAGCATAGGTCCGGCCTACGACCCCTGCAACAGCTCCCCACTAAATAAAGATCTGAGAGATAATGACGGCTCGGTCAAGGCAATCTGACCGAAATCTCATTCGAGCATAGGCAATTTTTCGCGGATGTCAATACCCCGAGCGGCATGAAGAACTGACGAGGCTCAGCTATAGATCGCATCTCTGCGTCTTTGCCCTGAGATTGAATTTCTGAATTTCCCATGTATTTTTTGTTGAGTTGTTTATGCATCGATAGGTAATAATGCCTTTTCCCTCCTCCATGCAGGCCGAATCCCACGATGCGCCCAGCTGCAGGTGACCTTGGTGCTTCTCAGCCTAAGGAATATTGATGCAGGAACCAAGAGAGGAATCCTTTGGTTAAACAGCTTGGCCATGTCAAGCGCGACGCGAGAAGGTAAGACATGTCGCAGGATTATAATTCGGCGTAAAAACGTATCATCGTAGCATCGAGGTCCAGTTGCAAAGGAGAAGAAAAGAAGGCAACCTCGGCGTACATATACTCATGTGCTGACGACGGGTGGAAACAGGTCGGGCACATGGGCCTCTATGCAATGTGATGAGTTGGCAAGATCACATTGGTGCCACGTTCGTCATGATTATGGCTTTGTGTAAGGGTTTATATGAAGATAGATGCCACTTGGTTGTTGAGATTGATGCTGAAATTAAAAAGGAAAAAAGCAATTGAAGTATAATTGGGAACAATATTGAACCTTACAATTAGCAGGTCTCCACTCGATCTGTAACATCCACTCTTTCCCATTCAAGATTATCCTATACTTGATATCACAAACAGTTGCACCTTCCGGTCGGGTATGAGATGTATAGACATTCTTAATGTGGCTCGTTCACCAGCCTGAAGTATAATATTAAGCTGAACCGTGAAGTGATGCGGGGATACATACCTGCAATTACGCAACCCCGAAATCGATTCAGCTTTGCCCACGGATACATTATTAAAACGAAACGGACGTGAAAATCAAAGTGGCTAGTAGAAAATCGAATCTTTAAAGATGTAGGCACTGATTCTAACGAATCTGGTATGTTTTTTTCTCGAATTCAACGTTTACTTAAGGGGCCATGAAATCGCACCTACTATCTAGAAAGGGGTATACGGGGTCACCGTCCTAAACCAATGCGCAAGACGGTAACCCTTCGATGTCATGTCTATCAGATCCAGGCTCACGAGAAATAGACATCCGCTCAGAATTGTTGTGTGGTGCTGATGCATATATCCATTGGATGACTGTTTCTTGGGCTTTAACAGCCCATCCTCAGATCTAACCCAAGCTTTCTAAGAGCTAAAGAGACATCATATCCCTTCGTATGTTCCACGGCATCCTAAGCGTTATCAACCCCGTGCCCGGCAAAGGGAAGGAGCCAAGTTCATTGGCGTAGGTCAGCTAGAAAAGGGATGGAGCTGGGGCAAACAGCTCACGGGTCGTTGTGCAGGCGTCAAACAAGTGGTACGCCGTGAATTGCGACCGACGTGGCCATGTGGGATGAGCTGCCAAAATCCTTCGATCCCAACACGTCTCAACTAGAAGAAGCTTGTTCCGGTACGGGACGAGGAACTCAGCGATTCGCGAACCACCAGCCCTAACCACGAGGCCGTCGGCCCAGCACTTGGACATCGAAGCCAGACTCCCCTTCCCCTAGGACCAGCCAAGGGAGCATCTCTTCCATCCATACTCGCGAATAAACACACTCCCTCTATTCCTCTTTTCCTAACCACGACGCCCTAACCCCTAACCCCCCCAACCCCCTAATAAGCCTGCCTCTCAAACCTCTCGTAATACAACTTAACAAAGAGCTCGTGCTGCGCCGTCCGCTGGCTCTCCGAGATATTATTACTCGCAGCCGGCTGCCCCGCATCACCACCGCCGCCACCGCCGCGCTCCAGCCTCAACTCCTTGAAGTGGCTCGCGATCAGCTCGTACGCCTTCAAGTTGATGGGCCGGCTGCCGAAATCGGCTAGCGTCAGAAGGCCTCGCGGCTGCTGCGCGCTTGTTTCGAGGTCGTTCGGAGATCCGAGGTTGCCGCTTTGGCTGGCGTTGGTGGGGAGCGAGGGGAAGGGGTCCTGAGGCCGGGGGTGGGGGTGGGAGGAGGAGGTGGAGCTCATTGCTTCGGGGGAGAAATCGAAGGATGGGTCGGTGGAGGGGTTGGTGTGGTAGTCCCCGAGCGCGTTGTGCAGACGTGGGAGCGTGTAAGGGGAGCCTGTCGCCGGGTCGAAGAGCGGGACTCGTTGGTCTGCTGTGAGTGGCTTCGGCTGTGCAAAGCTGCTCGGCTCTCCTCCTATACCGTTCAGCAAAAGACCTGGCCCATCTGGGTTGAAAGCGTTGCTTCTGTAAGGGTCTAAGGGGTAAGACGGGGTTGTAGCAGTGGGGGATCTGAGCGTATGTATGAAGTCACGCAGAGGCGCGTCGTCCTCGTGGAAGGACAGCCTGTGCAACGGATTTGACGATGACATGAATCCTTCTTGCTTTGGCAGTATCGACGGATGTTGCGGTGCCAGTTGAAGATGGTCTTCGAATTGTCCGTGCTCGTTCCTGGTAGAGCCCTGGGGCTCGCTTCCAAAGGCATTGGTTTTCTGACCTGCGTCGTCAGGATACTGACACTGAAGAGATTTCGTCGAGCACCTCAGGCAAGGCTCGTCCCTAGAACACCTCTCCCTTGCTCTCGCACATTCCGTGCACGCTCGTTTGCGGCTGACTGTGTGGTTAGTCCTTTGCGCAGCAAGATGCATCAGCTCATGTCGAGTCAAGATGTCACTTTCGAAATTAGTCTAAGTATCTCTGAGAAGGCGGGAGGAAATGCAATGTGGTATACCTCCTGAAGAAACGCTTCAAGCAGATAGAGCACATGAACGGCTTGTGGCCGTCGTGGCTTCGTTGATGCCTCTTTAGATGCTCGGGTCTCTTGAAGCTGCTAGGACAGCGCGAACACTGGTATTTTTCTTGAGCCTCATTCCCGGGAGAAGGGTCCTCACGCCAGCTAGCATCGACTGCGACTTCGTCCACGTCCATTTCGGTATAGGCGTATAGTGGGTTGTTCTGGCCTGGCCCTTCAACTCATGATACCTAGCCATTCTCGACGTATTATAAGCCGCAGCGAGGGCGTCTATATGTGCGATTTGCATGTATAAGACATAATCACATCCGATGCAACCCCACAAGCGGCCCATGGGCGCCAAAGTAGCGTTAGGTTTCTAGAAGAATTCTAATTCCATGCGAACACCTCTGACGATCTTGGAGGGCCAGGATGATACCTTGGTGGTGCGCTTAGTCCCATGGTTCGTCGGAATATCTAACCGATTGATTAAAGCGAGTGAGGAGACACAAGCCTCATTGGTGGGACAGTTGCACGCTTGACCGTCTCACCGCAAAGCATTAGATAGATATATCCATGCTGCTGACTGAAAGGGCTCGGGTCAACATTGCGAATAAGGACCGATATAGCAATGCAGATGATTGGTCGAAGTTGAGGCTATAAAGTTGCCTATAGACTCGTTCGCGGAGCAGCTCCGTGTCTATGCGATTGAGTTGTCGGAATGAGCTTTGTTGGGCAGATTGGTGGTTAAAACGACGTGGATTATTAAGGGCAACGGGGCCATAAGCGGATCTCGATATTATCCAGGATTTCAGGATTCCACAATCCGCTGGATCGCCTATCACTTGCGTGCACTGGTGCAGAAAGGAGAGTAATAAGGACCAACGTTTGGACTAGCTTATACCGGATTATACCGTGAGTCGTAGGTGATAGTCAGCTACCTAGTCATACTATAAATTTGTGATTATCGAAGGTTGAGGTAAGCAAAGTTGTATCCGGATCCAAGTTTCAACTAAAGCTAGCGTAGCAATGCGGTACCTAGACTAGGTAGGGAGAAAGATCCGAACATGCATCTTTCCCGATAGGGTACTGCAAGGGGTCGACATATGACGATACCGCCGGCGTGCCTATTCCAACGTCTAACCCCAGCAACATCCCACGCTCAACACGCTCGAGCTGGGTAGGAACGGAAGACGATGTTACTGCAACACGGGTTGCCTCAGGGGCTCTATCGCGTGTCTCCATCATAGTCTCAGGAGGCCAACTCTCATGTGACCCCTGCCACCACGGTTAGCACGGAGATAGTAAGGAATGAAGGTGAGTTCCTTCTTCTCCGCCATAACCGTCTGGGGGAGTGATGAGCCGGGGAGTATTCCGGGCTCTGACTCGGTCCGATCATCTATCTTACGGATCCAGCCAACCGACTGGAGGGCAACGTATCGTTCCCCTATTTGGTCAAGCTCCTCATCGCTCTCGGAGACGGGAGAGTCGGATTTAATCCCGACGTTGCGGAAGTGGTCCTGCTCCCAAGCGTTATCCACATCCTCCACGCAGTATATTAACGGACCGCGCGCTAGGGTCAGGGTATTCTGATTGGTATAGGGGTGCGGGGATGCAAATCGAGGCTTAAACCCGTCGATCTGGATCGAAAATGCGCTATTTGAAGATGTATAAGCTGGCGGAAGTTCCAGGTAACCCTTTTCGATCTTCGCCTGTCTGTGGCTCGGGGTGAGCTGTCGATACATTAGCGAGATTGCTCCAATGGACTCTTAATTAGGGGGAATCCGGACACACCGTAAATCTTCCCTGCGCCCAGGAAGGGATTCTTAACCTGATCGTGACGTTTGTTGCCGCTGGCGCCTCGAGTTGGAATAGTATATTGCCTTCCCAAGGCCAGTTTGACTTCTGCTCGAGACTGATTTGTCGGTCTTCTATTTGAAACGTGACCTTGGCCGTCGTATAGAGATGTACGTTGACGTGGGCATCCCTTCCGGTGCCTCCATAATCCCATAGGTATCCGCCGAGAGAGCCAAACAGCCGCATTACGTTCGGTGGGCAGCATGATGTATCGAACCAATCCTCTCGGCGATTTCTATCTACCTCCGAACTCGCTAGCTGGTTCACGTACGTGAAAGCGGTTCCTTCAAGACTCAACCCTGTCATCACCGCATTGTATAGACATAATTCCATTATGTCGGCATACTTAGAGTTGAGGTCAAGATGCAATAGCCGCTCTGCTAGCATTATGACACCGATGGATGCACAAGTTTCGTTGTAACATCCACCCTCGTCAGAACCTTGCGGCAAGAAGTAATCGATGCCGAAGCCTTCCCATTGCCACATTGACCCGATACCTCCAGTAAGGTACATCTTCTTGTCTACCATATTGTTCCATAATCTACTTAGAGCGCCAAAATACTCACTTTTTTGGCTATACGACTTCACGCCGAGCTCGTCGAGACACAATAAGTCAGCAACCCCAGTATAGACTGCATACCTTAGGTCAGCAATGATTCGGAGTTGGTTGTACTAGCGGGCCGCAGTTCCGGGTCGAAACCCCTTAAGTGACAGATGAGTACGCCCCTCAGCTCGCGATAGAGTATACCGAGCCTTACTTGCCGCCGGACATCACTAGACGTCACTATCGAACTATACGGGGCTGTATCGGTGCTAGTTTGAGAGTATCACCATTTTCCATAGTATTCCAAGAGTTTAGGGAAAAGAACAACTCGAAATCGACTTACGATACATCGCCCTCACGGCATGGCCTTCGACGGACTTCTGCTCTAGAATTGGTGCGTGAGCCTGGTTATACCAGTGGCTGGTGTGCATCTGATAACTGTCGGGGCGTTTCCAGGGACTATCGCCACGCCTGATTTGCTCCCAATCATAATACGGAAGACCTTCTTGACCGGTCGGGTTACCACGTTCCTCAATGAAATACTTCGCCAAGTCATAAGCCTCTTTGTTTCCCGTCGCAGCATACAGGCGCAGGAGGGCGAGTTCTGTCTCTGGGTGGCCTGGGTAGCCATGTTTCTATCACGCCTCGGAATCAGCAAAAGCACGGTTGACGGAGACCAACTCAGAATGGCAAAGAAATAACCCTTGGCTAGGAGATACTCACCTGATCCGGACCCGGCCCAAAAACCGTGCTGATCAACTTGACGTACTTCTCGATCGGCTCTATTAAGAGGTCGTTCTTGTAGTACTTGCTATGCGCCAGCGCCGCCTCCACCAAGTGCCCGGCACAGTACCTTTTCACGCACCTGTCAGCCAATCTCTTCTCAAACCCGCATCCGCATCCGCTCCCGTAGCCCAGCTTCACGCTTACGACCTTGACCCTCACCACGACCTCCATCCATCCATCCATCCATCCATGCCATGCTTGCATGCCTCAAATCCTCCCATCCGACCACCCCCCCGCAAACCCGCGAACGAAAAGAAAAAGAACCAACAGGGCGTAACTCACAACTCATGCAAATCCCTAACATTCCCCCACCTCTCCTCGCCCGTGACCAAAAACCAACTATTCAAATACCCATCCTCGGCCTGCGCCCCCCTAATCATCCCCACGATCTCCCTAACCGCAGCATCGACCTCGGGGTCGTACTCCTCAGCTAACAGATAACAGGCGCCCTCGATCCACTTCGCCACGTCGCTGTCCCAGTACACGGGCGCCGGACACGGCCAGCGCGAGCGGTCGTCGTAGACGGGCTGGCGGCGCAGCGAGAAGCACTCGTAGCGCCCCGTGTCGCGCAGCTTCTGCAGCTGCGCGCGCACCGTCGTCCGCGCGATCGTTAAACGCCGCGCCTGCAGGAGCGAGGGGCCGTAGAACTGCGTCTGCGTGAAGAGGCTTTGGGGGTGCGACATTGCGGCGGGAGTGGGGAAGGTAGGTGCTTTTTTGCCTACCTTCGTAGGTAAGGCTGGTAAGGAAATAAGTGCCTAGGTAGGTAGGCAAGTAGGTAGGTACCAGGTATGCAGGGGTAGCAGGTAGGTCTGAGATAAAAGCAGTATACGAGTCGGATGGGAAATTCGGGGGTTATGGGCTCTAATGGTCTCTATAGTTTAAGATTCTGGAGATGTTTTGAGCTGAGCTCCAGCTCGACTATGTATTAAGAGTATACGGGATTATAAAGAGCCGGGTGAGGAGCCCGTTTAAGTTTATAACCGACGCACGCTCGCCCGCTATAAATCATGCAGACGCCAATGGCAGGAAGAGGTCAGACGTGTACCGGTATTATTCATTCAAACTCGCAATTCCTCGAGCTTTTTTGCCCGGGTATCGGAGTCCCCTACGATCCTACGAGCCGGCCGAATCTACTACTTCACCTCTTTCCTTCGACGGTGAACGCATAGGGTCGTATGACTTTTATGACTTCACGATGTCGAAGTCCACCGTAGCCATTATACATGGCATTGGGGATTTGGGGAAAATTACGACGAATGAGGGGAAGCTCCGGTCACTAGACTCATGCGCAGCAGATAACAAGGAAAGGATTAGCGCGCGCTGCGGCTGATGTAAGTCTGGAGCTTGCCATGTATGTATGTAGACGTAACCTTCGGACGGCGCGGATCTCTGTTTTCTCTTGGAAAAAATGTCCCGGCGAAGATTGGCACCCAAGATCCGTAGTTTGCTCGATTATCTGATTCGACCTCCGTCCCTTTCACGGAGCCGGTACAGCTAGACAGCACAGGGCTCGCTTGGGACCGTTGGAGGCGTTGGGCGAATGGGAGCGGAACACGCCGCGGGTACACTTATACCCTACCGATCCCCAATAATAGCAGTAGGTATTCGAATTGGCATCGGAGCGATGCCGCATCTTACCTTGCCTTACCTCGCTCTGCTATATCTTGTTACCCATTCAGCCTAGGAGGTTACCCAAAGCAGCAGAAGCGAGAACAAAAAAGCATAAATCCAAGCTGCCAAGGCCCTTCTAGAACGTCCACCTAGGTCTCCGAGACTAGCACCGCAACTATGCACCCAACCGCTTGGTACCTTGCCTGTGGCCGGTCCGGGGAAGCCTTCCGATAGGTTAGCTACCTACAAAGTACGATATATCAACTTTTTCGAATTCTCCGCCTTCGACTCAAAGAACTCGGCCACGAGACTAGAACCGAAGCCATATGATTGCCTTAGCGGAAGCCACAAAATTCGTGGCATATTTCATTCGTAAATAGAGTGTCTAGGTAGTCAACGGCCCGAAGACGGTGGCTCTGGCCGGTCTAGTTTGCCTTGAATCGGAGGCGCTGAGCGGTGAGGGGACTTCTTATCCGGAGTCCTAGAAATTAGTAAAGTACGTAGTTCGTAACAAGAAAAAGAAAAGCCCTACAATCGTCCCCCAACTAAGTTCAAATTTGTAATCCATTGGTAGACTATCTAGCAAAACTCATGCGCACTCAGCATTAGTGTCATGGCACATAGCAAGTCTCGTCAAAGCCAGGTCAAGTAGGTTAGCAGTCATCGGAAGAAGTGCCGTGACGGCCTTGTATGTATTTCGTTACAAATATTACGACAAGTGTACCAGCCGTTTTCTTAGAAGCGGCCCTCCCTGATCGGCAACGCGATCATGTTGCATACACTGAGCCCTTGAAGGCAGATAAACTCCGTTATCGACTTACTAATGCCGGTAGAGTTGGACCATAAGAAGCCGATGCTTCATACGTCGTCCTCCAAAAACCGGTAGGCGAACTTGAAATCCGCTTTCCTTCGGTTCATCCTGGGGAAAAGTTAGCAGCTCATTCATGAGATAACATCGGGACATAAATAAGCAAAAACCCAACTCTCTTAAGTAGAGGTTGCAATACATATGATCGTAAAGAAACTCACCAAGTCGATTCATAATCAAAGAAACGGTAAGTTCCCTGCTCGAACTCCTCTGTAATGCTCTTCGGCTCCTCGTGTCGTTGGAACCAAGTTTGGTACTGCTTGTGGAATCGCCAGCTCTGATCTTTAAGGGCCTTAGCTGCTAGGTACTGCTGATAGGTACCTTGCTTGTAGTAGAAGACGTAGAATAATGTATCGGGTTCTATCCGAGAGTACAATCTAGGGTCTTCAAAGATCGGCAATGGTTCCTGTGGGTACCCTGATGCAGAGGGATAACGAGAATCTGGCCTATATGTTCGAGGAGGCTCTGAGTCGAACATGTCATGCATGTTTACGCTAGCTTGCGAAGCCGCCATCATGCGCAGATGGGATGGGCTATTAACTGGTAGGGTTCGCTTCTTGGTAACCTCAAATGATTCTACCAAATCCTTCAAAGAAGCAGGGAGGTGGTATATTGACTCCTCTTCTTTCTCCTCGGCAGGCTTTACGCCATTAGCAACGCCATTCGTTTGGGATGCTGCGTGGCGAAGTCAGTAAAAAATAAACAACAATTCACATAATGATATTTACCCTTTGAAGACTCGGCATGGTCGGCGGAGGCAGGAGCCTTGCCCGCAGCCTTGGAGGATGCCTTCTCAGACTTCTTTGGCGCAGGGGCCGAGCTCGTTGGCTCAGGAGCCTTAGGTTCAGGGGCTGTTGTTGGAACAGATAAATTCCCAGACCTTTGTTCTGAAGATGCAGGTTGTAAGAACGTCGTATTCGGCGAGTTAGCTGCGCTTGTTCTAGATGCCGCAGCAGGTGGTAGAGGCGAAATGCCTGGGGAATAAGTAACTGGTTGGGAACCAGGTGGCGGAGGAAGTGGCGCAATACCGACGTTGTTCTTGTCACTTGCAGCGGCAGCTGCTGCGGCAGAAGCATATTTCAGACCCTCTCCAGCTGGCCGTGTGGGCAACGATGCTGGCTTCATGCCGGTATTCGCAGTACTACCATTAGTGACATTTACCAGCGGGTTATGCAATGTTGCCAGAGTTGGAAGAGGAGACTTAAGCTGCGCTGAGGGTCGCCGTCCAGCGGCTGCTGCGGCATCGACAGCACTTCGCACCTTTCCTCCTGGCAAGCTGCCAGATCGCGATTCTGGCTCCACGGTATCCTCCTGTATAGACTGTGTATCTTGTGACGAGACTCGGTCGTTCTCTTGGCCCATGCCGTAGACATCTTCCTCTTCTTGTAGGTTGAGCTCATCATAGAGTCCTTCGTCTTCGATATAATCGTCGTTCATGCCGTCCGAGAGGTAGTACTTGATACTCTCCTCAAGATCGTTCACTTGCTCCGTCTCGACGCCTCCATTGTCAAGTGACCGTCGGATAAGCTCGAGCTTGCCTTGATGCCATTTATGTCGTTCGATTATGCGCTCGATGGTAGCCATGCGATCGGCTTTGGAGGCTTGGTTCTTGCCTTTCTTCATCGTGGCTTGTATAGATTCGCCCTCGGCCTCGAGTGCCTCAATCTGCTGCTCAAGCTCGTCGACTACACCACTAAGGAATTCGCCGGCTTGATGCTTTGCTTTCTCTTTCGGATCTAACTTGGCAGCTGCTGACAGACCCTCCTTCGAGTATGCCTTGGTCTTCATCGCCTTCTCTACGGCCTTGAACCGTTCCATTTGCTAGTAGACTCGTGAGCGACACCATTAAAGAGCTTGCGATTACCATCCTATCCTATCACATACCGTCTCGATCAACTTTCGGTGCTCCAGCAAAGGAGCCTTATCCTTGATGTCATTGCTGGCAGCCCATGTTTTGATCTGGTCGCGTAACCGTTGTAACTTCTTGATCTCGCGCTTAAGATTGTCTTCCAGCTTCTCCTTCTGAGCGGGGTTATTCGACTGCTCAATCTTCTCATAGATACCATCGAATTCGGCGACACCCTCGGCAACCTTCTTGAAGCATTTATCTATTTCTTGTTGCAGTTTCCTTGCTGCCATTGTGAAGACGGGTGCTCAGGATGGACCCGAGCAGGTAGCCAGCGTTTGTGGTTGAGGTAAACACCTTGTACGGGTCGAATTCGGTGATGCGATATGTCGGTGACGATAGTGAGAAGGTAGAGGGAAATCGGCGCACGAAGGTCTGGTCGATAAGGTGTAGGTAATTTAGAAATGGCGAAATAGCGTAGGTGCGTAGGTTCAATGTTGGTTGATAGGATTGCAGATCGCACTAATTTGACGATGCATGTACATCTGTAGGAAGAAAGGAAGTTAGATGAGGTCTTAATATAAGATCCTCTTCGTTTGCTTTCCTCAGAACGGTGCAGGTTGCTACGGTAAGAAAGTGAAAATGGAGTGTTGTTTAAAACATGGTTGTTTGCTGATTACCTACGTGATATTTTTGTAGTGGCAGCATTGACAGTATTGGTTAGAAGGCTGAATCGACTAAAAACTGGGGTGAGATGCGAAAGATTGCGATGCAAGCACAGGCACAGCCCTAGGTTGCAGCTGCCCAGCTTTCTCAGCCTGCCTAGGTATGGATTGTGTTACGTATTGTGACTGGCCCCCGTACTGTACCTTCCTTCAACCAACATTGCCTACTACTACTGGGTAGTTAGGTAACTAGTAGGGCAAAGTTACAAGTAATTGCTTCTGATCTCCAGTAACTGCCCTGTCAGCCCGTCGAATACGGTACATGTTAAGTACTACTTGAGGTAGGTACTACCTTGGCCGTGAAGATAGAGTGCTGGTAGCACGGCGTCACTTTCAAATCAACAAAACTTAAGGCTGTAGTCAAAATCTGCCTTTAATATTCACCGAAATTCTTTAAATATCTACCAAATTCTGTATGTGTCATTGGTTCCATTTGTGCAACTTTATTTCGAATCAACCGTCGCTTTTCTATCTCAATCTTTATTTAGATACCTAAGTACGTTGATACTTCTGTTTGACGCTTGAAGCGGGTCACAAAACACGGAAGACCATGTTCCCGCCTTCCACCTGACTGCCAGATGACTGTCATCTGACGTCCATCTATTTCCTCGTCCCTCAAGAGGTACTTATAGGTACCCGCCTAATATAGACGGCTGTTGGTGAAGATATCTTCGCCGAATTACTCACATCGTCGCAGTTTAGGTTTGTTTATTTCCATACTATATCATAGCACTATATATCTTATATATTATTCTTAGACTTACATATTAATATCGGATACATACGAGCAGGTCCATAACCCTTAAATTTAGGATTGAACGAGGCTGCAAGCTCCCGCCGCCCAAAATGAAAGGTTAGTAGTTTAATCCAACTACGTCCCTATCTCTATCCGGAGTATTTGTCCAACATTTACAATTCTTGCAGCTATTCTACAGCGTGTCCTATCTGCTTCGGTGACGGTAGAAAAAGAGGTGGTGTCATCGATAGGCAAAGGAGTCTTAGTATTCGCCGCAGTAGCCCCTGGCGATACGGAGAAGGAGGCAGAGGCCCTCGCAGCTAAATTGTTGAAACTAAAGTTGTGGGATGACGATACCGGAGGAAGAGTATGGTGAAATATTCGCGTCCCTTCTCCTCATTCCTTACCAGTAACGTGTCTCGTACGCGCGTATGAACAGCCGTGTCTAACGGATGCTTGCTTCTTAGTGGAAGAAGAGCGTGGTGAATATTGGTGGTGAGGTCCTTTGCGGTAGGTCTTAGACCCCTTAAAAGAAGCCAGGATTAGTTACTATCTTCTTACTTTTCATGCCGCCAGTTTCTCAATTTACCTTGCTTGCCTCTACTAAGAAGGGCAACAAGCCCGACTTCCACGGAGCCATGGGAGGAGAAGAGGCCAAGAGACTTTATGAGTATTTTTTCCAAAAAGTCGAGCAAGGTTATATAGCCGATAAGGTAAAGAACGGAGTGTTTCAGGCCATGATGGAAGTCGCCTTAGTAAATGATGGGCCTGTATGTCTTAGACTTCCCCTGGTTCTCTTTGGCTATCGACCAAAACAATATGCTGATAATACTCAAGGTCACATTGGAGCTGTCAGCTGCCCCGAAACCTACACTCGCGCCAGCGCCTACAGAGACGCCAGCTCCAGCATCGGGGCCAAGTCAATAACGGCATTGGACTCTTCTCATAGCTCTGCTCAATGATGAATTGCGATGTACGTTTTGCCACAGTACATAGTTTCACTTTTTTTTTTCTTTCATTCTATATTATGATGGAGTAGAAGGTGCTCCTGGTCGCAAAGAACGGCATCTTCAAACTTCCGTAGCGAGGGTATCAATATTAAGCTAGGTGCTCATGCAATGTGAATGACCGAGTAAATACACATGTCCGTTAAGATTAAGGCTTTCCGCTTTAAATCCATAAACTCCTTTCGTTGAATGAACACATGTCCGCCGGGGTATCCAAATGTTAATATGCTTTCCCCATCCTTGAACGAAATCATGCTCGGGTATTATTACGATGAAAACTCCCCATGATATGTACTTCAATCCCGGTTGTTCGTAAAGAGGGACTCATTCGGTGCTCTTCTTCTGTCGTCGATTAACCTTTCGGCTTCGTCTCTTCGCTACGACCTCAGCGTCCCAAGATCCCGAAAATAGATCCTCGCATTCGTCCTCGTCGTCCGAGTCAAATATGACGGGCTCACCGTCGCTTCCTGTCTGCAGTCCTTGCTGCTCCGCCCCAAGATCAGGAATCTCGTCGACCATGATATCTTCCCAGTTCCGGTAAACGACGACTCTTTGGGTCTCCAAGATGAACTTTCCGACCTTGTATTTCTGCGACTCCTCCTTGGCGTCTATGTATTTCCAGCCTACCTTGGTATGGCATATTGCGCAAATGATATCTGCGACTACGTGGGATCCGGTAACTAAGACGCGAGTCTCGGACTTGCCAATCTTGATATTGATTAGATCTCTACCTTTCGTGCCCTTGCGAGATGGTTGGTCCGGAGGTGACACGAGAAACGCCCGGCCGTATCGACCCGTGAAACCCTTGCTCACAATTTGGGAGGCGAAGGCGAAGTCGGAAGCACATGTAGAACACCGTATAGTGTTGGGCTGTGTCCGTGAGAGCTTTGTAGTCTCCAGAGGTTCTAAGGATGATCGTTTCCGGCTGTCTTTTTGTTTGAACAAGTTCGTTGGCGGAAAAAATGAAGGCGTCGTCGGACTCTCCACAGGGCTTGACGTTGTCGATTCCGTTGGAGTCGAGCTCAGTGATGGTATTGTTTCACTTGGAGATCTCCCATAGCTCGAATGTGAGCTTTGTCGTCTTCGGCGAAACGGCATAGTAAGGCTCGGAAGCAGGTAGACAGGGAACCTTGGCCCCTGTACCTCTTCTTGGGGTGGCGGAGGTGGCGGGGGAGCCGGTAGGATCTCGTTAAACATTATGGAATACATCTCGCCGTCGCTAGAGTAGATAAAGGGATATCGCAATGTGTTGCAGTAGGTAATAAGGCTTAAGTGATCCCTAGCAAGTAGATCTAGCCGGCGGTTTGATCATAAGAAGAGGCTAGCTCGATTCTTGGAAAACAGAGCATTAAGTTGATTAAGATCAAGGTGGATGGCAGGCATAAAATGTATTATGCAATGCAAACGAGCCCCGCATCAAAGAAGAGCAACGAGCAGCGACAAAGGACGTTTCTGGCCAGTTGCTGAAGTGTATTGTCGCATTCAAATCTAGTTGGGCAGGCGTGCCACGACTTAAAAGGCTCGCGGTGTCCCGGAATCTACGGACGCTATCCATGTCAAGCTTCATGTTGTGACCTCGGAGAAAGGTAGTCACTCCCACCACCATTTAAAGTTGACCCCGTGTGATCGCATCGCATCATTTTCAGAGCAGGTGCATCTTACTCCCTTATCGGAGTTGCCCACCCCCAGCTTTATCGGCTGTATCCACTACAGCCCGATGTGGCTAAGAGGATGTAAGAGGATGGGTAGGGCGGAACTGTGCGGATGGATAGAGGGGTGATCCCTGCATAGTTTAAACTTCGTCGCTTCCATCGATCTCGGAGTTCATTGTTAGAGCGTGATATTCATAGGTATAATCTAACCCATATCATTGATACATATGTACCTAGTTACCTAGTAGGTAATTTCTATAAGGTAGAAATACAACATTGAAACTTCCAAAGTCGGCTTATTAGTAATGCTAAAGAATTTAAGCTATTCGATGTTACTGACTGGAGATTGCGGTACTGGTAATAGAAAATACACCCCCAAATGCAGCCGAATGCTCTGATAAAAAAAGATCGACTTGCTTCTCCACATGCTAATTCGCGGATGGATAACCGCTTCATCATCTCAGAGTGTGGCATCATTATTAAGGCTTGCACGCCGTAGCCACTTATAATTGAGCTTTAATCCGACTTTTCCGGATCAGAAGTGCCGTCTCACGAGTCATTAGGGCCAGCCTTGAGAGTTTCTGAATCAACGAGTAGTCCGAGTAGTACGGCATAGGGGCGGCTTAGTCAGAATATAGCAAATAGCAAATTTCATAGAGCTGTCTGACAGAGAAAAGGATAAAGGCATTTACATTGGGATGCAGGTATTTGAAATAGTCTATCTACGGATGTTAATACTAGGTGAGCATTGCTATATTAGGGCCATTTTCTAATAGGCGAAACAACCCCCTTGCTTGATGATAACATGGAAAAGCCTGTTTGCTTACTGAACATCTAGCGAAATCCACTCGCATCGTACTTGATATAACCTGACTGCCTGACAGCCAACTAACAATGTATTCTGGACAGTTTCACTCGGTTCTGCTATCCGTATAAATGCATACGCCGGAAATAATTGGTGGGTATGCATACGTAGACGACGATTGTCCGATTGCGTGAGGCAAAACTGTGAGACTTCGAAGAATATCGAAGGCAAGAAAGTTTCGTCGATGGGCTGACCGGTTTTTCAATGTTGGCCTAATGAGGATGCCAAGATGCACAAGAGTCCAACAACCAATCATGGTGCTCCCAGATTATTGGTTCAATTGATGGCGGATTAACACGTGATGACATGCGGGGTGGCACGGCCGCAATTCTCTAAATTGATTGGCTAAACTAAAAGTATCTGGCCGTTTCCAGAAGTGGGAAAGCACAAGCCCCCGCTCTTTAGAAAGTGCAATTGCGCCGCTTGACCGCTGCTGTCTTTTCCCGAGCATTAATGTATTAGAACTGCCTTGCCGCCTTCGTCTTACACCAAGAAATTTCAAGCCACTTACAACCTTCAACACACACAAAACCAAGTCTTAACAATCCAATTCTCTGAATACTCAATCCGCAACAAAATTGTGCAATAACATTCGATAGTCTCACCGACCAATAAAGCAAAATCCAAACCTTTTACCAAAGCCCTACTTTAGTCATACTGATTCATTCGGGTTCTTCGGAGTCCTGACCTATTACTTCTAACACATCAACTCGATTTCTACGACAACCCTGGATATCATCGGTCATGGCGCCAATGAAAAACAATAAAAACAATTTTAGTAGTAGTAACTATGGCGAGGCCGTGGCCCGACAGGTCAATGTCCTCGCCAGCTGCTACCTTGTTGACCCCTCCGCCTCCCTAAAGGGGCTTCACTACTGCACTACCGGGGCTGCAGGTAAGGCTTTCTACATCCCGACCGGAGACAACCCTCTATAAATTTAGGATAATGTATGCTGATCAATAACTCTAACAGGGGCCGAGTGGTATTCCTGAGGTCCCTATCTCAGGTCTACCATCTCCTCCATCAAGTCCCCCCCTCGCGGCCATCACCTCCTCAAACGAGCTCGCTCTTCAACCTAAGAACAAAAAGCGCAGCAACAACAATAGCGGGCAAATCAGCCGCGGCCGTCGAGGGGGGGCAACACTACAGATCAGGGAAGAATGTGAGAGGTTCTTCTGTGAGACTATGAAAGCCGTGTTCCAGGTTGAGTGGAACATGGCCGGTAATGGCTCCTGCCTGACTGGTGTTAACAATTACTCACTTACGCCACCTGATGACTATCCTTCGCCTCAATCTACTTTCTCGGATATCGATGCCAAGACTGGAGTTAATGTAAATGGATGGATGGAGTTTTGGGACTATGCTGGAGGTGCTAGCTTCCGAGCCTTTGTTGCGGAAGACGGCGACGAGAAATCGTTGTTCGCGTTCTTTGACAGCGGACTCGTCGGCCGCGATCTCAAGCAAGCGTATGTCCCTGACCCGCCTCTTATGTCATCAAGTCGTACTAACAGTATCACAGACTCATCGCTTTGATCGAATTGGCTGATGGTCCAGTGGGGGCTTCACATGTCGTCATTTGCGTAGATCGCCAGATGCCTGCCGACTATGCGAAGGCGTTGATGAGGAGTCTCCAGTGGGTTGGCTTCGAACTTACTACCCTGGACCATTGGGCAAAGGACGTGGACGTTACTAGCAACAGATGGCTGTTCATGGGTATGGAAGTCTAGTTGCAGACATAACGAACGTTGACGATCGTTAAATTCGTTTCGATTCTACTCGAATTTTAGGGGATCCTGGACGCCTATGCAGTGTTTTCGAGGTTGGGTTGCATTTTGGAGTTGTCGGAATTATGCATGCACGCATCCCGTCAGTTTGGGCGCATGGTGTCGTTTCTTTCCACGGTAGCATTGTGTTTCATTCGTTCCGCAGGCAAAAGCATCGGTGTAGAGGTCTAAATCTCGCGAATGAGCCGCTTTGCAAAGGCAATGGTATAGTAGCATGTCGGTACTATCAATAAATAACGAACTTCTATCGTTCTTTTTTCTCTTCCTCCCGCCTCTAATCCATCAACGCCTATTTTGACAAGTGTAATTAAATACGAGATAAATGCGCCATAACTTATGTTCATCTCAACCTCACCAGCCCCCTTAGATCCTCTGTCTAGATGGATATCATAAATCCCCCTCGAATTGTCTTACCTCCATCCCTCCCTCCGCCAAGTAATCCTTGACCTGCTTAACAGTGTATTCGCCCCTGTGGAAGATGCCGGCCCCTAACGCGGCATCCGTCCGCGTCTTCTCGAACACCTCCTCGAAGTGTCCCGGGTTTCCGGCCCCGCTCGACGCGATAACCGGGATCCGCACCGCGCGCTTAACCTGGTCGATCAGCTCGAGGTCGAAGCCGCTGTTGGTCCCGTCGCGGTCGATGCAGTTCAGCAGGATCTCGCCGGCGCCCATGGCCTCGACGGCCTGGACCAGCTCCACGACGTCGAGGTCCCGCGTCTCGCGGCCGCCCTTGATGGTGCACGCGTACCAGCAGTAGCCTTCGCCCTTGGGGCCGGGGTACTTGGTAGCGATGGTGTGGTGCCGCGTCGCGTCGGCCTTGGGCACGTAGACGCGCTTCGGGTCGACGCTGACGACGACGGCTTGGTTGCCGTACGCGCGCGAGATCTGCTCGATGGCCGTGGCGCCGAATAGCTTGCGCCCCAGCCCGTAGTACTCCTCCGCCGCGAGCACGGCGTCCGACCCTATCGACACCTTGTCCGCGCCCGACTGGAAGTACATCGTCGCGATCTCCAGCGCGCTGACCTTGGTGCCGTCCACGTCCACCGTGTCGCGGATGCCGCCGCCGATGGTTAGGGGGACGAACACGGTCTGCGAGGCTTGTCGCAGGATCTCGAGCATCGGAACGTCGGCTAACGGACAGTCCCGGAAGCTTGTGATGTTGAGGAAGGTCACCTCGTCCGCGCCCTGCTCGTAGTACTTGCGCGCGAGCTCGACCGGCTTGCCGAGGTTGCGCACCCCGCGGTCCGACGTCTTCTCCCGCACGTCGTACTGGTCGCCCTTGGTCACCACGAGGTCCCCCTGGTCGTTCGTGCGCACGTCCAGGCACGCGATGACGCGCCGCGTTAAGCCGCCGGTCGGAGCTGGGCCGGCTATCTCCTGGCCGACTGTCTTGGCGCCGGAGCCGGTGAGGAAGGCTTTTATCACCCGCAGGCCCGCGACGCCGCTCTTTTCCGGGTGGAATTGCGTCGCGAGTATGTTTGCCTTGGCTACCGCGCCCACGAACACCTCCCCGCCGTACGTCCCCGTCGCCACGGTCCAGCCCTGGTCCTCCAGCTCGCCCTCTACGTACGGGTATTTATACGAGTGCACGTAGTAGTACTTGCTCTCGGGCCGCAGATCGTACAGGCTCTTTCCGCCGGTGTTCGCGCTGTTCCACCCGATGTGCGGCACCGCCTTGTCCGCGTCGGAGAACCGGTCCAGGTTCCCTTTTATCAACCCCAGGCCCGGCGCAGCGGGGTCCTCGACGGAGCCCTCGAAGATCGCTTGCAACCCGACGCAGATTCCCATGAACGGCTTCCCGGCGTCGATGTGCGCGCGTATAGGCTGCAGGTAGCCGGCGCCCGCGAGCTGGCTTAGGCAGTGCCCGAAGTGGCCGACGCCGGGCAGGATCAGCTTCTCGGCGCGCGAGACTTCTTCGGGGCTCCGGACCCATTCTACCGTGTATCCGCACTTCTCTATGGCATTGACGAGGGACCGGACGTTGCCTGCGACGTAGTCGAGCAGGTGGACCGTAGGCATCGTGGACTTGGGGGTTCGACGGCGCAAGTGTGGTAACGGCAAATCTGTAAAGAGCGTGAGGTGTTAGGTAGTTGTAGGCAAGCTACCTACTTAGATGTGATTGTACAGTTTGATAGTTAGATTAATTAATATACAATAAACCCAATTAGAACCTAGTTATCTTAAGTATTGGATATGCAGAACCGGGAATCGGAGTTGTCGAGTGAGTCAATGGAAGGCGCACTCTTGTATGTACGATGACAATTTTCAGCGGGTGAGGGGCAGGAGGGGCAGCTTGCAGGTACAGTGCCGGTGGTTGCCCCTCCAAAATTAGGGGGATTGATGTGTAGTGCCACTAGTAGTGACTGCCGCTAAAAATGGAAAGTACCTTCATTGAATTTCACATGGATTGATGTCACTTCATTCGTTGAAACTTCATATTTACAACTTCAACTTCGCTATTGAATTAAAAGGGAAGCTAGCCAATCACAAGAAAGAGAACGACCTAGTTCCAGAACTATTCTCTCAATGCGTTGCTGCATACCTTCAAACTGTCACAATCGCATCTTACGAATATCCGATGGCTAGTAACGGTGTGAGTGAGGGAAGCCCTCGCATCTCTACTAGCACTCCCACAGACGAACCTAGCAAGATACCTCCAGAAGAGGATGAATCCGAATGGGAATACGAATACTCGACCACTGAGACGGAGACATTCTACGTAACTCTAGACCTCTCCAAGGCCGACTTCACCAGTCGTGATGCTAGCACGGTTAATCGCCCAGGCTACCGGGGAGGCGAAAAAGTCGAACGGGCCAAGATGTATCTGAACCGGCGTATGAGTTTCGGCAACAACAACAACAACAACAACAACAACAACATCGACCTCAGCTCCGACAGCAATTCCGACTTAGACGGAGAAGAAGAAATCCCCCAGCTCCCTAAACCAAAGGATCCACCTCAGCCTGCGCCCGAACCCAAGGGGGACGCGGGCGAGGAGTTCGACGACGACGACCACCAGGTCCAGATCATGGAGCTGCACTCGCAGAACCCCATTATTTCGTATAAGGGACGCATCTACTCGGGGGTCTGGAGCGCGAACGTCGGGACGGAGATCCTGCTCACGCGGCGCGACGAGGACGCGCCGGTGCCCGCGCTGCGGCACCTGGACCACGACGTCGAGCTGCTGGCGGCCAGCAGCGCGCGCGTCACCGTCAGGGAGGTCAACCTGAGGCCCAAGGACGAAGCCCTGGAGCGCCGGCGCAACGCGCTCTTGCCGCGCGAGCGCAGCGCCTTGAGCTCGCTCGTGCCGCCGGCCGAGCGGTGGTCTACGAGGGAGAGGATCGACCAGGGCAATTTCTTGGCAAGGCTGATCGCGCTGAAGAAGGAGAGGGGCGAGACGGACGAGGTTACGGTTATTGCGAAGGGCGTGGAAAGGACGACTGGTGGCGGGAAGGCTGAGAGGCATGGGATGGGCAAGCAGGGACACCGTGGCAAGTTCAACTTGCCGCATGGTAGGGGCCCGAGGAGGGCTAAGGGGTCGGGGATACTGAGGACGTTGGCGATTCATGAGAATGGTGGGGAGGGTGAGGGTGAGATTGAGGGGATGCTGGAGGGGGGAGGAAGTGGGGTGTCGACGCCTACGCCGAGGCGGTGGGACGACCTTGGAGGACAGACGGGAGGGGAGGGAGATGAGGGTGAAGAGGAAGAGGAGGGTGGAGAAGGGGAATATGATGAGGTGATGATTATGGATGATCTCGATGAAGAGGGCGAGAATGAAGATGAGAGTAATGAGGATGGTAGTGAGGAAGACGAGGATTCGGACTCAAGCGGGTCTGGTTCCGGCGATTCGGCTGAAGGTATGGACTTAGATGAGATATAGGAATTCTACTAAGCGCTCTTTAGCCACTTCAGAGCTTGCCGTTGATATTTTATCATAGTGGCTGTAGGTTTCAAAATTCACAATACGTGTGCCTGAAATGATTTTAATGGCTCTTTTTCATTTATTCCCTCCTGTATAGCATCTGCCCCGGTATATTTATACTTACCCATAGATGCCCCCCAGACACTTAGATTTTTTCAAGTTGTTAATCGCCTGATTATTCATATATACAACTTCGGTGACTCTAGTCAAGAGTTCCGTCCAAGGCCGCCTCAACGGTCGGCATGTTTTAGAACAAGTCATCGATACTCTTATCAGCATCTTTCTTGATTAGGTCCACCATGCCCTACGGTACGTCTACATGTTAGCTAGGTTCTGTATACCTACACCGAGTAGAATATTTCTACCGAGTAGATAGATACTACATCTGAGGGAGAGCAGGAAAGGGAGGCTTACTTCGGGCATAATAGGCTTCCCATTCTCGTCCGTCACGTATCGGAATGGCATTTCCGTGCTCTCATGGTCGTTGAACTTGAGTTCCGGAAAGTCAACAAATGGAATCTTGTTTAAAGTGACTTTTCATATCGAGTTAGCTACCTATTTTCTCTCTCAAATTTCGGGTCCATAGAATCATAAAAGATATTGAGCCATCAGGAGCAAAGTAATTGGATTAGGGGTAGACTGAAGAGAGAGAGAGTATGCTTACATTGCTCTTCTATCACCATTCGCGTCACCCTTACGGCTGTGTCCGTGGTCATCTGTACGGGGCCGAGGCGGCGGCCCTTGAAGCCCTTCTTTCGTAGCTCGGAAGTGCGATCTATTCCTCGTATCTTAGCTTCATTGCCCATTTCCAGGCTCCATCCACTCTCTAAGGAGTATATAGGCAGTTTACGCATATGTACGTACCTCTAGGCGGATCATCTCCTATATATCAACCACGTTAGCACGCAATCTCTAACTTCCATTTCCACCTCCTAATTCACCCCTTTTCAAACTTACCTAAAATCCCCCCAAAGAGAAAAACATCAAACTCGCCCTTATCATCCGGATTAAGATCCTTCTCGGCCTGCGGGTCCAACAAGCAAACCCTATCCTTCCCATTCCCCTCTCCGTAAATCTCCTCCACGCCCCTTTTCTCCGCCTTGAAAGCAGGTACTTCGGCCAGCTTCTGCGGGACCTGGAACGCTTCCGGCAGCGAGGACAGCATGAAGGTATTCCCCGAGCGCTGCGTCTCGCGCGCGATGGCAATGTACTCGAGCTCCGACCACTGGCCCAGCTCCGGGTCCAGGTGCTCGACTATGTAGGTCTTGCGTAGTGGCATTTTCAGGGCCTTCTGTCTGCGATTTAAGTAGGTATATATCGATGAGAGCCTGAGAACTGAGCTGTATCTCCTTAGATTAAAGCCTTGATGTTTTTCGAAGTATGCTCTAATGAGGCCAAGCAAGGTGTGAAATATCTTTTATGACCTGGCTAATTGTGGATGGCAATTAAATAACGAAGACAACAGATAGAAGAAATCGTCTCGAATCAATCATATAAATCTATTGGCTCTTATGAGGGAAGCATGAGCGAGTCTTGATTTTGTAGCTACTGAGAAAATTCCGCTAAAAGGTGTGGGAGCCAATCAATTGGGCACAAGAAGCTCCTAGGTCGACCCCCTTATGTCACCACGATTTCAACCCGCTCTGTACCTATACACATAAAACCATAAATCAACTTTTTAGTAAAACGCACTTGATCTATTAGTGTGAGACTTTGCTATGCTCCGAAGTTATCCTCCACCATGCATTGCTGGAGGAGAGCATCGCCCGCACTATATATCTCATGAAACCTATTGCATTGCCATGCCAGACCATGCCAACCCTTAGCCACGCCCAAGATCGGAAGCCATGTTTAATAATACACCAGAGGAAACACCCAGTACCACCATTATTATGTGCCGTAGGCTGTTAATGCCAGAAACTTAGGCGTTCGACTTTCGGGAGCCCTTAGTCGGAAGAGATCCGAGGTCTTTGCTCTTACGCTTCTTAGCGGGTCGGCTTGACCCTCCCTTAGGTCGGTATCCGCCATCATCGTCCCTCTTTCTCTTGCCCTTAGCCGTAGGCATATCATAGCCGCCGTCATCATCCCAATCCATGGACTCTGCTGCCTCCTTCTCCTTCTCCTTGCGGGTAGCCGCCGATTGTCTCTTGGTGCGTGCGGATGTACCGCCTTTTCGTTTTCGCCCGTCGTCGTCCTTCTCGTGATCATCATCTTTGCCTTTGCCCTTTTCTTTATCCTTCTCCTTCTCCTTCTCGAGGTCCTGGAGGAATGTCTTTGGTGCATGCCTCCGCAGCCAATTGTAGACGCTCGTTGGGTTTCGCAGCGCAAAGTTGGCTGTAGGGTTAGGAATGTCTTTTCCTAGAGCGCTCGGCGCAAGAGTGGGCTTTGGTTTCAGCTTCAATCGCGCATCGAGTTCGTAGAGGTATTCATCAATGTCGTCGGCGGTCAGAAACGAAATAGGGTGTATCTGGGGATCCTCGGGTTCAAGGTCCTCCAGAAGCTCCGGGAATTGTTCTGCGCTAGCAGCAAATGATCTGTGAGGGACCTCAGATTCTAATCTTCTAAGAGACTTCGTGGGCTTCTGTGTCGCGTCTGAATCGTTGTCGTCTGAGTCCTCGTCTAAGTTTAGGTCAATACGTCGGTCGAATGGGATTTGAGGTGAATCGTTGATATCCATTAGGAGGTCCATTATGCGACTACAGAAATTATGATGAGCATCCTTCTATTCCTTTGTTTGGTCTAACTGCGAAAATGACGATGATTCTTACTCGTTCTCGATGGCTAGACGTTTCGCAGTTCGCATGGCTTTTTGTTCAAGCCTATGAAGATTCTCTATCTCTTGCATCTGCTGATCAAACTTGTAGCGCATCTTACGATACTTCTTTTTCCACGACTTGTAGGACGGTCTTGTACCTGCCATTTGCAAGTCACCATGGTCAGGGTCCTTGTCGTATTCGGCCTTGACGCGGTCCATGGCCGGTTGTGTAGTGGTGACGATGAACTAGGTAGAATGAAAAAAAAAGGAACGAGAAAAAGATTAAGTTATTGGGCGCGGTTTCGCGCAGTTAGATAGTAATAGATTGTTGATGGGTACTGTCAGCAATAAATGAGTGATAAAATTTTAATCATAAATGTGAAGTAAATTTTCAAGATAAAGTTGGCCAATGCCTCCTTTCTGTACTGTAACAAATGAGAGGGAATGATGATGATTTGGGGACTGAAGTATCATAGTTTGATGATACTTTGAAGGAGGTGCATCAATTAGGTGAGTTGGGTGTAGGTTACTTCCTGACGAAGTAATTCCTAACTACTGCCTGCTAGCCTGACGACCGCGCCTCCGTTCTTTCCTCCAACAACACGCGTTTCTACGATCTCTCCTTCTTCGGGGCTAACAAAAAAGTCAGTTCTCCAAATGCGACACATTCCCACTAAACCCACGCCTGACAAAATACGAACCTCACTCCCCCAGGCTATCGATACCGTCCCGTGCACCCCCACCAGCCCACATCCCGTCCACTAGAATAACCACAATTGGAAATCTTCGAAAGTTAACAAACAGCCAACGGTTCCAAAAACGAGCATTTCTTCCGACACAATAACCAAAGGAAGAAAATAAAAAGCTGCTACATGCTCCGACGGATATTCCTACAGGGAGCAAAGATGGCGGAAAACGCAGCTAAGCGACTGAAGACGTCCGAGGGCGGCGCAGGCGTCCGCATCGGCACCCACAACGGGCACTTCCACGCCGACGAGGCCCTGGCCGTGTACATGCTGCGCCTGCTGCCGACGTACACCGACAGCGAGCTCGTGCGGACGCGCGACCCGGCGCTGCTCGAGACGTGCCACACGGTCGTCGACGTGGGCGGCGAGTACGACGCCGCGCGCAACCGGTACGACCACCACCAGCGGACCTTCGACACGGTCTTCCCGGGGCGCGAGACGAAGCTGTCGAGCGCGGGGCTCGTGTACCTGCACTTCGGGCGTTCCATCATCGCGCGGCAGACGCAAAAGCCGGAGGACAGCGCCGAGGTCGGCTTGCTGTGGAACAAGATCTACGAGTCGTTCGTCGAGGCCATGGACGCGCACGACAACGGCATCTCCAAGTACGACTCGGCGAAGCTCGAGGAGGCCGGCATCGAGAAGCGGTTCAGCTCCGCGGGGTTCACGCTCGGCGCCATGGTCAGCCGCCTCAACCCCAACTGGAACGACGCCCGGCCCGCCGACAGGGCCGAGGCGCAGGCCTGGGAGGACGAGAAGTTCGTCAAGGCGAGCGAGCGCCTCGGCGATGAGTTCTCGCGCACCCTGAACTTCTACGCCAACGCGTGGTTGCCCGCGCGCACCGTTGTGGAGGAGGCGTACGCCAAGAGGATGCAGTTCGACCCCGAGGGCCGGATTATGGTGTTCGAGGGGCAGTCCGTGCCCTGGAAGGACCACCTGTACACGCTAGAAGAGGAGGAGCAGACGGACAAGAAGGTGCTCTACGTGCTGTACGCGGAGAAGCAGACGCCGGATGCTGCGTGGAGGATACAAGCGGTGCCCGAAACCGAGAACTCGTTCCAGAGCCGAAAGCCGCTCCCAGAACCATGGAGAGGTGCGCGGGACTCGCAGCTAGACGAGATTTCGGGAGTCCCCGGCGGTATATTCGTGCACGCGTCGGGCTTCATTGGAGGGAACAAGACTTTTGATGGCGTCAAAGCATTAGCGGATAAAGCCTGCGCATTCTAAGTAGACGCTTATACGTAGGACTTCATAGAGGAACCAGTCAGGTACAACATGTCTCGAATGCATAGGTACTTCACGAATAGACAAAACAATAGAGCTGTCACCATGGACGTTGTGTTAGCAAGCGTTGGCGAACACAGCACTAAGGCCTCATATTTTCCGAGACGAACTCCGGTCGTCGAATCAACTACCTAATCTGACACTGACACTGACACCGTAGCAATGCCGAATCCTGTGTGCATTCGCGAATTGGGAGTTTCTTAACAATGAAAAAAGCAGCAACTGAAAATGTACGATGAAAAGCCGTCGTGAAAAAACTTAAGAACCAAGGGGTCTTAACGAGAGTTCTCAGATCAGCAGAAAAGACGATGAAGAAGCAACGTCGTCCCGTAACATTTTTTTGGTAACTGCGAAAAAAGAATTCCCTTGCCGGTACCATTAGCCGTCCCTGAACGCCTCGGTAAAACGAAAAGACTGATTAGTCCTCATAACTATCGTGAAGGGGACCACTGTCACCTCGTACGAACTCCTCCCCTTCCTCCCCCCTTGCGCAAGCAGCAGTGCGAGAACGCAAGACGAAGATGCATGCGTAGCCGCACCCTAGTAGAACTCAGAATCGACTGTAATCAGGTAAGGCAAGACCATATCCACGGGAGACGCCATCGTAACGGTCCTCGCTCACGCCCTCCATTCCCTTTATCCTAATTTCCTTCTCTTTCTACAGAGCAGCGTCTCGACATCCTATCCTCGGATCGGGATACCCTTATTCTCGGCATTCTCCGAGGTCGGGGAAGCCGCGGGCACAGCTTTGTTCTGCTCAGCGGCATCCTTGCCCGGGGCATCATCCCCCTCAGCGCTCGTCTCGCGCTGCAGGAAGCTGCCCTCCTTGACGGGGCTGCCGGTGGCCGTGACCTGCTGGCTGTTGCTGTGGCTGTGTTGGAGGCCGGGGTGGTGCTGGTGCCCGACGGCGCTGCCGCCGTTCTGGCCGTTGGGCGAGGTTAGGTGCGGAATGTTTTCGGGCACGGGGTGCTGGCTACCGACGCTGCCTGCGTCGACACTGTCGCCCTTGCCGGCTTTGGACATAGCATAGTCGCCGCTGTCGAAGTACTTGCGCTCTTTCAGGTGCTTGGCGAAGTGATCGGACTTCGAGGGCAGCTTGCCGTATAGACGGAACAGGCGCTGCTCGTCGGGGGTGAGCGACTGTATATATAGGTTTAAGTTAGTATTTTTGCACATTCATTTATAAATATATGTGTTTTGTGTGTTTGCGGCAACATATATAGCGGTGTATGTATGGGCTGGTATATGGACCGGCGAGGATAGTGAAGACAAAGGCGTGATAATTAAATCCCATTGTAGCTGACTTTAGCTGACCTTGACACCCAGTCGAGACATTTTATGTCGTCTATTGAATATCGCCTGCCTTCGAAGCGTTGTCCTAACTTGGGCACGGGGAATGGGTGTCCAGCCCAACGACGAGCGAGCGAATGTGGGGGAGAGGGTGGTGGTGAAAACTGACCTTGACGTCAATCTTGTTCTTCTGGTGAGGGTTCATTTTGACAAGGTTGCCTCGATGGAACGAACGAATCTCAAGAGACAGATTTTGGTTGGCATATATCGCAAGTTGCGCGCGAGCTTTTCGGTGGTGTATGTATGAGAAGAATATCTAGTAAGAAAAAAAGGTGGGAAGTTCGTCCGTCGTTTGTAGTCGGTTTTTGAGAGTTTGGGAGGGGAGCAAAGAATTAAGAGCAGCCACTGACCAGTGGTAGTGGTATCCCCATCCAAGAATGCATGTGGTGTAAGTTGGGCCGTGTACCTGGGTACAAGGTACTTATGCCACCTACTATTGCCGGGACAATCCAGTCGGTACCTCACGGCAAGGCGCAACTGCAGAACGTTATTGCTTTAGTACCAAGTTATATTAGTGGGGCTACCTGCTGCGATTCCACCTGGATTGGAGTGACGGAACTGCACCCGTTAGCGCTGTTCTTAGGGCCACACTCCAAACAAAGAACCAATTACCACCTAGAAGACAGCATATGCCGCTTATGTAATTTGGAGGTAGCTGGAGAAACAGACCTATGATATCCGGAAATGGCCGCCCTAGCAAGGTTAGAATTATAATATATGAAAATATAGGGGTCCAAATCGTTGTAATATGCAACCTAGATTTGTTTGTTTATTAATATACGATCGCTATCAATTGAAATCGGAGTATTTCCGTTCATCTCTTCAGCTTCGGCCTATCAACCTATCGCAAATCAACGGTACCTTGTTGATACTGCCCACCATTATCAGCTATATGAGTCAGTCCTTAAGCATCGTCGCCATGGTTACTAAACACCAATGACGAACTTCTTGGAGATTGATTGCTCGGGAGACCATTCAAAACGTCGTCCTGGCGTCGTCACCTCCACCACCACCATCTTATGGTCTCACTTAGCTAGCTTCTAAGTTCTTAGCCTCCATTTGACTAAATGTATACCGGCGATACCGCAGTTGCACCGGCTCCTTATCTGGCAGGAGCCGTATTTCGTAATTCGACGATCAGTTTATAGAACCAATTAAATCTTCCACCATCAGAGCACAGCAGAAGTCAACGTCGTGTTCTACATAGTGGGATGAACTACCATGATGAATGATGATTGCTCGCTGATAGGACAGCGACCGAGTCTGTAACGATAATGGGATGCGAAGATTCCGATAGATCTATATTGTAACCGGAATAAATCCAGTTCATGAACCATTAGACGGTGTGGTGGTGGTGATTCTCTTTAGTCAATCTATCTAGGTTAGCCCATCTTAGTCCGCACGATGAGGTATGTCTGAAGACACCTACAATCCTACGGTTTGAATTATATAGTTACTTCAGAGATATCTGAGGACAATTAAGTGCCATGGATACCTTTGCTCCAGTCACGAACTTTACGAATGCCGCGGTATTTTCTCCTCTCCTGGTGACTCCTCCATTTTTATCTCGTCCCACGCCCCCTTAATTCATGACTAACATACGATAGACGTACATGATGAACGTGAGACGATAACCCTCCTTCTAAAAGACAATCCGCTTAGACACGGTACAGTTTATTTGCAACTATCAATTATCTCCAATTTCATACGGCCCCTTTTGTTGAATCTCGGAATTTGAAGGCGACCCTCAAATGCCTCCCCCCCCTCCCCTAACATTTCGCCGTTATGTAATTGATTGCGTCTTCATTCACAGTAACGTTCTCCTCATTGCATTCCAAAGTACCATAGTCTGAGGTTCTACAACCTAATCCTGCCTCTCGGTGATGCGACATATGATATAACATGCCAATCCTTACCTATCGGATTGGTAATGCGACTATAGCAAACAGTTCGAAGGTCCTAACTCCTATCCACGGAGTTTAAATCAACACCTATTTTGGACATACATCAATCGGAGCTATAATACGTAATCTCCTTATAAAATCAACTTCTATAAGTATTTGCGAAGGAAAAAAAGGGGTCGAAGCTACACACAAATTCCAAGACAATATTCCTTACTTTCATCACGAGCTCAGGTTAAGTAGATCAACTACATTTATTTCTCTTTCTGTTACCCTTGATTAGGTAGTCTTACTTAAAGCGTCTACTTTATCTTGACCAATGTTGACGAAGTGGCTTGGAGTCAACTGACCTGCCGGAGCAAAAGGCCCGCCAGGGGTACAGTACATATTCTTGCTGGAAGCCATCACATATTCAATAGTTAGTTGCTATTGTTGATTATTAATGACTGTACTAGAAAAATAGAATAAAAGTTCAGTGAGGAGCAGGTCGTAAAAAAAGGAGGCGACCAAGTCGAAGGCTTAAATCCTCATATTGCTAGTACCTGGGTATTCGTGTCCGCTTCTTATACGATTCTACTGGGTTTGGGTTTATAGAATACATTAATTTGACGAGAGAGGTAAACTTCTTAAAGCCTATGTTCATGGTGCATCTTATTACAACATCAAACGAAATAATTGTTTATAAGTTACCTATCCCTTGTATTTATTGAATAGCCTTCTTTTAAGATGTTCATAAGCATTGCCTTCTTGATCTATGGATATCTTTGAGCACAGAAAACCTCGTCGATTGAATATAGAGGAGGATGCGTCGATAACCTCACTATTGCAGCGTTTAGTCTGGGTATTACTGTTCTGCTTTTCATTCCACCTACATGTAGTGCTTCGCGATATCCTTCCCGCTGGGGCGAGTAGTAGGTTACTGCCACGAGGCGGAACCAAAGAGAAGGTAAGCAACGCCGTTGCTGCGCGAGGAGCTCTGAAATCTCTCGCCTTGTGACTATGTAAGGTACATACAGGAAAATCCCTTTGTCTATCCTACTCTAAGACTAGCTATCAACAGGTCTCCCTGGGCCTCTCACCGTCTCTCAAGGGCTGAACTCTCGTCCTACTCGACCCTTAGCTACTAAACCTCTCTACAGACTAGACCTCTGGTAGTTACATTCTATTCCCACGTTTTCAATCGTAAGGTAACTTTAATGAATACTTTATTCTTACCTAACGCCTTAATGACCCCGACATTGTTCTAAAGTTAAGGAGATAATATTGTCTCTATGAAGGGATCTCATACTCCACGTAGCAGTCATAGCAATCATAAAAAAAGGAAGCAAGAAGAACACTCGTAATTACTTCTAGATGTCATTTTGAATTCATTAATTCAGTGAAATATGTGATTATGTACACAGGTACCTAGACTAATTGAGACTGAAGAGATTCTAATCGTTCCTGGTACACGCCGCGAACCATAGTTTCTCCATAATTACATCAAACCGTGGACATATTGAATCAGATTAGAGAAACTTGCTCTTTTTTCTTTGTCGTGTTACAAGAGGTGCCCTCGACCTTAGGAAGATATAAATGTAATCCCCCTTTTCCGTCGTTTCGGATACTTACCCTCAACGGCCCCTTTTAATCACAAATATCCTTCTGTCCTGGGCATACCCAATAATATTTCCACGGATTTGCATTTTCAATCCGCCCTTTCTGGTTTCAACTCCATTAGGTCTTACTTCAACTTCAGGAACAATAGAACCATTTTTGTACTTATTATGAGCCTCTTTTTCGTCGGTAAAAATTACGACATTGTACAAACTTTCAGTTGTCTCCTGATCTAGGTCCCACATATGTTGCTCGATGTCTGATACACTACTAATGCTTGGTTCCTAACTCAAGGAGAGAAGTCTTCAGGGTTGTGAAGTATTGACCCTAGGAGTATATTTTCATCAACGCCCAACTCTTCCACAAGTAGAGTATCACCTCTCTGGTGAGCATTTTGACCCGACTTTCGCGAGAAGTTTTGGGGGCTCCATCCGTTCGCATGACAAGGGACGTTTCGGCCCAACTCGATGAAATTTGGAACCCAAGATGGATTCATTCTCATCTCACTCATCGAGATTAGCTCTAGCCCATATCCCCGAGAAATGAAATATTCCGCCAGCCCACGATAAATGTTGGCAATATCCTTGCCATAGTCTGGCTGTGGCGCTACCTTGGAGTCAGGTGCAACACCAATCAAAGCATATGAATAGTCTCGTGGGTCTGTGATGTTGAATTTGCAGCATCTGTTTGACAGTTGGAAGAGATGGCGAGATTGCAACTGCGAGCTGCTGCTGTTATTTGAATCACCCGAAAATTGCCCTTGCCGGCCCCAGTCATCCGCATCGTCCATTGCCGCTTTACATAGGCTTGAACAGGCGCTGCTCAGGACAACTCAGGGGAACATAGAAATGTATTAGTAAAGTAAGAAATCCTTCTTGTACCTAGTAGCTCTCAAAAACTCAGCACAGACCATGTTCAAAGCAGTAAATTACGTTACACAACCTTATTCTTGCAACGCACTGACCATCCCTTGTACGGAGTATCCCCAGGTTCGAAGCCCCCTTTTCAATTTTACAATTCTTTTCAAGCCCTCTCCGCAGCCAGCGCGCCGACTTATCCCAAGGGACTACACTGAAGAGAAATTACGATGTGACGAGCCAACCTCGATTTCCAAGGCCTAATTCAAAAATCTTTTATCGTGGTAGTCGGATAGCCCCAAACCCTAAACTCCGACGTCTTCCGATATTCTCGAATAAAAGCCGATATCTACGTCTGAGGCTGCGGAACGATACGTATTGAACAATTGGGAAAGACTTCGCGGGAGAGAGGCCGAGGATTCGGACATGAGACCTAATGGTATGGGTAAACCCGGTTAACTGTGCTGCCGGGGCTGGCCTCACGTATGGGTAGGTTTCTTACACAGGTCGTTTCTGCAAGTTTTCAGTCAAAAAAGCCACCTATTCGAGCATCTTGAAGAGACACTTACCTCCCTACATCATTTTTAATCCTTTCGGTTGGTCCGAACCGGTCAACTGCATGAACATTACGGAGGCTTGCGCTTCAATCGACGTGAGGGGTGAGCGGATCACCATTGGCGCTAGGTAGGGTAGCTTTATTATGCCCGTCATAGCCGATGCGAGTAAGCTTGACGATACCTATATTTATTATGCAACTCAACCAGACAGCAGGTTGGCCTTAACCGCATGAGCCTCTCCGCAACGCCGCAGAAGAATGTGCGGTTTAATTTGCAGAGTATCGATCACGGTGATATACAGGTAACCATATTTATATTGAGGGATACGCGTCATTAACAAGCTTGCAGCTCACATTCCCAATAACTCCAAAATGAGCCCCAAACTCGGTGAACTGCGTATCGTTGGCGGTCTCGAATTTGGTGCAATAGTAGTTTTGGTATTATGTTGTGCAGATTGGTTGGTTTCTCCGGCTGCAACCATTTGCTAGTCTTTTAGCATGTAAGGAAGAATCAAAGTTCGCTTTTGGCGGTTGTTTCTTGGATTTCGTCCGCCGTCGATACAGAGGCGCAGGTCGGGCTGCTTCGCTAGATCAACGACGACCCTGCTACTTGTGTAACGATCTTACGCTCGTCCTTCAATGCATAGGTATGTACCATCCAAATTTTGATCGGGTTCGCCTGGCAAGTTCATGGACGTCAAAATCTAGGTAATGTAACGCTTTCTTCACTAAATGAAATTCTTCTATGGATTGTTTGGCATACTAAGTGAACGACGACCCTTACCCTACGTGAAGTAGGGGTAGTTCGTTCATTATTGAGCCCACGCGGTCTCATTTCCAACCTGAGATTTCGTGCCTCTTGCATGCAGTCTGGCGTCTAGTACGCCTTCGTAAGTAAGTGGATTGTAGATACGTGCCTGAACTAACTCAAGCCCTGCTTCATCAAATGTCTTCCGCCACTCCGCCTCTGTGCGTTCCCTAGCTGCAAAGGCTGAGAGCATAGTCAGGTCGACTGCTGCCGTTACAGCGTCCACTCCTACCTCTGGCAGGATCATCTCATCTACCAAGAGTATGGAGTCGGGTGCCATTACGGCTTTAATGTTTTGAAGGATCTGAGAGACTTTGTGCTGCGGATGATTATGAAGTATTGAGCGCATGTGATAGATCTTGGCACCTGGTAATACAGCATCAGAACCACGATCTTCCTCGGTAAAACAAGAGGGTAGGTTTACTAACCTCTAATCGGCTGTGGTTCGAAAACATCATGCACCATGTTTTCAACGCCCGGAGTTGGCAATGCTTCTGCGATCGCAAATGGCAAATCTTGGAGGATAACTCTTCCCTGCAACTCTGGGTACTTGTCCTTGAACTGGGCACATTGATGACCAATTCCACCGCCAACGTCAACGTAGAGAGCCCTTTCTGGGTGTAGGTTCGTGGCTTCCTCTAAGACTGGGTATACTTTTAGCCATGACTGTTGAGGTTGACTCCGAGTAGCCATGTAGTCGTTGAAATACTTAGCCAATCTCGGTTGGCTATCATACCAGATGAAGGGGCTGAGGGGAGTTTTCCAAGCTTGGTGGAAGGCAGTGTTCGTTTCGTCAACAGGCTCTTTATAGCCAGATCTTTCCAAGAATGACGGGAGTTCCTGGTACTGCATCGACACAGAACCAAAGCTGAGATTAGATCGTGTAAGTCAGGCACCTGCCACGCTATTGGAATTTGGTCTCTTGGGGTTTACTGACTAATGGCAGATACCTGCTTCCGCAGCTTCCCCAGCGAGATTCCTTGTTACTCTGTTAGCGAGATATTGGCCTGCGCTAATCTCATCGATGGCACCAATGGATGATAGGTATCTCAGCAGTCGCCCTGTATGACACTTAGTGCAGGGTTCTGCTTTAGAAAGGTAACGCCTCTTATGAGCTTTAGTACCTATCAACTCTTTTTGGCCACCCGTTTTCCGAGTAGCTTCATCGACGCTCACTGCTTTCGTTGAGCTGGCCATATACTTGAATAGCTCTAGGTTGAAGCCTATCTTAACAGTTGCCGTTTGAAGATGCTTTGAAAGGGGTTAGTCTCTCTCCTGGTGATCATGGTAAAACTCATTTTCTCACCAGGAAGCTATATCGATCCCTGGTATCTTCCGGACTCTCCATTGAGTAAGCTAATTTATGGAGTGATTCCATGATGCGTCGACGTCCAAGCTCATCACTCGTTTCCACCAAGCGCTTGATTTGGGTAACGGCTTCATCCATATTGAATATTTGAGGAGTTGTGCTTGAACAGTATTTGATGTTAAGCTGCTAATTTTAATGACGGACACATCTTTGAAATGAGACTAGGAGGGTTTGGCACATACGAGATCAGGAAGAGATATCTTACGGCGGGCGACACAATGTTGCAGAAATTGATAGATTCTCTCCAGCTACGTTATGGGATGTGGACTGATATCCTGCAGAGCCGTTTAGAGCTTTCAAACTAATGCGACATAACCACAGGACGAATGTGACGTGGAGAAACAGGCCATTCCACTCCTGTGACTTACCTTGCTGACCTAGAATACTTCTCTATGACCGTGATCTTTGGGTCAGCGACCATGCATGCACTCTGAAGTTGAGCCGAAATCTCAGCCTGCATAGAGTGACACAAGGTTGGGTATGATATGATTTGAACGGAACACACCCACTGCTCCCCCATCCTGTACTACCCACGGTAGTTTGGAGCTACCGGTACCCCCGATACTCAATATTACGCAGGCTGGCTCGGGCCCTGGATCCCAGCGGGAGGCCACAAGCAGGCCGCTGCATGCCGGGGTCCCGCTCATATTGCTTTGAGGGGTTGATGAGGCCGACACAAGAAACTCGTATTCGGTTTCACACAGTTGCCCAGATCTGGAAAGGCTGCTAAGAGAGTGGAAGATGTTGTCACCAACACAGCTGTCACAAGATATTATTCGGCCGAAATTGGTAATCATTACATATGCATTCATGCTCTGCCAGGACGTACGATGTACGATATCAACATAACCTATCTGTTTCCCCATGCTAGTAAAGTAGATAGGTACCTCATCTAGCGGATCGCCATCGTTTGGGAATGCTCTCTGATTCGCGAAGTCGTTATAACTGTAGAATAGATGTAATCGACATATCCATTAGAGCACTGCCATAGTGATTGTTAATCCAGAAGATATGTCTCTATCTTATACATATGAATGTGTCTGCCTCAATTCAGAATATACCACGATCCGGTCATTATCCAAACTCCCCTGCGCAGGGTGTCCAACGACAAAGTTGGTGAGATTAATAGCGTCCTCTGAATGTTGCTGGCCGCTAGTCTTCCACGGCGGACCATTCTGCAAATAAATGTTGTGTGGTTCTCCCCGCGAAGTTTCGTGAGCGTTAGAGCTACCTTCGCTTCTTTTAGATGCCTTGATTGAATACTTCCCGGGATGAAATATGGACAGACGGCCACTGCTACGGACCTTAAGATACAGTGGGCGTAGGGTCGGTAAGCAGGCAGATACTATGCCAAATGATGACTCGATTGATGACCAGGTGGCAGCTTCTCCGGACATCCAAGTTGTATCAACGGTCCTCCTGAACTGAACCAAATAGTAAACGCGGATCCAGGATGCGATACAGACCCTGTAGAACTTAGTGTTTCAGCAATGTTGAGTGGTAGAAGGACACTCACAAACAACCTAGCAACATAATACCACAAACACCGACTCTCTTCTTGATAGACAACTCAAGTTTCATGATTTGCGGTATAGGAGTTATAAGGAGTATTAGGTCGATACAGGCATTGATGATGCCTGTTATTAGTAGAAAAAGCAGCTGATCAAAACAGCTGCCTTGGGCGGTGGGATCCGAGAATCGATTCCACAAGTAATCTAGAGGTCTGCAGACTGTGACGTTGCTAATAACGACTGCAAGTATTTGGAGAGCTATAATAGCCACCAATATATTAAGCCAAGTTCGAAAGGGAGTCCTATGGAAGACGAACAGCCGACGGTAGAGTAAGATGATTGATAACTTCGTCACCGATACCGTGAGTGCCCACATGAACGTGTATACGAATCCTAGCTAGACGTGTGTACAGTTTGTATGAGTTGTGGATTCTCGAGTGACAATGAGGTAGAAGATAGGTACTAACCCTGAAGCCATCGGTTACAATTTCCCTTGTGAGACTCCAAACATGATGGCCAGAGCCTGCAGGCCCAACTATTCTCGTCAGCGACTTAAAGCTTAATGTGAAGAATACCTGGGTTTCTTACACAAGACGTTAAGGATAGCGGTAACAATACACAAAACCTTAACATGTGTTAGAATCAGAGTAAGGGAGTCTTCGAGGCAGGGACCATACCAAAGCCACAGAAACGACATAATCATCAGCTTGTAATCGGACGGTGCTGAGTCTTCTTGCCGTCCATCGCAGCACCACTGACAGAATTGCGAAAAAAAGAGTTACAGCAGTAATAATGTCATTTCTGGTTTCGGTCTGCTCCGTCAGGTCTACGCCTGCTGGCGGAGGTCCGAAGGCGGCGATAATAAAGGGGTCCAAATCCGCCATGTCGCGGTCGTTCTTTAGGGTTATTTCTTCCTTTTTCTCTTAGTCCTGAGCTGGGACAGGTGAAATGATTGCTCCAAGGCCTCGTGAACAGCGCTTACTGAGGCTACCAGGTGCATATATGTCTTTTCCTGTCGTCCTAAGGTAGATATAGCTTGCATTTGAACTTGGAACTGGTCTGACTAAGAGAATTTTGAGGATCTCAGCCTACCTTAAGGTGAGACGCTGTTGGTTAGATTCTTGTATCCTATGCTACACTCCATATTCGTGGCGAGCGCACACCAGTCCAATCATCTATGCACTATCCTCCAACACTCTCCCCGAACGCCGACCTAACCGTTAAAATAGTCCATACAATTCTGGCACATGCAGGTATGACACCACCTTCTCAACTGTCTGAGGCGGGTACTTAATGCTAGCATAAACTGCTACATTGGGGATCATCTATCAGAATAGAGTGGCGTAGCTGTGCCTCGTACAACCATGGAGTTACATCAAGTACAATCCTACCAGTAATGGGAAATGTAGGGCATTTCTGCGTGTATACATGTAGAATGATACACCACTGAATGAATAATATGACTCTTGGATCCAGCTAACGGAACTGACTGGTGCATACTAGTTGAGCGAACCTCAGCTCTCAGGAGACTACCTAGGTACCCTATATGGAAACTTCAGTACTAGACTCTTTTGCATGGCTACTGTACATCTTAGTACTTCATGCGAGCTCTGTGTAAGCATGTCACTGTTTAGCTCCCTGAGAACCGTGAATAAATCGCAAATCCGATTCCAATATTCAACCTTAGTAGTTCATTTCGTGACTACCTACACACACAAATACAATGAAATTTTTCGAGCACACAGGCCATAATAACTCAAATCCACTCCGTACAGGCTCTAGCTGATTTGGCTAATGCTTCCCATCGGACCAAACAAATTCGATGATTGAGAGTGCAGAGTCCTTGGCTCCAGACACTCGCTGGAACACGAACCTTGGGTCTGCCTCTGAAAGTAAAGCTTTCCATTCATCGAGGCTTCGCTCGTACGAATTGAAGGATGCACCCATGCTGATGTCGAACGACCTTTATATCAAATCTATGTTAGCAGATCAAAAATAGAGTACGAACATGCTAAGGTCACGAACCTCAAGTCTTGTTCTCTCCAATGTGCGATTTCTCCAGGCTCTGGCATGCATGATTCGTTGAGAATAATCTTTGCTCCTGGTTTCAAGGCAGGTATGAGAGCCTTGATAATCATGATGGAGTACTTGTCAGACCAGTTGTGGAAAATCCATCGGAAGAAGTAGACATCTGCTTGGACAGTCTGGGGCGCAAACAAGTCGTAGGCCATGAATTCGAATCTGCCTTCGAGTTCTTCTGGGACTTTAATACCTTCAAACATTTCATTCATGTCTTGAACGATGACAGACAGGTTCGGGAAGCGTCTGGCTAGTTCCATACTGTGGTGGCCCGCACCACCCCCGACGTCGATCATTTGAACTTGGCCTAATGACTTCCAATCATAATTGTTGAAGATATGAGAGGTATCGTATTCCGTCATCATGGTGTAAGCTATCATCGTGTTTGCGAACCGAGAGGCTCGCTCGGGGTTTTTCTCAAGGACCTGGTATATACTGTCCTCCGTATTGTTTGCTAGAGAGAATCCCTATTACGATAGTTAATAGTCTATCATCTGTACTTGAGAAGATAAGGGTATTACCGTATGGTTCGGTTCAGGAGATCCAGGCCACTTTTGAAATGCGTCAACCATCTGAAGACAGAGATTAGCTTTCCCCATGTCATGTCTTAGACGCCCAATGGTAGTTTCGATATACCTTTGTAGCAGCTGGCCACATTTCCTCGGTTCCAGCCCGGCACCAATCATTAGCTACAGGATTGGTAAGAACCTTGGATACCTTCGTGTGGGCTACCACACCCGGCTCTGGCTCTCGGAAGACTCGCAACGTCATTGCGTGCCTCAGAAGTCGACGCACTGCGCGCTCGTCCAGGCCGGTTTGCTCGGCAATTTTGGCAAATGTAGTTTGCCCACCAATTGGTACCAATGAGGCAATCTTGAGACGGGAAATTGCCTGCAAAGACACGCAATTGTTATGCTTAATCTTCGTTAGCTGCGTGGTATCTCACTTTCAGGTAATAGAGTTCTTTTCTTCAACCAGCAAGAAGGTAGCTTTACCGCGCCATTTCTGTAGATTATCTCCAAAGGACCTAGAAGCAAAGCTTGTAGCTCGGCAGCGCAGTCAATGATCACATCCCTCATATCGACTGTATCTCTGGGAAGCGACTGAGGAGCATCCTCGTCCAGAGATGGAGATTGAAATCCTTGCGCGGATAATGTCTCTTCTAATTTCGTCACAGACTCGCGGATCAAGGCCGCAAGCTGCGAGAGACGCGAAGCAGATGATGGATTGGAAGACATAATGGGAGGAGGATCAAGAATATGTCCGAATACTCAGACAAAACAAGGCTAATACGATGGTGAAGCAGGAATTGTGATACTACAATGTAGATTGGAAGCGTCCATTGACTACTTTCGTAACGAGATGGAGCTCGATATAAAAGCCGCTGCTCATTGACAAGGGAGGAGAAGGGAGGAGAAGGGAGGGAGAGAACCAGGGAGGTGCAGGGACCTCAACGTGATAGGTAGGTACCTAGGTAGCCAATATGTGAGCGTGCGCATGTTACCATACCTTGTGTCGATGTAGGGAGGAAATCACTGCAACTGCGTGAAGGTGGCCACACACTTTGGTATGAAGCGGTGTGGCTATGATAATTGTGCATAAGACGGCGGAGGGGAATTAGATAGATGCAGGCAGGCTTTGTCCTCTAAACTACCAACCAACTGTAGTACAAAGTTCCTTGAATCTAATTGGCTAGGTTATTCTACGCATATGTACCATAATAAGTGATTGACGAGCCTTAATCGATGTTGAATTGGTCACCTTTATTAGTTGGAGTTTTGCATCTGCAGTTACCTACCTCCTAGGTAGTTGGTAGTTTAGAAGATGTAACAGCTTTCCGGAATACAACATTAATATTATACGCAGGATTTTCCTATGTCTATTGAGCGCTTTGATGCACACATAGCTGTGGTATCAGCACCCGTGAGGCTGGTTTCATTGAAATAGGGGTGTATCTAACAAAGATACGATAGACAACCCTAGGTGAGGGTTAACACTCCGAAGCACCGAGACTATGCTATTGACCGTCCGTTAGAATACACTGTAGACCAAATCAAGTACGTGGTAGTCAAATACTCAAGTAAGTCGCACACGAAGTTGTATTGTGAGTCTGATAGCGAGCTATTATTATTCACTTATTTCTCAGTATCCAATATTTCTAAGTGAATTGATATATCATCATCCATTGTGCTTCAAACCAGAGCAGCACTATTCTTAGTGAAGAATATGGCATCATTATCTTTTCACTTCCTCCTTTTTCCTGTGTCCTTGATATCTATGTTATGGAATAAGGCCAAACTCTTTAGATCCTCCCGCGGTAGAGCAAAACTAGCGTCAGTTGATCCACGTTGGGAATGTCTTCAACATGTCTTGAGAGACCACGCAGGATCAGGATCTATGAAGTTGTATCCCCTTGGTAACCATACAGACCCTATGGTCATCTCTTACAAGGACCTCTACACCCAGGCCCAGAGCAACAGTATCAAGATTCGTCGCATCTCAGGCTTCGAGGAACATCGCCCGATTTTACTCTATTTCGACACTCATGAGAATAACATCATCTGGTTCTGGTCTGTTCTTCTCGCCAATGGTATCCCAGTGATATCGGCTCCATTCGGTAATGCGGATAATCGTCATGACCACATAGTCAAACTGTCTATGCTTCTAGAGCACCCAATATGTATTACCACAGACGATTTACTGAGTCTTTTCGGCACAGGCCATGGGATGGACTTACAGACAGTGGACTCACTGCTGAAGTTAGATATTTCCTCAGAAAATCCAATGTGTGTTCCTAGATATAACAGCGGCTCAGCCACAGCTACATTGATGTTAACGTCTGGGAGCACCGGGATGCCAAAAGCTGTGCGGCTTTCTCATAAACAAATATTGGCAGCAGTCGCTGGGAAAGCTTCTGTACGCCAGTTACCGAGAAAGCGGCCCTTCTTTAATTGGATAGGACTCGATCACGTTGCAAGCTTGGTAGAAATTCACATTCAGTCTCTGTGGCTTGGTGTCGACCAAATTCACGCTCACGCTGCGGACGTCGTCTCATCACCCAAGACATTCCTTTCTCTTCTTCATCGCCACCGGGTCTCGCAAACCTTTGCGCCAAATTTCTTCTTGGCCAAACTTGTCACTACTATGCAACCCGAGGAGAGCGATGAGGATTGGGACTTTTCGAATCTCGCTTGGCTTGCGTCTGGGGGTGAAGATAATGATGTTGACACCTGCGTTGCAGCATCGGCTTTGCTTCAAAGATACGGCGCTCCTCGGAACGTTATTACGGCAGGTTTCGGAATGACAGAGACTTGTGCAGGTGCAATCTTCAACCTCAATTGCCCTGATTACGATGTCAAACTTGGCCGAAGTGTGGCATCTCTCGGCATGTGTATGAACGGTATAGAAATGCGGGTCACAGTTCCTGGTAGAGGTTTACAACTCGCTTCACCCAATGAAGCCGGCAACCTTGAGGTCCGGGGCAACGTTGTTTTCGATGGTTATTATCGCAATCCAAAGGCCACAGCAGAAGCATTCACTTCCGATGGCTGGTTTCGCACTGGTGACCAAGCTATGATTGATAATCAGGGGTATCTAAGCCTCATTGGTCGCGTTAAAGACATCATCAATATCAATGGTGCCAAATTTGCTATGTCTAACGTCCAAACGGCGCTCGCGCAAGCTCTGAACCATCGTATCACACGCTTTGTTACCTTCCCATCTAGAGCTGCTCACACTGAACAAGTCACGGTTGCCTATATTCCCAGAGACTGGCAAATGAGTGACGAGGAAATCATGAAAATCGAAGAAGTAGCTTCGGAAGTGTGCCAGCTTCAAGTTGGGGCTAGTCCACTTGTTTTTGCTCTTCGGGAAGAGTCTGCAGAGCTATTACCGACATCTACCTTGGGAAAGATCTCGCGAGCTAAGATGAGAATTCTCTACGAGTCAGGCGTGTTTTCCAAGGATGTCGAATTGCATCTCAAGCGAGTGAAAGAACTCAAGCAGGGAAGGCATAAAGCGGTCAATAGAGATATGAACGACACAGAAGCTCTCTTCGTTAGTGCTCTCGTAGAGATCTATGCTGGAGACCCCGCGGACATCGGTGTAAACACATCTATTTTCGAGCTTGGCTTCTCCTCCATTGATGTCATCCGACTCAAAAACCGTATTGACGGCGAGTTGGGAATCAAAGTACCGGTGACTACACTTATGAGACATCCCACTCCTGCAGCAATAGCCAACGCCCTAGGGTCAGACTGCCATAGCAGGACGATGGGCGATGCGTTGAGCGCCACCTACGATCCGGTCGTCGTGTTCCATGCCGGCGGTAGCAAAACACCATTGTGGCTTGTGCACCCAGGAATTGGTGAGGTGCTTGTATTTGTAGGACTTGCCCAACACATAGCCAGCGACGATAGACCAGTTTATGCCCTGCGTGCCAGGGGCTTTGAACCGGGCCACGCTCGGTTCAAATCCATTGAAGAGGCTGTCGATACCTATATCGCAGCCATTCGACAACGACAACCACAAGGTCCTTACGCGTTAGCGGGATACAGTTACGGTACTATGCTTGCTTTCGAGATAACTAAAAAGCTTGAAGCCGCTGATGGGGCGGGCATCGTACAATTCTTTGGTAGTTTCAATCTGCCGCCGCATATAAAGACGCGCATGAGACAGCTGCATTGGAATGCCTGCCTTTTACATTTGATTTACTTCTTAGGATTGACAACTGAAGCAGAAGCTGAAAGAATTGGCGAAAGCGACTTTGAAAAAATGAGCCGGGACCAAGCTTTGACGTACATCCTCGAGTTGTCGGACCCGGACCGTATGGCAGAGCTTGGTCTACATAGGTACAGTTTGACTCGCTGGACTAACGTGGCATATGACTTACCACATATGGCTACCAACTATGAGCCCGAGGGGAAGGTAGAAGCTATGGATGTTTTCTATGCTACGCCTTTGAAAGCTGCAGCACCAAATCGAGAAGTCTGGCTGAAGGACCATCTCATTAAGTGGCGAGACTTTTGCAACACAAAACCACGGTTCCATGAGGTCGATGGAGCTCATTATACTATGATTGGACCAGATCATGTTGCCACCTTTTGGGCCATATTGCGGTCTGCTTTGGATGCGAGAGGTGTCTAAACACTCAAAGTGACGACCAAAGCTATGATTAGCACTCCTCTTTTCACTTTCCAAGTCGTATTGCTACAGTAATGAGATATGTTATTCAACATCTACAGTTTCATGTGGCATATAGTGAGCGAGTAATCAGTTCGAATAATCTGGAAACTATATAACACTTCCCATTGGTCATCACTAACCCCTATGACTATCGTTAGATATATCGTCTCTGTAACGTTATGACCTCGGTAAGAGCGAAACGCTTTCGTGAATTTATCTTAATTGATACAATAGCTGTGAAGATGTACGTGAGTTGTGTAGTCGAGGTGGCCGAAAATGAAGCTCCTGGATCTATGCCGCTAACTCACCTTTGACTCAGGTTAAAGCAGCAGCAGCTCAGGGGAACTTGCAGGGGGTGCATATTTCTATTTTGATACGATTTGCGGGTAATAAAGAACCAGTAGCAGATAGGTTATGTCAAATATACAATTGAAGTCGAACATCGTCGAAATTTTTATTTTAATCGGTTTTCGTGATATTTCTCCGGTGATACGACTGGTTTCCAGGAGACGACTCCATCGGAGAAAGGTCAAGGGATCCGATCACATATAGCGGTCCTTCACCTTATAATGATGCGGGAAACCCATACAATCCCGACACGAGGGGGAGATTATGAAAATATATCCTCGTCAAATACTTAGACATTCTATTCATTTTAAAAGAATATTATAAGAGAAGTAGGATGGCTAATTTACTGTAAGCAAACTAATTCTGGTGATACTCCTGTGTAGTTGGGATTATCAACTACTAGAACACTCTGTATCATCTTCCTGGGAAACTTGATTGTAGCAACTTAAAGGACCTCCAATCCAAGTCTAGTTCAAAGTACTTGGATATATCTATCAGCACACTTAAAAAGTCATGGGCACATTACCTGCAAACCGCCAACTTAACGTAAGTCGGACAAAACTACATTATATCCTACCCTGCATGAACTAATCTCCGTTGTAATTAAGGGTAAGTCCGTTTATTCTTATCTCCATTAGCTCGCCATACTTGATACGCGGATTCGATGGATGGTGGTGATGTCAAAATCGTCAACATATCGGAGAAATTTCTAATATATCCGAATATCGCCGGCTATGTGACAGCCACTTCTCACAGTATATATGATCTTCAAGAAGCCTAGAAACATCCAGATATCTCATAGCTTCACTATTCGTATCAATTTCATCAAAAATATCCCGATATCTTTCCAACCCCTTATCTCAAAGTTCACTATGGCGTCCGACCTCCCCCCTACGCACCGCGCTCTCGTCCTCGAGACCATGGAAGACGGCTTCCACGTCCAGACCGTCCCAACTCCGCAACCCGGGCTCGGCAACGCGATCATCCGCATCGCCGCGGGCGGCATAATCTCCTACCACCGCGAAGTCTACAACGGCGGACGCAGCTACAACTTCCCGAAGCCCATCGTCGGCGGCGTCAGCGCCATCGGCCGTATCGCCGCCCTCGGCCCGGACTCGACCGCGCTCGAGCTAGGGCAGCTCGTCTTCGTCGACTGCATGATCCGCTCGCGCGACGACCCGGACGACCAGTTCCTGAGCGCCATCCACGAGGGCATGACCCCCGGCAGCCGCAAGCTGATCCGCGACGTGTGGCGCGACGGCACCTGGGCCGAGTACGCCAAGTTTCCGCTCGAGAACTGCTTCGCGCTCGACGAGGAAAGGCTGTGCAGGGGTTTGGGATACAAGATCCCGGATTTGTTGTATATGTGCCATTTACTCGTTGCGTATGGTGGATTTAGGGATATTAGGCTCGAGCCTGGGGAGACGGTTATTGTGGCTCCGGCGACGGGAGGGTATGGCGGCGCGGGCGTGATGACGGCTGTTGCTATGGGGGCGAGGGTTATCGCTGTGGGGAGGAATGAGAAGGAGTTGGTGAGGTTGAAGGAACTGGTTCAGAAAGGCTCGCCTCATAACGCCGGCATCGAAACAGTGAGGTTGACTGGAGATGAGGTGGCGGATGCGAGTGCGATGAAGGCTTTTGGGCCTGTTGACGCAGTTCTGGATTTTTCGCCGCCGCACGCGGCGAAGTCGTCACATCTCAAGAACGCTATATTGGCTTTACGCAGAGGCGGGCGCGCTAGCTTGATGGGCTGGAATGAAGCTGTCGCTGTCTCGGCTCCCTACATCATAAGTAGGAACATCACGATGAAAGGGAAGTTGATGTATGAAAGAGAAGACATCCTACACTTCATCAAGATGTTGGAAAGGGGCTTGTTTCCCCGGGGCAAGAATTTTGTCGATACGAAGGTCTTCAAGCTGGAGGATTGGAAAGAAGCCCTCGACGTGGGAGCAGACCACACCGGTATTGGAAAATTCGTGGCTTTCACCCCCTGAGCTCGTTTAGGGGTATCGAAATATTGCTCTTCAAGAGCACCTAGGTAGTGGATAGAAACTGCTTTGCCAAATCACGAATAGACAATCTCCCCTTATTTTTCATAGGAACAATTAAATCCGGTGTACAAATGGTTTATCTTCACTGAGAGGTGTGATGCCGTTGTATGACTTCAGGTGATACAAGGGTTAGGGTTGGGGTTGGGTTTTCTCCGATCAGAACAGGGGCTCAACAAAATGCGCGTATCTTCCCAATAAAAGCCGTCTCCCAAGCACGAAAGCACGAATAAGTGAGAGATGAGTACTAGGAGTAGTATTCGGTGTGATATCGTTACGTAGGTAGTATTAATATACGGTGAACGGCGGTTAGGTGAAAGCCAACCTCGTACCACAGGTAAGGCGCCAATCGCCGTTAAGGGGGAGTTATTGTCATATAATCAATACATTAAGGTACAATAAATAAATCACCGTGATACATTGAACCATGCACTTAAGCCATATACTGCCAAAACCTAACTGGCTTGGACTTTCGGGTAGGCGATGCCTAAGTAGATTCGAGGTACCGTACGCTATCTACCCCAAGCCATGTGCTTGCTGGCAAGATGATGACGGTGCCGAGACTTACCATCTAGCATTGGCACGACGTATATCTCTTGGCGCTATCAAGTATCATTTGTCTACAAGACGTTACTGCATTCGCGTTGCTCCCAAGTCGACGATCCGTGGAAATGTGTTGCGAGCTCAGCGATTCCCCTGGCACTATTGGATCCAGAACTTGAAGCCATATCATAACAGTAAAACCAGTAAAACATAAAGATTCGGTCTATTCGCTTCGTATAGAATAATCGACGGAAGACTTGAAAATCGTTCTTTGTTGTCTATTCCCATGGGAGCTGAATATCAAAAGACGTGGCAGTAGGGCAAACCCTACGTCAAATGAAGTGACCAGACACGTAGCCCGCAATTTATGCAGGGCCTATCATAAAATCACATATCCTATGCGGATCGACGGTGATCTGCCAAGTTCTAAAAATACGACGCAGCGGGACCAACCTTATCTCAACGACCAAGCGATTTCGGTGTCATGTGCTGTGACGACCGTGGTTTATTGGGTCTCCACGCTCTTAAATGGATGTCTTCTATCGATTGGTAGCGGTATCGCCGTGAAAGGTCCCATATATGGGGTATATGGCAGCGATAATAGCCTTTATAATTATTGGGCGGCCCAAAATGTAGCCAGTGATGCTTGGATAGGCGTCACTGTGCCAGATACCCCTATGTATGCGCCAACGCCACTCCTTTTAAACCTGTCACCAAAGCAAACCCTCATATATCTCCTGAGGTTGAAGCGTTTCAAAACAAGAGAATTCTATCAAAAATTAGTACAAGAAACATGATTACCATTGTATTCCTATCTATACACATACTGAACGAAAACCTACCGCCATCATGAAGCTCTCGCAAAGCCAACTTCTCGCCGCCAGTCTCTGGCTTCCTTTCGCTCTCGGGGCCATCCGAACTGATCTTCAACGAAGAAACGTCGAAGTTGCAGAGATTGATAAGAACGCCCACATCGATCACGAAAACCAGGAGATCGTGTTTAAAGAGGGCGCTGATTTCGAGGACGTCTTCCGATGCACCAGAAGTAGTGGGAAGCGCCTTACATTCACCGCGGATAACGCTATCGCGGCTTGCTGCCTCCCAGGCCAGAGACTGCTTGGAAGCCTGGACACCGCATTCGACTGCTGTGCCCCAGGCCACAGCTTAACTGGGGCGGATAGAACTGGTTACAGGTGTTGTCCAAATGGGCAGTTCTTCGACGGCATCAGGTGTGGCGGGGTCTGCAAGAATGGAAGGACCATGGTTGACGGGCAGTGCGTCTGCCCGCCAGGAACAACATCAACCGTCGACGGCAGTTGCAAAGCGCTAACAGGGTGTGACTCGGGAATCACCACCGGTATGTTTATCTCGCTACATAACTACCTATATCTTGACTTGCACCCACGGGGACTAACAATACCTACTATAGGAGCATGCTACCTCTTCAAGATGGAAAACGGGCACACCTTCGGCTACGACAGCGGGCAGCTCTACTACAGCGCAGCGGACCACTCGAACCAACACCGGCCGGGCAAGTTCAAGCTGTGCAAGAACGAGCGGTGCACGGCGGGCAGCAGCGTGGACCCGCACGACCCGATCCGGATCAAGGACGTGCAGGGGACGATCACGCAAAGCTCGGAGACGCAGGGCAACCGGTGGCTCAACGGGGCGTCGGCGGGGAACCACGTGGGGCGGACGTCGCGGTACGAGGACGCGGGGCTGTTCACCATCACGAAGTGGTCGTGCGGCATGTACTGCCTCGGCGGCTTCGAGGACGGCGTCAGCTACGCGTGCCCGAGCGAGACGCCGTCCATCACGTTCACCCAGGACCGGCAGGCTTGTACTCCTGTCGAGATCGTCGAGGTCCCCTGCGACGTCCACTCCGTCGAGAACAATTGCATGTGGGAGAAGACGCCGGGGTCTTGCGGCCCCGGGACGAGCGGGAGCTGTCATTGCCCTAAGGGCTGGGGGCTACCGAGGCACGAGTATCTGGCCGTGCAGTGAGTGAGTGAGTGAGATACGATAGGGTGAGGTGATATGAGATGATTGCTGGAATTTGGAGTTTATTCGGGGAATGGGTTTAAGTTGTCGTCATTGAGATTTTTTTAGGTACTGATAAAATGTATTGTCCATTTATTCCGCCGGAATATATTAATTGTATCACTGCCGGTTGCGTTCGAGGAGGGCTCTTTGGCCTTATATCACCTATAATTATGTTATATGGACTGAGAGATGAGAGCTCGAGATTTAAGTAATGTGATGATTTAAGCGTCTGACAAGTGCCCCTTAGTAGACCAACCCCTTAATCAACGGCTTTAGGTATACTATCGTAAGAAATTTAGCCCTCATTCAAGATACGTGCTATATAAACAATTACCTGGGAAATATATTTTCTTGTCGTTGATTTCATAACCCCTTTTTCTAGCGAGACTGTATCCGTTCACTCCCATGGCGCTTCCCTTCACTTTTGCTTCTTCTAGTATACCGATGTCACTTAACGTCTATATTATCATAGATTATGGGACCCACACCGAACCATAAGGTCGGGTATAAGGTTGTGTTATTACTTCAGTGCAGGTGGCTAGGAAGTTATTGCCCAAGTTAATATTGGTAACCATAATATAATAGTTGACCGAATCTATCTGATTACGGCTGAGACCACAATAGGAAAACGTAACTCCTTAAACGATCTAGGCCCTGTTGCGAGAGCTCGGTGAGCTAGTTTCTTGGGGTGGCTCTCGGCAGGGGTGAACATCTCCGTGGAATTAGTATCGAAAGGGTCTTTAAGAAGTAACTGGGCTAGTGCTTGGTGGACTGATGTGCATATAGGGTGACCTGGTCGCGCGATTCCTTGGAAACTCTTCGCCAAGATGTCCTGAAGAAGTAGTACGCTGTAAACAACTCTAAACCATAAGAAATATGGGGAAATTTAAGAGGCGTTGCAGGTATTATTTACCTCATAGTTGTGAGATTCCCCAGGTTTGGGTGTCGGTGGAGAAGCCAGCTTCGTGATAATCTCCATCCTTTTGTTCATCTATACCCCACGCATGATGGCATTAGGTAATGTTAGCTTCATAGGGATGAATGATAATAGAGGTATCGAAAAGAACTAAGATCTGGAACCAAACAGCCGGGAAAGTTGGGTGTTACCACTATGCAGTGTACCTTCTGCATCGACGCTTAGAAGACAATAAACACGTCTCTATTGGCCAGGGACTGGATCGAAGCTGAGAGCTAGCTCAGAGCTGATAATATAAGGTAGATGGCGCAATGAAACTAAAGGTGACATAAGTGTAGTGAGGGCTGTGAGGGTAACATGGTACAGGTCTTGGTTAAGACTACCCCTGTAGGAAGGAGGCTCACATCATCGGAGGCCCACTATTCGTCATCTGCAAGGGCTACCGTTCGTCCATCACGAAGGCCAAGGGCAGGCGAGAGCAGGAAAGAGACAGGAAAGAGCAGACAAGTCCAGGTAAATTCATGTAAGTTCTGGTATCGATAATAGCTGATAGTAGCTCGAGCTCTGCAACAGGAAATAAATCCTTCATTGCACAATGCTTTCGCGTCGTAGCGCCATCTAATCCCATCCACCCCAGCCCACCCCTTCCAGCCCTTCCAGCTCCCCGTCTTCATTCTTATTAAATACGCCCGCATTATGCAGTCATATTTGACCAGACCTGACCCATCCAAGCCGACGATACATTCCCGGTGGGCACGCTGATAAGAGCTTGCCTTAACCTCACCTATCTCATGAAGACAATTTAGGTCTATCACAGGCCGCACGTGCGATATATCAACCCAATTCCGCTGTTGATTTATCTGGAAGGGAGTGTCTCAGTAGAGACACTGCGATAAGCTCCAGGGGTTCGCCCCAATAGCTTTTTGGGTTACCTCCTTGGTCACGTCGGATTAGGTAGTTCGCGGAACTGAATCATGTCGTCCACTCGGGTCAAGATTGGCCACGGTCTTGCCTGGTTCTTCAATTTGAACCTCGATCCCTACGGCCAACGCGAAGCTGAGCTTGACGACTCTAGAAATGCGTCTCAATCTCACCCTGACGTCGAGCCTTATGACGAAAAGAATCCTACTGCCGCTGACTGGATCCGAAGTATCACGCCGACACCCCGAGATATCTTCCAATACTTCTACCGCTTATTCCCGTTCCTCCATTGGATCACTAGATATAATCTGACATGGTTTATCGGCGATTTGATTGCCGGTACGCACGGAGCCCAAGCCCTCGCCGCACCTCCAAAGCTAACGTTTCTTGTATTCAGGCGTCACTGTCGGAGCTGTAGTCGTGCCCCAGGGCATGGCTTACGCCCTATTGGCTGAGCTTGAGCCTCAATATGGACTCTACTCTTCCTTTATGGGTGTACTTCTCTATTGGTTCTTCGCTACCTCGAAGGATATCACGATAGGGGTACGTCGTTCATATGGATTTTTCAATAAAAGCTTCAAATTTGCACGAGGCTAACCCCTGAGAAGCCTGTTGCGGTTATGTCGACTATTACTGGCGGGATTGTCAACAAAGCAGAAACAGCTATACCCGATGTTCCCGGACATGTCGTGGCTTCTTCCCTTGCCGTAATTGTTGGCGCCATTGTGTGCTTCCTCGGCTTGGCTAGACTTGGTTGGATTGTTGACCTTATCCCTCTGCCTTCGATTGCTGCTTTCATGACCGGATCTGGCATTAATATCGCCGTCGGACAGGTCCCTACTATGATGGGGATGAACACAAAAAAGAAGAGGTTCTCAACGCGAGACGCCACGTACTTGGTTATCATTAATACCTTGAAGAACCTCAAGTATACCACGATTGATGCGGCTATGGGACTCACAGCTTTGCTTATGCTATACATTATTAGAGAAACTTGCACGTACTTGGCTAAGAAGTATCCTCACCGAGAGAAAACCCTCTTCTTCGTCAATACCCTTCGAACAGCATTCGTCATATTGCTTTACACCGCCATCAGCGCCGGTGTCAACTTACATCGCCGGACTAACCCTCTTTTCAGCGTCCTTGGCGAGGTTCCGCGTGGTAAGAATGAATTTTAAGCTGAATATTACCATGGTACCTAGAACTAACCAAGCCTAGGGTTCCAACATGCCGGCGTGCCTGATCTCGACCCAGAAATCCTTTCCTTCTTTGCCTCTGAGCTTCCCGCGGCTGTTATTGTTGTTCTAATCGAGCACATATCTATTTCGAAATCGTTTGGCCGTGTTAACAACTACGTTATCGATCCATCTCAAGAATTGGTTGCCATAGGTGTTAGCAATCTCCTGGGACCTTTCCTTGGGGCGTACCCAGCTACCGGTTCATTCTCTCGCACTGCCATTAAAGCAAAGTCCGGCGTTCGCACACCATTTGCAGGTGTAATTACAGCAATTGTGGTACTTCTCGCTCTGTATGCATTAACAGCTGTCTTCTGGTATATCCCTCAGGCTTCCCTCGCTGCTGTCATTATTCACGCCGTTTTGGATGTCGTATCTCCGCCAAACGTAGTATACCAATTTTGGAGGATTTCACCCCTGGAAGTAATTATCTTCTTCGCTGGAGTTTTAGTGACCATCTTTGACACTATTGAGGACGGAATCTACACGACTGTATGCGTATCATTTGCTGTTTTCATTTTCCGCGTTTTCCAGGCGAAGGGGCGCTTCCTCGGTATTGCTAAGGTCCGCACAGTCGGGGATCTCAGGTCTAGCAGACGTACTAGCGAAAGCTCCAATGACCAGAAGATTACCTCAATTGTTGGCGAAGGCGAAATTTCAAGCGAACGCAACTTATTTATTCCAATCAATCACGAAGATAATTCGAACCCTCGAGTACCCGTCGAACATCCTTATCCCGGAGTGTTCATCTACCAATTCTCAGAACTGTTCAACTATCCGAATGCGACTCGTTTCTTGGACGGGCTGACAGCGGGAATCTTTAAACAAACACGGAGAACCGATCCCGAATCTCTTGGAAAACTAGGTGTAAGTTTTCGAAGAAATAATACTTTTGACTTCGTTTACTTATGTCGATTTAGGATCGTCCTTGGAATGACCCTGGTCCACGAAAGGGCCAGGTGGTTGTTGATGACACGGAAGAGCGACCTACTCTTAGAGCAATCATTTTAGATTGCTCTGCCGTGAATAACGTTGACGTAACTTCTGTCCAAGCGTTGATAGATGTACGTAACCAGTTGGATAGGTACGCTCAACCCGACACGGTCGAGTGGCATTTCGCCAACGTCAGGAACCCCTGGACCCGCCGGGCTCTCACAGCTGCTGGCTTCGGGTTCTTGCCGCCTAAGAGGGATACTGAGAGCGGATACCATTGGAAATCGATATTCAGTGTTGCTGATTTGGCAGACGCTGCCTCGCCCCTCTCGAGTGAAAAAGCGTTTGGAGGAAAGCGCGCGAGCGGCGACGAGGAAATTGGCGCAAAGCCGAGCTCTACCAACGAAACGGAGGGTACCATTCGTCAAGTACCACTTTACGGCCTGAATCGGCCATTTTTCCATGCTGATGTGCTAGAAGCTCTTGATGCCGTGTTGGAGAACGTTGAGCATCGACCTTCTCTTTTCAAGACTTAGACACTTGTCAACATCATTACAGAAGTATTATATAATCTATAAAACCATATACCCCAGCGACGGTGTGTCCGTTTTGAGATTTAGCCTTGCCATATGTACCCTCTATATCACGTGGATTAGAGATATGAAAGTGAAGCTCCGATAACATCCATCGTGTACCTTACGAGAGTTTGGGGGCACCTTCTAAATATCATCTGAGCTATATTTTTGTTTTATGATAATCATTTCAAGCTTTCTTCCGCAAATTGGCTTTAGTTTATATATCGACTTCATTAGATCTCGATCTCTTCTTTCTTCGCCTCCAAATCGCCCTTTCCAACGGAGGCTGCTGCGGCGGCAGCACGGTAATGTGCGGAATTCTTTCCCACAACAATCCATGGGGCATCTTTGGAAAATATGACGGTGCTCATTTGCTCGAGCGGCACGCGCTTGGTTTCTGGTAGGACGAGGTAGAAGAACAAGGCGTTGGTGGCATTGCATACGGCGAATACAACAAAATAGCGCCATCCGACAGCCTCTACAGCGATGCTGGTTACCTGTCCGATAAGCGTGTTGAAGGCGAAGGATATCATAGTTGACATAGATACACCCTTGGATCGAGTGTGAGTGTCGAAGATTTCGGCGGGGATGATCCTGTGGATGTTAGTTAGTGTATGGCTAAGCAGACGAGGGTAAGAAATAGGGGGCTTACCATGAAAGCGGACCACACGCGAATGAGAAGGAAATATTGTAAAGCCAAGTTCTAGAAAGAGGACCCGTCAGTTAACCCATAACTCTTGTATAGATCATCATCCACAAAGACGATAGATCCACTTACACGATGATGAACCCCCACCCAGCCGTGCTCCCGGAATTCGTCACGGGAGGAAACTTAGCCAGCAAAACGGTCGCGATTATGAACATAACGCAGTTCACCAAATTTCCCACGATAATCGTGGGCCGCCGGCCGAACTTGTCGATCAGCGCCATGCAGAAGGCCTGGGCGATGAGAGCCAGGATGCTGTTGATGGCCTGGTACTTGAGCGCGTCGTCGGCGGAGATGCCGATCTGCGCGAAGATGGTGACGGAGAAGTACTGGATGGCGGAGACGCCGGTCATCTGGGTGGCGGCCTGGATGGAGCAGGCGAGGAAGAGGCGGCGGAAGGCGGACGGGTTGGTGAAGAGCTCGAGGTACGACTTGGCCTCGTGGGCGTGCTCGAAGGAGACGGTCTCCTGGATGGACGCGTACTCGGCGCGGACCCAGGGGTCGTCGACGTCGCCGTTGGAGTGCAGCTTGGCCAGCGTGCGCAGCCCCTCCTCGGCGCGGTCGTGGTCGACGAGCCAGCGCGGCGACTCCGGGAACAGCAGGATCAGCGCGGCGAGCACGACCGCGGGCAGGTTCTGGATCCCCAGCGGCAGGCGCCACTGCGCGCTGTCGCTGAAGTTCCGGAAGCAGCCCCAGGTTATCCAGCCCGCGAGGAAGGCGCCGATGCCCAGCATGAACTGCTGCAGGCCCGTCACCCGGCCCCGGATGGACGGGTGCGCGATCTCGGATTGGTAGACGGCTGGAGAGGGGGGGATGGGGGGTTAGCAATGTCGTGTGATAATGATATCTTGGCCAGGCTCGTTTAGTTGGCTGGGAAACTCACTATAGTCGTAGTTAGCTTCTTCGCTTATCTTTTGATTATGAGGGGCTGGGTGAAGGGTGGAGAGTAAAGGGGACGGCTTACCGGATAATCATAGTCAAGAACCCGACGCCCAAGCCGGCGATTGAGCGGCCAGCGTACAGGTAATTCAGGTGCTGGGCACCGGTCTGAATGCCGCCGCCGAGAAGAAAGACGATGGCGCCGAGCATGATGGTTAGTCGTCGGCCGAGGTAATCGCCGGCCGGACCGGCGAACATGGCGCCGAAGAAGGCGCCGCCTGTGAAGAGGGATACTACGGCTCCGCTGTTTTGTGGTTTTGTCGTTAGTACAGCACGCTCAACAAAAAAGGGGCGAGGGGGGTTATAAGTGACTGGGTAGGTAATTAACAGAGAAGAGACTCACTTCTGAGCCGCATTCGCGTTGAATAGCTCGGCGTACGATGTGCTCCCGACCACGCCGGCGATGACGCCCAGATCGTAGCCGAAAAGCACCGAGCCCATCGAGGCGAAGACGCCAACGAGGAACTGTTCGAGGTGAAGGTTAGCTCATTGTCAATACTGCCTAGCCGCCATGATAACAAAGAGAGTTCATCGAAACAACCGAACACTCCAGTTATTTCATGACAGTTAAGAGTTCAATGCAGTATACACATACCTGGTAAGTATGAGGCTTCATCTTTGCTCAGTGTATTCGCTCAATTTCAGTTTCAATCCCTCACACATACGCGATTAAAAGGTGAGGTGAACTCGGTGAGCTCGCTCGACGTCGCAACACGCCATCTTATACCTCTGGCACCGTACCATCCCCGTTCCCCACCCATACATACGATCCATACTTACCCAAACCCAGCACATTGGAGAATCCTCGTCCACGCATGCTTTCTTCGCGGAGCATACTTACTCGATACGACCAAGGCCACGCACAGTCTTCGGACCCCGAACCCATGGTTACGAAGGGGGTAACGTCGTACCCATCTGTTCCTGCGCGATTGCTAGGCTACTATGTATTAGGGCGCGGGTTTGAGTGGAGGGAATAAATATCCGGGTTGGCGAAGCTTTAGCGAAAGGGTACCGGGCGCGGTTTAGCCCTGTGGGCGTTCTAACACGCGCTCCAATCAGCGCCCGGCGCATGTTGGTGCCATGGGGTAAAAGATTCGGGGTAAGAATCCGGGGTCGTAGGATGCGGAGATATCTCCCCATTACCTAGGGTACATTGTCCCCATTTCGTCTGGTTTCCTCCGCAGAAACCGCTGAGGCGCTCGTATCGTATCATTAAGATATATGAGTGCAGTCCGAGATGATGCCACCGTATACTAGTAGCTGAAGCTAAGGCTAGTATAGGCGATTATCCATTGGATATATGAACAGAGCTGAAAGCGACTAAATTAGTGGTCTACCTACTTTAGCCTTACCTACCTAGCCCAGCCAATGACCAAATCACTAATTCTACGAATCGGAGTACTCCGCAAGATGTAACCTAGATAGATAAATATTTCGATATTCAATTTTTCATACGGCATAGATTTCATACATATATAAAAAAACATAACGGTCGAAAGCAAGCCCAACTACCGCTGAGGTATCTAAAATCCCGTTGGAACAAAGTCCTAAACGCCGCCGTTCTATGGTATTGGTATATATATATCGGTAATGCCGTGCCCTCCCATGTCTTTATTCCTTTATGAATGCCAGCTCCCTTTCTTGCCCTCTGCTATGCTGTGTATGATCCGGCACCTCCACGTCTGGCAGACCTTTTCCCTGCCGAGGTTCTTGAACTTGGGCCCTTGCGGTCCCGTCACGTAGTGGTACTGGCCGAATAATCGCCATTGCCGCACGTCGTCTAGGCCGTACAGCTTGTCTCCCCAGGTCCCCTTGTAGTGAAACCAGCTCGTGGGTTCGTCCGGGTTCTCTTTAGCAGGCTCCAGGCCTTCGTCGTCTTTAGTCGCGGCATAATCGTACCAATAGCCCCTCAGATTCTTCGAAGGATCCCAGAGAGGACCTCGGTCCGTAACGTCTTTGAGCATCCCGAAAGGCAGCACGTATGGGTGGTTTCCAGGCGTTGCGTACATCGCGTGCGATCCCACGGCGCTGTAAATAACTGGTCTTTGTATTTGTGTTTCGTTCCCACGCTTCTCTACGGCATGCCAAGCATACGCCTGACCGCCTTCGTGCTCGCTGAAGAAGACGGCGCGAGGAACACCCGACTCGAATCGAATCATGCAATGCTCCCAATCGCCAACATGATTTCCGTAGCGAGTGCCCAGGACCGTCTGTCCGAGGTTATAGGCGTAGAAGAAAAACCAGAAGGCATCGATAATGCCAGATCCCTTGTCTACCAGAACAAGGGTGGCTGGCGCACGCGAGTATCCGGACTCATCGGGTTTATTTAGTCTGTTTAATTTGTCTTGCGCTTCTTGAGACAAGAGTCTCTGTTGCTCTTGCTGACGAGATTTAAGGTCTCGGGAGCGTTTTGCGAAGCCTATCGGTTTCGGCATGCCACCGGGCAGCTTGCGGGGGTCCGAGATTCGATGTAAGGGATGATCCCGGTCCACCTCATACCACGTCGTATCTTCACCAGACCGCCTGTCGGGCTCCGAATCGTCTGGCCCTTCGACCTCGTCATCCTCGTCACTAAAAGCGGCGGGTATGTTGTTCTTGCTATGAAGCCATTCGGGGCGAGATTCAACATCGTCCTTGCTGTTGAGATGTACAAAACCTAACTTAGAGCTTAGTTCGTTTAAATTCGATAGTCCTATAGGTTGCGACTCGTTGTTAAATTGCTGCCATTTGTCTTCACCGAGATCCGGCATTACATGTTTCATATGGTCGGCAATATCGGAGGGCCAGAAGAACTCCTTGGAGTAGAGGTGAACCAGCGGAGCATAGTTCAATACGTAGTCCGGAATGCCCCTCAGTTTGTTATCTTTATGCCCTCCTTTGGATATGACCGATAATTCCTCGTCCAAGACCTGTCTCAGTTCAAGCCTCAGTTCGTGGCCATCGTCCTCATGTTTCGGCTTCTCCGGAGGATCTCTCCTAACGTGCAATAGGCCGCAAAGACTGAACCAACGGCAAGCTTGACGATCTAACCAATGCGGCGAAGTATTAATCCATGCCTGGTCGGCTTCCCGCTTTTCCTTGCTGGGCGGGACGGGGTTGAGGGCTTGAGGTAAGAATGTGGCAAGGAAGACGACGACACCGACGACGACGGCGACGATGGTCCAGCGACGGAAATTGTACATCGAGAGGATAGTATGTTACCGATGCGCATAGCACGTCGGCGAAAAAGGATGGCGGTGGAGATATGTTTCTAGGTTTACAGCGAGATCATAGAGACGGTTTATTTGAAAGAGCGATATGACCGGATATGGCGCACAGGTATTCCGAAAAGACCGTGGGAAGTTTGAATGAAGGTGGGCTGTTAGAATAGAAGGAGAGGCTCAGAATGCTAATAAGAAGAAGGAAATGCCATCAATTGATCCTCCACATACTAAGACAACTTATGAGTCCAGCTGCTGCGCCCAGTTTGTGAGGATGTCAAGGAAGAAAAGATGCGTAAGAGGGTTAGCAGCTGCTATGTAAAGATTGTCATGTACGGTCTATGTAAGTAGGTGGGGGCTGAGTTGCGATTTTGATCCTTGGAGCCTTGGAAATGTTGGGTCTAGCTCGAAACGTTAAACGCTTACGGGTGCCGACCGCTGTTAACAGGAACCTAGTTCACCATCAAGGTTTGTATGAGGAAGGATGTACAGCCGATCATCCCTTTCTATTTTTGGTCCGCTCTTCCGGTACTGTCTTCCTTCGTGGTTGCCTTGTACCCCTTGAACCCCTGCATCGACCACACTGACCAGATATGCCGATAAGGAAATGATTAGCCACTTTGGCCACATTGCGCCACTCAGCTCCCGGAAATTCCCACATTTTTAGACAATTGGTCAGTCTCGACTTTGTTTCGATCTTTTGACACATCACGCGGAAGTAACTTCGATACTTTTTAGCCACTTATATAAATCGAATCCAGGCCTTTGTTTGACCCTGTAGTGACCCTACTACTCTTACTACAACACATCGTTGCGTCCGATACCGTTCCAACATTCAGACGTGAGCCGGCAAATAGCCCACGTGTATATCTTTCTTGGTATAACTTGCTTGGGCATGACTTTGGGAATATCGGTAATGTGGACTTCGATCTCAGACATTTCCCTAACTATCTAAACGGAATACTACATCCCCTTTTAGCCTGAGACATACAGCATCACATCACAGGATGATAAAAGCCCACGGGGCCTGTTGACTGATGACCAGCCGCAGTTCTGTGCGTGTAACCTAATAGTCTTCTTGAGACCTCTTTATCAAATTTCTCTCAAAGGGATTATAAAGAAATTCAGATGATAATCATATTCAAGACGTTGAGGTAACCATTGATCTGGCCGAATTCATTTGACCGAATCTCGCTAATAAATGCCTAAGTAATCAGGGGTATGTAGTGAAAAGATGAGTTTTAGGCAGTCAGGAACCAAAGCATCTTTTCAAGAGCCCAAATGAACATGCACAGAATCAAAACAAATCATCATGAATGTTTAGCTATATTTTTTGTAATGCTTTCGAAATGCTGAGTGTTAGCAGATACCTAGTCCTTTAGGTCATTAAGGATTACATCTGTACACGATGCATCAGTTGCCATGTACATCACCACTGCCACCAGCAAATCCTAAAGGGGTAAAAAGGGCCACATAAAACCCCCAGTTACACCCATCCGCAAGCCCATCAGAAGAGCTGCCACTCAGTAAGCCACGGCTTATTGCCCTGGGCATAATTAACACCGTGCTTATAACTGCCCGTCAGCTCCTCCTGCTCGATGCCCAGGTGCGGCATATCATCGCGTCCATCAAACCAACCCAGCCCATACGTCTTCCCCAGCCCCTCAAGCCTCTCCAGCATCTGCGCGTTATCGAGCTTGGCCGTGCCGACGAAATCGTACAGCATCTTGCTCTGGTGCATGAACGCCAGCACGGAACTTATCGTGTTCGGCTGCCGGGGGAGGAACGGGTGTCTTCTGCGGATAAAAACCGTAGTCGCGACCACGATCAGGTAGGTTAAGATGACTACGGTCAGGGCCAGGATCACGGAGAACGAAAGCACGGTCTCAGATCCCGAGCCAAGCCCCTTCTGCAAGAACTTATCGTTGCCAGGGTCCGCTTGGCTCAGGATGGACAGGAAATCCTTGCCTTCGACGGTGGCCAGGCTCGTTGCGAAGATGGTCAGCGCCTCGACGAGGATCGTGCCGAAGCCGACAACGAACACGGTCCAGTGGCGGTTGAACAGCGCGTGTGCGGCCACGACTGCGAACGGCATTGCCGTGTAATCTAGTGTCAGAGTCTTTGCGGGTGCATGTCGCTTGGAGAGGATATAATACGGCTCCATCATGCGGATAGCCGTCTCGAGGCTGCCCCAGGTGAGCTTGATGCACACGGCGAGCATAGTCACGACCCAAGGTGCTTTGGTGGTAAGCGCGCTTGCTGGTGTGAAGAGAAATACCGGGATGAAGCCTAGGAACAGCAGGACGAACACGATAAACGGGATGCAGCCCTCCGCGCGTAGCATTAACGGGTGTGGGTTCTCCGGTAGATCTGTCTCCTTGTATTTTTCGGCTCCGATACTACTAGACGTCGCGGACGGCTGAGAATCCTCGGGAACGAGGGACGAGTTGCGAAGGGCGTAACGTCGGTTCTTCAACCGGCGGTGGATTTCTTTGGGTGGTGCCACGTCCATATCTTTGAAATCCATCATGATATGACTTGCGACGGCCATAGACGCCAGTCCGGCGATTCCCATTACATCTGACGACAGACCCGAGCGTCGCGTATTAAGCTGGTAGAAGAGAACACAGCCTAACACGGCAATGACGAAGAATGTCATGGTCAAGATGCGCGATAAAACCGGGTTGATGCTAATAGCTTTCTCAGTAATGCCATTATCGAGCACGACTTCCGACACGACCAGGGCAGCAGAGCCGAGCGTAGGGACTAGGGAGACGGCGAGGATGGTGGCGATAGAGGATACGGCTACAGCGTAGTGTTTACGCTGCAGAGCTAAGAAAGGCCTCCCAAAATTGAAAAGGGTGATGTAATTGACGTTAATCGACTCCGCCGCCAGCGCTCCTCCTTCCTTCGAGAGTTGATAGTAAGCTTCAAGTCGCTTTACTTCGAAATCGGTGTTCTGCCATAACACGCCGAAAGTGACGGTGATGATCGTGGGCACGAATTTGATAATAAAGTAATAACCGGCTCCTAAATCTGTAGCTCGTTGGAACTCGACCAGAGGTTCCTGGAGTGATCTCTGATAAAGAATCTCCTGGGCAATGGCAAGTCCGATGGATAGGAGAATTAACCACGTCACTGTAATCCCGATAGTTAGCACCGGTAGCTCAACAAAGTCTCATATCAGTACGACCGCCTTGTAAGGCAAGACATGTCTCATAAATCGGTACAGCTCGACCATGTTTGTGAGAGCCACCCCATCGATCAACTCCGGAAAAGGGAACACAAAACTCGGAAAATAAACTCACAGTACGGCCACCTCATGGAAAACGGCTTCCAATTGGGCTGCGGGTAGAAAACCTCCGTCTTCCTCTCCCGCCTCGGGAGCACCGAATTACGTATGTGATCGCGGTCGTGATCCAAGCGCGCCGAACTTGGGCCAACCATCGTGCTGATGTCCACATCGGCCATCTCCTCCTCCCTTTCCTCATCCATCACGACTTCGATCACCTCGCCTCTGCGATTTGCCTCGCTCTGTCCCAACACCTTCAAGTTGGCGTGCAGATCCGCGCACGCTGGCGATCTGCGCATAGAGAAAGTGCGCGTGAAGCTACGCTTCAGCGGCGAGCTTGCCACGAGCTGGGCCCCGTCGATCCTAGCCTTAGGGGTTTCCAAACCTGAGCCAAGCCCGCCGGTGAGTTGACCGCTGGCTTCTTGCGCGGCCTGTAGTGACGTGAAGAATTCCTGGTTCTCCGCGCACATCGGGCCCTCGAAGGACGTTATGTCGACGGCGGGTGATGCCGGCTCGTTACCAGAGATGGACGCGGATGGACCATGAATATGGCTTTGGCTATGGCTAGCATTAGAGCGTTCAGGTCGCGCAGCGTGGTTGAGTAGTGACATGTCGATACTGTCGTCTTCATAGATGGTGTCCCTGTCTCTGGCCCTTGCACGAAAGCTCTTGAAACGATAAGCGTAATTCGAGTCAGAACGGCCAGACGACGAAATGGGCTGGTACCGGCCCCCGCCCGATCCGACGAAAGGGACGGACCACGAGGATCCTAGGTCGTATGCGCTACTATCGTCAGCGGTAGCGTCGTCCGCGGCGGCGTTTGGGCGGGCTGATTCGTACGACGACTGAAGTGATACGAGGGACTCGCGACCCCTGAGGCCGGCGGGCGACGCAGCGCCGTCGTACAGACCGTCTGACAGGTCGGAGACTTTGTGATTCAGATAGTGGTGCCGTTGTGCAAGTTGCCGTCCAGATCGGGGTGGCTGTGGCGGTGCGGCGGTAGACGTGGACGCATACTGGAAAGCGCTGAAGTGGGTATTGTTGTAAGCCATCGTCAGCGCATCCTGGCGCAGGTGAAATACTTGAGTATCAAGTATTTAGCTTACACCACGTTCGATTGATGAAACAAGGGACCAAGTTATGAATTCTTGTGTACCCCGCTAACGCTTTCAATTGTCCAGATCTGTAATTATCCACACTGGGCTAGTAACCGCAGGTCGTGAGAGGGCTCATGCTGTTGTGAGACGGTTAGTCGCACTCGCTGATGCCCGAAGAAGAACGTTGGAGCACTGCGAGTGCAGCAGGCCGAGTGAGCTGATTTTCTCGTGATGTCGAAGATTGATATTATTTACCGTCAGAAATAATATTGGTAAGCTTTAGTTTGAGGTCGTTCCCGAGTTGAACGCGTAGGGAAGACGAAGTTAGACCGAGACGGAATAGGAATAGGAAAAACCTAGCCTCTACCTTGGTGAGGTAGGTGTGCATAAGTAGGAAAGAACTAATAGGTTAAGCAGATTAGGCAGACTAGGTAGATTATGTATTACGGAGATAGTCACCAAACCGTTTCCGTATGAGTCCAGAGGGTTGAATATTGCACGAGGAACGGACACGACAGGTGGATGACAAACATTAGGTAGGATGTATATATGTAGATAGAATGAAATAAAGCAGGCATGTCCACCGACACGCGGGAACCTTCGAAAGGTCTCATTTCACTGACTCACTATTAACCGCAGAAAGTATTTCAGCCCGCCAACAATTAAACTAATAGGGAAGCAGGCTTGACGATGGTGCCGACACCATCTTCAGCTGTGGATTAAGCGCGGCGCAAGCGGTTTACCGAGAAGTTAAGAAGGGATTCGGGGCGCAATTTTTAATGGAGCCCTGAAGATATGGGCACTCGTAGCCGCATTAGTAGCGTAACAGCCGAACCTCAGCGACAAAGATTGGTCAGTTAGGGAAGCAGCTGCTGGGCATGACAGGGGTTTGAATGCCCAGGATCGATTGTGTGGCTTCCATGCTTCACCCGCCCACCTAGCTGAAGGAAGGCACGCCTGACCACGACGATCACGGCCACGACCTTTTAAGTTCCTTTCGGATCAAACATACCGAATCTTACTTAACCATCAATCATCTATCAACTTCCATCAACCCGGTTATCGTCGATATCCTCATTAGATGGATCTCTTCTTGAGAAGCCGTGTCACTTCGGACTTTGATATCAATATATTATTATTTGAGATACGTGTACCGATCGATAGGCGGGTAATGCATCATGGAATGCGCTTCGGGAACCAGCCTCGATCAGATTGGCCTGCTATCGCCCGATAATAAGAAATAATGCTCACGACAAGCCTCATCGAACATATATCGATACATGATCATGCGTCTGTACCGACAAAATATTCTCATTTCTCCTTTCTATGACCATATCCACCCGATCACTTGCGACTGTCCTGTCGCACAGAGGACAAATTCTGTAACATTCGACAGAATTTGACGGGCATATTGGAAGGTTACAGGATCTGTCCATTTTCGTAATTGTGCTATGCTCTTCCGCCATGCTGTAACTCGTGAGCACCTCTTGCCATATAACTTGGATCTTTCCTTCTTTCTATCCAACTACGACGTAGTCTGGTAAACTTCGTCTCGTTGGTGCTTTTGTTGCTTTCGTTACCACCCTTAAGTCTGCGTAGTCATAATGGACGACTTGATGGTTTTGACCGAGGAGGAGGTTCGATATTTCCTTGCCCTACTCTCATGGGAACCTAGTGGCGAAGACGATGAAGACGAGGATGAGGATGACGATATTCAAGAGAAATCCCGTATGCCAGTAGTGCCTGCGGGACAATTCATGTTCCTAGTCCTAGGGGCTAAAGGGTGTGGGAAAACATCAATACTAGAGAGGGTAACCACTACACTCAAAGGGATACGCATTCTATACATCTAACATAAAATAGTTCTGCCACGGCTCATCCGCTAAAGAAGTTGAAGATGACGAGTCACTCGATTCTGACGAACAAGAACGAGCATATCGCCACAGCATGAAGATCGAGGACCAGACATACATCTTCAACGCCCTAGAACTGCCCTCTCAGCACCTATCCAACGAAGAGCGGCTTAAGCAAGCCGTCAGGATCACAGAAGCTGCGGTCATAGTCTACGACGTTAGATCGAGAGCATCCTTCGGCCTGGCCTCGGAAATTCACAACCGTGTTAACAATTTGGTTGGTGGTGAGCGCATGTACGGCCTCGTCCTCTTAGCCAGCAATTCTGACTGCGAGGATGAAGAAAGGGAGGTCTCCTGGGCTGAGGGAAATAAACTGGCAAGGAGTTTCAATATTCAGTGTACGTTCGCCGAGACGTCCGCGAAGACGGGCGAGAACATCGACGAAATGTTTACCCAGCTGGGAAAGGAGGCGCTGAAACTCAGATGGCTCAACCGCCAACGGAGAGAGCAGATCGAACAGATATCGATTGATACGCATCAGTGCTCCATCGAACTTTCTCCGTTGAAACGTGTCGCTAGGTGGAGGTCATGGGCTCGACCTTGGTTCCAACGAAGGGCGGCAGAGAGGAAGACGTCTGCGCCGTATTGATTGTCGGATACACACTCATTTTTTCCATGATTTAAACCGTTTAAGTAAAGTTTTCAAGTAAGGTTCTTACATCCGTCTCACCGGAAGTAGGATGACATAAGATGGAGATATCTATCATTTATAACCGGAATATGCGTCTACTTAGGCTAATAGCACCGAAATCTCACGCTCCAAGCTGAGCTACTTTACATTCAAAACTATACCAAAGCGATAGGCGATTCAAGTTCATAATTCCATAACATTGTAACTATCGTCATATCCATCGATGTCTAGAACTAATATGTAGATAGACATGATAATTTACCGGCCGTAATACACCAGACCCTAAATGTAGGTATGTATATATGTGTGTAAGTAATTTTCCTTCAGGCGTAGAGCCTTTCTCTATAAATTCATCCCCTCCCCTCCGTCCCATCCTGTCTTTCCAATCTCCCCTCCCATCCAAAGATCATCAACCGACTAACTAATGAAACTGATCCTCCGTGACGCCCTTGCCCATGGCGGCGGTGCTGCTCACGCCGCCGGTGACCATCTTCTGCAGCTCGTCGACGTAGGTGGCGCCGCTCCACTTCTGGTGCTTGACGACGTCGACGCCGCCCTCGATCTCGGGCTCCTGGACGAGCTCGCCGTACGCGCGCATGCCGTTCTCGGCGTACGCCCGCGCGAACCGGTCGCTGATCAGCGCCGTCGTGTGCAGGCCCGCCAGCGTGATGAACTGCCAGCAGTACCCCAGCGTCGCCAGCCGCCGGATGTACGTCTCCTGCTCGTCGCGCGGCATCGCCGTCTTCCAGTTGAACGAGGGCGAGAGGTTGTACGCCAGTCTGTGTGGTTTGATGTTAGTCGGGTGCTCTACTAGTATTTTGGTATAATGGGTGTATTGGGTTGGAAAAAAAGGAATTGAGAGGGAAAACGTACTTCTGCTCAGGCCAGACGGCGTGCACACCCTTCGCAAACTCCTCCGCCTGCTTGTAATCCGGAAGCTTGCTCTCCATCCAAATTGCGTCGCAGTAGGGAGCATACGCGATCGCCCTATTAATCGCACAATCGCAGCCGCCCTTCAACCTATAATACCCCTCCCTCGTCCTCGGCGCGTCCCAATCGAAGTAGATATCCGCGCCGGTGATCCCGTGCGCGACGGCGCGCGCCTCGGCGAGGCTCTTCCCCTTAGCCCGGGATAGGTACTGCGCCGCGAGCTCCTTCTTATTCTGCAGCGCCGGCGAGGCGTGGATCGCGTCGACGACGGCCTCGTCGAAGCGGCGCAGGTTCGCCTGCTTCAGCCACGCGTCCTCGATAGCTTGTAATTGCTCGCCCGTCTTGCCCGACCGCTCCGCCGCGATCATCAGGTCGTTCAGCGGCTGCAGCTGCGGGTTCGTGCTGCCGAGGATAAAAGCGTGGTCGCGCGGGTCGATGGTCGTCGTGATCAGCGTCGCGGCCTCGGCGTCGGTGCGCGCGACCGCCAACAAATCCGTGCCCATGATGTCGGCCTGCGCCCGGATCGCCACCAGCCGGTTGATGTGCTCCGAGATGGGCACCAGCACCTTGCCGGCCATGTGCCCGCACTTCTTGGTCCCGGGCGCTTGGTCCTCGATGTGGATGCCCGCGGCGCCGTGCTCGATGAACAGCTTCGTCAGCTTCATGACCGCCGTGAGGCCGCCGTGCCCCGTGTCCGCGTCCGCGATGATGGGCCGCAGATAGTCGATGTTGGCGAGCTTGGCGCGCTCGGCCTTGGGCGCGCTGAGACGTTCCTGCCGCTGCTTGCGGTCGTGGAAGAGCTGCGCCATGAAGAGGTGCTTGACTTTGTTCGGGACGGTGGTCTTTTTGTCGTTAGTTGAGTGTCCGCTTAGGTACATTACCTATATACACAGCGAGGGTAAGCAACAGAGGTCAGGCTCACATATGGGTAGTCTGCTAGATCTGGACCGGGCTCGTCGGACGATGAGGCAGTCGACGACGATTGCCAACCGGAGACGTAGACGGTATCTAGATACTTGGCCATCTGCGTGAGCATGGTCGGCTCCAAGCAGCCGTACGTGTAGCTGGCATCGCGGTTCTGGAAGCGGCCCTCGAGGATTTTCCACAGCTTCTTCGACTGCGCGTTGCTCGGGTAGTCAATCTTTAGGTTGCCTCTCTTCGAGACGATCTGCTCGGCGGTGAACGGCCGTCTTGTGTATCTCCATCTGGGATCGCTCCACCATTGCTTGACGGCCTCGACCTCCTTCAAGAACAGCTCGTCTTCGACATCCGGGTCGATGGCCTGGTTGATCATGTTGTTGGACGCCATACTGGGCAATATGGGTTAAGAAGAATGGGGGACCAGTGATGATGTATGATGTCAGGTCTTCTCGAGATATGAGATATAGACCGTGAGTGTGGAGATTTTAGAATGGATGTCTTTGTCTGGTCTCTAGATCCGAGGTCGACGACACGATGAGTATATGGATGTGTATACTTGCACCTAGTTACCTTAGCTTACGCGGGGAAGAGAGGTCTAATATGAAGGAACGGGATTAAGTATGAGTCAAGAGCCAATTTACATGTGGATCTTTTATCAACAAAGAAGATTCCGAGCTACGAATGCAGGGAGACGGGTGAGAGAGAGATGACGGCGTATGTATATGTATATACATAAGCTGACACGAAAAAGCCAATCAACCCATCTGATCTACAAAATGCAATGGATCTCAGTCGGCTCAGAATACTTACCCTCGCAACCTGCCACAGGCCCAGGGGCTCGGCAGCGATCGGTCAAGCGGCTATTGAGCATTCCATCATATCTTGCCATCGATAGTATGACTGGTTCTGTAGCTTCCCCGTCGGCCACGGTACCGGCGCGCTTACTCATTGGTCGTTGGGTCAGACCCCTTCTCTCTTCTCTCTCCCTCTCTGCGCTCTTCAGCGGCGCGCCTCGGAACTAAGGAGTAGCACATGGGGTTATCAAGCCGCAGAGTTACCCTTCTCAGCAGCTTCTGACGTCGAAACGATGCGGCTTCTCGGCTCAAGGGGAGCTGGGAGGGCCTAGATGGGGGTAAGTGTGGTGCGTCTGGTTTGCCGTAATTGGCCGAGTTGCCGAGTTAGAGCCCAGAAGGAGAAGAAAGAAAAGCTACGGTAAGTTACGAAGGGGAACCCACTTGTGTTTAGTGGTCCCACCCCCTGGTCCCCCGCAATTGGAGGCGTCGGGGTTGTACTACGTGACTAACCGTATAAGAGGGTAGCAAGAACCGGCAGCCGGGATTAAGGATTTGGAGAAGGCTTCCTTTTGGCACTTGATAATGACGTTTTATAGAGTTGCTCTCTTCTATTTAAGAGTGCGCAGTTCGTACATATTCCAGTGAATCGACGAATACTTGTCATAGAAAATTAATTCGACTTAACAAAATACATTGAACTCGGTAATCGTTACAAAACAAAGCAATCTGTACTACCAAGCGAGCTAGTCCCTAGCCGGACATTTTAGTACCATGTATTCTGGGGTAGAGCAGCATATCTGGAGCTTGACATGTGAAGATCAAATGTATGAATCAGTCCACCCTGCCCAAGTGATCCAATAGAAAGGGACTAAAATGCATCGATAGTAAAAGCCATCGCAACAAAGGACCTCTTCCATAGACATTGTATGTATATCTTAAGCTTGTACTTGTTATGAAGCTGTGTAAAAGGAACGGAACCTTCCCCGTTCGCACCCGAATAAAATGCCTTGGTTCCCGGGCCTCGGCTTGCGGGAGTTTGGACGAGATATGCATTCAACGATAAATACTCGACATGCGTTGACTTCGAACTATTGAAACGTGCTAACGCAATTATACGTGAACAAGGATAGCTCATATTGGCGAATGATGGCCTACAAACGCCGGTCACTGTATAGCTGTTACCCGATTAGGTAATCTCATATATTGTGTTACCTTCGCCCTTGTTCAGCTTTTCCTCGATGGCATCTATTGAGCGTATACTGTCCGAGCACTTCAAGTATCAAGAACAAAGCTTTACATCAAACATACCTATTTAATTATCCTATTTGATATGAATAGGGTTTTAGGTTGGTAGAAGTGAGTATCGTTACCATTTCATTAATCGTCAATCTCGTCACTTGAAACCTCATCTTCAACATATCCTCAAACCCCAAGCTAGGTAGAGACTAGACAATACTTATTCATCGTCCTACACACTACGATACTACCTACATCAGATGCAGTGCACACGGATACGACTTATTCTTCCCTGCCATCTCCATCTATCATCTTCCGTCCCCAGCCCAGCCATCAGCCTTAATAATAACCATGCATAGAAAAAAATGATGATTCGTCAGGTGGTTAGGAGCATACAAAAAAAGCAATGCTTGTCCACAGTAACTGGTAGGGAATTTTAAGCGAGCGGTATCTGTCATCCCCGTTCGCAAAACATCAGTTTGGCCTTAGTTTATTTCTAAGGTGAATTCAGGCCAGCTCCTGTAAGAGCTTCTCCTCTTTCAGCTGCTGGGCCCTTTCGTACGTCTCGTACGGCGTTAGGGTCCCTAGTGCCCTCTTCATCTCAGTGTTGATGAACTGGAGGCCGTACACGTAGCTCGCGTTGACCCAACCGAACCTAGAAAGATGTTAGCCATAATTCTCTTCATCTTTTGATCTCAAGACTTACCCTTCCTTAGCAACACCTTTGAAATCCAATCCTTGGTTACCGTACTCCGCATCCACGCGGTGCGGGTCTACAGGCCTTGTAACATCGTACTTTTCCACTACTACACCATTGAAGTCGAAGAATGCCTTGGTCACCATGAACAGCCACTTATATGCCAGCTTCTGCGCCAGGTCCGCGTATCCGTACCTGTACAGCCCTGTCCACGCCAGCATCTGCTGCGGCGCCCATCCGTACGGATAATCCCACTGTCTGTTGGGTCTCTCTAGGCTGACCGCGCCGCGGCTCTCCTCCGTACCTGACAACAGACCTCCGTACGCCTCGAACTTAGGCAACGCGCACTTGACCACCTTAGCCGCGCGCTCCGGATCTGGTACGCCAGCCCACAGTGGCCAGAACGTCGTACAGCTCTCGTACGTGCACTGCTCCTGCTTGACGGTGTCGTAGTCGAAATACATGCCCTTATCATCGTTCCAGCAGTACTTATGGATCGCTGCCCTTCTCCTCTTCCATCTCCGGTCCCAGATCGCTGACGTCTCCACTTGACCGGGAACCATGTCACCGCCGCACCATTCGGCCGGGATCTCTAGTTTATCCCCGAAGACATTGCGGATCGTACGCGCAATGTCCATCTCGTACTTGTAGATCAGCGAGTTCAGGTCAATCGTCGCAAGGTTGGCGCAGACCTTTTCGAGTCTGTACGACGTATCGTGGCCCGACTCTCGCACTGCTCGGTCGTGGAGGAAGTATTCGTCTAATTCCGGTTCGTCAACCTTTCTATAGTTATATGCTCTGACAAATTCTTCGAACGTCATGTTGTATTTCTTGGCGTAGGGTTCGAGGATGTGGACGAAGTGGGAAGCTTCCGTTTCTGGTGGCACGCCTAATCCTTCCGGACGGTACCTTGACAGACCACTCTTCGGATCCAGTCGTGGCTCTGCCGTCCACACGCAGTAATATTCCTTGATCGCGGCGAGGAATGCCGTGCGAAGGAAGTCAATGGCGCCAGGCTCGTGCTGGATTTTCTCGTACACACGAAGAGCCATATCGGTTAAGAAAGGCGGCTGTGATCGCGACAAGTAGTACGATCTAGTTGCGTTGAGGATTTTGCCATAGTGTTTAATGCAGAAGCAAAAGTTTTGGACCATCGACTTGGCGAGGTACGCCTTGTCATTAACTAGTAGCCCAAGAGACTCCATATAGCTATCCCACCCGTACAACTCATTGAACCTCCCTCCGGGAACCACAAACGGAAGCCCGCGCAGGGTTTTCTCTCCAGTCTTCGGGTCTACAACTTCCTCCATATCGACCGCAAGCAGCCCAGGTTTATCATTCATGTCTCGTACTACTTCGGGGGTGATCTTCTCAGGCAGATATAGAACGTCTAGCCGAATTTCTGGTCGGTCACGAGCAACTTTTTGGTAAAACTCGTATTGTTCCGGAGCTCTCCTCGGAATATAGATGCGAGGTCGCGGATCATCCGTCCAGTCTTTGGGATCCTTCGCCGCTATTTCGATGCTCGAGGCGTCGATACGACGAGTCAGGCCGTCCCAGAATTGAGTCTTGATAAGCCTAGATAATCTGCTAACTGGGTTCTCATTTAAGCGGCCTATATCGAGGATGATTCGTTTACGACCAAATTCTTTCGCCATGTATAATTCTTGCAAGAGGTTTGAGAGCATATATGTGCCTCGAATGTCAAATCGGTTATAACCGCCAGACGCAGCAGTTCGGAGAGCCATCACCTAATTAAAACAATTTAGGGACTAATCCACAATGACTAGGTTATGAGGTTCTGAGGGACTAACCTTCGGACCAGCATCCTCGATCGTAATTTGCATGTTTCCATCGGTATCTTCTTGAGCTTGTAGACTCTCCAGGGTACTATCAACATCGACAAGGAATTGGCGTGAGTGCTGCCTGCTCCCCTCATCTGAGTCAGGAGATTTAGTTCCCTTGCCTTCTTCATATTTAGTGAGGGTGTTCCATACCGTGACTACCTCGTCTGTGCGGTTCGTGGAGCGCCATTCGCTCCATCTCTTGGATGATACCATTCTAGATCATCTTAGCCAATGATATACGGATTGTCGTACAAGGTAATACATAGTACAGCATACCTGGGATAGTGTGCGGTTCCGCTTGTTCAACCGATCGCCATGCCGAGCATCGGAGGTATAGTAGGTCTTAGCATCGTCGAACACACCAAAATCGACACTTCCGTCGCGGACTCCGTCTTTTGCATCGCGCCGGTGGCCTTTCGTGACACCCGACGTTAGTAAATCGGCCATGGCGAGTTGGCAAGAGCAATTCGCAGGCGTTTTGAGGGTAAGGAGAATCAAAGAGGAAGCAATACAGTAAAAGCGGTATAGGATAGTTCGATCGAATGTAGCCAAGCTAGTGGGGTATTCCGGAGATTCTATTGCGTCTTTTTGTGATCGAGATGTCCGATGCTCCCTAAATGCGATGTTTTTTCTAACCGAATTACTCCGTGACTAGTAATTTCAACAAAAAGGTAGAAGAGCGCGAGTTGATTATGTCGAATCCGAGGGGTTAAGTAGTGAGACGCGCGGGGGGCGAGGGGATCGTGATTGTCGTGGGAGGGACGAACCTAAGCTAGGGCACTGGTTGGTGACCGCCACGAAGCGACAGGGGATAAAGAAGTAGTAGAGACGAACAGATCAGACCAAGGACCCTGCGTAATCACAAGCGTCTTACAACCAACGGGGATTGAGGGCGAGACTCTATCGTCAATCTGGAAGCCAATCAAAAACAATCAATATTACACACGGGCGGCTTAGTATTTGTGTTGAGTTAGGGGTCGCAAGAAAGAGTATCGGATGATAGGTTGAGAGACAGGTTAGTGAGTTAAAAGATAGAAGAAATTGACAACTTTCTCTAGAGAGGTAGGCACGGGAAGTTATGTAGTAAGTATCTGCTCCAGATTTAGTTCAACGTTGAGCAGGGGTAGATGATGTCAGATGCCTCCAGGTTAGACGGGTTAGAGTAGCAGAGTAGGTGCGGAAACGGGAAGCAACTACCCAAACCTTCACCTAATTGACTTAATTGACCAATCCGCTTTGCACTTGTACGTAAAGCCTAGCACGTGTCCACTCTCGCATGGGGGTCTTCTTCCAATAAAACGAGGGCGGCTTCTCGCTCTCTTGCCTCAAGTTAGCCTCAACAATGAATCCCTTTCTCTCTACGAGCTTTGTTACGACGTTACGTGTAAAAACTCCAGCTCAATTGTAACTCTCGATTCATAGGTAATTATATACCACATCAATTCCGCCAAGTATCAAATCGAAATATCAAGCAAATATACAACTTTAGACCCCTAAGTTTTAATATATTCTATCGATTTCTATTCGACTGTCGAATATCACAACTATCAGGGACCTTTGACTAAGCTCAACAAGAACGAGAACTGCAGGATGACGGCGTAGCCCCGCTCCCACCCTACCTAAGTGAAATACCTAGTATATTAACCCTTTTAGCATCCAATCGAATTCTTGATTGTCCTCCGTTTCGGTAACAATCCCGGGAGCATGTACGATAAGGCGATTCCAATTATGGATACTATGCGATGTGTTTCTATATCACATTCTTGTAGTACGCGATCTCATCTAATAAAGCTCTGCTTGGCCTATTAGTCTTGGCCCTTCTAGAGTCTAGTTGTGGGCTTACGGGACAAGCCTGTCTTAAGAAAGATCTTGCTCCGATCTTTGACGAAACAACGGGGCACGTAACGTCAAAATATGATGTGTATCCCCACCTCTTCAGGTGATTATGAATTCATATTCCCACTGTTATCAAAACGGACCGTTTTCTAAGTTGACATGTGGCAAAAGTTCCCGGTTGTCGTGTATAGACCTTATATTGAGTTGATGGGTATCTCTATAGCGCACCTCTAACATTCTTCATGTGGATTATGCTGACCCAGAGAGTTGGATATTTAGCGTGTCCAAGGGGTCGACTGGTACTAATATAGTAATTAATGCTATAGCATGTCTTTGTTCTGTAACCACGTGCGTGAAAAGTAGTATGCACATTCTATACAAGAGGCAATTTCTATATTTGTCTTCGTTCTGGGGGTTTCGTTTCTATATCCCGAAAAGCCGCACATAGCGGGATGATATCAACAACTCTTTCACCAACTACCTACCTTTCTACACCGGGATATGAAATCTAACACATCCAGTAAATATGCGCCATCAGGTTACCAAGGTAGTACCTGATACTATCATCAATTTTTCTGGGGTCTTCCTTACTTCCATTACTGCTACAAGCGGTTATAGTAGGTATTTGCGGCTTTTATCCCTAAGCTCTTCTTACCCAGGCCTCGGCTTCGATCATACCACAGTCTATACTAGATCCGTCCTACCATCTATGGAGCATGTCGAGAAAGAGAAAGGAGATATACCTAAGGCATCCATGGTGAAGCTTGAACGAGCCCTGACTAAAGTTCATACCCTTATGGATACCATAACTGGATCCGATATTTGCGCTCCGTAAAGTGGGTAGTATATCCACTGTGATAACGAATTAAGGCTCTTATCGGATCATTAGCTGTAGCATCCGATATCTTCGTGGCGCATATTCCAACCCAAAGTCGAAGTTTAACATGGACTCAAATAACAAAACGCAAATGCGATCCGCTTTCCAGGAGTATCCATACCTACTCATCCGCCGAGTCTGGAACTTTCAAGCCTGCCTCATGGCTGGTTCACTTCATGTATCCAGACCCATTAGGAATGCGGGTCTCGAGAGAAGTCGAGCATGTCATCGCCGGCCCGAATCTTAGACGTCGTTCTGCAAGTGGAAAACGATATCCGCCTGTACGAATTCCCTACTTGACGCCATGGCCGACACGCATGTGGCTTCAAGCCGCAAAGCGAGTCTGGTATCGACGAGCTCCCGTAGGCAGTTCGATACGCAATCGGTGTGCTAAGACTTTTAGCCGAAATATTTCGAACAAGCTGTTTAATGTTCCTAAATATTGCACGTTTTAATCAAGACTATACAAGCAGTATACCTCCATCATACAAATAAATGACGATGTGGCTGTTGGGGTAGATGCACGTACCCGACGTTCTTTGCAGCCTCATATTTCCTTGGTGACCTACCAACGTAGCAATGTTGCGTTGTAGATATTCTATATCTATAATGTTTGATGATTGATAGAAGTTGACCCGTAAGAAGCGAATGGCCTTTTACCATGCTACCTAGGTAGGTATCTGAGCGTGTTCCTTGTGTTCCTGGTGAGAGCGATATAAAATAGGGTTAGACTCGGACTCAATATGCTTTATAGGTATACATGGGTAAGCAGGTCTTATTCATCTCGAAAGTTAAAGGGAAATGAAGTCAAACTCATTTAATTTGACTCTATTCTAAGGTTTTTACCAACCCTATCAACTCATCGTTATAGCAGTGAGATTGTAGATCCGGCTTCATCCAGGTGCCGATCTCCGGGCGCTAGAGCCGGTAGTGCTAGAGAGCACTTACCCAGCTACCTCGAGTGAGCTACTAGCGGCCGCCTTGACAGCTTGAATAGCTAGAGGTAGGTGCGCTGGATGGGTTTGGGGTTTTGGATCCATCTATTTGTGGGTCACGCGGGAGCTTACGGAGGACGCTTTCAAAATATTTTGCCATAAGGGGACCCACTTGCAGCTAGCAATAAAATGGGTCACCTGCCAGCCAGCTAGTTAAGGATAAGGTTACATTAAACTTAAAACTCTTAACTTAATTACAACCTTAATTGTTATTTAATATTTAAAATAATTTTTAAATTATAAATTTAATTATTTAATTATTAATTTAATTATTTAATTATTAATTTAATTATTTAATTATTAATTTAATTAATTATTTATTTATTAATTTATTTTTTATTAAAATAAAATATTAAAATAATTATTAAATTAATTTTTTTATTATAAATTAATTTTTTTATTATTTTTTTTATTTTTTTTATTATTTTTATTATTATAAATAAATGAAATATTATTATTAAAATTTTAATAATTATTTTAAAAAATTTAATAATTAATAAAATTAATAAAAAAATAAAAAAATTTTTTAACGTTTTTACTTATATTTATAATTTTATATATATTTATATTATTAAATAAAAATTTAATTTAATTATTAAATTATTTATTATTAAAAATAAATAATTAAAAAATATTTTACGTAACGAAAAATTTATAATTTAAAATAAAAATTTTAAAAAAAAAATCGTAAATAAATTTAATAAAAATAAAATTAATAAGAAAAAAAATTATAAAAAATTAACGAAAAATTTATAACGTAAAAATTATAAAATATTAATAATTATTATTTAAAAAATTTTAAAAAAAATAAAATATAAAAAAATTAAATTTATAAAAAAATTAAAGTTTAATAAACGAATAAAAAAATAAAAGTTAAAATAATATAAAATATATAAATATTAAATTATAAAAAATTAAAAAAATATTATTTAATTTAATAAAATTATAATTATTTTTTATTAATATTAAAAAAATTATTATATATAAAAATTATTTTTTAAAATAATAATAAAAATTTATATATAAAAATAATAAAAAAATTATATAAAATTTATATTTTAAAAATGTTTTATTTATAATATAAAAAATTTTTATTATTATTAAAAATTAAAAATAATTAAAAAAAAAAAAAGTTATAAAAAAAATAATTAAATTAAATATTTAATTTAAATTTTATTTAAAAAATAAATAAAAATTAAAAATAAAAATACGGTAATTAAATTTTCGTAATAAATTTAAATTTAAATTAAAATAAAAATTTAATATTAAAAATAAAATATTTAAACGTAATAATAAAAATAAAATTAATTAATATTATTATTATAAAATAATAATTTTAAATAAATTTATATTTTTTATAAAAAAATATATAAAAAAAAAATTTAATATAATAATATAAAAAAATAATGTTTTTTTTTATATATATTAAATTTAAAATAAAACTTATAATATTTATAAAATATAATAAATATTATAATATTTTAATTTTTTTAATATAAATATAATTAAATTAATTTAATTTTATATAAAAAAAATTATTATTTATAAAAAAGTTTTTTAAAATAAAAAATAAAAAATTAATATATAAATTTTTTATTAAAAAAATATATTATAAAATAAAATTTAAAAATAAATTAAATAAATCCCGGTATATATTAAAAAAATAATTAAATTAAAAAAAAATAAATATAAAAAAAATTAAAACTTATATAAATAATAAATAAAAAAAAATTATTTTATTAATATAATTTATTTTAAATTAAAAAAAATTAAATAAATATAAAAAATATAAATTAATTTTAAAAATAATAAATTAAAATAAAATTTAATAATAATTTTAATAATTATTAAATAATTCGTAATATTTAAAGGATTTACCACATCCTTAACCAGTTAACTAACAGGTAACCCACTTTATTACCAGCTGCAAGTAGGTCCCCTTATGGCAAAATATTTTGAAAGCGTCTTTCGTATCACAGTTTAGTATTTGATATTACCCCGAGTTTGAGGATTGCAACCCTCTCTCACTCATACTTTCACTTCCATCTTACCATCCACAAAGAAGCGGCTGTTTTAGCGAACCACGATTATCCAAAAAGTTTCTCACATTCTTCTAAAAAATGATAGATCGTTTAATGAATCCTGTTGGGTGGTCAGCGTCACATTACCGGCCACCCTGAAATTGGTCAATATTCAGCGCTTCGGCGGAGGGAATCAATTTCCACATCGCTCACTAAATCCCATCCGATGCGTGAAGCAATGGTTGGTCTTCATGCGGCTATGTGCCCGAAGCCTAGGGCATTCTGATTTATCGTTCGAGGTTCGCGGCGTGAAATAGATCCGACATTACGGAGCTAGGATCTCCAGCCCTGTATCAATAGTTCTCAAGCTGACCACTTACCAGAGGAGCCAAGAGCAAACTTCAATGTTGTTTGTCCCCTTAGAGTTGCGCTTGTGGCTGAAGTCATAATTAGTTGGCCTTCCGCATTCAATGTAGTAGAGCTCCTGAATTGCTGACGCAGCTATTACCCCTGTTCGATATCATGCAAGTTGTATTCGCAGTTTATTGCGCGCTCTTTCTCCAATGGCATTGAGTGTGTTGGTAGGCTGGCCGAGAGCCACGAGCCGCCAGAGACTAGCCTCTGCCATCCCTTGCCACTATCACAGTCTGCAGCCATCTCCGTTCCTATTGCTACCCACCGACGCTTACCATCTAGCATAACAACGCACGAAAACCCGTATCAACATGAATACGGTGTTACACATTATCTTTTCCAGCTGGCCAAGTGGGGGTTGCTAAACCGTCGCAGCATAGAATATGGCTTTAGTTCCGTAGTCGAAAGCTTCTCCGTCTTATCGTATTATGCATTTCGTGGCTTCGGGTATGCTCCTCGATTCTTCGACGTGCTCACGGGTATTATTGAACGCTACTTCTAGTCGCTCAGAGGCCCTTCTCAGCTTACCATTTTGTTACGCCATAAGGTTTTATCGATTTTGCGGCTGTAGGTGAAATTCCCCTAGAAAAAAGACCATGGCGTCGTAAAACAAAAGGCTATAGACCTTTCTCGTGCCACTTCTCTCGTTAGATTTGTTGTTCCTTCCAAGTCGGCGAGATCCCATCCTATACAGTTTTCAAGAGGAATATTTCACTCGTTTTTCTTCTTCGTTTCCGCGGAATCCGCCGCAAGCAGGCGTGGTAATCGTTTCTTACTCCCTTCATGATCTTTGAAAATGGGTTTCCTTAAGTCGTACTTCGCTCCCGGCCGTGCCAAGGCAGAGGAAAATCAGGAAAATAAACCAGCAACAGAACTCAACGAGACTGGCCCGAACAGTCCAAAATCTAATGTTCCCTCTTCGATCCCAGGCGCTGTTCTTGACGCAGACGTGACAATACCGAGACGACCGTATTTATCACGATCAGAATCTGTCTCCACGCATTCCATATTTCCTACAGGAGATTTTAGGAATGATAAAGAAAGCATGCTCCATGTCAAAGCAGACGTTGTGTGCAGTTGGTTATATCAACAGCAACTAGAAAGACAATATGCAACTGGCATGCTTCCCGGCGAGGGTGTTGTGCTTAAAAAGGGCAAAAATAACTACACGTGTTGCCCGCCACAACTTCGCGATATACCATACGGTCTGTATGATATGTCGATGGAACTGAACGTCCGGGTCCGTATACGCCTCTTCTATTTCGAAGAGATATTGTGTTGACATATTTTGTAGTGCGCGATGACCATTAACACCAGAGTTATTAACGTTATTCTGGCCTCGAAAAGGAAGACGTACGATTATATTCCACTTTCTGATGGCCTTCGCTTGCAAGTATTACCCAGTATGCGCGAGCTTCCTGGATGCCAGAAACATCACTTTGCTGCATTCATCCAGGACATCCAGATCTTAGTTGTCTGGGACGATGAGCCAAAGAAAGTTCTTGCAAGGGCCGATGCCCTAGAGGCACAGCTGATGAAAATGATCTGGGGCCACGGGGAAGAAGAGGATGAGCAAGAAGAGGAGAGGGATGAGAAAGTTGAAAAGAATCAAGGCGTCGACGTCGAAGTTACAGGAATGGATTTGGAGGCAGCTGCACCCGAACCAGAACAAAGGAAGACCAAACTCAGCAGTCCATGCATCGTAGGCGTAACGTTGGCCCTTTGCATTTGCTGTATGGGTCTCGGCCTTAGGTCTCTAGCTTACGAAGTCGAAACGGATGGTTCGTATGTTCGATTAGCACTCATCGCTGTTATCCCGGTCGAGATGTGGGTGGCCATGTTCTTCTTCCAATCCCTGATTACCAATCTTTTCCAAACATTCGGTCCTATATCTGCCGTCGACAAAAACTCGAGATTCTATTCTGGAAAACCCCCAAGACGACTCAACCGAGAGATCCAATCTTTACCTCATGTCACCATACAGATGCCTGTTTACAAGGAGGGCTTAAGGGGTGTCATCATACCAACCATCCAGTCGCTCAAGCAGTGCATATCGACGTATGAGATGCAAGGCGGTTCAGCTAACATTTTTGTGAATGATGATGGAATGCAGCTGATCCCGGAGGATGAAGCCCAGACCCGACGCGAATTCTACGACGAGCACAACATAGGTTGGGTTTCTCGGCCGAAGCATAATCCAAAGCCAGAAGATGACAGCCGACCCTTTCTCCGGCGTGGAAAGTTCAAGAAGGCATCTAATATGAATTATGCCATGATGGTGAGCAACCGTGTCGAGGATAAGCTGGTTCAAGTTCCTAGAACTCCGCATTGGTCTCAAGCAGAGGAGCAGGTTGCGTACGAGCAGTGCCTTGCCGAAGTCCTACAAGAGGACGAAGGTCGCACCTGGGCCGAGGGCAACATCCGTATCGGTGATTATATCCTCATCATCGACTCAGATACTCGGGTACCACAAGATTGCCTGCTAGATGCCGTCAGTGAAATGGAACAGTCTCCGCAGGTGGCCATCTTGCAATTCAGCTCCGGCGTCATGCGGGTAACGACGTCTTTCTTCGAGGGAGGGTGAGTTTTATGATAACCTTCCAAAACGAATGATTCATATAAATGCTAACTTATTCTTAGTGTTACTTGGTTTACTAACCTCATTTACTCGGCCATCACCTTTGTGGTAGCGAATGGCGATGCATGTCCTTTTGTTGGCCACAACGCCATACTACGATGGTCTGCTATTCAAGATGCCGCTTCATATCAGGACGAGGACGGCTATGAGAAATTCTGGTCTGAATCGCATGTGTCGGAGGATTTCGATATGGCTCTTCGACTCCAGTGTGCTGGCTATGACCTCAGATTCGCGTCTTATACCGGGGAAGGCTTCCAGGAGGGCGTCTCTCTAACGGTGTACGACGAGTTAGCGCGATGGGAAAAATACGCATACGGTTGCAACGAGTTGATGTTTCATCCCCTCAGGTACTGGCTCACCCGCGGTCCCATCACGCCTCTCTTTAGAACATTCTTGTCCTCGAATATCCACCTACCCAAGAAGCTCACCATCTGCACCTATATCGGCACGTACTACGCCATCGGCGCTTGCTGGATCTTGACCCTCATGAACTACTTTTTATCCGGCTGGTTTTTTGGACTATATGACAAGTTCTACATAGATTCGTTTGCCATCTACGTCTCGGTCATCGTCGTCTTCACGGGGTTTGGCAACTTCGCCCTAGCTATCCTGCGGTATCGGCTTAACCAGCAAGGGCTCATCGCAGCTTGTAAGTCTCTTCCAACTTCCATGCTATACCTAAAATCATCGCGGTAAGAAAAGGGACTAACCATTCGTTCACTCACCGCTAGTCTGGAGCAATATCAAATGGGTCCCGTTGATGACTATCTTCCTAGGCGGCCTGTCTCTGCATGTATCGCAGGCCCTCCTTAGTCACTTCTTCAGCATCGACATGACCTGGGGTGCGACGTCTAAGGAGTACGAGGAGGTTAACTTCCTCGAGGAGGTGCCGCGCCTGCTCCGCCGATTCAAGGGCACCTTTCTCTGGTGCGTTGCGATGACGGCTCTGATCGTATGCGGCGCTTTCGCGTTCCCCATCGAGTGGAGAATCAGGCACTTAGCGTCCATATGGCCGCTCGCCTGGATCGTGGGGTGCCACTTCTTACTACCGGTTGCGTTGAACCCTGCGCTCATGGTGTTCGCCTGGTGATTTTTTTACGTGGGGGGTTTTAGACTGCGGTATATAAAGTAGATAGTATGCCTCATAGCATCTAAGGAAAAGGGGGCTACGGTATAGGAATAGTATGTTGAGATTACCTAATTTGGATTTCTAGAAACAGTCTTCAAGTCCTTGCCACGCGGATGATGTGGAACTGGGGTTTGACGGCTATGACTAATTTTATTCCTCGCGAGCTGAAATCAGTAACTGATCCGGGGTTTCCTGCGTTGGCATTGAAGATATGCATACGAATTTTATACATCAAGTAACGCTATGGTACATACTATTTATAATGCCTTCCCGAGATCACATGGAAAGTTACATCTATTATCTATCTACCCTGAATACGTGACACGAATCGAGACGGAGACAAGAGGAAGAGGAAAAGTTGCTAGGGGAGGCATTTAAAGGGTCCCCATAAAAGGCGATCGATCATCATGTCTTAGTCGATCCGGCAGTTTAAGACAACATATAGCTATTCGTCCGGATACTTTTTGTTGTGCCGGCCGGCGGTCTGCAACATATATTAAATTCCATTCGACGGTGTGAAGCTGTGAGCTGCGAACTGAGACCTGCCATGCCGTCGTGGTCTCACGACAGCTCAAGCTGCAGGTCAAGTGAGCATAGTGTTGGGACCCTTAAGCTTAGCTACAGCTTAGCTACATAGAACTAAGGCGTGCCCTTTTCGGGTTTCTAGCGAGGGAGAAGGCCCCTAGCCTAGATTGGGGGGCGGACTGCAGCGTTGCCCCTGATGACTAGAATGGCGTCAAGGTGAATGCATATTTTACGGAGTATAGGATGGTATCGTGTACTTCGTCAGTTTAGGGCTGTTTGAGGAGAGTCCAATTGTCGGGTTACACATGTAGTGCTGTGAACGTCGTGAGATTTCTTGGAATTGGGGTGAACTGGGGTTGAAGGATTGTCTCCCGCTATACCATTTTCTTATAAATCGGTTCTGTTAAAGTCAATGTTCCGTGAAGTCAGGCCATTTACAAGTAAAAGGAAACACCATTTTGAAGAATACATATTATCATTTACCTATAGGTACATTTGACGGATCCATTCTGTTAGGTAACAGAGAAATCATAGCGATACTAGCGCCTCGTAGCGCTGATCCTCACGCAGCTTCTCCTCCAGGGCTGCTTCTCACGCCTGGCCGTAGCGAACTAGCTCGCCCCACTTACCCGCTACAGGCAAGCCGGCAACTCTATTAAAAGAGTCCGGGTACATGTAGGTATGGATCTGATAATGACGATACGAAGCAGGTACGTTCACACAGGCTCATCCACGTAATAATTATCGAGTCACTGACATGATAGGCAAGGTACCGTGACGGTACAGTACATTTGATAGTTACATGGAATATGGTTTATTGCTTGGCGTGTCGTAGAATTTTGGAATATTTGGATGATGCGGTGTCAAATGGCGTCAATTGGTGTCAATCCCATGTCCCATCGTCCAAACATAAATCCATAAACCGCAACGGTTGGGGTTTACCGGCTCGGGAGTTATTCGTTTTGGACAATTCAGGGCGTTTTGAGTCTCCAAATTACAAATTTCCTATTCAATGCCCTTTTTGCCGACATCTTCATATTATCCTCTAATTCCCCTTTAATTATCTTCTCGTAATCCGGCGTCTTCGTGTTCCAACTCTTCTCCTTTTCTTACGCTTATCTCTCTATCTCACCAACCCGTAATCTCGACCTTCCCTCATCCTTATCAAACATGGCACTATTCGTAGACCTCGACGAAGAGGCCGAGCCACCCCAGGCGCATCATTACGGCCTAAAACCTCAGTGGAATGGCGAGAGACCGCAGCAGCAGCTATCGTCGGGAGCTGAAGGGACAGCTCCAGCAAACAATGACGGAGGACAGAGCCAACCGAACATAATAGACCGCGAACCCGAGAACCTCAACGAGCATAATGGGATGGCGGAGGCTCTCGGATGTTATCCGTAGGCAGACGCAACCTCACTTATGGCATTTTCTACTTGCAGATCCTCCCCTTTCGGCTATCAGTACTTCGAGTCTGAGGCCGGAGGGGAGACATGGCTGACTCGACATCCACCAGTATCGTTATGGCGATCGCGTCGTCCATCGATCTAAACACTCTCGACAACTTGTCCCGCACCTGCCGTCAGGTACGCCAGGCCCTCCTGCAGTACCGCAGCGTAGTGCTTGCGCATACACTCCATTGCGTCAACGAAGACGTGCCCATCGACCCCGAAGATACCTTCCGCTATCGTGCCCGAGCAGGAAACTGGTATTATATGGAAGACGGTCGTACCGGTGACTACAGCGGCAAGAGTGGGAGCTGCGCGAGGGACATGGTGGCCGAATGTAGGAGGTGCGGGACTGTCGTCTGTCGGGTAAGTATTCTGGTCACATGGTCAATGCTTAACATACCTACCTGGTACGGTTGGAATACGTCACTGATAGTATGTCCGGTAGAACTGCGCGATCAAACCGCCTGCCCCTGCCGTGCTCCGGGACAGACATCGCCGACTCTGCCTCCCGTGTAGCAAAGCCCCGCTTGGGAGCCTCGTGAAACCGCCATTACGGGCCGACACCACCGTGGACGCGGACGAAATGCGACTAGCGATATGCACCTGCGCCTCGGAAGGGGTCTGGCTTTGCCAACCCTGCGGGAGGAGCATCCGCGGAGACGACCACGGGTACAAGTCGTACGTTCTTTCCCCTCCCTCTCCGTCATGTCACATCACATGATTACCCCTTTCGGCGTCGGAGCTAACCGAAGACAGCATCTGGAAGTGGCGCAACCAATACGGCGAGGTGCTCGGGGGACTCGGCACCGGTATCGGGGAAGGTGACCGGGGGGTGATCTGCGGGCGCGAGGCCGCGTGTTGCGGCTCCAAAGAGCGCGAGCAGGAGACCGACTGCGACGCTGCGGACGCCCGAGAGCAGGACGAGATTAGCAATGGTGGTAGCGGCGGCGGGAGCTTGTCCCCGTGGGCCACGCCGTCCCCCGCTTCCTCCGTCACCGGATCTCCGCCCGGCGAGCGAAGGACCCCGAGCCCGCAGCTCAGGCCCGGATACGCGCGCCACGAGATCGAGGGTATCGGAGGCGTGGTGAAGACTAAGCTTATGCGCATGGTTAGGGTGGGCGCATGCGTCCCCGAATGGGAGGACGAGAAGAATAAGGGTGAGATCCTAGGGAGGGAAGTGAGCGGTAGGAGTAGGAGTTGGTGTGGTTGGTGCTGGAGGGTCATTCCGGGGAAGAAGGACTGGGAGGCCGCGGCTAAGGCTAAGGCCAGGGCCGAGGGCGACGGAAATGAAAAGGAAAAGGGGAAGGCGGCTGAAAAGGATGTGCGATAAGGAGTAACGAACGATGAAAAGCTACGAGGCTATGAGGCTACCCACTCCTATTAGGGGCCGTACCGTCTGGAAAAAAAGGTCTGGTTAAGGCGGGTGGTAGGGCTGGGTTATGACACACTTGACGCATATAGAGTCTACCGAACTGAACTGCATCCCGGGGCATTCGGGCGCGAATGAATAAAATATAGGATATGTAAGTATAGGGTGGGAGCCTAAGCTTAAGCTTCACCTGAGACCTTGCATATACAAATCACTTGGGGGGGGTGGGGGGTTCACATAGGCAACTAATAGAAATGACATATGATCAGGATATAACAAATGATACTAACCAACGCTGACCTACCTAATGTATGTGTAGGTGTGTTTTGATATAGTAGAGATTCTATGAAAATAAAATACTCTTACTAGAAAGGGGGGAGGGAAAGGTGACTCCCGGAATCCCGGAATAACGTGCTCACCACTTTTAAAGCGCCTTTGACTAAGCATTGTGAGATGCGTTGGTTTTGATTTGATGTTGAAGACGCCGTGTTCATCGGTGATGTACACTTTGTATCTTGATGTTTATTTAGTCTTGTATACATATATAATTTGCATCCCTTTCCCTAGGGCTATTGGTTGTGGTGGTTACGTCTCGTTTGATCTATTTTGATCCTGAAGCTCGGTCCACTGCCTCTCGAGATCAAGTCTTATAATATACGAACCATATCCCTCCCTTAGCACCGTAGAGGAGATTCGTCGACTAATATGAGCTCATGTCGGGCGCCCTATCCACTTTTCCTCCTTTCTAGGCTTTAGGTACCGGCCGAATACTAGATGCCGATAGATTGAAGTACCCAGGCACCCAACCAGATAGATAGACGAACGAGCGCATAGACGAGACCAACCAACGCCTACCCTTACCACGACCAAAACCACGACCCCTACTTCCGCTACTTAGACAGAGGCTTAGGTCCAGATCCGGCCATTGATATCGGACTTACGCGAAACCCCCAATCATAAAGCGTCCTTAAGCAAGAGCGCCTTCCTCTTCTTGCGCTCCTCGCGCGCGGCGGTCTTCATGGGGCCCCAGCGGGCCTTGACGGCCTCGAGGCGCTGGCGCTCGCGGTCGTGGTGCTCGGCGCTGGCGCGGCAGCACATCATGACGAACAAGGGCTGGCAGTCGTAGCGCTCGGCCAGCTTCAGCACGCTCCAGCGCTCCGGGTCCCGCGCCCGCAGCATCCGCATCTCGGCCACCTGCTCCTTCGTCACGTTGTACTTGCGCTCCGGCTCGGGGAGCGCGGGCGGTAGGTCCGCGTCGTTTGCCGGTGAGGAGGAGGAGGAGGAGTTAGCGAGGTCTGAGGATGTGCGCAGGAGCTGGGTTAGGTTTGCCCGGCGGCGCGGGTCGCTGCGTGGCAGGAATTTGAAGGGCGTGTGGTAGACGGACGGCTTGGATGCCGGCGGGTTGTAGATTACGTGGGTGCCCTGCGAGGAGTTCAGGAAGGAGGGGTGCGGGGCGATTCGCAGCGCGCGCTTCGTGCGGGCTGTTGTTGATTGCTGCCGGTGTTGTTGGTGGTGGTGGGTTAGGAATCTTGCTGGTGCTGCTATCGTCGCCGCTCGCGTGGCGAGAGTTGTTGAGGCAGAGGATTTGGCGACGCTGCGGAGGAGCGGCTGCAGCTGGGTGAGGGATCGCGTCTCCATCTTGGCTTGCTTTTTTGGCTTGCTTTTGGCGGAGGTGTGGCGGTTGCGAAGATTCGAATATTGATGTATGGAGGAAGACTGACTTGGCAGACCTGATTGAGTCGTATTAAGCGGTTGTCTTCGTCTTCCCTCCGATCCGACCTGGGGACTCGATGTGCCGTCGAATTATTTTCTCGGATCGAATTCGGATTAGGTGATGCCGTGCTATAATTTTTGTCGGAATCTTTTACGGCCCGTAGCGGGTGCGCAGTCGCGTGATTGGTAGGTAATGATTACCTATCTGTGCATTGATTATGTAACGTTCAATGGATGCTAAGGTCCAAGCCCCAACAAGCTCAATGCTAAAAAGTTGTGGGCTCCAGCTTACATAACGTAAGCTATCCACCGTGTTCAATGCAGAAAAAGTCAAAAGGTCTTCAGCTCAAAAATGCAGATGGTCCCGTGCTGCGTGGAAGTACCAAGGTATCGGCCCTACCCCTGACAAGCCATGGAAGAGCTCGACTCCCTCCAATTCATTTTAACCAACCTTTTTCGTCCAATGGAGAAGGAGAAAGAATGCGACCCCTCATGAAGGTGACGTACCTTGGGTCGATTCCGACGAATTCGAGGTTTCATGTGCCAGAGATCGATCCAGCCAGCTCAGCCTACATCACGGGTTATTGATAGCTTCATTTTCCATCCCAAATCTGTATTGGCAAGGCTCGCAGACGTGGGGTATGAGACGAACTTGTTTTGTCTGCCTCATGTCTCATCACAAGACTTCGATGGTGCATTGTCGATTTCTTACCTACCTATATTTCCCGATCTGGATGAGCTGGATGTGGATACGGCACAAGCACGGCATATGAGATATCAGATTTACCACCTACCGGTATCTTAGTGAAGAAATAGTTCTTCGGTGGCTTAGTGGCTTGATGATTCTGGTTTCCCTTGGATGCGATCAGGGCTGTGTCAGCAGCATCAATACTATGTATTGTTTTCGGGCTAAGTCGTCTCAACTTTCCATCGTCTTAATCTATTTTCAGTATGTGGGATTGCATTGAATTTATGCGGTGCTGCAACGGGATGATGCAGGTCCAATGATCGGTCGTCATCGTCCCCTTTGACACTCGCCCTGGCTCATAAGCAGTTTCGTCGTCGCAAGTGGGATTACGGGCGACCATTCCCTTAGCCATGACCGACAGCTGATATTTGACATTATTATTGATCTTATTGAGAGGGTCATGATCACATGGTGGGCTTGGCTTAAGAAAGATCGAAAAAAAGCAAAAAGGGAAAAAAGAGATAGGCATCATCTTGCCCCATTTTCCCATCCGCGTTCCTCGACGATCATTGGGGACCTGTCACCATAAGTGACGTCGCGGGTCGTTGCCCCCCTTTTTTAGAATAGATTTATGAGCGAGATATGCAAGCCTTGTGATGGTCCCCCCAGATATCTCTTTGCTCCTATTTTTTTCTTATTCCAAGTGCCTTTATGCCTTGTGCTGCTCGTGTTTACGTGACAGCGTAACACTGATATTATTATCATATCATTATCATTACATTATCCCCAACTTCCCAATATCAGAGTCAGGAAATCTGTCCCTCCAGTCTCTTGCCCCTTAGCTCTGTGTCTTACAGTTACTTCGCACATTTCGTACATATCGGACTCGCGGACACACAGGCCAAAAGTGCCAAGTGACCCAGCAAAGCTTGCTTGGTACCCGAAAAGGATCGAAAAGCAAGCTCAAGCAAGCAAGCAATCACTTAGCACCACCGCGCTGTTCCTACATTGGAATTTGATCGTTGCTATCCGACCCTATCCAACCTTTGAGCGCCTTGAATTGTTGAATCTCTGACAAGTAAAAGATTCGCAGATATTAATTGAGACATATCCGAACTCTAGCTTCCCGTCACCCCGTCATTCTTTATTTGATCTTTCTCTCCTTCCCTCCCAGTCCCCTTCATAACATTCCTTTTTTTCGCCTCAAGGTTGTTATTGTCGGCCTCAATTAATGGCCGGCCACTCCGCCCGATCCTAGTCCAGCTACGTCCCTAATCCAGGCAGGCCAGGCCACTTTATACGAACTTGTTCTTGGGGTCTTTACGTCTTTCCCGGCCATCGTCGTCATTTTCAACTTTCCAAAAGGGCACAGACTTTCTCTTTACTTCTTTTAGCCTCCAGGACACAGGCTGGGCAGGACACTTTGTTAACCACGATCCATAATCCATCCCGGCGTCATCAACCCCTACCGCAGGACTGCTGATCGACGCTACCTATCATCTGGTTCCTCCTCTTTTGGGTCTGGTCCAGTTACGGATATACTTGGAATGAAAAGATCGCCAACAGGATCTCCAAGGCCTCCTACCCCGAATTGCACACTTGCATCCTCTTGCATCGTGCTGCACTCGCATTTGCCCTTCTACTTCCACTTCTAAATCCACTTACACCTACATTTCTGCAACCAACATCCGCAGTCGCAGTCGCAGTCGCAGCCGCAGTAGCAGTAACGGTAGCAGCGAGCATCAGCAGAAACAGCGGTTAAGGCAATAGGGCAGTAGGGCAATAGGTAGACGCACGATATTCTCCTATCATCATTCACCTATTATTCTCCTACTACTACTCCTCCCACGGCGGCGAGAAGGGGAGATTCGACTCTATCGTCTGGTCGAACTTGGCAATTTGACCAATCCGACAGCACTACTTCTCGCCTTGATCGCGAGCGTGGGCCTACGGAGGGTAAGTGCCAGTTTATTTATATCCATATCCATACTATCCGTGCCTATCCATATTGAAATACCCCGATAATTTATTATTTTGTGAGGAATATGAGATTGGAGTCTCTTGGCTCGTTTAAGCCATAAAGGCCCAGACCCTCAGGCTTTCGATGCTACCACATACCCTTCTGTTAGACGAGACGTTTACAATGTTGATGTTGGTCTTCAACCCATGCAACTAACAACGACGACAACATTGTTCACTATTTTGGAACTAGTCTAACCAGTCCGCCCGGTTTCTGCGATCCCGTTGGTGTTTATTTCGTCATTTTTGGTCCCGTGCTAATAATCCCTGGCATTTTCCAGAAGATAAATATCACTCATTAACCGTTGCCCGTTAATCACCCCATTCTTAAGCCTCGACTCCCGGTCCACCTGAGCACCATTATGACTCTTCAACCAGCAGCTTCTATAAAAGCTAGCAGGGAGAAGGATTCATCTCCCGGAACGGGTGAGAAAAGTCATACTACGACGGGTAGCTCCACATCAACAATCACAGAACCTAACGAAAAGGAGATGGAAAACGATTCAACCAAGATCGATGCAAAATCGAAGAAGCGCAGTCTGTTTGGATTTGGGAAGAAGAAGGCCGACCCTAAACCCGTCAACAAATCTCCGTCCAGATCCGCCTCGGGTGTATCGAGTCCTCCGTCCATAACAAGAGATGTCCCTCAGATGTCATCGAAACGGTCGACGACCGGCTCGCCAATTCAAGCCGGTAGTCCCAATATGACGCCATCCTCGCCTAGCCGGGGCCTGTACTCGTCATCTCCACGATTGAGCTCCCCTGCTGGCTCTCAAATATTCGAGCGAGACGTTCAAGAGAGCGCTGTCATCATACCTAATTCACCTGCAATCCCGTCCCACATACAAACCGAAAACTACATCCCTCCCGTTCTCGACGCATCCTCCGAAGCCATCACGGATAACCATCTTAACCCTGACTCCGTCGAGATCGTTACTCATAATGCGCACCAACCTGCAAGCGTGACAGTGACCGGTGCTTCTGCATTCGAAACATCGTCTAATTCATGGGCCGAGGACCTTGCTGCTTTCTCCGACAAAGAAGAATCAGCCTCAAATTACGGTTCGCTCGACTCTGCCGATGTTCGACGTCTGAGCTTTATATCCTTTGCGGATGTCGTCCAGGCCGAGCAGGTGCCCCCGAACAGCAGCCGGGACTCGATGCACCTGGCCGGGTTAACCTCTATCGGGTCGAGAGGAGTCAACCGATCGCCGTCCCCGATAAGATCACCGGTATCCTCGCAAGGACCGGAGACGTCGCCGCCGAATAGCGTCTCCGGGTCTATCAAGGGACTTAGCATGTCACCTGTGAGAAGACCGCTTGGCAGCCCGACTTCTGCCGAACACAGCCTCTCGGTCAACGGGGACCTTAACATAGAGACCATGTCGCAAGCCCTGAGACGCACAGCTAGCACCGACCTCAGCGCTGCTCGGAGTCTCCCGGTCAGCCCGATCGAGGGTCTTTCACGCTAAATCGAGCCAATATATCTATCCATTTGAGCTGGAAGATAGCCAAGCTTAAGAAAACGCGACATATTTAAGGGGTGTGCCTCTTGGGTTCTATATCCCCGAATTTTTTTTTCTTCTTTTGGGCGTGTTCGAGTTTTATGCCTTCGAAATTTTTGGAATTGTGATAGCTCATGGATACCGTCTGGCATTTTTTCCCCCTCGTTTTGATTCGTTCTTGGGAGGGCCGAGGGAGAAACACACAGAGAGTTTGGGCAAATGGAGTTGGCAGACATGCGGTCTAGGGAACGGGCATGCTTTACTCTGCTTTTTTGTTGGAAGTTCCTTTTTTTCTTCCGCTTGCTTCTATTTCGAACGAAGTCGCAGTCGCAATCACATGGGAGAAGGGAAGGGGTGAAGGAAATACCATTCTCGATGAAATCATTTTTTCTCGCTGCTTCGCTAGCAAGTAAGCCCTTTTTTTCTTCTTGGCTTGCTAGATCTTTAGGGGAAGGGAATGAGGCGGGTGTGATGGGGGTGGGCTTTTTATTACGGGATTTTTATCGATTCTGGGCAGACGAAAGGAGATGAAAGTGAAGATGACGGCGGCAAGGCTTTGGTCAAGTCAGGTCGTCGCTTGTTTTTTTATATCCCGGCTTTATATCCCCTCCCCATCAACCACGACACAAGCTTTCGGCGGAAGCAGGAAGAGTCGGGTCGAAGAGTTGCACACACAAAAGATAGGATTGCCTCATTCTAGGCTTTCTTGTGTAAACGCTTTGCTGCTAACATACACTTTTTCGCCTCGCTTCTTCTACCTCATCTTCGAGGCATACCTTTTCTCGTGTTACCATGTGCTAGCCTCGCCTGCATGTCTGCATGTTTCACCTACCTAGGCATATATGATATGTAGTCTAGAGATGTCTAGATGGTCTAAAATGTCTGAGATAAGCTTCTACAGATTTGCGGCTCCCCTTGCATGAACGCCCTCATCCATATGAACAATCCCCCTTTTTTCGTTTCCCAGCAGCAGCGCCAGGAAGGAAACCGTGCAAGGCGGCGAGGAGAACCAAACCGGCTTGGCACCACCGGCCGTATGTACTATGTAGACCAAGCCCAATCATATATAACCGCAGCCGAGGCCAAGGAGATGTAAGGGCACGTAGGGGGAAATCCTTCTGCTGCTGTGCTATGAACGCGTCGATCATTGATTACGGTTACAGGAAGAGTTCACCTCCGGGCTACGTAGGTAGGTAGTTAAGTAGGTAGATAGGTGTAAGCACTGCCTATCTCCTGAGAATCATGTTGCCTACCTAAGGGTACTTACTTGCCTCGTTGGGTGACACGAGACCGCTGCTTCGGAGAGGCCGTGGCTTTTTTATTTCATCTCATCTCCTTACCTCTGTGTCATGCCTTATATTTATTATGTACTAGGTTAGGTACGTAGGTAGGTAGTTTAAGTAGGCAAATCAATATATACCTAGTATATGCGAAAAAATCATGCGAATACGAAGTACGAATCTTCGACTTGGCCGCTGCTTGGCCCCGGGTTTTTGCCCGTAATATATGGACGGTACGCGGACGAGGCAGAGGGAGCTCGCAAGCGGCAAGAGTAATTACTTAATTCGGGGTGTCCCTTTTTTTTTTTTTTTTCTTCTCGGCTTCAGCCGTCCGATCCGCATCCGCAGTTCTTGTTATAATGGATTACTCAGGACCTATTCCACTTTCCGTGACTTATGCGTGAGTACGTAATCCATCGACAAGGCTCCTGTTCCTTCATATGTTCCTGTTGTGGGGGCGGTTCATTACGTGGAGGGCCGGAATACCCGTAACGCTGGTGGGTCCCTGGTAACCGGGCATAACCCGTACAACTGTTTCAAGCTTTTCTTTTTGCTTTTCTTTTGTTCTGAGTTCCGCGGGTCGAGCTTGGAAGGATGAGGAGAATTGATGTTTCATGAGCAGATGAGATGGGGCGTCCCCGGATCTGATGATCCTCGACGATCCAGTATTTTCCTCTTATCCACCTATTTGTCTTGTTTCTTTGTCTTATGCTTGATAACTATATATATTATTCTTCATCGATGGCTTGGTGGCTTTTGTTGGTGGCTGCCTGTCTAGCAGCTAGCCCTGGAGGGTACCGACCTACCTAATGCAGTAGCGTGGACTGGGAGAATAGAATTGCAGAATGGGCACGGTCTTCGCTAGGCTAGGTTGGGAATAGGTGAAGAAGTCGGCTTCGAGATAGGACGGCGGGGGAATGACTAAACTAAAAGACCCAGGCTATCTGCCTAGAGCACCTAGTTAGGTGTATTGATGTAGGACTTCGCTTCCCACGTACATACATACGTCGTTCGCACATCATTAACAGCCCAGTGCCTGGGTGCCAAGTTCCAAGCTTTCCAACTTGACTTTACCGAACTGCTTGATGGCGTATGGTGGTCAGTTGATCGCGATTTTCGTTTCCATTTAGAAAATCGAAGAAGCTCGGTCCAAGCCTGTATTAGCTGGGGAAGTTCAAACCCTTTCGACGATGTTACCTTGGACATTAGACGACACCGCGTAGATCCTTGAATGCCCGTGCGTCGCATATGTAATCACAGGAAAATGTGGCTTTCGGTCGATCACTGCGGAACGGACCATTTCCACTTTCTTCTTGACAGGGCAGGTTTTTGGCAAGGACCGGGGAGCGAATTAGATTTCGTACTTCCCTGTAACTAGGTTAGGTATCTTGCCGGCATCCATTTATGTACTATGTATGTACGTATGCAGCAGTGCTAAAAAAGTCCGGAGCAACTTGGCTTCTTGGAATCGTTCGAGAAAATCGAAACTGTATACTATAGTATTGTCGATCCCCTTAGGTCGGGGAGCCGGGTGCTCGATTATCAGGCACATTGTACGAGACCTGTATCTTGGTATGTACGTGACATATTATGTGACATACATGACATACATACGTGTCTAGATAGATCCAAAGGGTTAAGGTGTGTGGTGTGTATACTCCGTACCTACACCACAAGGCTTGATATGAATCATATGCACGAGTGTGTATACGGGTTTCATGGAACCAACGTAAGGGATCCGAGAAGCTGGATAAGGCAACACAAGACGGGTACGCAGTGGAGGTCGCAGAGCGCAGGTCGAGCCTTGGAGAGGTGTGGCATTCGTCGGTGACACCTTAAACGCGAGGCTTCAGCTTCATGATAGGTTCGTCCGACCTCAGAACGAGAAACATGCATATCTTGCCAATTTCACACCTAGGACGGCTTGCATCCATATCGACGGGACCCGCGTTGCATTGTCTGTGACGGAACAAGGCCCGTTACCTGATCAAGAGGGGCTCCGGACGGATTTTTACTAGTGTAGACCTGTCCGGAACCCAACCGAAAATCGAAATTCAAGACAATAAGGATTGATATCGAGAAGACTTTCTGAGACATATCGGTTGCCCAGAATCTCCGTCATCTCTGTCACATATCACAGATCCCCCCCACGCTTAAACCGTCATGTAGGAACAGAAAAAGGAAAAGTCTTGAAGAGTTGTCTTTTTGCTTATCATTTGAAGCTCGAAGCCTGGCTGGTGTGACACATACCTAGATCCCTAATAGCACGTATGCGTACGGGATAGGTCAATAGTCGACGAGCGGCTTCACATATCTATACCGGTGTTCATCGATCGAAACGGCTACCTATCAGGACGTCAGAATATCAGTCATATTCCCTGTACCCTATCATATATACACATCTCGTTAGCAATTATCAGGCCATAATAGCGTATTGCCTTGTACCAGGCCGTCCAGGAAGTTATCACGGCTTCTGGAAGTACCGAAGGATCGTTTGCCTATTAGGAACATTGAATCTCATCTCTTTAATAACTTGATCTGTAGCGTGGTGTTACATCGGTTGATGAGAAGCAATTCATCCTTTCCTATAGTATTGGGCTCTATTGCAATCTAGTAGCCTCACCGCTTGGCAGCCCCCATCAATACCGAGTCGAATAAGACAACCGGGTTACCGATGACTTGTACGTAGGAATTACCAAGCGAGGAATAACGGATTTTAACAAGCAGTAATAACGAGTAATGATCGAATGAAATGCGGTTACGTTTCGTTGTGACTAGGTTAGACTGGACCCCATGCAGCCCAGGTTGGGATGTATGTAGCATGTAGGTACATGGTGATGATGTTCGGCGTAATTGTTCGAGATGAGACTACGGCGTCACTACATTTGCTCATATATGTATATTTGCTCAGGTGCATTCACATGATAAGTTACAAGTTACAACCTCATAACCGTCTATTAAATTTATTAGGTTAAGCTAGCGGGAACCCGAAGTTAAGACTCGACTAAAAATAATATCGGCGACTTGTTACTGCCATTTATTAGCAAGAACTACTCCCTAGTCCCGTCAAGTGCAACTTTAGTCGCTTAGTCGCCTAGAGAGACCCATCCTTCCCACCAATTCCCCAGCAACTTACAGCACTTAGAACATCGAATCACCCGAAGGATGGAAAGAAGCATGGAAGCTGAAATTGACTTTCACATTGACTTTCCGTCCGTTCTATTATGTGCATATTTCAGATATTCCCTACTCAAATTGCTCAAATAACAAGTAATAACGAAAGAAGAAAAAATCGATCCTTCTCGACCGCTTCGTTATATTTTTCGCATATTCGAAATTCTTCACAGCTTATCCTGCAGACCACACTCGCACCCACATTGACCGCAGTTTTGCAATTTGGCAATCTGAGACAATCATTTATAAGTGGTTTAATTAGAGCTGTTACTTACGGAAACAACTCTTCCTTATTTGTCGTCGCACGTCTCCCCGCCAAATTACCTGGCCGGTAGCTTGCCGTCTCGACCTTGAACCTAGCTCGGGGATCCAATCGTCTCACCCCAGTGGTTCAGGTCGAGCAAGCGGTCCTGCAGATAATACTCCGACCTTCGCTGTGCAAATCCAGAAGCTCCAGAACAATTGCAATTGAACCCATAGAACCCCAAGGATTGATCCAATACTATTCAATACTATACATACCATCCCCCCCAAGAATTCGCTCCAAGCGACCTATGCACTTCCCGCATAGCCCTGGCCACCTAACGACCACCCAAGAACCACCTAACGAGCGAGTAGAACGACGGAACTGCGCCCTCTGCTGTGCCCTCCTGACCGTCCTCTAATGCGAGCCGAACCCGGCAGTCAACCAATCTTGAACCACTCGATGTCTCGCCCACACCACAATTAGCATTTTCTGAAAGCTTACCGGTTCCTGCAATCCCTGATCCTCACTATTCCACGTGCCGCATGGGTACCACTGGACGGCGAGTCTGAGAACAGAGCACACGATATTATGATATTATCTGCAGGTGCAATAAAAATACAAACCTACCGAATTCGTTGGAATACCCGCGTCGCGGTTCCTCGAGTCGAATCCACGTAGTTTAATTTTTTCCCTACCTATCATGCGCCGACCTACCTATCGACCTACATAGTCTGTCCCTCAACAATCACGTTATCCTTCTAGAATGCCCATCCCCCGATGGCAGCTTGTAAACGAATCATCTTCCACCCGCGGTTTATGACAGACGACCTCTCTATACAGATCCGGCTCGCAGCACCCCGCTGATGAATGAGGTGGATGGCCGCGACAACAACTGCGTATGATACCACGAGGAACGACATCAATCCTTCTAAGCTGCGCGAGACCGGCCCAGCACTCAATGCTCCAATTCACCCGTCATGGTACATTCGAAACAACGTGTTCGCGGCGTCTCTCCGCCCCGGGAGGCGGAAGGCGAAACACGCAGTGACCATCACCACATCGACAACCTAGCGGACTGGTCGGTAGCTACTGCAGGAGACACGCTGCCACATAATGCGGAATGGGCGGTAGGTGGTAATAGTAATATGCGCACGCCATTCAGGCCCAATGTCAACATGCAGAATAACACTATACGTACGGTTACACCTGAACCAGGCGAAAACGGCCATGCCCCGGACACAAACAACATCGCACAAGTGACCCGGGGTTATGGTACCGCCTCTCCCCAGCAGAGCTCGCCTAGATCCATACCTGGCGGAGAAAGGAGGAGGCAAGGCATGGTATTCAATGATACCTATAGCGAATCTATGGACAGCTCCTCCTCGAGCCCACCTAAGCAGAATCCAAAAGCTGCTCCTCTTAGGCCACGTACCCATACCATGGACGGTGCGCTTGCGCAACGACAGGCATCGTCGTCTCAGTCCGATAGTCGACATAGGTTAGGGTCTTTCTCCTCATCCGGCTCCCAACCATTTCTGGACACAGAAGTGCGCCCTCCTCCGACTGTGCTTGAATCGGTGGGTTACCCGTCGGTTGCACCAACTAGACCGCCCGATCTAAAAATTACACCATCGTCAAGCAAGGAAAAAAAGTCGTCCAATAGGCGCCTGATCAAACGTGGCGGTACTTCTCGACCTACATCTCCCCTAGTATCCCCGCCGCCCTCCGTAGACTCGTTACCGCTCCCGGTCCCTACAAACGATGCGAATAGGATCCTTCTACTGATGAAAACTCTATGCGGCCGGATGAAGGGAGAAGTAGAATATCAAAACGAGCCAAACGGCCCTTGGCACTTTGGGATCTGCTATATCGACGAAGACCGAGGTAGTCTACTATTCGACTCCGGTCAGACCGGACAATTCCACATTCCAGTGGTCGCCGATTTGCGTGGCTGCAGGGTTCTACCCGCCGAAGGCCCAGACAACAAAGGAAAATGTCTCGAGATTCTGAATAATAAGATGGGCGTGGAACTTTTACTTCGGCCCCTTTTAGATGAAGAATTCGACTTGTGGCTTGCCAGCTTACTTTGTTGGCAACAACTACGTCCCACGACGGTGAGGTTCGCCAACGGCAGAGGTACTAATTCCCCCAGCTCTAGTCGAACTGAAATGAGGAGGCGAGGATCTTCGGCCGCCGGTGGTCCATCTTCGAAAGATGCGGCCATCATCAAAGTCGGCAAGGTGATGCTGTGGGACAAAGGTACCGCTACATCACCTCGCGCGATCGTGAAACGGCCGTCGACCCGCGATCTTCGTTCTGGCATGACATCGTGGAGGCGAGTATCTTGTATCTTACAGGATAATGGCGAATTCAAACTGATGACCGAAAACGACGTTGCCGTACTGTCAATCATCGAGTTGTCGCAATTATCCCGTTGCGCAATACAGCAGCTGGATAGATCAGTTCTGGAGGAAGAATTCTGCATCGCCATTTTCCCTATCTACTCGTCCGCATCGAGTCAACTTTCGATATTCCGGCCCGTATATCTTGCCCTAGACTCTAGAGTCCTCTTCGAGGTCTGGTTTGTGCTCCTACGAGCGTTCGCCGTCCCTGATCTATATGGGATCGAGTCGTCTACGGACCAAGTCACCGAGATACGGCAGTTTGACAAAGAATTTGAAGGGCAACTTTTTCGCTTGGAGAAGACAATTCAGATCAGGGTCACAGAAGCTAAGATAAGGAAACAGAGCCCGAGCTCAGAACACTACGATCGCCATTCTAAAGAACGTGATCCTTTAATCGGCAATTACCTTGCCGAAGTTATTCTAGACGGCGAGGTTCGGTCCCGGACAACGACGCAACCCGATACAAAGAACCCATTTTGGCGAGAATTTACTCAATTCACCGAATTACCTACTACATTACCATATTTATCTGTTATTTTAAAACGAGTCGATGGAAATCTAGAAAGCATCAGTCATCAAGTCCAAGCGTCTCTAGGTCTTCCAAAGGCTGGGAATCTGACGGAAGTTTTATGTGGAGCGGTGGATATACCCCTTGATAAGTTGGAGCGTGCAAAGGATCATGAACAGTGGTTCCAAGTCTGCGATGAAAAGCAGGAGAGTATTGGGAGCATGTTCGTCAAGGTGAACCACGATGAGCTAGTCGTCCTGGCAGCAAAGGATTATGAGACGCTATCACAACTTCTACATAAGTTCAGCGTCGGGTTGACGAGTCAGATCGCCTTGGCTGTACCATCCGCCATGCGACGACTTGCAGAATTATTCTTGAACATCTTTCAAGTGTCGGGGAGCTCTAGTGAGTGGCTCATGGCCCTCGTCGAAGAAGAAATCGACGGGATTGGAAGTCAGAACAGCGTAAAGAGACTACGCTTCAGCCGGCGGTTAAAGTCTAACGAATCTTCGAATTCTGCTAGCGACAGAGATCAGCTCGTCCGTGACATGAAGTCTCTGGCTGGAGAGGCAAATCTTCTATTCCGAGGCAATACCCTCCTCACCCAAGCTTTAGAATTTCATATGCGCCGCCTAGGAAAGGAATTCCTAGAAGAGATCTTGGTGGATAAGATTTTCGAGATCAACGAACTCAATCCAGACTGTGAGGTAGACCCAAGCAGAATTCAACACGGTGACGAAATGCAGTCACATTGGAGCCTATTGATAGAGCTGACGACTGAGATATGGGAGTGCATCGCCGACTCCGCGACCAAACTACCGCTTGAGTTGCGACAGATCCTGAAATACGTTCGAGCCGTTGCGGAAGATCGATACGGTGATTTTCTTCGAACTGTTAATTATACGAGCGTCTCGGGATTCTTATTTCTTCGATTCATATGTCCGGCAATATTAAATCCGAAGCTCTTTGGGCTCCTACGAGACAACCCAAGACCTCGGGCCCAACGAACACTAACTCTCATAGCGAAAGGCCTCCAAGCTCTAGCAAACTTGTCCACATTTGGCAAAAAGGAGAGTTGGATGGAGCCTATGAACAAGTTTCTAACTATCCATAGGCAGCCATTCAAAGACTACATCGATCAGATGTGTTCGATACCAACCGAGCGTAATTTTGCCTCTGTTCCTGCCTCATATTCCACTCCTGTCACGATTCTCGGTCGCCTATCGCCAATATCCCGAGAAGGCTTCCCCTCCTTGCCGTACTTGATCGATCATCCTAGGAATTACGCTGCATTAGTCAAACTTTGGCTTGAGTCAAGCCATAAATCGAGCGCTACGGATCCTTCGGATTTTGATGCGGAACTCGTGGAATTCCACGTGATCTGTCTAGACTTGCAGAAGCGCTCAGACGAATGCCTTGCTAGGGTTGAATCACTTCGCATGGCAGAGGACGAATCAGTAGGTACGGAAGACCTAGCCGAGGCTCTTGAAAAGTCGGCCCTTTTAGACACGGTCAATCTCACATACGGGAACTCGGCAGCATGGATGGAGAATGATCCGAACCATGATCCGTACCATGATCCGTACCGCGCACCAGGCTCGTCCGGCAGCGAACCGGAGAGCAGCGATCGATCAGCATTCAAGAATTTCAGAAGAGAGGGAAGACGCCAAGTGTCAGAAGCTATGGAACTAGCAAATCCGATAGGGACAATACGAGCAAAGGCCGGACAAGTGAGGAATCCGCGAAGCTTTCTCCACGGCCTCATAGGCGGCGGCAAGAAAGAAAAGGGGAAGGAGACGGCCAATTCCCCGTCGACAATGCGGGATAAGAGCAGGGACAAGGAAGAGAAAACCAGCAGAAGTATTCTAGGAACCTTTTCGGAGTCCTGGCAGAGCGATACTAGCTCGAGGCACTAGTTATGCCTTAACTCTGCAGGACAGCCCGAGTCCACGAAACCACCACTCCAATTACAAGAGAAGCCGAGGCGATCGGGAACCCGATTGAAGAAACGGCCGCCACCTCAGAAAGAAGAGGGGCTGGCCAGTTCCTCAGGGTTAAGACACAGTAATTCGGCTAAAGAACATCACGCCGCCGCGTGAGGAAAAAAAATAGAGGCATAGACTGCCAGGGGTCAGAAGGACGGCGGCCCCCTTCCGAGAACGTCTCTTAGGTTCATTACTCGAACCCGAAACTTCATCGACATATATTCCCCCCAAGGGCAGAGTTGCGTTGTTTCCTATTCTGCATTTTCAAACGGCATTCCGGTAGAAGAAAAAGTAGGGGAGGCTTTCTATCTTGGCGAGGCAAATTTCTTTTCAGACCTTGCTCCTTTTTTTTCACGTTAACATTTACATTACATTACACGACACGCAATTTTTCTAACGAAATGATCACATATCATAAGACGAGGTTATATGAGGGAGTGAGTAGATTTACGTACGTACTGTTTTCAGACAGATTGATATCGGATCGTAAGATCAGAATCGGGTCAGACTGAATCAGGTTAAATGTCGGTAGAGAAACAAGTCTACAAATATAAGAAAGATGAGAGAAGATGGAAGAGGAAGCCAGGTAGTTTTTATGATATCTACCACGCTTAGCTAAGTAGCTCTCTCGTAGGGTTATGCAAATATCTACTGGTTTACCGATCTTCATACTGTTTATATCAAAGTGCCGATTATTGATAATTATGGAAAGTTAGATGTTTAGGAAGCAGTCTTATTCCTTTTGACCTCTCCAACATACTAGGAACTTTATGGAAGACTAGAGTTAGGTAGTATATTGAAGTGAACAAGATAAACCCAAAGCAGAGGTATACGCAGAATAAGTAATGGAAGTTAAGTACAGCTGGAACGATGGAACGTTAAAACCGAGCCGCCAGCCCTATTAGGCAGTAGCTGTGATGTGATTGGTTAATGGCATCGCCCTCCCTAGTTCCCGTTTGAACGGTGTAACCCCACGTACGTAGTATGGGACGTTGTTGCCCCGCGATTGGATTTCACCTAGAAGCTTCTACTGTACGAAAAGCTTCACGTCTGAAGGTTCCGGTCCACTGGGTGCAGTTGCGTCGTTACATTCCAATTCAAATTCTCCCGCAACCGCAAACAATCCTCCTTTTCCACCTTCCTTCTCTCTATAACAAACTAACAAGTGAGCATTTAATTTTTTCCTAAGTTTTACTAACTTGAATTACATCATATTCCTCTTCACAACTACCAACTAACCAAACAAGCCACACAGCCTTACCACTCCGTTCAACTACAAAAATCGACGATACTTTCCTCCTCACCATAACCTACATACACAAACTCGTCCAAGATGTCTGATACCAAGAAGCGCAGCTACGTCTTCTTCGACGTGACCATCGGCAACAAGCCGGCGGGCCGCATCACGTTCGAGCTGTACAATGACATTGTGCCTAAGACGGCGGAGAACTTCCGCGCGCTCTGCACTGGCGAGAAGGGCGTGGGCAAGGGTGGCAAGCCCCTCCACTACAAGGGCTCAGGCTTCCACCGTGTCATCAAGCAGTTCATGATCCAGGGCGGTGACTTCACGGCTGGCGACGGAACGGGTGGCGAGAGCATTTACGGAGAGAAGTTCGAGGACGAGAACTTCGAGCTCAAGCATGAACGTCCCTTCTTGCTTAGCATGGCGAACGCCGGACCTGGTAAGTTTTTATTATGCATATATCTACTCTACATCATGCACGTGTTTTATTTGGTTTGGTTCAAGCGGTTGACTAACACTAATTTCGCAAAGGCACAAACGGCTCCCAGTTCTTCGTCACCACCGTCCCCACACCCCACCTCGATGGCAAGCACGTGGTTTTCGGAGAAGTCAAGTCGGGCAAGTCAGTGGTTCGCCAAATCGAGAACCTGACGACGACCGCGGACAAGCCGAACAAGGCCGCCGTGATCGTAGACTGTGGCGAGCTCTCGGCTTCCGCCGCCCAGGTGACCGACGTTAAGGCCCCGGACGCCTACGGCGACCAGTACGAGGACTTTCCGGAGGACGAGGCGGAGCAGCCGCTGACGGCGGACCACGTGCTCAAGGTGGCGTCGGACTGCAAGGACTTCGGCAACAAGGCGTTCAAGGCGGGCGACCTGCTGGGCGGGATCGAGAAGTACCAGAAGGGCCTACGGTACCTCAATGAGGAGCCGGACGTTCCCGAGGGCGGGGAAGGTGCCGAGACGAAGAAGAAGCTGGACAACCTGCGCTTCTCGCTGAACTGCAACGCGGCGCTGCTGAACATCAAGCTCGAGGCGTGGGACGAGGCGGCGCGCAGCGCGGGACAGGCGCTCGAGGTCAAGGGCGAGGCCGTGAGCGACGCGGAGCGCGCCAAGGCGCTGTACCGCCGCGGCGTGGCGCTCGTCCGGCTGCGCGACGAGGACGCCGCGCTCAAGGACCTCGAGCAAGCGAAGAAGCTGGTCCCCGGCGACGCGGCGGTCGCGAAGGAGCTCGAAGCCGTGAAGAAGGCGGCTGCGGCGCGGTTGGCGAAGGAGAAGGCTGCTTATAAGAAGTTCTTCGCGTGAGTGTGAGTGAGTCGGGATGAGAGGGATAGGGGAGGAAAAGTGGAAACGATTGCATGAAACAAAAAGGGGGCATTATGAGGAGTGCGTTTCGGGGTCCTTGTTTTCTCGTCCGGAGTCAACGGATGGAAAGGGGTTGGCGAGAGGAAGTTAGCCGGACACGGGATGGGATGAGTGAGTGAGTGAGTTAGGGGTTCATCGGACGTCTTTCTCCTCTGGCATCGCGCGTGGATGATGGGGTTCTCGAACCGCTAGTTGCTATCTACCTCTTGACTACCTACCTGTCCGGAGAATCATCCTCGTGGCATATCCTTGGGGTGTGTGCATGGCAGGCTTCACAGGATCATATTTCGATAATAGCTGATGACTAAGAGTTTACGAAGGGGTTAGGAGAGAGGGAATAAGTGGGGAAGGGGGAAAGGGGGATACAATGAAAGAGTTATTCAAAAATGGTTATCCGGTATGCATGGATATTTAGATTTGCTTTGATAAAAATACTTATGAATGCTATTTTGACTGGGTTACTTCGTGTGGTATTGGTTCCTTGTGTTTGGAGCGTGGCGTTGAGCAGGTAGTAGGTGTTTTTTTGGGTTGGCGGTTCTTATGCTCGGTAGTCCCTTACCCTTAGTGATATTGGTGAGAATGTGACTGAGATCGAAGAGGTCTATCCAAGGTAGGTATGTTTATCCTATAATCATCTCAAGAAAAGTTGCTAGTGATAATTTCGGGTGCTCCTCTTTTCATAAGAACGTCGGGCCCGAAAGATAAAGATGGAGAAAAGGGGGTGAGGGGTTCTAGAGGAAATCGTCAAGACTCGGGCTCAGTAGTAGTTAAAAACAACGTCGTAGATATCCTACACTTGAGCTTGAATCAGCGCGAGCATGGCAGTTGGCTACATCCTTCATCAAATAATATCTTCTAATATTCATTGTATCACGTTAGGTTATCTATCAGCGCCTTATCCCATCTTGTGTCCTCGGTGCTCTCACCGTCCCTTAACCCATAAAAATAGAAGCTTGACATCTGAGTAAGTAAAGGAAATACACATCAATGTTCTCATTGAACTGTGCGGCTGGAACTAGGTCATCAAAACACTTTGAGGCATCGTCCGTTCATAAGCAGCCACGTCCGTACACCACCTCTTTTCAATCCAAAAATATGTTATGAGGACAACAGACAGAGAAGCAAGGACCTGAGCGCCAGTAAACTCGGCATTGCCAAGCTCTGGGACTTCGTATAATGCTATCTGCTTCTCATCCTCTTGTTCCTTGCCAACATGCAGCAAATCAGCACAGTCAAGGGACTTACCCTCAGTTGTCACTTTAGTTGTCACCCTAGTTGTCAAAATCTGCTCAGGTTTGGCGGTCTTCAGGAGTTCCAAGACATCGTCAAAGAGCTTGGGGCTGTAGAGAAAAGCCCAGACAAGATCCTGACTGTCACGGTCTTTCGTAGGGCTTATGATATCCTTTAGGTCGGTAGTAGACAATGCCATGAGACGCATATCAGTAACTGTAAAGCATGCCCGCTTTCCCTTTCGCGTTTGTTGCAGCTCGTTGCACAATTCCATGGCGAAATAGACACATCCGTAATTTTGGCCTTGAGAAGAGGTAGAGTTGCTAAAAAGCGATCCCTGAGACTGGTCTAGCGGGGTTGTCGAGGAGTCTGAAAGGTGGGGGAAGATATTGACCAGCTTATTGGACTGTTTCTCTACATGCTGGTACACTTGAATAAGGTCCTTATATAAGTGGTAAGCTGGTGAGAAATAGAATCCATCTGGCCGCAGAAGAAGCACGGCCTCTTTCATTAACTTTAGAAGTTCGAGATCCATGTACATATCGCCAAGGTTGTAGGGGTATTTGCCATGATCGATATCTTCGGCGTCGATGTACTTGCGGTCGTATTCTCTGCAATCTTCTATGTTCAAGCCACGATTGTATGCCAGCTCTCCCTGTACTGTCACTGAGAGCAACCCGGGGCAGGGCCGGAGTATTTGTTTTTTCTCTGATGACTCCATCGCATCGCGTACAGCTGAGTGCAGGAAGTCTGGAACATCCCCGTCATGACCTCTCTGAGTTCGGCCCACGCCTCTCTTCTCAACGTCGCGACGGAGTGCTGTGGGGCGATCCTCCTTTTTCCCAAACAATTTGCGTATGATCTCATCATCAGGAAGATCGTGCGCCATCAAGTCGTCGTACATCTGGGTCCCCGTCATAGGCATGTCGTCCTCACTGTCTTGGGGGCGAGCGTGCCTGTCAGCGCCTCCTAAGTAAAGATATCTTTTATCTCCGAGAGAAAAACCACCAATTGAATTCCAAAGTCTCGAGTCGAGAGCATATGATTCAAGAGGCAAGTCTCTTAATCGATGAAGTTGCTTATGGAGATTTGTAGAAATTTGATCTTTCAAGCCCATTCTCCGCCTAAATTCGGCGATACATCCATTGGAACTTGAGCGAAATTGTAGCCAACCTAGTGGACCGGACCATTGCATTGGAAGAGGCATTGGCGATATAAAGCTTGGGCAATCTTCGTGTGACTGGAAGCCCAAAATCGAACTAAATCCGACAAGGTCATGACCAGTCCAATGCATGGGTATGATGCCATTGACTAATTCTGCTGCATCCTGCATCTCGAAGAGGCCATTGTCGCTGGGAGACAGGTTTAGTGCCTGCATGAAGTTGACCCAAGTCGTCTTAGCTTGAACATTGTCGCCACGTTCGACACACTCGCTTCGTGAGAATCCAGTAGGAAAAGTGAGATTAGGCTTCCACTTCTGTTTGACTAGAAATTTGAGGCTCACGTTTGGCGTGAAGACTCGTCGCTGAAGACCAAATAGTGTCGATTTAGCTGCCGTAGATCTCCAGGGACCAAGAGAACGCCAGGAAAGCCCAAGCCTATACATTCGACTTTGGGAAAGCAGCTGCATTGCTCCGATGTAGACGGTAAACAGCGTTATGATACCAACTAATGCTGCTACTACCGAAGAAACGGATGAGATCCAATCTGTGGCACTAATATCTGCAGACATGTTGGGATTCTTGGTAAAGATTGAGATAATAGATATTCAATGATCAATGTCAAGAATATGGTCTTGAGGGTACCCACTCAGATTTTCTACTAACGGCGTTATAGAGTCCTATTATATTAGATTAAACGAATCGTTCTTGTGGTTTCTAATGTTGGTGGTGTATGATAAAAGGGCTCGAAATCGGCGGTTAAAGTGATCCGCGCGCCACAGAATATTCCCATCCGTGTCTTGTGCCACAGCATATTCCGACAAGCGTCATGTGTCTGGTATGCTGGAGGATGATTGGAGGTCGACCCGTGCTCAGCCCTGGGGAGACCTACTGCGCAAGCTGCAATGTCTCGATAGTCCCTTTTGCGCAGTCAATAGCTTCGAAAAAGCCAAGGTTAGTTGTGGCTAGGTATCCATGCGGCAGACTCCTGCATCCTCACAGATGGCATAACTTCTTAGATATAGATTATCACCCAACAGTTGGGGTAAGTGTACAGACGTGTCATGGCTGTAACGGAGAGCTAAGCCTTGGATGAGATAGATATCATAGCCGGATACCTACCTAGGTACGTAGATGGCTTCTCACCTACAGATTCCCGGGAAGCAAAGCCTTCACCAGACACGTATAGGTAATCTGCCTTGCCTGTTGTGCATGCTTTGCTGGCGGCATACTCATCTACCCCTTCTAAGCACCAGCTCTGCTTTAGGCAGTATAGATATTTCGGAAAGGTCCTCGATTAATGTTCCCTTTCATCCGTACCACCTAGAAATTGCAAGATCACTTTTCTTTATTAGATACACATCCATTCTTCGAATATCTCCCCCTTTGAGATCCTCGATATATCGTAAACAATGCCGTCATCGGCCTCACAAGAGGTTGGACCAGCGATGTCAGAGCCAGTTGCAACACCACCCGCTGTCGTTATCGATACAAGCCTAGAATATCCCACCAATATTACGGCACCCATGGCACCTAATAAGGTTCAATCCCCGATCGATACCTTGGTTGTTGATCCCAAGATTACTTCAATATCGGGCTGTAGCTTTATGCTAAAGATCACTGTGTCTCCCGATTCCGCGTTGAGCTCCCGTCCCGACACTCCTCATAGCCGTATGTCCACCGGAGAACCAGATACATCATCGGAGTCGGACGCCAGCTCAGAAGCAGACGACAATGAAGTTACACTTTCACCCCAATCCTCCATCCATAGCTCTTCTGATAGCGATAAGATACCCGAAATAGTACTCCCACCTGCCAGTCAAGAATTGTACAGACACTTACAGCAGCGTCGAAAGGGGTCAACACTGGTAGATGAAACATGGTCCTATCACAATTCACCGACTCTTCAGCCTTCGTCTGACCAATCATCTCAGTCGTGTCCGAGTTCTCCTCCATTGGACTCAGTGAAACATGACGCCGCCACTAGCCAGGCTACTAATCCGACTTCTCACGGTGTGAATCCGTTCGGGCCCACAACATCCAGAGCTAGCCAAGAGTGGATTTTTAGAAAGCTACTCGACGGGGAAACCAACCAAGTCCTTGACATGCTAATGCAATATCAAGGACTAGAGGAAGTCAAGCAACAATTCCTGGATATCAAATCCAAGGTTGATTGCTGTAGAGACCAAGGCCGAGATCTGAAATCAGAGCGCTTTAACATTGTCTTCCAAGGGAACCCTGGGACAGGTGAGTGATAGTTGCCTAGGTATCAAACAGCCAAAGGCTAATAAAAGATATTCAGGTAAAACAACAATCGCTCGCTTGTATGCCAACTTCCTCCACAGTCTAGGCATTCTCGGATCCAACCATGTGCAAGAAATGAGCGGCATCAAAGTAACGACCAAAGGCGCCGTGGGAATCCAGCAGGAGCTTGATACATTGTTAATAATGGGCGGCGGCGTCCTGTTTGTGGACGAAGCTTATCAGTTGACTGCTCCGTACGTTGATGGCGTCGGACGACCGGCTTTGGACATAATCCTTTCGGCGATGGAAAATAATATTGGCAAACTTGTTGTCATATTTGTTGGCTACAAGGACGAGATGGTATCGTTCTTTGAACATAACCCCGGGCTAAGTAGCCGGATCCCCTATACAATGAACTTCACTGATTTCTCTGACGGGGAGCTCTGGAAGATACTATGCGACAATATTACGAAACAGTACGGCGGAAGAATGCAAATTGAAGGCGGTATGGACGGGCTATACATGCGTATTGCTATTCGTCGACTTGCTCAAGTCCGCGGCAGCAGAAGCTTTGGCAATGCACGCGCGGTCGAAAATCTCCTAGCTAGGATATCGCAGCGACAGGCACAGCGTCTAACAAAGGAGAAAAGATATAACAGAAAGCAGAACTATCTACTCTTCAAGAAGGAGGATTTGATTGGTCCGGATCCAGCAACTGCCGCTCACAACAGCGAGGCGTGGGCTCAGCTACATAAACTCATCGGACTCGACCAAGTCAAGGAGTGCGTGAAAAGCATGATAGGGATGATGAGGCTTAATTACCGCCGCGAGTTGCGTGAGCGTCCCCCTCTCAAATTCTCGCTAAATCAGTTGTTTGTGGGTAATCCAGGCACTGGAAAGACAACAGCAGCCAGGTTATATGGTCGAATTCTAGCCGACTTGGGTTATCTCAGCCACGGCGATTGTGAGTTTTATAATCCATAATGCACTATGACTTACTAACATCTTTAAGTGGTCTTAAAAACCCCAGCCGACTTCATCGGCGAGTGCCTCGGAAAGTCCGAGGCAAAGACAAGAAAGGTCCTAGAGGCAACCGTTGGCAAAATCCTGGTAATTGATGAGGCTTATATGCTTGACGCCGGCGATCCCGACAAAGATCAGGACAAGTTCAAAACCGGAGTAATCGATACGTTGGTGTCGATGGTCCAAGGAGTCCCCGCAGAGGACCGGTGCATCGTTCTCATCGGCTATGAGAATAAGATCAGAAACATGTTCCACAACGTCAATCCAGGTCTCTCACGCCGCTTCCCAATCGAGCGGCCTTTTCGTTTCGAAAACTTTGACCTTCCACAGCTAGAGAAGATCTTGAGACTGAAGATGAATGAGCAGAAGCTTGAATACACAGATCATTCTATAAGAGTCGCTTGTGAAGTTCTCGAAAGGTCACTGATGCGCCCGAACTTCACGAATGCCGGTGAGGTGGACAGCCTTCTATCCACGGCCAAGATGAACTACGAAATGAGACTATCAAAGATGTCCCCTGAATCTTTAGACATTGACATAGAGGTTGTGGCAGCGGACTTCGATCCGAACCACGACAGAGGGTCGCAACTCGATTGCCGTAAGCTAATGGAAGGTCTGGTGCACAGCACTATTACCGACAAACTCGTTGGGTACCAGAAGCAATATTTTGGGGCAAAGAGCCTTGGAATAAACCCGAGGGATCAAGTCCCGACGAGGTTTATCTTCAAAGGACCTCCAGGTATGTGCACTCAAGCCATGGGTAACATCACTTGACTCTAGCATTGACCTTTATTTTTTATATAGGTACGGGGAAAACCACCACTGCCCAGAAAATGGGAGAAATCTTCTACAGAATGGGGTTTTTAGCGACGCCCGAGGTAGTCGAATGTTCCGCGGCCGATCTACTGGGTCAATATGTCGGTCATACCGTCCCTAAAACACGAAAGAAACTTCAGGAGGGTATCGGGCGAGTTCTCTTCATCGACGAAGCCTACCGACTTATATACGGCCAATACGCTGCTGAAGCAGTTGATGAGCTAGCCCAGTTCCTAGGTCAAAAGGAGAATGAAGGCAAGATGGTTGTGATCCTTGCTGGCTATCCGGCAGACGTACAACTTCTCATGTCAACTCGACCAAACATCGGAGGTCTTTTCCCAGAAGATATCATCTTCAACAATATCCCTCCTGGAGACTGCATTGCGTTGCTTGCTAAGGAATTTGAGCTGAGCAATTTCACGAGCGAAGCAGGCTTTCTCACAGACTCAGGCTCACCAGATTACGTCAAGGTCAAGAGGCTTTTCAACGCCATGCAACTTATTCCTGGTTGGAGCAACGCCCGCGATGTAAGAAACTTATCGAAGCGAATAGTCGGGAAATTCCTTGAACATACCAACGACTCTACCAACAAGTCTACCAACAACCAGCTGCATATCTTGTCCGCTGAACACATCACAAACTGTATGCGGGAGATGATCACGCAGCAGAGAGACCGTTGTATCGTCACGGGAGCAAACGACAATGTGTATATGCCGCAACAACCACCTATGAGAGCCAACTCTAACCATGGGCTGTTAAACCCGCAACTGGCATCACCACCTCCTCTCACTAGCACTGACATTCGCACCCCGGGAACAGGGAATGCATACTCTGCTACGAACAGTGGTGCTTCAACTGGAACACGCATTCAGGATCAGACTCATTCTTCTATGTCTCAAGTCAATGCGGTGTACACACAAACAAATAGGACCCGGGTTGATCGAAATATCCAAGGGGGCAGCCCAGAGAGTGCAAACATGCGCGAAGGAGGTGTCTCTGAGGACATCTGGCAAGAGCTTCTCAAGGCGAAGAAGATCGAAAACGCCCAGCATAATCAGCGCAAAACTGAAATCGAGAAGCTGCAACGCGCTTTGCAAGAAGCCGAAAGCGATACGTCTGGGGGAACCGGGGGGCGCGGTAACGATACGGATTGTGATGCCATCCGAGACCAGCTGTCAGCGATCCAGCAACGCATGCAAGATGAAGAAAGAGTACAGGCGGCCATTGGAGAGATGAATCGATGCGTTAATGGGTTTGCTTGGCACCGAGTTGCAGGAGGCTATCGGTGCGACGGTGGAATGCACCTTGTGACTGACATGGAAGTCCAGTCGAGATTGGTATAATGGCGAACTTTCCGATGCCCAGATACTAGCATCAAAACGTTTTTTCCAGAATTGCATCAGTGCCGATTCAGAAAAAACCATTTGTATAGTAATAGCAAATAGTTAAATGAGGCCTGAATGAAGATATGACATAAACTCGAACAAAGGTAAACTAAGCCACTTACCAAGCGACATCATCCTTCGAGGTTATCTCCGATAACTCCGGTACCTACCTGCTATCTTAACCATTGCTGACATAATACCTCTAGCCCCTTTTCCCCCGCACTCAGCCTCAATGTCAGGAAAAAAATTATGAAAATTCCCACACCTCAAACCCGCAATACTGATAATCAATCCACGCTTTTACGTTTGCCCTCCCAAAATAAAGGAGAATTTTCCAAAAAATAAAAACATACAACACCGGGGATTCGCTGGTCGTCACCGACCCAACTACTGATCCGGCGGTAGCCAGCTTATCTATGGGAGAGCGGACGGGATCCCGAGTTTTCAAGCTCCTATGGTCGTATGTGCTAGAATGAGGGCTTGTCTTAGCTTATATACTAAGTACGTAGGGCACTTTCCGTCTTGGGATAGGGACAACATCGGAAAAGACCCACTGTTACCTTAGCCTTGTTAGATGGCGTATCCTGGACTTGCCAAATACGAGTAAGGATATAATAGCCTATTCATCACTCAAATTTTCGAATCTTAAATTATCTTTTCTCATTTAGGTTAAGTAGAAATAGTTCATTGAAAATGAAATTTTTAAGAAGAATAGGTACATAACTTCAATGTTGGCTGCTTGCCAGCTAACGTACAACTAGTTACACGAAGAGTTATATGTGGATCGCTCTATTGGTCAGGTAAATATTGGCACCATCTCAAACTTTTCTAACTCTAGAAGGGCAATGATCTGAAGTTGGAATACCCATCGCCCGGCATATCAAAAGGTTAAGACTATAATATATCCTGTGTTAAGAGCATGGTCTCTAAGTGGCAGAAGAATTCAATTGTCACCCTTTTAGTTTGGTTCGTTATGATAACTTGCCAACTTCCAGCACCCAACAATATAGTGTTTTGCATACTGACGATGAAAATGGTTATATTATGGTACGGGTTTTTACACGTATGGATATTCAGCTCCTATGCTATACCATTCTAGTCCTCTTCACTTCTCCACAGTTTTCTTATCCTGAATAAAATACAGCGTCGACGTCTCTTCGTCTAAGGCTCTTTGGAAATAGCAAAATGTTGTGTCAGATGGGAACGGCATGGCCAGTCAAGAACATCAGAAGCTCCCGGACCCTCGTAGTATTCGTGTGATTAAACTTCACGGCGTTACAAGCTCAGAAGATGTCATCTGCTTCGACCTCATCACAGTTTCCCTTAACGCATTGCCAACACCAACTTACGAGGCTCTTTCGTATACCTGGGGCGGACAGCCATTGGACCAACTTGTCTACGCCAATGGCCGGGAATTCCTCGTTACGGAAAATGCGAGAAACGCGATGAGAAGGCTTCGTCCGTATAAGCCGGGGAAATTTCGATATATATGGATTGATGCGATTTGTATCAACCAGCAGGATAATGACGAAAAGAGTAGTCAGGTCCAGATGATGCCTGATATATACGCAAAAGCAAAGCGCGTTGATATATGGCTTGGCGAGGCGGACGAAACAAGCGATTTCATTATGAGGTGGTTACGGTGGACTGGCTTACCGTTCGGGCCATTGTATTCCGCGAGGCAAAGGCTCGAAGCAGCTGGTCTCCTTTCACGAACATACTACCGAAGATCATTCATCTTTTTTCTAGTTCAGATTTGTGATACCTTTGCGCTCTGGATCGTAATATTCATAGCGCTTGGCCCATTACTTCCTTTCCGGGCTCTTCCCATATTCAAAGGTCGGGGAGCTCACTTCCTTGATCACTATATTACTAACTAACACTCCAATGATAGGGTTTAAGCGAAAGATACAGGCTGGTTTAGAAAACTTGGCCGCGAGGGAATACTAGGAAAGGTCGTGGACGGCACAAGAAGCCTCGGTAAATTTCAATACATCTGTTTTCTGCGGCTCCTCTAAACCACTTCCAATTCTATGCTTCATCATGGGCCACCACGTGTCAGGTGCCTTCTACGTCTTCTTCGGCCTCGAACGCACACCCAAGCGATACCGACTATATGTGCCTACCTTCAACTTTTTCACTGGAGCGGGACAGCTCGTTCACAACGTGCTGGAGTGTCTCTGCAAAACAAAAGCCACGCTACCCGTGGATAAGATATACGCTATCCGAGCAATTTTCCCTGGGAGCCTCGGCATGCTACAGGTCGACTATTCGCGACCTACGAAAGACGTCTTCACAGACGCCGCCCGTCTCATTCTTAAGGCTAATAAGAATGTGGAGCTACTCAGGTACGCTTGCACCGGCCACCGAACAGACGATTTTCCTTCGTGGGTGCCGCCGTGGGATACCCCAAGCGTCGTGCCCGAACGTCTAAGAAAATTCGCGCCAGCGGCGGTTTCTCCGCATCCTATCATAGACGAGGACAGCGAAACAGAGGTGCTTAAATTGAAAGCTCTTCGCGTCAATACAGTTACGGGAAATATCAGCGCATTATTCCCACTAAGGCCGCCTCTACAGAGAGCGTGGGCTCCCTCCAGGTCCGATACCGCAAATGCGGACGAAGCATTCGCCATATTCAAGACCTGGGCTATGGCATCCCCAGGCGGTGACAACGCAGACGCCTATGCTAAACTGAGACAATTCGCAAGCCTTATGGCCGAGATGTGCGATCTGAAGGCCGAACGAATTTACGCCTGGTTTCCGATGGTCTGGCAGCTCGGCGACTACGGCACGGGAGAGCGGTACGGGTACGTTATGGCACCGCCGGAGGTCCACGACGCGCGTAACTTCGCGGCGAAGCTCCTGCAGCTTACCAGCGGCCGGGCGCTCTTCGCGACCGAGGGCGGGAGGGTTGGCATGGCGACGACGGTGGTCTGTGAGGGAGACGAGGTGGCACTTTTGTCGGGGGAGAGGTTGCCGTATGTCATCTACAGGTGCGCTGACCGGCCGGGGAAGCATACCGTGGTGTGTCCTTGTTGGGTAAGCGGTGCGGTTAAGGGGGAGGCATGGCCGTCGAGGAGCGGGGATGGGGTTGAGGGGGATTTGGAGTTTATTGAATTAGTGTAATCATGAGTACATGTACCTCTACACTAATTGAAAAGAATTGACACAATTTTGCTAAGTTATGTTAGTCTTTCGACTATATAATTCATAATAATATATCGCTAGAACAACATAATAGTAATAAATTCATAAGAGTGGCCGACGCGGTATAAGGTTACATACATCTCATCTTCACCCCTTAATTATGTACCTAGTATATACAGAAGATTGAACTCGTTGAACTTTCAAAGTGGTCGGTACAAATGAATAGTTCATCTATACCGACTCTTATGATTGGATATCATCAATGGTGACGAAGTTGAGGATTAAGTCAGCAATCAGCATTGAGGCTGAGTTTATATTAATCAGGTACCGGTATCTGCAGTATCTGTGCATTCTCTGCCGCTGACGACTTTCCCGCCTGGGAAGGATTCGGATCCCGGCTGGCCGAATCTCGGATGCCAAGGAAACCTTCTCTTTTGAGACTGGAGAAGTTAGATGTTATCTATCGTCACGGGCAATTGCCTATTATATTATTTGGCTTAGTTTCACTCTACACCATGAGTTGTGTGAGAACAAGATCAATCTGATCTTGTTATTGGACACGTCTACGACTTGTTTAGGACGTGCGAAGTGTTCAGTGTTTGTTTCGGACGAGACCTGGTCGAAATCCGGTCTGCCGGTGCATAAGCGACGAAGGCGATGAGGGAAATGACGACAGATTATGCCGATCACTAGTGAGTGATGGCCATGTCAAAAATGATCAGCTAGATCTTCAAATGCAAGTCTTTTACTATTGTTCATAGCTGCAGCAAAAATACGTCCGTATGCTCCGTATTTTTTGAGGACATTCAAGAGAAGAGAGGCGGATTTCTCGTTTCTGTTGATGGTGCATGCCGTGTCAGCCGGGGATTCTCGTATGATTAAATATTATTTATTACGGGCAAAGTCTAAAATGGCGAGAAAATCTATTTCAGTGGTCGACTGTCCAATTAGTACCTAGTGCTAACCGCGTAACCGTTACGAGAACGAAACATTGAAAGCGAAATTCGCTAGGCGCCGCCGAGCAGTCCTAATCAGAAAGCGCACTGCACTCATTATTGTATGACTGCCCAGGTGTTGTTCAACCGACGTTTCCGAGAGGATCAATTAACTATATGCACCTGCCTTCATTCGATAGGTCTTGAGAGATCAATGCCCAAGTAAACGTTCTTGCCCAGATAGCTTAGCACTGTTTGGGACTGCTTGGGACTGCTTGGGACACCTAGTCAGGGTCGTTCCGGCTTGCACTGCCACCACAAGTTACAGTCTAGGCCAATGGTTTGGCATTTTGAAGCTAGGCGTTAAAACGCGTAGTGTCTCAGCGCCAAAAATGTAGAGCGACAGACGTATCCGCCGATGGCTACTATGTCATCAGCGCGTTTCGATTTCCGTCTCAACCATTTAGGATAAACTCGCTGTCTATCGAGAGGGAACAACAGCGACTAAATAGATCAGCATGCACTTACAAATTTAGTGATAGTGAAATGTCTGCTCAGGTGGTTAGTTATATGTCCTATGATGCAATTGCTGTACCTTCAAAGAGCTTTTGAAGACACCAAATATTCGTGGTGGGCTGGCCGTTTGGCTTGTACCTTGGCGGTAACAAATCATGTTTTTCAAGACGTGACTAGCCTAAAACGGTTGGAGCTTCAAGCAAGCACATGCAGGTGGGAACTCTGACAGTTTGAATGGTCAAAGTGGTCACGAACCATAACACGTGCAGATGGAGGTACGATGCTGTACGATGTCGTACTAACTAAGATACTACCAAAAGTGGAATAGTGAGGATAGTTGAATAATTAATTTTATGCTAGTTTGAGGGAAGTACGGATCTACAACACGTCCCGGCCGCGTAATTTCAAATGTCCCTGCTTAGCCCAGGTGCAGTGGTGCATTCCCTATTGTGCTGAAGTCCGGGGGGAAAGTGAAGACCCCCTGCCACTTCTGCCACTCTCTCCTTCAATTCAACCCTTTCTTCCAAGGTTGTTCTTTCTACAATCAACAATCGAAGTCGCTCACTACTAACCCTCTCTTTTTCTCAAAAAAATCCTTTTCCAGTTTTTATCCGCCACTCTAAAATAACATCATCGAACGGCTGCTACTAAATACCGGTAGTAGGAAACACCCATTCCGCGAACGGGTCCCGTCGCCTTCGAATGCGAATCCCTTCTTAATTCCTCTTACCCCCTTTTCTTCCCTTTTCCCTTCAATCCCACCGCCGCGCTCGTTCATTGGGGAGGTGTGTTCGGCCAGGACCGACGACGAAAGGGATATTCTCCATTTTGACGCCTTACTCTCGCTATCACGACTTTCTACCTTCTTCCGGATTAGTATTGAAGCCCTTCGCTTGACTCGGAACAATCGATCCATCCCTTTGTCGACTCATGTTTAGGTCTTAAACCTTTCTACGGATGTAATTGACAGTCGACAAAGGAACACGCATCGATCCCCGTGGTATCGATACTCTCCGGTATAGAGGCAGAATAATTAGTTTTAATTACACGACGAACCAAGCAACTCCCAAAAGATAGCAACGATGTGGTTTTCGACGTTAAGATCAATCCTGCTAATATCATGGCTCTCGGCACTCCTTCCCGGCGCGGTCGCAGAGCCTATGCTCATCTCGAACTCGCTGAACACTTGTCAGGAGGACTCTATGTTTACGGCTAGTCTGTTCCAGGTCGTATATACACCGAATAACAACACAGCTTTCCTCAACATCGTCGCAACATCGTCCGTCGAAGGCAATGTTGTGTTCGACGTCGCCATCTCAGCATATGGTTACACGATTATCCAGACTACCGTCGACCCCTGCAAGGTTGGCTTGGCTGGTCTCTGCCCCATGACCGCGGGTAAGATTCCGCTGAAGTTCAACTTGCCTGTGGGTGAAGAAGCCGCCTCCCAGATTCCCGGTATCGCGTATACGTTCCCCGATCTGGATGCTACCGTCCGTGTCTTCCTGAACATGACCGACACCGGCAAGAGTGTGGCATGCGTCGAAGCCGACATCTCCAATGGAAAGACGGTTGATTTGATTGCTGTTAAGTGGGTTCTTGCCATTATTGCTGGCCTTACTCTCTGCTCTTCGGCCATCATCAACGGTCTCGGTCACTCAAACGCCGCCGCGCACATTGCCTCTGGTGCTCTTTCGTTGTTCGGCTTCTTCCAGGCTCAGGCCATGCTCGGTCTCACTTCGATCCATCTACCGCCTGTCGTCCAATCCTGGACTCAGGACTTCCAGTGGTCTATGGGTATTATCAACGTTGACTTCATGCAAGATATCTTCACATGGTATCAGCGAGCGACTGGTGGGACGCCTTCTACCATTTTCGACTCCTTGACAACTGTTTCAGTCCAGGTTGAAAAACGTGCCTTGTCCGTTTTTCCGGATGCTGCCGCGGACTTGTACAAGCGATCAGTTGCCATTCTTCCGCGAGCTGCTACATCACTAATGAAGCGAGGCAATATTATGACTGGCTCTGGTAGTTATATCGTGTATGGTATTCAGCGCGTTGCTTTCAGAGCCGATATCGAGACGACGAACCTGTTCATGACCGGTTTGATATTTTTCTGTCTACTCGTAGTCTTCACTATCGGGGCTGTTGCGGCGTTCAAGGGTTTCTGCGAGCTCGCTGTTAAGCAGAAATGGATGAAGCCCGACACGTTCCTCGAGTTCCGCAATGGGTGGCTTACGGTCCTTAAGGGTATTTTGTTCCGTCTTACCCTCATTGGTTACCCCCAAATGGCTATTCTATGTCTCTGGGAGTTCACCCAAGTGGACTCGCCTGCTGAGGTGGTCTTGGCGGTCTTCTTCATCGTGGGAATGTCGATTACTCTAGGGTGGGCCGCTTCCAAGGTCATTCGAATCGCTCGTCGTTCCGTCGCCATGCACCGAAACCCCGCCTATATCCTTTTCTCGGATCCCCAGGCATTGAACAAGTGGGGATTCTTGTACATCCAGTTCCGTGCTTCCGCCTACTACTTCATTATCCCGATTCTTGGCTACACCTTGGTTAAGGCCATGTTTCTCGCATTCTCGCAGGCCAACAGCACCGCTCAGGCTATCGGTTTCCTCCTTATTGAAGCCGGAGCTCTGATTGCTGCTAGTGTTCTCCGACCTTGGATGGATAAGAGCACCAACTCGTTCAACATTGCCATTTGTGCCATTAACTTCATTAACGCCATTTTCCTTTTGATTTTCTCGGATGTGTTCAACCAACCTGCGTTGGTTAACGGTGTTATTGGTCTCATTCTGTTTATCCTTAACGCTATTTTCGCCACTGTCCTCTTAATCATGGTCCTTGTTTCGACTGCGTTGGTCTTCTATCGCAAGAACCCGGATGGTCGCTACCAGTTTATGGCTGATGACCGAGCGTCTTTTATGAAGTCGCAATCTCAGCTCACGGGTACTACTGAGCTGGACGCCCTTGCTGCAACCGCTCGCGGTGATAAGGCTGGTTACAAGCCGGGTTTGGACCTTGATGACGACAACGAATCGATAACCTCAGCTGACATGCGCCGCCGTACGGACACTTCAAACTTGACGGTTCCCGCGGCAGCTCCCCCCGGCGCGTTCAGGAGCAACAGCAACACGAACCCTCCTCACTCTCCGGTGGACCCTTCTGTGCCCCTCTTCCCGGCCAACGGTGGCCCGCAAAGAGCACCTAGTCCATACGGTGGCAGCTCTGCCGGGCGGTCAGTGAACAGCAGCAGCCCTCCAAGTTACAGAGCGCAGAACAACGCTAGGTGAGCCAAATTATGCTTGAATTTTCTCTTTTAGACGTAGACTAATCCAATCTCAGTCCTTGGCAACGAGGGGCAGGTTATGACCATTAGGCGACGGTCATAACGTCGAAAGGGGGAGGTTTCTACTAGCTAGACTTAGTCTATGCGTTTGTTCAAATGGGGTTACTATCATGACAAATGGGGCCGGAGTTAATTGCTTGGATCTGCATATACAGGAGGACAGCTCTGTGGAGGATTTCTAACTTCAAACGAAGCGACCATAGGGTACCCAAAACGGTACCGCTGACGACGGCATCAACTTTACCAAACCAACAACCCTTTTTTTATACTCTTCAAATCTTGTACCAGGAACCTAACCTTACGATACGGGCGTGACAAATGCGTTAATAGCATCAGGAGGCGCCGTTAGGGAAAGGGGGATAATGTTTAAGACAACATCGTACCACCACCTGTATCAACTTGGATTGCAGTTGTAAATACTTAACACCCGGAGATTCGCGGAGGGGGTTTAAAAAGATTTTTTCCAAGAAACCGGGGAACAGCTGGGCTGGTGGAGTTAGGGTATGAAATTTTTTCAGGTTACTACACCGTTATAGACCGCCGCCGGCGTCGACGGCGAGTATGTTGATAGTTAATTGATTCTGTCAAATTACGGTTTACAAGACTATGTTTGTATAGGTATTTTAAGGAGTGCTTGGTTGTAGTTATAAGCAGAGTTTAGTGGGATTATACTTAGTACAGGGGAGTAGAAACTTGGGGTTCTTTTATTTCCGTGTAAATATCAATGCCTCTTCATTTTTTATGACTTGCCCCCGTTTCTGACATTGCTTTGACTTTTACACTTAGGGTCCAAAGTGGACATATTCCACGAGCTATCAAATAGTTCACACCAAGTTTCTCTAGGTGCTGCCCGTCAAATTCCAGTATAACTTGCAGCGTCCAGTAAGCTGTCCATATTCGACATCAGTAAGCTAGAAGTGTCAAATAGCATTTTGACGGCAATATTCAAAAAGTTACTGATCACAATGAGACGTTGACATGCGGTGCGACTGTAACTCTAGAACGAACGTCGTCCTATGAGAGTAAGCATATCGTCGTATCTAAATGACCATGACCATACTTCAACAGTCTGTCCCAACTTATACGACTGAGAATAACTATCGATCGCGCAGTGTTGACCTGTTCTTAATTATTCCCGTGAGGAAAAACCGATCTAACTCTGCATTACTGGTCTATCGGTGATATAGTACATAGATAGGTAACTATAGTGTTGTAAGTAAAGGTATATATGGCTTCGGCGATAGGGGATTAGGTGAACATGCATGAGTACGTACCTCGCAGACAACTCTCGCGCGACTACACGTCGCCACTGTCGCGACATAACTACTGAGATAGGATGGGCTTTCGGCGATTACATGTTACACAGCACGAGAAAGGGGTGATCCCCTTGACCCGATACTTGAGCCACATGGTTATGTCGCTATCGCCGAATCCCCCTTTCTTCGAAATAAGGCCTTCCTCATCCCCTATATCAAGGTTACAGTCCCCCTTAATTTCTCTCTCGCCATCGGAATAATCTCATAGTTATCCGTCTTCCTTCTCAATACATAAACCAAGTCGAATACCCAGTCGACTAACTACGGCTTTAACTCAAACGTCATGACCACCCCGCGCGTCTGGCTCATCACGGGCGCCACATCCGGCTTCGGCCTGGAACTCGCGAAAGTAGCCGCCGAGCGCGGCGACCTCGTCATCGGCACGTCGCGGAACCCTTCGTCCTTCACCGCGCCCCTACCCTCGGGAATCACGCTCGCGCGCCTCGACCACAACGAGCCGCTCGCCTCCATCAAGAAGGACGTAGCCGCGATCTTCGCCATCCACGGCACCGTCGACGTCGTCGTCAACAACGCGGCGTACGTGCAGACGGGCACGGTCGAGGAGCTGACGCCCGAGGAGACGCTGAAGCAGTTCCGGGCCAACGTGTTCGGGCCCGTCAACGTGTACCGCGCGGTGCTGCCGCACCTGCGGGCCAAACCTCTCCCTACTGCAGAATTAGGAAAGGAGGAGGAGGAGGAGCGGGGCGGCAGACTGGGGAAGGGAGCGCTGGTCACGATCGGCTCGATGTCGGCGTGGTACCAGATGGACAGCACGGCGGCGTACATGGGCGCCAAGGCGGCGCTGCGCCAGATCACGCTCGGCATGGCGGCCGAGGTCGCGGCTTTCGGCGTCAGACACACGCTCGTCGAGCCCGGGTTCTTCCGCACCGAGCTCCTGCGGCCGGAGGCCAATCTCGCGGGCACGGGGCCGGGAAATAGGATCGATGCTTACGCGGAGCTGAACAAAAAGGCGGATGATGTGTTTAGGGCTGTGCATGGGAAGCAGCTTGGTGATGCGAGGAAGGGGTGTGAGATCATTTATGAGGTTGTTACGGGCACGGGCGTAGCGAGCGGGAGGGAACTGCCGGCTGAGTTGCCGCTTGGGGGGGATGCGGTGGTGGAGATTGCGAGGAGTGCGAGGAGGACAATAGATGCGGTTGAGAGGTGGGCGGATGTGGCGAAGTTGAGTGATATTCCCGCGGGGCAGTGAGGTATGGGTGATGGGGATATACACACACTACTGGAGAAGTCTTCGTGTACTGAGGGAGCTATTGTAATGCTACCTAAGTGTAAATGGCAAGCTACCCCTGATGTTCTAACTTAGGGTCAATATCCGGTCTTTACGTAAGATTCTCTTATATTCGAATTGGTGCTATTGTAAGGGTACCAGGTATATAAATACATCAATCTGGTACGAACCATTTTGTTGAGGTTTGTGGCTTGCGGAGTCGACGTAGTTGTGAATAATCTTGTATGAAGAGATTGGTTTTTATATCTCTGATCTGTAAGGAGGAATTCCCTCCGATTTCTAGCTTAGATGTCTAGTATATATTATAGAAAATGCGATAGTTTAGTTTGTAGATGACTATCTCAGTAGGTATGTTTGAAAAATTCTATGAATATCTCCGTGAAGTTGAAGTGTTGGGCTCAATAACTCATAGTCGAATAGGGGCTGTAGAATTGCCGTGTATAGGCATATGCATGTGCTTAATATGATATATCCTTATAAAAGGATTACTCCACGTTAGCTGCAAGTTAACTTCGACATCCACATCCTTAGGTTACCTAGGTACATACTCATTCTTATTATAACCACCATTCACGACCTTTGATTGAGCGCGTTCCTGGCCTATTCTCCGCTTTTACCGATGCTTAATTAAATGCTATGGCCGTCTTCGTGGTGGCTCACCCGATAGATACCCTTTATGTACTAATGTTACAGTAGTACGCGATCCTTCGCAATGGCGACCATTGCCTCCCCCCCTCTACCCACCGTCGTGCCAGCTCAACTAGGCTTCTTAGCTATCTATAATCCTTCGCTAGGCACGACAGACGAGACCTTAGACGATCAGATTGTTTACTATGCCTCCGTAAACACCCAGACCAAGAAACGGCGGCACCGCTCGCGGGGCAAGCCGACCGATATCATATCCCAGGAAGAACGGAATGAACGGTTGAGGCAGATCGGCCTAGCGCAGGGCATGGTTGAGTTCAGTCGGGGGTTCTCCGATAACAAACCCATCGATACCATAGAAACGGAGAAGAGTCGCGTTGTGCTACACGAATTAGAGCCAGGCTGGTGGATTTTGGCCGTGGGTATATATGATTTGCATTGCCCGCAGTTAGATGCTGATACATGCTATCCTACTAGTCCGTTGATTTGACAAAGTTGCCTCTCCCGCCAAGACTCGGGGCTCCCACCCCAAATCAGAAAGATGACCCGTCGGAGAATGTCGAGTATTCATCTCGGGAGCTCAAGCCAGCCGCCCTACTTATGCAAGATCTATTGCGTGCCCATTCCATCTTCCTATTACACCATGCGGCGTCCCTAAGTGCCTTGTTTGTCCGGTCGAAGCGATCCAAGTTCGTCAGTATATTAAGTCGATATTGGGATTTATTCTTGTCAACATGGGACGTCATGCTAAACGGCAATCCTGCCACCAGCATATTTGGAGGTATCAAAATCGCTGCTTGTGGCGAGCTTGGCGTCGGTGTCGGCGAGGAGGATCGTGGGAGCGGCGAAAGAGAAGTTCTAGAAGGGTTCGTCGATAGAGTCGAGGGCTTAATAGACTTAATCGTATGCAAATTCGGTCCATCGGAATCCGGAGAAGGCGAAGATTCTTCCAAAGACCCTAAGTTGAATGATGGGCCGACCCCAAAATGGCTCGGCACCGGCGAAGAACCCGGAGCAGAAGATGGCGCTATATTTTTGGGTGTCGGCGCTCTCACCCGAAATTCGTTGCGTGATGTTGCCTACTGGATGGAAGATATCTACACATGGGGGGAGGATGCTTATGGAGTGAGAGAAAGCCCGGCTTCGATACGTCAAGCTAGGAAACCCAAGAAACATACCTCGACAGGTAGTAAAGATTCGGGTGGGATTCCTGCCAAAGTTCCGGAGACGAACGATTCGACCAATCCAAAACAATCGAGTACACAGGAGCAGTCAACGAACCCTAAGGATTCAGGAATTGAATCGCCACATGATGCGGAAGATGCGACAGAAGAAAGCGGGGTCAATAGGTTCATGAGCTACCTTAAGATGGGCTATGGTACACATTGGACGTTAGGTAGCGCTGGTGGAAGCGAAGATACTGTCCAAGAAGAGACCACGCCTATAGAAAGTTCAAAAAAGGATAAGATACCGCCTAATGATTCACGCCGCTCCAAGGCGGCAAGTGGTGATTCAGGGCACTACCTTATTGGACTCCTTGGAGATGTTGAGGAGACTAGTAATATCGAGCATGGCGAGAATAGAGAGTATTCCGACACTTCGCCCGAAGAGGTTGAATATAATTCGAGAGTCTTGCTTCGAACTCTTATCGTAGAGCTAGAAAATACAAAACGACCCGAAGCCGAAATGACCCGGGATTTAGGGAGCCAAGACAATGAGCTGGGTAGTCACAAAAGTTGTGAAGGTTCATCATCTCATTTTGACAGTCAAGACCGCAACAAAACCCAGAAGGTGCGCGTGGTGGTGTATGTCAACAAGCCATTCGTGTATACGTTCCTATTTCAGAATCGGACGGACTCATTGGCTTGGGAGAGTCTTTACAGGTCCTTGCACTACCAGCTTGCGCCACTTCGAAAACCGTTAGCTACGTCTACGGCTTACCGTCCCGGAAGACCGGACATAGGGGCAGTAGGTTCCCACATCTTCGATCTCATCTGGGACCCGGAAGCCATGACGGTCCATTCCACAATCCCAAGCATCCCAACACCCGGGCAGTTGATGCAGGAAAATGCGCAACCGGTCTGGTCGCGGGTCGAGGCAATAAATACTCACCATCAAATCCTCAACACGTACATCACGACATTGACGGACCCGTCAGAACTGGAACGTACCTGTAAGACCAGCCGCGGGTGGTGGATCGTCTGGACCCGTATAGTGGAAACAGACGGTTCCCAAACGCCTTCTCCGCCACCGCCGGATTCTTCGGATGCGAGCCTACCGCATAGCGAATCGGCGGAAAGTGTAGATTTACCAAGTCGGTTAAGGAGAGGTAAAGTCGGCAAGGAGATCTTCCTTATCCGCAGAGCGGGCGAGCACACGCGGCTTAGGGGCCTGAGCAGCTCGTATGCTGAGGGAGGCGGTGGTTGGACGGATGGCGCGAGTCGGCTTGCGCAAGGGATTGGCGTGGATACGAAGAAATATATCGAAGGACTATTGAACCTAGGTCGGTGAGAGATTGTGTAGGTTCATGAGGCTTGATTTATGAGGCACTGGTATGAGCACATGCGAAGGCTAATATCCTAGAGATACTTTGGTACCTAGTAGAATTATCAAAGCTCCTTTAGCTTTGCGATGACAGGACATTTGTGGAAGACATACGGTGGGTAGGCGACATATCGAGTTCTAGACGGACTAGCTCGACATGGGGATTGTTATGAAGATTGACAGAGGCGTGATGACAAGTGCTAGTTCAAACTTGAACGTAGTAGCCACAATAGGCAGAAGGACGAGAATAAAGGAATTCATCCTTCAATATCTTCACCACAACTCAGACAGGCTCGGTGACAAATAATGTTAGGTGAGTCCTTCTTAACATAAAGGTATCGTATTAACCATTTTTGATATCTTAGGGTGATGATAAAAGTCTACGGATAAAATGCTCAGTACGAAAGCAATAATGGCCCTACTTAGAACACGAGTCCTCCCTGACGAGAACCAAGCGTCTGCTCCTTCTCCCAGGATAAATAAGTTTAATGCAATTGCAAGGTTAAATGATGATTGGTGAGTGAAGTATATCAAGAGAAGGTGCAATTAACATTGTCAGGAGTGACTTAACATGCTGCCCCCTAAAAGCTCTTGTGGCTTAAACCTTACTTTGAAGAACACGGATCGATTTGACCTGAAAATTCCCACTAACTTACACCATTCTACGTTCTGGCTTATTGAACTTACTCTTCCTGGATACATCGCCATAATTATCGTTGGCTGCCAATAGCCTCTAACCATCACACAATGGGGGCATACTTTTACCTATTATCGTCCTTTATAGTTCTCGTCGTGACGCTCGGATTTTGGATCCACTGCTTCATACGATTTAGGCGTCTTATACGCCTCGCAACCGAGCTTACGCAGATTCAACACAGGACGTTATCATCCATCCACGACGAATAATCACTTAAAAGCTGAGCCTAATTGACAATCCCTTCCATCACTTTCTCTATATCATAAGCTACTTATCTTCTATATCGATTCTCTCGAACAGTGAGACTTTAGCGTCTACTGCTTTTGCGCATAGGGGGTGGTCTATAAGCCAGCAGCCGTTCCCTGTCCAACACGATGTCGGAATGGCGACGGAGAGAAGAAACACCGGAACCAGAAGATGTACCTCGCTGGCGGGTTGCTGGATGCTCCTCCACTGGAGCGGCTTGGTGGGATATTAAGGGTCAACTCGAGACAATCAAGCAGCTAAAAGTCAACTTCCATCGTCTAACGTCGGATGATGCTCAAGAACACTTTCCTAAATTCCCCAAGTTACATGACCGGACTTGGCTTACCCTCATCACCAAGCTTCAAGAAGCAATGACAGTCGCCGAGCATTTCCTTACCGATGTCGATTCGAACGACTGGTTACGTGTACAGGCGAGCCTCCCAGGACAACTATGGGCGCCTGGCGCGAGGGCGCGGCTTTGGGACATAAACCGTCCCTGCGAGCGTGCCATAAAGGTGCTAGAAGGCGTTGCTGCGCTACAGGCCCAGATACTGGCGGGCCAGCACAGGAAGCCCGATGGCGAAAAGCGGCTTGAGAAACCCGCTTTCATACCAGTTAGCTATCGACAGGGCCCCGGCGAGGGTCTGTTACCGGAGGCTTCATACCCTGAAAGAGGCGAGAGCCAGGTCGACCCAGACTATGACATCCTACAAAGCGCAGAAGAGCTCAGCCAGTCAGCCTCTGATCTTGAGCGCTACCGTTTTTCCTTCCGTCCAGATCTCGCGGAACTGGAGGAAATGAAGTCGCGCCGGGAGCAGAGCGACGAGCGCCCATCGCTCGTGCCTGCTGAACACGTGCCTCTAAGAGAGATCGCAGAGAAGAAGGGAACATATGGGCCATCGGGACCGCCTCTCAAATCTATGATATCTTTCATCGCAGAACTAGACATCTGCAAGCTAAGCGGACACCCACCTGTACGTGAGTCCAGCCTGGGAAGTAACGATTCCCTTTCTCTGGACACGCCTTCAAACCCGATTACACCAAGGCCTGTGGTCAAGGACAATCGTTCAAACCGGTTGCCCGGTGTTTATAAAAGTATGTCTAGTTAAATCTGTTCTGAGCTGGTTTGCTAAGAACAAGGTCAAATGCTAACAACAAATCATAGCGTTTCGTGATGATCACTTCATGTGGACAAGCTTTGCTGGTGAGTTCTTCATACCGGTATTGCTTCTAATGCATGATGATGAAAATGCTGATAAATACAATATAGCTCAGGCCCAGGAATGGAATAAGCTCCCCCATCTGCCAGTGAAGAGAAAGTTCGACAGGCGGGCCATAGAAGGTTAGTATGATCCATTCAATTCTTTCAGAGCACCTCATCCCCTATTTCTGTTCGTACTCCTTACTGTCTAGCCACGACATCCTCTATATCTACACCAATCCATGTTTTCAGGCCTATCCCAGAAACCCGCATTTCTACGTACAATTCAATTCAACTAACACCTGAAATGTATATAGATGGTCGCAAGGCAGTCGAGCCGCTCGTGAAGAAAGCCATGACAACTTGCGACTACCGCATCGCCACCCGTCACGACGAGGACACTGGCGACATCCAAGTGTGCGAATACTTCCACGACCAAAGCCGGTTCTTCCTTGCGGAGGATCACTGGAACGACGACATGCAAGTGGATGTTCCAGGAAGTGGAACTAATGCCTATCCATTTTATCCCGACGGCCTAGAACGGGGTTATGACGACGAGGATTCCGAAACTATCACCGACTCCGAGGAACGGGATTCGGTTTTTATTAAATTGGAATCAGAAGAGGAGTATTAGTAGCAAGTGTTGAAGCATATATGAATGGTTGGTTAGGAAAGGGGAGGTGAGCTTGATACGGAGGGCTCGCGCGGTTGGAACTGCGCATATGTTTGTTATATGTTTATGGGTATGCCTTTTTGACAAGGTTGCCGTCGAGGAGGGGAGTTCTTGATCCCTGTTCTGGCAATTACGTATGTATTGTACTTGTGGCCTTTGAGAGAGGCTGGTTGCTTTGCGGAGAGAAACGGGGAGTGGTCTTCTTCTTTTCTTTTCCTTTTTTTCCTGGTAGAAGAACATCTATGCTGCCAGGGGGTTCAGGTCGTATGCAAGAAGGTTGCCGGTTTTGATTGTCGCCGATGGAAAAGGTGACCTGACTATTGTGTTATTTGAGTTTTACGGGACGGATGGACTGCTGTCTGATGGACCGACTGCGCCGAGGAGACTGCTTTAGGAATGCGTATTAATTGAATATGTTCTGCGTATTGAGATACACTTGACTCACGTTTGATTACTATACTTCCAATCTGTTTCTATTTTTGCTATTTGACGTGAGACTTGGGAGTTAGAGTTTACTTGCCTAACCGCCAATTCAAATATTGAATATATCTAGGAGGTTGGTTTCGATGAGGTTGAAATACCAGTGTATGATAGGTATATTGGGGGGCTAATTAGCGTTGGATGAGCAATACGAGACATGATATATTCGTTCTTACTGTTAAGGAGATGTCAGATATAACTAGCGACGATTATTATATAACGTGCTAAGAATGAAAACACGTTTACCCAAGTAGCTACCTAGGTTGCTGTCCAAATATTTCCGGTGGTGAGTAGAGATTAGGGGTAGACATAGTAGATATTTATTAGTATGTAGTATAGATCGTAATATCTACACTGCTAGCTAGCAACAACACAATTACTTTACGAATATATTATTAGGGTTATAAATCACACGAATCATCCAATATACGACACGAGACACGAGCACACAAGAGAGTCATTGTTCAATCGGCCGAAACCTTTCCATTCCTAATCCTTTCTACCGGAATATAATATGCACAGAAGAATCGAAGTCTATATCCCGCTCCCCAGTGTTTGCCCTTCAGATGGACCAGGGCGTTGAGTACCCCAGATGCTTGCCAACCGATCCGGACAGGGCTGTAGCAAGCCCAACACCTTTTCTTTTCCCCTTGGTATCTTGCCGAGTAAGTTGCCTTAGCATTTCCAACGCTAATAATTCAAAATTTGAGAACAGATTTGTCATCAAGGCCTAGTCAGAGAAAATGCCCGTTTCATCGTCATATAGGATCCCATATATCCGGTAATTTTATCACGCCGAAATCTCAAAGATATGATAGTAAAACAGATTTGACGCCAAGGATTTCCCTAGACGCGAGAAACAAGGGACCGGTAAATGGCATACCCAAAGTCAACAGACGATTTTGTTTACTCGTTGATTACCCAAGAACCTTCCAAACGACCGCCGGTCAAAGAACCGAACAGGTCGGTGAAAGTGTGGGGAGTAACGTCGATGGCATGACCGGCGCAGCCATCGCAGCGGTCACGGATAGTGGCAGTAGTGGTCTTGCCATCAGAGCTGGTGATGGTGATGGTCTTGTCGCAAAGAGGGTGCGCAGGCTCGTTGAGACCGTAGCTAGTAGCAGTGCTAATGGAATCCCAGAAGGCCTTGGGAATGGCTACAATGTTCGTGGTGTCGTCCTTGCCGGTATCCTCGTAGCCGCAAGCACCTAGTGCCGCGTTGTAGTAGGTAATATCACCAGAGAACTTCTGGTTGTAGGGAATTCCATCACTGCCGGTGCTGCCACCGGAGCTGGCGCTGGACGTCGGCGCCGCTGCGGAGTAAGTGCTGCTAGACGAGGGAGTGACGGGCGCCGCCGTAGTCTGCTGAGTGGGGGTCGCGTAAGTGCTGGTGGGAGCCTGAGACGAAGTCGAGTAAGTAGTAGCCTGCGCAATGCTGACAAGAGTGCTTGGCGTGGAGGGTTGAGCCTGGACAGTGGGAGTCTGGACTACCGGAGCTGCGCTGCTGGAGCTGGAGCTAGAGCTGGTATCAGGCTGGAAAAACTGAGCGGGAGTTCCGGTGCTAGCAGGAGCAATGGTTGATGTGGAATCATCGTCGATGATGACGGTAGCGGTCTCCCAGACGGTTTCCCACTCAACGACGAGATCTCGCTTGGGGTGGTTGTGACGGTGGTGACCATGGGGCTGAGCAACGGCGGTCGAGGCCAGGAGGGCAGCGGCAATAGCAACGGACTTCATTTTGGCTGACACTTTTGTGGTGAGCTTGAAAAGACTAAATCAAGATTGTGCGATGTGTGATATGCGATATGCAGAGCGAATCAAGGATCCAGCCGGAGGGAAATCTTCAAAAGCGTTGTCAAGGATGCGTAACAAAGAACTCGGATGTTGTTGTTCTTCGATTCTTTTACTTCCGCAAGGACCGGTACCTATGCAGTGACAAATCCAGATCTCTTATTCAGAGAATGAATGTGATGGAGCAGCTGTACGGTGAATGAATGTATACAGTGAGCACTGCTCTTGGAAAGGAATGGACAAGATCTATAGACGTTGGAAATGCACAAAAGGTTAGGGAGGAAAAGTGGAAGTTGACAAAATGGAAGGAATGTTAGGGGGTTTATTTATTTTGCAGGGGAAACGGAAAATCTTCTCATGGAGGCCGCAGAAGCGCAAAAGCGCAAGGAAACAGCAGCCAGGAACAGGCAGGGGGCGGAAAGAGAGACGAGATGGATTGTGGAAAGAACATGGTATGTTCCCTGTCTGCTCACTGTCCGCTCCCTGCCAGTTCCCTGCCTGATGTACACTAGCCGTACCTGATGAATTTTCATCGCAACGTCTGATTGGCCGGAGTTAGTTGAAACATTCCGCAACTGGGAGTTCCCAGATGTGTTTTCCTTGTGCCTTCTCGTTTTTGGAACGCTCTAACCAATGGGCATTCGCGAATACCCGGTCTGGAAAAAGAGGAGTCCAACGTGGCTGATGTTGGTCATTAGCGGGTCAGCTAGGGCTCGTGCTAGGGCGTACCTGAATGATACCTTAACATTAATGCAAGGTACCGCTGATGCCCTGGATGCCGTCAGCGAGAAAGCCAATGGGGTGGCCGGACTGCACCTGAAAAGGGGGACTTGGGTTACTCTAAAAGTTTAATCACTCAATTAGAAGCAGCAACCGCAGGACCAACTGCGACGATCATTTTGACCATTTTCTACCATTCTTCCTCGCTTTAACCATCCGAACATTTGATCTTCCTGCAAACTTACCGCAAGTGCCAGCAATATCCTATCCTGTCTATGCGTCTACATAGTACGAGGTCCCCACGTCCGACCACGTTGCCGTGCCTGGAAGGGCTGAAGTGTTCGAACTACTTTTGTGGCACTCCACGAGATCGCTTCTGGCAGTTTTAGCGACGTCTAGCCAGCCTCTCTCACCTAATCCATCCAATCCCCCGCCTCTCGAGGTATTTTATTACCTAACGATAATTCACGAATTCGCCCATTTATTCGTCGGGTGAGTGGAGCAAGACTTACTATGCACAGGTATGCATTAAATCTCTAAAAACCATCTGATATTGTTCCCGCGATATCACTCGGTCCGATGCTAGTTTGTCCTTCACAATCGAGATATTTTCTTAGTTAATGGAGTTGTGGGAAAGTGTGGGTGCCGCTAGACGAGATCTACGGAATCCGGACTTGTCTATTCTGCAAGTTCTTTACCAAGACTCAAGAGTCTTAGATTTGAATGTCGGTTTAAAGGGTCCATTACCCGGGTCGCTGCAGGACATTCTGGGCGTCCCACCACTTCTACTTCTACCTTGGTCCTTGCGCACGTCTTTGGGCACCCAAGGTCGCCGAATATCTCCACGCTGCAGCAATCCGACTGTCGGGCTTCACCTCCCTTACTGCCATTGCAGCGTTGTTAGTGATAGTCTTTCGGTCATCTGCATCATGTCGGCCATCTGTGCTCCATCGTCACAGGATGGCCAAATTTATATTCGGTCTTTGAAGTAAGGTAATACTAAGCGAGTGAGGTGTTTCGTTGAAAAGAGTGGCTTTCGCAGTCGTGTGACATGTACCAGCTGGTTGTGCTTAAACAACCTATCTATTTGCTTACGGGTTATAGGTGGTTTTAACTCATCACATACAGATTGTCATAAACTGGCTCGTCTCGAATTCAGATCTACCCTTATTTTCGAGCCTCAGAAGATATCTCTCACCAACGAGAATGTTAAGATAGTACAAATCTTAAGTTGCGGTACCAGCCTCCGGATGAGGCCGGCGCACGGCGTCAAATTCGACAATTCTCACTGGCTGCTCGGCACCAGCCATGTCTCATCCTGCAAGCCGACCCTTCATTTTCGTGATGTGTTTCCCTCCCCGCCGATCTCTTTCGGCACTATGATGTAAATATAACATGAAGTGTTTTCTCTGCACTTACATAGGTGAGAGAGAATGAACTGGATTCACAACTCTTGCAGGCCGTCTCAAAGATATGAAAAATCGACCCGAACTGCATCTCCGCCGTGTTCATTATCCATGGCGGAGATATTGACATAGGCTACTACGTTATACGTTAGTCACCGCTTTTCCGCCTCTAATTCGATCTCCACGGCATAAGGTGGCGCGGCGCCGCCACTATATGTTAGCGTAGCAAGCTGGCTGGAGCTGATGGCTCGGGGACCGTCAGTTTCACTAGTAGAACTAGCAGCGAGTGGCAATGTCAGTCTTGTTAGCGCTGAAAACATCCTGATTTTTCACGGCACGCCAACTAACTTAGTACATTTTAAAGGGCTTTTTGGTAAGCCTCTTCAAAGTGACCTGGGTACACACATCCATATGTGGTATCTAACTGAAGTGGTATTATGATATTGTCTCAATGACTCGACATCATTCGAGGGCTTGCTATAATCTGCTTTCTCTGGCTTTGCTTTTACCCCATAGCACAAGGTCGACGCCAGGCAGCGAGCCGTCGACTTAAACTATCGAGATATACAAGCACGGGATCACGCATGGAAAGCAGTGGCACCCGAGTCTCCCGAACACGTTCCAGTAGAAACGTTGCTTTCGGAGTAAGCTGGATCTCAATGATAATCATTGGTTATCTACTTCTATGAAAGTAAAACATCTACGTCTCTATGCATGATGTATGTATGAAGGCTCTAAGTCTGCGTCTTCCCGTCTCTATGCTTTGCCTTTTGCCTTTGCCTTAGACCTGTAATAACCGACGTAATACCGTTTGTATCATCGAATGAACGCAAACGCCTAGCAATAACCTCTAACGAGCTCTAACAATGAAGGGGAAGCAGAACGCCCCCCTACGGAGAAGCCTGGAAAGTGTACAGGAAAAGTCCCTCCCTGCTGAAGACCGGGCGCTCCCCGTCCGCGATCTCGGCCACCTTGAACTTCTTCTGCGCCTTCTTGAGGAATTGCATGTCCGCGCGCCTCCGCTTCTTGAAGCAGAAGTAGATCGTGGCTTCCGGGCACAGCGCGAGCAGGTCCGACAGGGTGGCTAGGAGCAGCGGGAAGGCGGGCTCAAAGTACACGCAGTCGGCCGCGAGGATCACGTTCGGCTTCAGGGCTACGACGGCTGGGGGGAGTGGCTCGCCCCTGAGGTGCGGGGAGAATGAAGGTTAGTATACGTGTAGATTGGATATGCCTAAGTAGGGATGTAGGTAGGTAGGTAGCTGCACGTAGGCGTGGGGATTCACGACGTTACAATGCGTGAGACCCCGTGGGGAAGTAAGATGTGAGGAGAGGATAAAATTATGGCAGGGTAGGGACGAGAGAAACATAGGACAAATCACTAACCAGTTCAGAATCGCGGCTTGGACTTTGCCCTCGAGGTTGTTCAGGGCGATGTTGTGCTCCATCAGCGAATGCATCTCCAGCTGGTCCGTGACGAGTAGCGGGTGCTTCCCAACGGCGCACCCCCGAGCTACCGCCAAGCCTACCAGCCCGCCTCCGGCCCCTAGTTCTAATCTATATCGCGAACAAACACTCGTCAGTACTTTAATCAAACCCTCATGTCTCATCTCATCTGAGCTCATTATGACATATCACGCCGTACGGCATATAGATTGCGACGTATTATTATAACGAATAGACACGAAAGTAAATATTTCAGATATATGGGCAGGTAGGGGGGGATTAAGACTCACATCCTAGCCTCCCCCAAGTCCTCCCGATGGTACCGCAGCATATGCCGTCCCAGCACCATCCCGGCGGGCCAGGTCTGCCCTCCGCACCCGGAAGCCAGGTCCTCGCGCAGCCGGAGCGGCTCCGCCAGCAGCCCGTCGAACCCGATCTCCGTCGTGCCCGCGGCCTTGTACGCCGGCAGGGGGGTCAGGTCCTCGCCGATGGCCAGGGGACTGAACTCCGGGGAGTCCGGGGCCGGGGACGGTTGCGGTGGTAGCATTTTTTGCTATTGAACTCAAGTGCTCGGAACTAGGTAGGTAGATAGATAGATAGATAGGTCACTCGGCTAGGTACCTACCTACATATGTAGTTGTTTGCTCTCCGCCATGATGGGCGAAATTTCGGAACTGGGACGGTGGGATAAAACTGGGCACAACAGAGGCAAGCGCCTAAACTCTTGGAAGTCGGGCTCCGGCCCCGGAAAACTGAGTTTGCTGCATCGCTGAACTACATATACTGGGTCCCGCCCTTTGATGTGGCCCTCGTGAAAAAAAAGGTCTTATCGGGATCTAGAACGTCGCTCGCCCGCTTATTTCGCTATCTTGCTATCTTGCTATCTTGCTATCTTGCTATCTTACTATCGTAAGAAATGGCGCTATACAACGGCCGTTCGCGTAATTCGATAAAGGGGCATTAGGTTAGGGTATGGGAATTTTGAAGGATTTGCGTACGACACTTTTGTGTAAGTATGGCTGACTGGTGAATCGTGATTTGAGGTGTGGCTGAGGTCGTCGAGAATGGCTGGTGCCGCCAAATAAATGTCTCACTCCGCTGCGAAACATTACGTTGGAATTCTTTCTGTCGGTCTAGGTACCAGCTAGCCGGTAAAAGCCTTTCACGAGAATTGATTTACGATGCTTCAAAGGGACGTAGTTAACCATTGCTAGTTGTACGAATTCTCACAATATACTCGGCGATGATGCAGTGAAGTCCTAGCTAAGCTTTCTACAATTGGAGACGACATTAGAAGCTACCAATCATAAGCCTGGTTTCTTTCCCACCCATGTTGCGACTTTCAGTACTCCTCACCTTAGATGAACTGGGATGGATAAACCAACATCAAACCGGTCTTCCCATGTGTCAAATCCCTCGATAGTAAACATATCATAGTATAATCAATATTATATAACCATAGCCGGGTTTTCATCAGCTCCTATCTAGCTCCTAACACTCTCCCTAACCGTTGAAACACACTCAACCCAGCACATCGCGCCTTTTGCTTTTGAATTTGAAACCCGCTCAGCTTGAGAGGACTAAGCAATCGAGCCTCACAAATGAATGTGATAGTCGGATGTGATTGTCATATAATCACGAGAAATGACTATCTATACCATATCGATAAATATGTGGTTGGGGGATAAGTCATGATACTTTTATCACTCTCCCATCGAATAGATCATTTACCTCATGCTTCAGAATGTCTTTTTTTCATTACATCATCCAAAACCACCAGACTATTCTCGCACATCGCCAGCTGTCGCCGAAACTGGAACCGAATAGTCGTAAATAGTGGACGAAAACACTCCATCCCGAGATGAAACGACCGCTCTCGCGAGAATCCTATAGAGCTAGCGTATCAAACCCCCAGATAGCTCGTCTCAGCGCGCTGCTACACTATTCCTTCTCGTGGCTCGCGAGATGAATATTGGACAGCCATACCACGAAATCTCTCGGAGGGCCGGCTTTCTATATTAAAGTGCTTCAAATTTCTAGTGTCTCCCTTGACATGAGACACGCTACCCGGGTACGGAATGCGATCGCCCGCCCGCCCAAGGCGATCGATGTCGGCGCGTGGCTAAGACATTGGAATTCCACCAGCCCTACGCGGTTATCCAGCAATAACGCGCTAATTGCCTGCCAAAGTGGTTGTAGAACAACCTTTGCGCGATGAGACCCCTCCAACCCCCCTTTCGTCATTATCGAATCCGCGCGCCTCGCGGGCTCGACGATGGCCTTCCAGCGCAGGGCGGGATGAGGCGAAGCTACGAGCAAGGGAGGCCGACGTGATCGCTGAAGAATGGCTTCCTGGCATACCGTCGGCGTCGAGCTGGCTCTGACACTCTTTGCATCTTCTTCTGTTCAGCACACGGAAGTACGATCCCTGGTTACGAAAACCACGACTGGAGCCTCTGATTTGATTCGACTTCTCACCACCACAACTTGCAACCACGACACTGTTTTCGACGGCGCGGCCGTATGCTCCCACATGTTAACTGTTTCGCCGGCTGTTATACATCACGATGGTAGTGGGGTGTAAGAACGGCTTCGCATTCAGCGCGGCTGCTGCTGCTCTAGCGACGCTCGCGCGCGCTGCCCCCATCGACAACTTCCCAATCAACTCCCAACTACCGCCTGTAGCTCGAATCTCGGAGGCTTTCGAGTTCATTTTCTCTCCGATAACATTTACCTCTTCTTCAAATATCACGTACCGCCTCGAAAACGCGCCGAAATGGCTTTCCATCGATAGCGACTCGCGCCGACTCTTTGGGACGCCTAGTGCCGAAGACGTCCCGCCTGGCGAGGTCGTCGGAGTCCCAATCCAACTAGTTGCCGAAGATGAAACGGGTTCGACGACAGCGACCCCGACTTTAGTAGTATCCAGAAATAAGCCGCCCAAAATCTCTATACCCCTCTCAGAACAGCTCCCTAAACTTGGCACGTACATAGCCCCTTCGTCAATACATCTTCATCCCTCCAAGGAGTTCTCCTTCAGCTTCGATAAGCACACTTTCCGCACAGATAGCGGAGATGGTGGGCTTAACTACTACGCCGTGTCCGGCGACAACGTGCCTCTTCCTTCCTGGATAACCTTTAATACCGACGATCTCACGTTCTCCGGCAAGACGCCTCCTTTCGAAAGTCTAGTTCAACCCCCGCAAACCTTTACTTTCCAACTAGTCGCGTCAGATGTCGTAGGTTTCGCATCTATCTCGACACCCTTTTCGATTGTGGTAGGGAACCATGAATTGATCGCCGACCCGCCAGTAGTCAAGCTTAATGCGACGCAAGGAAAGGCCTTCGAATATAAGGGTCTGTCAGATGTGTTGGAGCTTGACAAGAAGCCTCTGAAGCCGGAAGATGTTGACAGTATCGCGGCATTCGACCTACCAACTTGGCTATCCTTCGACGATAAGACGTGGGTGCTAAAAGGCAAGCCCGATGACACTGCCGAATCGTCCAATGTCACCATATCTGTCACAGACAAATATACCGATACCTTGAATCTCACGGTCTCGATTCATTTTAGCCTGTTCCTTTCTGATATTCCTGATCTTGACCTCAAATCAGGTGACGACTTTAAATTTGATCTGAAGAAATATCTCTCGAACCCTTCTGATGTCCAAGTTACGATGAAGAACGACAAGGATTCGTCCTGGGCAGAATTCAACGCCTCCTCCTTTGTCCTCTCGGGATCCGTCCCTGAGCCCAAATCAGCGAAGTCCGTATCGATGCCGCACGTTATTTTCAATGCCACTTCGAAGCACACGAACGACACGGAGACTAAGACGATGAACATACACATCGACTCACCCTCTCCTTCCTCCCACGAAAGCTCACCTCAACCGAGCAATGAGCCGGAAGACGACGGCCCGGGCGATTCGAATAAAAACTTACTATGGTTACTTGTGATACCCATCTTTTTAGCATTTGCCGGAATCATACTTCTCCTTTTCCACATCCGAAGACGACGCCACCAACCCAGGAGGCTCGAGGTATCCGGCCCCATAGCGGGAAACTTTATGGCTAACCGACCCGGAAGTTACGACAAGGGCTCCGGCTCCGGTCAGACCGAGAGGACCATGGTAAATGTAGTACCGCCGCGCCTTTCCAAAGCCACTTTATCGGCGCAGAATGCACGGGCCTCCGCCGGCGCCACGAATCAACGTGCTTCTCGGACCGAAACGAGTTCAAGTTTGACAGGAAATATACTACCACATGCTATGATGGCGATGTATTCCAGAGCAAAGTCGCCCGAGCATAGTGTCATTCTAGAAGCGAGTAGTTCTTGGTCCGCTGGACGTAGCCAGCCATCCCCACAAGTAATGGGAGCGACAGACGAGATTAGTTTGCTGTCAGATACTAGCCTTGGAGATGGGGATGCGTATATTGTTCAAGCGCAATCGTATAGCGTCGCTCGGGGATACCGCCAGGATCCACCTCGGAGTCTCTCGGTCCCAACAAATCCAGAACCGTTCAGTATACAAAATACGCCGGAAATTGCCTACATCGCAGGTGGTAAATGTGATTCCAGTTCAGGTGATGCAGTCCCGCCACCAATCGGCTATGCTGCACAACCAAAGCCGGCACCGCACGAAGATTCGACTCTTACCCTTCGCGACGTCGGCAAAAGGATATCTAACTTGTGGAAGAGGGAGAGCAAGATTCAACTTCCCGAAGAGCAGAGGCGGACTAGTATGCATAGCGACTCCACGAGCCAGACGACTTGCACGAGTATCCTAACTTCTGGATTAACCGGTGGAGCTGAGGAGGAGGCCACGACGAGCACGAATGTGATCGCAAGACCAACTATAATACATATACCTAGCAGACCGGGAGAGGCGCGGCAAGTGAGTAGGAGGATAAGCGAATCCTCGCCGCTCTTTAGCGGCCGGTCGCTCGTACAATCACCGCGAAATTTCGGATTGGCGAACAGATCACCCGAGACAGTAATACAGGCGAGCCCAGAGCTGCCGCCGAATCTAGAAGATTTCGCAAACCCTCGCGATAGTGATTCGTCGTGGGATCGGATCGCTAGGAATTCCTTGGGCATCGCATATAAAGACCTCATTGCCGAGCCGGACAGGGTCGTCCCACGCCAAGAATCTCCGGTGGACCCGGCTCAAGAGGAGAACTGGATAATACACGATAGAGTCCAGGATCTGTTATCTCCAGGCCAATGGGTCCAGCCAAACACATCCGTCAACGTCAACATGGTAGGCATAGCGCGTACCTCGCCTTTCAACACATCCAGCGAACTGCCGAGATTACCGCCTACAACGGCATTGGCGATGTCCAAAGGCGAAGGGAAAGGTAGGATGGCAATGAACCGGCGCCCATCGCCGAACTCTACTCTCCAGAGTACGCCGTCGCTTACCTCGAGGTCCGATAAATCCTACTCCTCCCGAGATGAGCTTTTTTTCAACATCGGTAGTCACAGGCAGAGGACAGCCGGTGAACTCCGAGCCCTAGCATCGCAGACGCCATCGACGGACAACGGTTGGGATGCGCCAAACCGGCCCTTGCCTGAGACGCCCGTGCGTAGTAGAGTTCCGCTGGGGAATCGACCCAACGACGCATACTACGGTCCAATGGGAGGAGATGGACAAAGCTCCGACATCGAGAACGTGCCCTCTAAGAACTGGAAATCGACAAGAAGCCTGAAAAGCGCTAAGAGCTTGCGTAGCGTCTGGGCTGACGAGGATGATGAGGACGCGTGGGAGGATATACGCCCACCGACGACTATTGACGGATGGGATGACGGTGGTGATAGCGACGGGAGCTTCACGGTTTATATCTAATCTGGTGCGAGAGGGAAATATGATACCTAGATAATTAATGTTATTAGTCTAAAGCTTGGCATATCTTGCTAGACGTTATAAGCGACAAAGGTCCTTGATTATTAACAGGCAAAGCAAGCGATTTGACTCCATATGAAGGTCCGTGATATTTTTAGTAAGTCCTGCAACTCTTATTAAAGGGTCATCAAGGATCCAGCTGGCAACATATGTATGGTAGGACGCGACTCTGTCTATTAGAAAGATTCCGAGTCTCTATTTAGATTTCGTAGTGTTTGTCAATATCTTAGACGGAAGTTGGAGAGTTGAAACTAGTGACTCGGGGGCCGAAATCGATAGAATACGGCTGCATCCCCTCCTCGGTATAGCAGTATCTCTTTGATGTCGGTTCAAGAAACGCTCGTGGGTCCGGGATTTCCGGGACAGGCCGAAACTGAAGCCGGGGTTGGGGGTCGAGGTTGCATTCACATCGCCGCTCCGGGAAATCCGAAAGAGGAGTAATTGCAGCTATATTGCGATGTTTATAGCCATGTGAGTAGCACACATCGAACGTGATATGGGGATATCCCACATCTAGTATTGACAACCATGCCCGATGGGACTATAGCCATTATTGTCAATATTACATTGCTTATAAGCATTAAAATATACTACACCTAGTATGCCAACACTTGTGAGTTTAAATGGTGGTGATCTGGTAAAGTGATGATCAATACTCGAAGCGTATTTCTTGTTTCCGCGACTCGAGGGTGAGGCGAGGCGGCAATGCCTCTCCCCTGCATGGGAGGCCTAACTCATTGTGGTATGAGGTGCATGATATCCTGGGAGCTCAGTAACATTCGTAAACGGCCTCCCATCTAGACCTTCACTATCAGACTATTGAAAAATAAGTGTAAGAAATTTTCAGGAAACTTTTTCAGGAACCTGTCTCGATTTGTTTAATCGATTATTGGAAAAGGTAAGTGCCCTTATCATATTGTACGTATCATTCACGGTTGTGCCTGTCTCCCTGCCTTAGATGTACTTGTACCTTTGATATTCCACTTTCACCGGTTCTAGGCGGAGGTTACCACTCTAAAGGGCTCTTTCCTTCTGCTGTGAAACGCCGACCAATTGTTTTAGCACAATTTCCCCAAGCCTTTATAAATGCACACGCGACACTTCCAAATGAAAAACTCCTTCGTCTCCGTTTCATAACTCCGGATTTCGAGGTCATAGGGTCACCTAAATCCCAAGTTGGTATTCGGATACCCGATGATTAACCGAGTGGGTATCTTGTACATGTAAGTATGTAGAACAACTAGGTATGTACCAATTTAATGTAAATGCACATGTGTCGCTGTATAAGGTTGATGTTAGGTATATGTGTATATTATTTGAGTTTTCATACACCTACTAAGCTTCTTTTGTCCTAATGATTCGTGACTTTATAAAAAATCTTCTTTCATTGAATACATATGGAGGTCCCAACTCAAAGAATATGGATTCAGTACTGACTGGCATGCAAATGCCCGATGATGTCGTGACGCACGTTGTATTCTTACGACATCATAGTGGCTTTTTCAAATAATTCCATGGTTCTATGTGGTTCTGGGCTGTCCTGGCTGTCGTAGATTGCCCAGGCGAACATGCAAAATTGCCCAAATCCTACACCAAATGATAGACATGTGTACATACATAATCTACCTCGGTGAGGACGTTCTGAGAACAATGACAATGATATGTAAGTTTGAAAGTTGACGGCCTACCTACTAAGGTAGATGTTTGTTTCTGAATGTATCCTAGACATGGCATGTATCGAAGACGTATATATACCTGGCATGTGCGCCGCAAACTACTTACAATAATGTACCTCAGGTACCTATACAACATGACTGCCTAAGATAGTAAAAGTTAACTTTTGATAAGTCATCAGTGGGTGCCAGCTGCCTATTGTCCAGAGTCGGGTGGTTTTTTTTTTCTTGGGAGAACCTTGAGCACACGCAAGACCCCGCCTTAGTGCTTTTGACCTTGCCTTGTCTACCCTGCTACCTAACTCGACCCTCCTAGACCTATTACCTCCACTACTTACTTTCCCATACACTGCCTACCAACCTACCATACCATATCCCATCCCACCATTATCTCTTGACTCTCTAGCACCAAACTTGATTCAACACTCATTTCGCGCGACGCCGAAGTGCCTTTTTCTCTCTCTCCCACACAACCACTACTACATCATTTCCCCCAAAAAGAAACTACCCGCGGCTCCTACCGTATTCGTCTATATCCACATACATACCCATTTTCTTTCTCGCGGCGATTGAAAAATTTGACGATCAGCAAAGCAACCCACGATATTGCCCCTCCTTCAGTACTCCTTCAGTACATGACCATCCGACCAATTTGTGAACCCTACGCGCTGCGATAAATCTAAACTCTCTTAGCCATGGGTCAGACCCTTTCCGAGCCTGTCGTGGACAAGGTATGATAGCATTTCACTATTTCTTCCTCTTCAATTGCGCCGTCCCCGTCTTGTCTCCCCCATGGGAATTACTCGCTGGACCCGTGACTCCGCGCCTTGTCTGGCGACCTTGCCCGTCAACATCGCAATACACCATTCCGATACCTCTGCGTGCGACGATGCGGCCGTGCATTACTCACACATTAAGAACACTTTTACTAACTGGTGATACCCTTACTAGGCTTCCGACAAGGGCGAAGATGACCGACTGTTGTACGGCGTGTCGGCTATGCAGGGATGGCGTATCAGCATGGAAGATGCTCACTGTACCGTACTCGACCTCCTGACTCCCCAGTCGGACGAAGAGAAGAAGGTTCATCCTTCGCGGTTATCTTTCTTCGGTGTCTTTGATGGGCACGGTGGAGACAAGGTCGCCCAGTTTGCGGGCAAGAATATATACGATATTCTCAAGAAGCAAGACACATTCAAGGCTGGCAATTACGAGCAGTCCCTAAAGGACACCTTCCTCGCGACTGATCGAGCAATACTGAGCGGTATGGATACTTCGCAGAAAAAAACATTCCATTATATGTGGAGCCTAACCCGTGTATAGATCCTCAATATGAGGAAGAAGTATCTGGTTGTACCGCATGCTGTGGTTTGATTACTAGCGAGAAGATCTTTATTGTTTGTACCTCGGCACCCCATCTGCTCGGATTTTTGACTAACTTGGATTTCTAGGCGAACGCTGGCGATTCCCGAAGTGTCTTAGGAGTGAAGGGCAGAGCTAAGCCACTTTCCTTTGACCACAAGCCGCAGAATGAAGGTTTGTATAATTCGATTTGATCCTTTCTATGGGTTTACTGTTGCTAACATGTCCGAATTTTATAGGCGAGAAGGCGCGAATTACTGCCGCCGGTGGTTTTGTGGACTTCGGTCGTGTCAACGGCAACCTTGCTCTTTCCCGAGCCATCGGAGATTTCGAATTCAAGAAGAGCGCCGAGCTTGCGCCCGAGCAACAGATTGTAACCGCATTCCCAGACGTAGTTGCGCATGACATTAGCGACGATGACGAGTTCTTAGTCATCGCATGTGACGGTACGTTTATATCCCTCTTTCTGTAAATATGTCCAGGTAGGCGCACATTAGCTAACCAAAGTTTCAGGTATTTGGGATTGTCAATCTTCTCAAGCGGTCGTTGAGTTCGTCCGTAGAGGGATTGCGGAGAAGCAGGAACTGGACAAGATTTGCGAGAACATGATGGACAACTGCCTGGCATCTAATTCTGAGACTGGCGGAGTTGGCTGTGACAACATGACCATGGTTATCGTGGGCTTCTTAAGAGGCAGAAGTAAGGAGGAATGGTACGAACAGGTTGCCAGTCGTGTGGCTAAAGGCGACGGCCCTTGTGCCCCTCCCGAATACGGTATGCCTTCTTAGAGCCCGGGGTCTCCTAAATAATCCATAAAACTGACACTGAGACTCAGCTGAATTCCGGGGACCTGGTGTGCATCATAATTTCGACGATAGTGACAGCGGATATGACGTTGACATGGAGAACAAGACGAAAGCTTTTGGACTTGGTGGGTACAAGGGTCGTATCATCTTTCTTGGTGACGGTACTGAGGTCCTTACCGATTCGGACGACACCGAGATGTTTGACAATTCCGAAGAAGACAAGGACTTGGCGAGCCAAGTGTCTAAGAGCTCGTCTGGTGAGGATGGTGCTGAGCTGAGCCGACTACCACCCAGAGCTCCCTCGCCTCCCCCGCGAACGCCTAAGAAACAGGAAGACAAGACTCAGACGCAGAATAGCGAATCAACACCCAACACCACTACATCTACCACATCGGAGAATCTCGCGCAGGCTTCCAAGGAGGAACCCAAAGAGGCAAAACCAGAAGTAGCTGCTGCATCTAAGGATTGATTAGCGTACAACTTTATTAGGCAGGATACTTTCAGAGCCGCATCATTGGGCATTTTTACTCCGTTCACCTGCTGATTGTTAGGATTCACCTTTACCCCCACCACGTCCTCTAAATGATTAAGGTCGTGTACGACAGAGCAACGAAGAGTTTGGTTTACTTTGGCACATGAGGGGATTACTGGAAGGGCAAAGGGGAGAGGGTGAGTGGTAGTGGGATATTCTCCCTAATAGGGAGATCGTCATGGCAGAGACATTGAGACACGCGATACGACCATTGGAGCCACCCCATGTTTGCAACTTTTGTGGCGAAGGATTTGGAAGGACCTTCTTGACGGATTTGCACGGTGGCTCTTCCAAAACCCTCTATAGCTGGAGAGTGTTCCGTATGCTGTATGAACCCCACGAGAGCTTACACATGCATTGTTTTGATCTTTCTCTTTAAGAGTGCAGAAGTAGCAAGTTGACGAAAATGCATTAATGCCAACCACGGACTGAGTGACTATGGCTGTTTTGTGAATGTAGAATTTAGTCGAGTGTCCGGTCCCCTTTTTAACTGGCTACCAGGACCGGTACCAAAAGGTATTATGTAATTCGTATTCTGCCAAGCGATGCTCGCTTACGTAATGAAATAGTCGGATTAAGAGTAGCCGAATCGCCGCCGATCTCCAGGGTTAGTTTTGAGATAAGATCTAAAATCTAAAATTTGCTGGGCGGTTTACTCTGGATTACAATTCTCTTAAGAGGGACCAAATCTGAGCGATTGCAGAATATGCTACATTCATAGCCCATGTCCCTGGGAATTAAATCACTATGGAGGGCTCGCATTCTCAAAGTCCATATCGGAGTGTTCTCCCCAATTCCCAGGGAGCAATACAATCCATCGTTCTTTCAACGATCGAGTCGCCGACAATGGTACTCGACCCCTACAATGGCTGAAAACGCCACGGAAAGTCCCCCGAAGCATACATCCATGACGGCCTTGCGGAATGAGATGCGTAGAAATATGATCAGGGCAAAGTTTGGCACCCTACCGATGGAACCGGCACTTGTAAAGCGACCATTTCGATATCGCAACAAACGTATGGCGCAAAAAAGCTTGCGTCAGTATAGAAGAGGCGTTGCAAGGCAGGTTCTATACGATGCCGCGCATAAGCGTTCAGGAAAACCCAGGAGAAACTGGCGCGCAACTTTGTCCTTCATGTTGATGGTAACGCCCAATCAAGGAGAGGTGTTGCATTTTCGGGTCATCGTAGGGAAAGGCGTCTCAGAAAAAGCCCGTCAGGTATTGTCAGGGCCAGATACTCACATCTCCGAAATATGCCGAAGGAATGAAAGCTTCGTTCAAATCGAGAACCAAATATCCAAGAATGACCAACTCATGTTCACATTGTCTGGCTCTGAAATCGCAGTCCGAAATTCGCTTCGGGACATCATTGGAGTGGTAGGGGCGATCACCGCTGTTAGGATATCCGATCCAGCCTTCAGAGGATTCATGTTGGACGTTTGGAAGGAGGCGGTAGAAGAGCAACCAGAAACACGACTTTTACGCAGCGGAGAGATTGGGGAGCCTGTTGTCGATGACAAGACGATAACTGTGAAGTCGTCCTCGTCCTCGTCCAACACTCATTCGGTTTACAAACCTTACGAATTGAGGATGCGAGCTGATGACATCAAAGTTCCTAAGGAATGGACCAAAACTTCCTTTGAAGAATACGTTGCCGCATTAGTTCATGGTCGAATCCCAAACCACCTCGCACGATCGCTGTACCCGAAATTTCCGGATCACCAACAAACAGTGGTTTCCATACTTATCGACTTATTCTACACTCGAGCCGCCAGATCTGCAATCTCTCTATCTGCGACGAAGATGGCTATAGGCTTCATTGGGTCCACTGGTCGTGGTTTTCGTCGTGCATCTCGGTTAATCTACAACCGTGTGAGGAGCCTACGCATGCCTGTGGATGCTGAATTATACAGTATACTTCTCGCCAACGCCTCGAGAGCTAAGGATCTTAATAACTTCAACCGAGTATTAAGAGTAATGGTTCGAAAAGGTTACCCTCCACAAAGCCGTGCTTGGGTCGCATTCTTGGTAATGATGCGCAGTCCCGCGATCAAACGTTATATCGTGAAAAGCTTGAGAGCGAAGAACCTTGACCAGAACCCAATGATACTGCGCGCGATAGGCAGGGAAATGGCGACAGTTGATCTTGAATTCGAGCTGTCAAGTTTACTCCGGACGAAGTCAGCGACGCCGTTAGCGACGTTTAATGTCCATAGGTTCGTGGCCAGGCAGAATGAGAAGTACGGCCACGGGTGGTTGGACACAATTACTCTCAACAAGATGTTGGACATACTTGGTAAACATGCTCTGCCAGATGCTTGCAAAGCTCTGCTGGTCTTGATCCATAGTGCTCGACCTACTTTGCCTGATGCAGGCACGCTGAACACAATATTGTCCCGCGCAAACGGCTTTGCATACCAGATGGAAATGTTACAAATGATGCTTAAACGATGGCCACGAACAAAGCTAGATGATATAACTTACCACATGTTATTTAGATTGGCTTGGAACAGACGTTACCCGAACATGCTTAGAGTTGTATGGCGATATGCTGTCCTTTCGCACAAAACAACGTCTAAGATGCGATATACTCTCTCTAAACTACTTAGACAAACGGGGGATCTAAGTAATCGGATTAAATTCCTCAAGGAGTGGGAGGACGTGATATATGGGCAAACAGAATTGGCAGAGATGCGAGCATCCCACCCAGATGGCTTCCATGTCCGACATATGCTACCTAAATATGTTATGCCGGCAAGGGGGATGAGGCCGGCTTTCACGCTCCGAGTCAAGCTTAAGGAAGCGATTACTATGGACGTCAAGATACATCAGTTACTAAAGGAGGGGAAGATCGCCGATAAACAGTCGCTCTCGGTTGATATACCATTAGTGCCAAAAGTGAGGTTCAAAGTTGACGAACTTCACGCCTTCGAAGACGAACCTGATGTTGGTACTCTCCGCAGCAAGGATTGGTACGATCCGTCTCCATATCCTACTCAACCCGAGACTAAAACTCGGGTGGGGAATCGATGGGTTGCCAGCAGTGGAAAATAAGGGGTCTTTGTACATTATAATGACATGATACCAAGTTAAAACAAAACTAACATGGAGAATACAGTCACCTCAGTGATATCCATCTCTAGCTAAGGATGAGGCCACCAGTACATGGTGAGACCGAGGGACATTAGAAGACAGATTTAATGGCCAAAGCATTCAATACATACCTGGTCCTCCTTAAGGGGTACAGTACTTGGATACAAAAGGACCTGGTAATCATTGATCCAATACGGATTTTGCTATAAGTCGATGCTTCCCTGGCCGTCAGGTACCTGCCTTAATCTGCCTAGGTACATGGATACTTGCTGTAGCGGTAGATGGATTTTAAAGTGGGTGATGTCAAAAGCCATTGATAACCGTCGTCTAAATATTGCGTTGCCGTAGCTGCCGTTAGGTACCTTCTAAATCCAGCACGGTACAGCTGAAAAACCACTTTAACTTCTGTAAATTCGCAATATCTTGTCTTCCATTTGCCCCTCCAACATTCAAATGCCCCGCACCGTTCTCACGCGACTTCCTTCAAGTCAGCTCAAGCTTCTTAAAACCCCAACTTTGTCGGCTTACAGAAACTCTCACTTTGTAAACTTCAAACAATCTCCTCGTCCGTTCTCACTTCCGGCTTACAGTACCAGAAGGACCTACCTTACTCCAGCGATTCGAGCACACCAATCCCGCAAGATGGCTCCTCAACTTGACGGGTACTTTTCCCAAGTCGACGCTCTGTCGTCGCACTTCATCGACCGCCTCGCCAAGGCTGTTGCCATTCCCTCCGTCTCCTCGGACGCCTCCCGTCGACCTGACGTCGTTCGCATGGCCCACTTCCTGGCCGACGAGCTCAAGACCCTGGGCGCCACCGTCGAGCTCCGACCCCTCGGCAAGCAGCCCGATGCGCCGGAGCTCGAGCTCCCGCCCGTCATCCTCGCACGGTACGGAAGCGATAAGAACAAACGCACCATCCTGGTATACGGACACTACGACGTCCAGCCCGCCGAGGTGAGCGACGGCTGGAGCACCGAGCCTTTTACCCTGAAAGTTGGCGAGGACGGCCGCATGTTCGGTCGTGGAAGTACGGATGACAAGGGCCCGGTCCTCGGCTGGCTGAACGCCATAGAGGCTCACCAGAAGGCCGGCGTCGAGTTCCCCGTCAACCTTCTCATGTGCTTCGAGGGTATGGAAGAATACGGATCTGAAGGACTGGACGAGCTTATCGAGAAGGAAGGCAAGGGGTACTTCGCGGACGCCGACGCCGTGTGCATCAGCGATAACTACTGGCTAGGCACGGAGAAGCCGTGCCTAACTTACGGGCTCAGGGGTGTGAACTACTACTCCGTTGAGATCTCGGGTCCAGGCGCCGACCTACACAGTGGTGTCTTCGGTGGCACGGCACAGGAGCCAATGACGGATCTAGTGCGTGTCCTGGCCAGTCTCGTCGACACCGACGGCAAGATTCAAATCCCCGGAATCATGGAGCAAGTAGCCCCCGTCACTAAGGAAGAGGAGGGTCTCTACGACAACATCTCCTTCACGATGGAAACCCTACACGAGTCTCTCGGAGCCAAGACCACAATTTTCGAGGACAAGAAGTCGACCCTGATGGCCCGATGGCGGTACCCTTCTCTATCCGTCCACGGCATCGAGGGCGCTTTCTCCGCTCCCGGCGCCAAGACCGTTATCCCGGCCAAGGTCATTGGCAAGTTCTCCATCCGCACCGTTCCCAACATGGAGATCGAGCAGACGAACGAGCACGTCTACAAATACGTCAAGGAAGTGTTTGCCAAGCTCGGGAGCAAGAACACGTTGAAGGTGTTCGCGCAGCACTGCGGAAAGTGGTGGGTCGCCAGCCCGAACCACTGGAACTTCCGAGCCGCGGGCAAGGCCACCGAGCGCGTCTGGGGCGTCCAGCCAGATTTCACACGCGAGGGCGGAAGGTGAGTTCTTTTCCTCTATCATAAAAATATCTAACTACCTAGGTACCTACGTGGTACGGAGCAGTTCGTGAGCTAACGTGTGAAAAAAGCATCCCCGTGACTCTTACGTTCGAGCAAGCTACCGGCAAGAACGTCCTCCTACTGCCCATGGGCAGCTCGACGGACGGCGCGCACTCGATTAACGAGAAGCTGGACAAGAAGAACTATATCGAGGGCATCAAGCTCCTGGGCGCGTACCTGCACTACGTTGCGGAGGAGCCGATGGAGTAGATGAGTGGCGCTTTTGGGGATGGATGATAGGTAGGTAGCTTGGGTGCGCGGTGATGTGAGGAGAACCCTCCTAAACTAGGAGGACTCTTGCATTGCGTGGTATATAATGGATAATGAATGAGAAAGATGTGAAATGAGATTGTATTGTGGCTTTTGGTGATTTGTGGATTGTGACTTGTGACTTGCGGGCTGTGGACTATGGATGATTTGGGAGTGTGAGAGGCGTTGATGTTGGGCCCCTGGTGTATTATTTCCATCTTGGTAGCTTCGGATTAGGTAAGTGTTAATTTTACCGCGTGGGGGTTTTGTGTCTAGAGTATCTCCCCCTGGGGATGTTTGGCGTGTATTTATAGGGTTATATATGGTTGTATTTGGGGAATCGGTGCTGTGACTTACCCCTAAGTGGTAAGATATATATAGAGTTTTGTCTGATATTATGTAGCTCCCTTTTACGACATTTGTGTATTTGTTACCTGGGTGGGTTCCTCTTGTATTGCTGAGATAGTGAGAGAGTCGACGTCGTACAGTAGCAGTAAACTTTCTACCTAGGTACATACCTAGTCATCGCTAGAGGAAATATCCGTGTGGAACGTCCATGTAGTATTTTCCGATGTAACTATCAAGTTTATACCATTATGTCCTTTCGGCCATACATCTATATCCCGTATCCTCTTCCTCATCTACCGCCCCTTGAAGTAGATCTCGGTACGCAGCTTCAACATATTCCTACACGATACCTAGCATGTGTACACCTCTCCTATCCCCTCCTCTTAATTAGATACCCATCTGGATAAGTACATTCGTAAGGAAACGCCTCTTTCCCCATATTACCTCACCACCCCTCCCCATCCCCAAGAAACTCCAGCCCCCTCCGCCTTCCCCAGATATCGCAAGGCAGGAAGCGCCAGGCGCCGGCGTGCCTGGGGCTGAGCCGGTCGGCGACGGCGTGGATGGCGGGGACGGAGAGCCGAGCCGCGCCGTCGTGCGCTGCGTCGCGGAGCCGGATCGCCATCGGCGGCACCGTGTACCGGTCCATGGCGGCGCTGAAGGACGACTCGGCCGAGAGGTGGACCTGCGTCAGCGAGGAGGCGCGGGGGGATGGGGGTGGGGCCTTGCCTGTTGGGGTGGATGGGGTGGTCGTTGGTGTGGTTGAGAATGGAGGGGGCGGTGGGGGAGGACGGGATGGTAGCGGTGGTACTCCTACTCCCGTCGTTGAGGTAGTGGATTTGGATAGCGCGGATGGGGTTGAGGATGGAGGCGTCGAGGTCGAGTTTAATGTTGAGGGTTGAGAGGGCGCTGGGGAAGGCGACGGAGAAGGGAGGGATGGTAAGGATGGGAGGGAAGGGAAAGGAGAGTTGGAGGGTGGTAAGGCGCTGAGCTCTTCCATTTGTAGGAGTATTGTAGTTTGGTTGTGTAAGTGCGGGACCAATGTCGATGCGAGGGTGGTAAGAAGCGTGCGTAGGGTCGACGGCGAGTACGACGACGGTTGAGGATGTGTTTCGATGGCGTAAGAGCGGAGGTTTTGAATGTGTGTTGGAAGGTCCAGAGACTGGCTTTTGGTCTCCGCATCTTCCTCCTCTCCTTTTCCTGTTTCTTCTCCTCCCGGTTTGTTACTATCCATATCATCATTGATATCACCATATTCCCTACTTCTTGTACTAAAATCATCTTCTCTTTCTCCTAAAGACCCCTTCCGTAACCCCAAAGCGGCCTCAAAGCCCGGTATCATAATGTTCTCCTTCATCTCATGGTAATCCAGCACCCAGCCGCTCCACGCTTGCGCCAGGAACAGGAAATCAGCTACGTCGATAGGGTCGCGGACGAATGGTGCCTGGAGGTACAGCGCGTTGAGACCGCGTAGCATGGCGTTGTGTGTGTGCGATAGTTCGTCGGCTATGTGATGCGCCGGGTGGGTTATCTGCGACAACTTGTTAGGACATGGGCTAATGAAGCGAAAAGATAGGTGGGCAAATTGTCGTTTTATGAAGCAAGTACATGCATGAAATTAGGGGTTGGAAGGACACGTGAGGTGAAAGGGATTAAATGCGTCGAACGACATACGCTCTGAGTTCGAGATAGAGGCTCGATGAGCGGCCACGGTTCGTCTGCCCATGGTTTACGAGCGACGGCCTTTTTCTTCCCCTTGTTATTACCCGCAAGAGGATCTACAGGAGGTTGGACATTTCCCGTCGAAGAGATCTGGGAAGGAGGTGGAGGCGGAGGAGATGGCCCGGTGCCAGATGCCGTGTTGATGACCATTCCCGACCTAGAGAGAATCATCATGAGACCCAACAGGCCTATCGTGTTTGAACCCCCGATCTTCTAGAAATGAAAGACGACAGGAATATCATCCAAGGCGAGTAGGACCGTTATAAGCCACCGCACTAAGAGGTAGAGAGGAATACGGGACCTGGCATATTAGCAGCTTTGTGAACTTGGCTGTTTCGTCGCGGTCAATGTTCTTATTCTTACCTTCTACAAATCCTATTACAGGTTGAGAATTGATTGTGCGTCTGCTCATATTTGTCAGCTACAGCCATATTGACTTCGAGGCGGCGCCATTTTTAACTAAAAAATCGATCAGTCTTGAACGCCACCCGCCCCAATATTGGATCACAGCAGCTAGAGAGCGTCAATATTGGGCGGAGGCGTTCATAGCAAATCGCTCAGATAGCGATTTTCACCTTACTCTTCTCTCGATCACGATGTAACTTAAGAGACATCGATGACCGTCATCGTCGTATTGAAGCTGTTCTCGGCCCGGCGATTCGTATAAAAACCATGTGCCACGAGCCAGACTTTCCGACGGCTGACTTCTTCTGCAGCCTTCTTCTGCAGACTTCTACAATTAATAAGCCACAAGAGATTGCGCCGGCCGAAACCCGCCCGTCGATAGATATCAGAAATACTGTTGATACCTATCATGTAGTGCGACACTATTTCCTGCCCCCTTCCTTCTCAGCTTCCTTCTAATGGTATCCCAGGACTTTTGCTTCTTTCCCGAAACCGAAGCATAACGATATTCTGTTTATCGTGAGCAAATAAGCGAGCCCATCATGGAAGTTCGCTCTCGTCTTTAATTCCCTTAGGACCGCTGTTATCCAATCCTTCCCAAGTCCGATCCCAACCTTTCCCACGGTCTACAGCACCTCTAGACTGACCGCTCTCAGCCATGTCCTTGATATCGCTCCAATATTCCAGCCTCCGGACTTCCTCGTCCGCATGTTTGATTGCTGCGGCCAGATTTTCGGCTCTTTGATGGGTCGCCGGTGATTTCCCCTTGTCTCCCATATCTCCTTTGTTCCCTCCGTCTACCTGCTCATCATGAAATTTTATGAGCCGTGAGAGGAGTAGTTTTCGGGTCGCTTGAAATATGAATGAAGCCATGATTTCATGCATGTGCTCATCCAACTGTCGCAAATCATCCGAGCAATGCTCGATGTAGTCCTCTATAGCCTCGAGTCTCTCTCGGTCGATGCGCGACCGCCTAAGGACCGTCATTAATTCATCAACAGTTGTTATATCTGCCTTGGCTTTGTGTTCAAATTCGTCGCCTCGCCTCGTATCTCGGGACATCCTATGAGTTTCTTGAGATAGGCGGGCTGTTAACTGATCGCCGCTCGGCCGATCCTCATCCCTCCTCGTAGGTGTGACCGAGAAATACTCCGGGTTCATCAGATGCGCGTCGTTTGCTTGATACCCAAATCCCTTTTTTATTCTCTTTCTAATCCACGCTCTCCTCCGCACGAACGAATTATACCACTTGGGCCCGTGCCATGAAAAGCCCTTGGCAAACATGAACGAATATTCCCAACCATCATTGTCCGTCTGGATGGTCTCGTCGCGATTTATGCGCCATTCAGGCCAAGCCCATTCCCAGCTTGGATCGGGAACTTGAGCGTTGGTAATGTCTGTGGGGCTAGGTTTGTGGACAAAATTAGTCCATGGCGTGGGATCTAGATTCCCCAATGCCGCAGAAGAGAAGAGAGGGATGCCGCAAAGGAATCCACCACGCTGGTTCTCATATAATATGTCGATGGCCGACTCATAGTCCTTCGGTACTCGCGTACGACGTTTATTGCTGCCATAGCTCTTCCCAGTGCCATTTTCTTTCGAAGTAGACTTCTTTGCTGCTACTAATTCTCCAGCGTCTTTCGTAGAAATCTGTGCTGCGCCCTGTTCGCCAGAAGGGCCCGCCTCTATATTGGTATTAAGTTTCGGTTGGCCATCTTCTATCTCGGGAGGCTGTGTCGACGGAGATCGACTATCGGGTGAAATCAGCGGTTGATTTGAAATAGAATGGTCGATATTATTAACAGAATTGGGCGTCAGAGGCTCTTCGTTCACTACAACGTGGTCGACAAGACTAATTTCATGATCAATGTCGTTATCTTTCAGCGAAGGAGCTCGACGAGAACTGCGCATATGCGCTTTGGTCTTGGGCATCGTTCGAATTGAACAGATTCAGCATAATGAAAGCTATCGCATAGTTGATAATGGCATAAAGCTGAGGTGGACGCTACTCATTAGTTGTTAAGTCCTTCCCAACTATGAAGCACAACAGGACGTCGACTGTTTGTTTAATCGATCCTACAACATAGCCGCTGTCAAGAAGAGAAGAGGCAATGTCCTCCAGGCAGGTGCTTCCAAAACTAGGTCTTAGCTAAGAAGCTAAATACGTATGGGCCTGAAACTAACATCAATGATGACGAAGGAGGCTAAAATCCAGTTCTGAGTCTCCGAAGCTAGTCAACAACTAATAAAACTAATAGTATTGATCTTCAGCTCTAAAGTAGCTGAACCTCGAACTAACTTGCAGATATCTCTTCAGGATTGGGAGCAGAAGCGCAAGTATTTAACTTCCGAGGCGGTGCAAAGACCAAAGATTGGACTTCGCGATGTCAAACGCGTAGTTGTTGATGATGCAATTCGAAAATAATAATAACAACGACGTTAGCTGCATTTACTCAGCACGATGTGATCTAGAACGTGCTTGCCGTCTGAGGAACTTTGCTTATGTGGGTCTCGAATTACGGATTGGGGTAGACTCAATAGGGATACCTAAAGGGAACTTAGATTGCCTGCCAGATTAGATACAGCTTGTAAGTCGTTTCAATGTCTCTTGGCTGTTACGCCTTCTCCCCACCTTGCATTAAATATACTCTACGTCATGTATCTTGTGACAATGGAGCAATCATCAAATAACAGCAACCACCACATACAAGGTACTGAGCGAATCGCCATCAATTTGTGTCGGGAAGCACCTGGAGTAACTGAGGTAAAGTCGTACGTTTGTCTAAGAGGTACATACTTGAGGTACTTGTACGTAGTTATTAGCAATATATTGACTCTTTGCCTTGATGTCCAATAACTTCGACTTCTCATCTCAATTCTCAAGCCCAACTGAAGTTCATAATACCCACGTTCCTAACCATTCAGTATCGACTTGTTCCTGAATCACATTCTACAATCAATCCCCAACAAACAAATCACAATGTCCAAGTCAAGACTGCCCCTCGCGCTCGGTTTAACCGCCGCTGGTGGTATTGGTTACTACCTCTATAGCGCGGGTGGTGACGGCAAAGTCGCCCAGAAGAAAGCTGAAGGTTAGACCACTCACAATTATCTTGCCTCAACCTTTCTATCTCGAGATATTATATTCGACATAGAAAAATAATTGTGGATGAACTGACAATGTGAAAAGCCGACGCGCACAGAATCTCTACCCAGTTCAAGTCGGAGCTGCCCGGTCGGGGAGAGGAGGCGAAGAAGGATGCGGAGAAGTACGGCGCACAAGCTGGCGCAAAGGTCGACAATTCTGTAAGTAACCCTGTCGCGCTCTCCCAGTTCCTCATGGTAGGTTCTAACAACTCTGTAAAATAGCTCAACAAGACGCAAGCCGAATTGCGGAAGGCCGCCGACGAAGCTGAAGCCTACGCAAAGGATGCTAAAGCCGCTACTCAGAAGAAGATTGACGAATTCGACAAGAAGGTCGAGGCCGAGGCGTCCAAAGCCAAGAGCGGCATCTCAGGCTGGTTTGGTGGCGGCGGAAAATGAACTAATCAGATAACTGATGAAGCTCATTATTCTTCAAGGGGGCATGAGTAACCTAAGCAAGGACTCGAGGATTATTCGGAATGATCAAATGGATTGTTCTGTATGATTGACGTCTACACGTATCAGGTGCCTAATGCTCAATTTCTTTTATCAACCAAGCCGACCTGTTCGACAGCAGACACATTTCATGAAGTGAGATCTCAACCTATTGCGATATCGTCACTTACAGGATAGATCCTTGACGCCTTAACTCCCCGTGCCCTATGCGTATAAGCCGTGATCCCCGAACGCCCGACGGTCGTAAATCATGCATATGCCACCTAAAAGCCTCGTAATCATGAGAAATGTATTCCCTCCGCGTTGAAGGCCGCAAGAAGGTGAAGGAAGTCATTCTCATCACACTTCCCACTTCTCTTGTCGGCAAGCTCGGTCACATCTTCGAGGACCTTACGAACCTTCTCCTTTACTAACAAGGCGACCCTCGTCTTCTTCCGTTTGCTTTTCGTCTTGGGCACTTCGCTCCCAGCTGCCTTCAGCTCCTGAAAGAACGAAGGGGTGTCATCATCGTCTCCATCGACATCCATGATGCCGTCCCATTCTTCATCTCCGGCACTCGGCAGCACGTTCTCGTCCATCTCCATATCATCATTTTCGTCCTCATCCTCATCCGCCACAGCATCATCAACCGGGATATCATTCGTAGCGCACCACAACCGGTAATTCCGTTCTACCATAGCAAGAACCTCCTTGTTCCCCAGCCACGAGGCCCGGAGCGTCTTATTCCTCCGATTGAAGCACACCCTCAGCATACCATCCCACTCCGTGAAGCTGATATTCGGCCTGTCGGACCCGAGCTTGGGCTCGATCCGCACGACGCTGGAGTCCACCTGCGGAGGGGGCCGGAAGTTGTTGCGCCCGACCTTCAGGACGTGCGTGATGCGCGCCCAGAACTGCGCGTTGACCGACAGACGGCAGTACAGGGCGTCGCCCGGGCGAGCCGTGAGGCGCAGCGCGAATTCGCGCTGGAACATGAGCACGCACGTCCGCGGCGGGTTCGGGAGGGCGAGGAGCTTAAATACGAGCGGCGACGAGATTTGGTACGGCGTGTTCGAGATGCACACGTCGAACTGCGGGAGCGTCGTCTTGATCACGTCGCCTAGGAGCACGTCAAGCCTTTTCTGCTCCGGCTTGCCCTGCACGCGCTTCGTTGTTTCGGCCGCCATTCGGGGGTCCATTTCCACTGCCTTATTCGCGCGCATATGATTAGTTCGGCGATTATTGGTACTGCTTTACTCTGCTCGGTAGTAAGAGTGGGAACTCACAATGACTTTCTTCGCCTGCTCCAGGATCTTCACGGTTAAGTTACCGGTTCCGGGACCGACTTCGAGGACGGTATCTGTCGGCTTTAGGTTCGCCTTGTTCACTATTGTCTCTGCGATACCTGGATTCTTGAGGATATGCTGGCCGAAGTCCTTGCTGAACTTGAAGACATTGTTGGCTGCGGCGGCGGCGTGCTTAGCCGGTCGTTCGTAGGGGGTGGAACTCGCTTTTCCGCGCTTCGTTGACTTCACTTTTCCCATCTCTGCTCCTGGCCACCAAATTGGGTCGGTCAGGCGAGTGGTGTCGTTTTGGTGGAAGGTTGTGCACGTTCTTATTATGGAGGGGCAGAGGGGCAATGCGATCGCAATTGGAGACTTCAACTTTTTTTTCTAAACTTTTTGGTGTTGTGGCTAGTACTAGTGGCTTGTTATCGTTATCTAGATCCCTGCTCCAGTCACCTACCCCTGCAAGTTATCGCGCCTAGTCCGCGCCTTGCTCTTTCAATAAATTTCAAGCTTTCAACTTCAAGCAAAACTACTAAGCCTCGAGGCAAGCAATTTCACGCGAAACGCTCTACTGTACGGCTATCTATCCTATCGCATAAAGTCGTGTGGCTACTCGAATATAATAAAAACCGTTCCGGATTAACATCGATTGCGACTGGCTACCATGGCTGGGCGGCGTGATTTCCTAAGCCAGCCGGCGCCAGAGAACTATGTCGCCGGTTTAGGACGTGGTGCTACGGGCTTCACCACGCGCTCAGATTTGGGTCCCGCAAGAGAAGGTCCCTCCGAAGACCAGATTAAAGAAGCTCTTGCGAAACGAGCAGCGCAACTAGGATTCGGCGATGCCGCGCCAAGCAAGAAAGAAGAGGACGACGACAACGATGAACGATACCAAGACCCAGACAATGAAGTCGGTCTATTTGCTGGCGGAGTCTACGATAAGGACGATGATGAGGCCGATCGGATATATCGAGAGATAGATGAGAAGATGGACAAGCGGCGGAGAGCCAGAAGGTTAGTACTTCCTCTTTAGATCCCTCTTTGCCCCCAGCTAGTTCACAGTTCATCCCGAAGTTAGTTTGGACAGATTACCGACGAGTGTTTTACACGAATAGGGAAGCCCGCGAAAAAGCAGAACAAGAAGAATACGAACGCAAAAACCCCAAGATTCAACAACAATTCGCCGACCTGAAAAGAGGATTGGAAAGCGTTTCCGAAGAAGAATGGGCGGCGCTACCCGAAGTTGGAGACCTTACGGGAAAGAATAGACGAAGCAAACAAGCTAGACAACAACGCTTCTACGCTGTTCCGGATAGCGTGTTAGCTGCCGCTGGAAGCGCCGGCGAGCTTGGGAGTACCGTGGTTGACGACGGCGGAGCATCGACGACGGGTGGTTCGAGTAGTCAAGATGGAACGATGACGAATTTTGCCAAAATTGGACAAGCCAGAGACAAGGTCCTTCAAGTCAGGCTGGATCAGGCCTCCCAAAATGGAACCGCTACATCAGGAAGTGCTACGAGCGTCGACCCCAAAGGCTATTTAACCAGCCTTGCGAAATCTTCACTACCGGACAGCGCGGCTCAAGTTGGTGATATCAACAGGGTTAGAGAATTGCTCGAATCCGTCACCAAAACCAACCCGGTTAACGGGCCTGGCTGGGTCGCTGCGGCTCGTGTCGAGGAACTTGCCGGTAAAATAGTAGCGGCTCGAAATCTAATAGCGCGAGGCTGCGAACATTGTCCTAAAAATGAGGATGTTTGGCTTGAAAATATCCGACTTAACGAGGGACGGAACGCCAAGATCATTGCTGCTCAAGCAATTCAGAAAAACAACCGCTCTGTGCGGCTATGGATCGAGGCAATGAAGCTGGAAGATGACGCTAGATCTAAGAAGCGAGTTATACGACACGCTTTAGATCATATACCCGAATCGGAGGCACTATGGAAGGAAGCAGTCAACCTAGAGGAAGAACCAGATGATGCTAGGTTACTCTTGGCTAAGGCTACGGAGCTTATTCCCTTGTCGGTAGACCTATGGCTGGCCTTGGCCAGGTTAGAGACACCAGAGAATGCACAGAAGGTGTTGAACAAGGCACGTAAGCATTGTCCAACCTCTCACGAGATTTGGATAGCAGCCGCGCGATTACAAGAACAACTCGGCCAAGGAGAAAAGGTCAACGTTATGAAGCGTGCTGCGCAGGTTCTCGTTAAAGAATCTGCGATGCCAAAACGAGAGCAATGGATTGCCGAGGCAGAGAAATGTGAACAAGAAGGCGCCATAATCACCTGCGGTGCCATCATTCGAGAAACTCTCGGCTACGGTCTTGACGAAGACGACGATCGCAAAGATACTTGGTTGGACGATGCTCGCGACAGTACCAACCGCGGGATGTACGAAACAGCTCGGGCAATATATGCATATGCGCTACGAGTGTTCCCTACGAGTAAAACGATATGGTTGGCTGCTGCGGATCTTGAGCGGAATCACGGTACGAAGGAGGACTTATGGCAAGTTCTAGAAAAAGCTGTCAACGCTGTGCCTCGGAGCGAAGTCCTGTGGATGATGCTCGCAAAGGAGAAATGGCAAGCCGGAGAGATCGACAACGCACGGCGCGTCCTGGCGAGAGCGTTCAAGCAAAACCCGAACAACGAAGATATCTGGCTCGCAGCTGTTAAGCTTGAAGCTGAAAATGGCCAGATCGAACAGGCTCGGGGACTACTAAAGACGGCTCGTCAAGAGGCCCCAACCGATCGCGTCTGGATGAAGAGTGCTGCATTTGAACGACAGCTAGACGATCTCGATGCAGCGCTGGACCTTGTCCAACAAGCTCTCAACCTCTTCCCCGCATCCGCCAAGCTCTGGATGATGAAAGGCCAGATCTATGAAGACCTAGGCAAACCACTACAAGCCCGCGAAGCCTACAGCACGGGAGTCAAGGCGGTGCCCAAATCCGTACCTCTCTGGCTCCTCTACTCTCGTCTAGAAGAGAAACTCGGACAGCTTCCTAAAGCTCGGTCCGTCCTCGACCGCGCGCGCCTTGCCGTGCCTAAGTCAGCCGAACTATGGTGCGAGTCCGTGCGAGTGGAGAGGCGGGCGCAGAACACGAAGCAGGCCGAGTCGCTCATGGAGCGGGCGCTCCGCGACGTACCGAAGCCGGATCAGGGCATCCTATGGAGCGAGAAAATATGGCACCTGACGACGCGGCCGCAGCGCAAGCCTCGTGCGCTGGAAGCCATCAAGGAGGTAGACAACGACCCGACGCTCTTGACGGCCGTGGCGCGCATCTTCTGGGGCGAGCGCAGGCTCGAGAAGGCGCAGAACTGGTTCGAGAAGGCGCTAGTTAGGGATCCGGACCTGGGCGATAGCTGGGCTTGGTACTACAAGTTCTTGCTGGAGCACGGGACGGACGAGAAGAGGGAGGAGGTTATAAGTAAGTGCGTTGGCGTGGAACCTAGGCACGGCGAGGCCTGGCAGGTTGTTGCGAAGGATCCTAAGAATGCGAGGAAGGGGGTGGAGGAGATTTTGAAGCTTGTGACTGCTGAGCTGCATTAGTTACCTATATATACCAAAAGAAAGGTCTCGAAAGAGGAGATACCTAGGTATTTTAGGTCAGAAAAGTGATAGAGAAATTATATCAACGAGACGTATTTGATGATATTCTTGCTGTCCTATTAGCTTTGTTTTGGGAAATAGCTGAGTTTTAAGGTAGGTACAGATCAGAGACCATATGAAAAGTGGAAAAATGATGAATAGGGATATCTACGCTTTGCTAAACATATATGTACTAAGCCTCCCGACCATGCAATCTCCATTATATGCTCGTATCTTCACCATACCCCAAATCCCAAAGGCACCAACCCAAACCAATGTCTAGCCTCTTTTTCGTCTTTCATACCTATTTTCTATACCAGATCAAGCCCATCACCCGAAATAAAGCGATATAGGCAAGTGGTGGTAAAGCTGATAATCGAACTCCTGGCTCCACTCCAGGACGAATAGTTTCGTCAGCGCCACGACGGCCTGCTTATCCAACTCCCTCACCTCGCGCACGTCCTCGCGGCGCCAGAAGACCACATCGTCCAGCCTGCCGACGTCCCAGTCGCCGACGTACGCGGCGACGACGTCGGTCACGACGCGCACGGCGTCGCCCGAGTTGCCGCGGCCGGCCAGCACCGCGCTCGACCCCATGAGCCCCATGTTCTCGCGCACGAACCCCGCGTCCCAGCCGCGCGCGCGGAACGCGTCGGGCCGCTCGGCCACGGTGCGCTTCACGATGTCCGCGAGCGCGGCCCGGTGCAGATCCATGATCGGCTTCCCGAACGCGAGGAGCACGTCCCTTAGCCCGCGGTGCGCGCTCCACGACAGCGAGGTCCAGGGCAGGCAATCCAGCGCCTGGCGCAGGACGCGCGCCTCGGGGGCGGGGACGAGCATGCGGACTGTGAGTCGGCCGTCTTGCTTGCCTGGTAGGTTGAGCACTACGTCCCTTTCCGCTTTCCTCTGCCCTTGCGTTCCGCTGGGCAGAAACCCGCTCTCGTACCCGTTATACACGGCGGCGGCGAAGTCGGGATCGATGTAGGAGACCTCCCGTGCGTCGAGGAAGTCGACCTCGAAGGCCTTGCCGCCCATCATGTTATAGAGGTGACGGCCGGAATGCGCGCCTTGGAAGCCCTTGGGCGCGTGCTCGAGGCGGTAGTCGCCGCCCGGCTTGCGGCCGCAGAAGCCGACGGCGAAGGAGGTGCTGGTGGAAGAGGGCGAGCAGACGACGCCCGAGGCCATCTGCCCGCAGCGGTCGACGCGCTGCGCGAAGGAGCGCGGGAGCACCTCTGTCGACCCGATGCTGTCGTGCGCGGCGAACTTGACGATGGCTTCTTGGCCTATGGGCCAGGTTATGTCTGCGGTGGGTGTTAGATTTGGGGGAATAAGTGAGAAAAGGAGGTGATGATGGGAAGGGTTAAGCCGCGGCCTGGGTAAGGAGCTTTACGGGGGTAGGAGTAGATAGGGGGGGAAGTAAGTAGAGCTAGGAAAAGGAGACACTCACACCACTGCCCGCAATACGACGCATAGCCCGCCCGGAACCCTGTAGCGTCGCTGTACTGGAACACGGGGCGTCCATTCGTCACAACCAGCATCGTGATCAGCGTCGTCCGCGAGATCACGATACACGCGTACGTCTGATGCCTCTTCAACGCCCTGCGCTCCAACTGCGGCCAACTCGCGCTACGCCCCACATCCAGCGCCTCGCCCGTTGCAGTACTCGCGCTGCTCCCCGCGCTCTTCGGCGGCGATACTCCTCCCACTTCCACCCTCGCACCCCCTTTCCCCTTCTCCACATCGCTATCCGAAACAAAACCGGACATACCCGGCAGAAGCACAGGCGCTTCGTGGTTGAACATGGCCAGGATAGTCGACCAGCCGGCGCGGCCGGGCGACACGACGGGGATGCGCGCGAGGTGCAGCACGTTGACGCCGCAGAAGCCGTCGGCCATGTGCGCGCTGATGACGGGGCCCAGGGGCGGCGGCTTCGCGATGCGCCACCAGGGGAACCGCTGCTGTCGCTGGAACCATATCCCCAGGTACTCGGCCGTGCGGTTGGCGTGGTACGGGTCCAGCTGGTCATTTATGGCGCTTGCCTTTTTTTTCGTGGCCGGTCTTAGTACTAAGCAAAAGGGGATCGGAGTGAATATAGTGAGTTTTCCATACCTGCGAGATCAAGCCTCCGAGACCGACCGCCGTGGCGGCGAACGAGAGCCACGCCGCGGCTAGGTTCGCCTGGTCCATTCCGAAGGGCTGAGAGGGACGAGTGTGTTGGTAAGCTAGGTATGTATAGAAGTATAGACGTAGATGTGGGGTATAGAGTATATTATAGTATAGCAGTAATCATACCTAGCCATATGAAATAGGAAAAGCAAGTAGGTATGTAGGTATGCGGGTATGTTTCACACGACATCGATAGAGATATATAAATCAACTGACCACTTTCAGCCGCTCCAATAGCTTACGAAGTAGTCCTAAGGGGGCCTTGTATAATATAGTAGTGGCTGTGCTATCACTCATAGTCTTTCCTTTTATTGCACTTTCCAAGAAACCGCGGGGGAAGAGGCCCGTTCAGCTCGTCAGCTGCGCGTTGACTGGAAGGCGCGCGAGAGGGTGTGACTATTCCCGTTTCTCATCTGTTCGGTCCAGGGTGCTCTATCGAGGCTAACCGCATGTACCCTCGCGGCGGAGCGCGGCCCGTATGCGTGGGCGACTAGGATATCTTCATGCGAGGGGGATTGCCCAGCTCATGGTAGCATTTTTTGTATCACACTGTGCAAGGACTCGAACTTGACTCGAATCCTTAAGTCTCTGCGGCCTCTGAATGTTTGTAGGATATTTGTAACAGTTGGCTTATTAATGAAGAAATGTTGAAATAGTCAGAACATCCACATATTAAGTTTCGATGAATTGAAATTGTCTGCCAAACATCAGCAAGGAATCTGTATACTCCTATGGAATATCGCTAAAACTATAGTGTTTAGATGACAATCGTGATCAAGGTGGGTATATGAGAATGTACTGTAGGGGAATAAACTGACGCCTCTAGGGCTGAACTTATCGGGGGCCGTTTGAATATACATGCTTATAGAGATATTGGGCGTTATGGTTATTTTATTCTATCAAGTGATTATATATATGCATATATCAGGAGCCAAGAGATCTATGCATTTGTCGCATAATTGTGGCTGTTGACATAGATCTGCACGGCCACACTACAAGTCTAATCTAATCCAGCCGATTAGATCGGAACGGCTTCAAGGTTCCAATTGAAAGCTCACCCATCACGTCACAACGAGTGTCTGCCATACCCAAACCATTGACTACCCTACCGCCGATACATCTCAAGATGGGCCTCTTAACCAGCTCCTCCGAGGCTCCCCCAAGTACGTGATCCCCCTACGCACATTCCGCACATTCCCACCTCCAATTGCTAATCCGGCTCAACCCATTGGTCCAGAAGCCACGCGGGAGGAGATGCGAGACGCCAAACTTCCCCTAGCCTACCGGGACAGCTGCGCGAACCTCCTCATCCCCCTGAACAGATGTCGAGTCGACACGTACTACCTGCCGTGGAAGTGCGAGGTGCGTTGCTCCCTCCTCTCCGTCCTCCTTCCGCCGGGAACACTAACATAGGGCCCCTCCCGCGAAAACAGGACGAGCGACATAGCTACGAGAAGTGCCAGTACGTCGAGTTCAAGAAGCGCGTGGCCCGGATGGACGAGCTCCGGGAGGCCAAGGGCGGTGCGCGGAGTAACTGAGGTCCAAGAAACCCGAGGCGATCCAGATGTTGCCGTTTGTGGAATCATTGCACAAAGAGGAAGACGAACCTTAGACTAAAGGAGAAAGAAACGAATGTTGTATATACAATTCGCATTCACCGTCCCCGATCCGCTGGAGATCGTCGTATCCTGAAGTACTGAGTTATCGGTGAGAGGCCGCCGGCGTTAGGTCTTGCCTTGCGCCATCTGTACAATTCATTAATTATTGCAAAGCGATGACACTAGTTACTCTATGAACTCTAACTAGGGTCATAACGAATGCTCTAAATGGAGCTGTACAATGAACTTTGAGGTAGCCCTAATCTATGGCTAATACCCTAGGGCATTGACTACCTAAACATATCAGGATTATAATGCCTGATTCTCACTGAATACGAATCACTCTCGATGCCCGTATGATTATCTTGGATTGGTCAGCTCATTACTTGGCTATATAACTCACTAAGGCGTTCCTGTACTAAAGTATGGACACGCGTACCATAATACATGCCGTGTTGATTCATTGTGAAAGCCCCTCAAACCTCAAAACACCTAGACTTTCTTACTACCTCAGTTTTCTTCACCTTTTGTAATATGGTTAATACCTAGGCAGATGCCTAAGATCATACCTGAAAACCAGAATACCAGTAACACCCCAAGTACAGTGTCCGTAGAGTTTTACTCAGAACTACTCTTCCCAAATAACATCAACTAGAATCTTGAGCTTGTCTTCCGAGACTTGAGCCGACTGGGGTTGGATATTGAAGACATAGGCAACGACGCCCGGTAGCTCTGTGACGATGAGAGCAATTCCTTTTTCATTGGCTGAGTTCCGACAGGCGCTGACATGTTTCTCGGTTTGCGATTCTTCGCATCCACTTTCTTATGCACCCATCCATTGCTTCTGGGAAAGCTGTCCGGCTCAGGGGAATAGGTTCCGTCTACATCGTCATCTGCATAATTCTCGGTGTAGGCAGGTTCTGAATCCGAGGATAAATCTACTACCTGTGTCCCGGGAGGAAGCGTGAATTGAGTTGGCGGTTTAGTCAATCTTCGTCTCCTGGTTGGAGGGGGTGAGATCTTTATCTGTGGCGACTTCAACTTTGGTTTAATTACAGGCTTATCACGTCCGGCGACACCATTGAGACCCGATGCCTGGCTACCTGGTTTAAAGCTATCGGGAACCCTTGACAAGCTCTCCTGGTCATCCGAAAAATCGTCCAGTTTCCGCATCGCTTCCTCATACTCCTGGTCTTTCAGAGCTCGGGCTTGCTCCGATGCCTTGGCAGTGATGGGTTGAGACTGCTGTTGGGATAGGGATGGAGTTTGCGTATTTCGCGAAGAGAGTGCTGTACGAGCGGTGTTCCAAACAGTATTGATAGATGATAGTGAGCTAGGGGTTGATGGATTTGCTGGTGATGATGGTTGGTCATTTCCTGCGGTCCCTTCTTGCTTAAAAAAGACCGACTCGCTCTGGCGATCGGGCTTTGGCGTAGGAGTCGACGCGTCCTCATCAGATCCTGGGCCACGAGGACCTTCGGAGTTTGCTGCAGCAGAGACACCATCGTCTGTAATTTTGAGCGAATCTGGTTGTGTATCGTTCATGTCCATTGCATAATCCGGCTGCCGTCCACTACGTGCACTGCTCACTGATGAAGGTGGAACGGCAGCTTTAGTTTTGAGTCTCTTCGGCGTTCCAACAACAACCTCGTCCTCATGGCTATCAAATAGTGGAGCTGATGACTGTCGAGCGCTAGGAATGCCCGAACCCGACATATTAGGGTTAGGTTTATCAGATGAAACATCCGAGCCGGCATCTCTGCGGCTGGAAATATCTTGTGTAGACCGATCACGGGATATCTCACCGATGGCTTGACTGGTGCTCTCATGTAACTGACGGGAAGGGCTACTGATTTGAGACAGACCCGATACCGACCCATCGCTAGCTTGTTGCTCCTGTTCACTTTGAGATGTCTCCGAATTCTTGACACTAGGCGCGTTTTCTTTCACTGGTTCTCGTGGATTAGATTCTTCTGGGGTATCGTTTTGCATATCTTCGGCAGCTGTAGATGCTCTCGCCCCAGGGACTGGATTTTCAGCGGGAAGTTTGCCAACGCGCTCGCCACGTTCCCCACTAGTTGTCATGGCAGGTAGCGGTTGTTGAAGAATTCTAGGCTGCTGCATTTCGGCGAAACCCATAGTTCGGAAACCTTCATCTTCGTCTTCTTCCTCTTCGTCGTCAAAGTCTGGTGCTTCGAATTTGTCATAAATCCGTTGGCCTTTTTGATCATACTTCTTCTCATTTCTATCTAGATACCGGTCTCGTTTGGCGAGACAGACTTCTACGCCAGTAGCGTCATCGTCGATCCTAACCACGACACCGGTCACGTTAGAAAGCTGTGGTTGCCAACCGGTAGCTGACGAGCATGACCACTGCTGCCATGTAATCACCATGCCGACCTGGACTTCCCCAGGGCGTAGAACGGGGAGCGTTGACAAGTCTGATGGCAAAGACGGGAGATCATCCATGTCTGTGAACTGGCTTGCATCATTAGTAGGCCCATTCGTTTCATAATGTTGATCATCCTCGGGATCGTCATAGTTAAGCTCGACATCAGCATTGGTAGTGTCATCAATGCCGTTAAATGTGTCATCGTATCCCTCTTCATCCCACATGGCGGACTCGTCATGCTTGCGTTTCTTGCTTAAACGGCTATCCTGGTAGAAGTGTGCTTCATTACGCTGTGTTCGCTTACTTTGACCACCACGTTTGTTCTTCTTCTGAGACCAATACCCTTGCTGCTGAGGATCCCATCGCTGGATAAACGGAAAAGGAGGCTCGCTAAGCACTATCCCTTCCTGGCAGCACTCTACGGCTCGATAGATGATTTTGTTTTTCCAGGAATCAAGATCTTCCTCTGTCGATTTCCCCTCACTCTCACCTATCAGTTGTGCGTCCTTTGGGTCTTGCTTAAGTCTCAGGTTTTCAAGAGGTCGAACATCCTTCATGAGTTTTGCTCGTAGCTTCTCCTCGTCTTCCTTAGTTTTAGGATTGCGAAGACCCAGAGCCCCAAAGAGCATTCTCCGGCCGGCGCTCACATCTATCCGACGCCTTTTCTGGGTTGAAGCCGGCGACTGATCGTCTTCACTTGCGGGCGTCTTTGCAGGAGTAGCTTCTTGAGTAGCCTGCTGGTCAAGCCCGTCTTGTTCTTGACGCTTCCTTTTCGTGAGATTCGAAGTCCTTGACGATTCGTCCGATTGGCTGGGTGGACCAACTTCCACCCCGCCATCGGCAATCGCATCCAGTAATTCTTGTCGTTTGGCCTCAAAAAGAGCCTTTTCGTCCAAGAGAGGGGTAGGATGTTCGGCTTCCTTGCTTGTAGACGATGCATCTGTAGTAGATGCTAGTTGCTGCGCTCGCTGCTTAGCCCTTTTTGCGGCTCGACGGCGAGCATTTCGCCTCCTTGTGCTTTCCTTGCCGGAACCTGGAGGTACTGGTGCCTGGTTGACTTGGGGAGCCGGATTCGCCGATACTAGGGGCGGCTGAGTTTGTTGCGCGCTTTGAGTCAATCCTATTGTATTATTTGGCATCACTGCCTCTTCGTGATTTGTAGGCAACTCCTCCTCTACTTGCTCACTTTCAGATCCTGAAGCTGATTCAGCTTCAGAACTATCTTCGGAGGAGATATCGCTGTCATTTGATGAAGAGTCACTGCTAGTTTCGTCTTGACTCGAGTCCTCTTCATCAACGTTTCCTTGCTGAATAGAAAGTGGGAGTCTCGAAGATGATACTTCTGGGCCACTATCATTCTCTTCGCTATTATCTTCGCTATCGTCCTCGCTATCGTCCTCGCTTGGACTATCTGAGCCGGAACCAGACGCGGATGACGCATCATTATCGGATGCAGGAGAACCACCGCCTTCAAGATCAACACTATTGCCTTCGCTATCATCCTCGCTATCATTGCTATCGCCATCTTCATTGCTGTTGTCATCCGACGATTCATTATCGTCATCGTCAGAATTGTCATCGCTCTCAGATTCGGAATCTTCACCTTCGGAGCTAGAGCTTGTGGCGTCACTTGAAGTGTCATCGTCTTCATTTGTTGTTTTTTCAGGGCTAGCCTTACCATCGTTCAAGGTGGCAGATGTTGTCTCGCTCGCTCCATTTATTTTATTATGGGCAAGTGTGCCGGATACCGCAGCCATTTCCGCTAGTCCTTTGCCTGAAGTAATTGAACCAGGAGGCAAGCCGCGATGGTCGAATTGTCGTACGAAATCGGGGACATCCTCTTCTTCCTCCTCGGTTGACTCCCACTGATCCTCGTCATCGTCGAACGCGTTACGGCTTTTTTTCGTATAATTATTCGCCGTAGAATTCACCGGCGCTCCGTTTTGAGAGGTTTTTGTCTTTGGCGAAACCTCTTTTGATGGATGCCATGCTAACAACGCAGATTCTGAAAGCTTCGGTTCAAAGACATTAACGAGACCATTGTATGCTGCCTTTAGGTCACCGTTGGAGCTATCCAGAAGCTTCTCACAGATTGCCACTGGTGCTGAGGGAAATGCAGCTCGTAATGCGGAAATCTTATTTAGGTTTCCTCCATCTGAAGTTTGCATATCAGACGGTTCTACCTCTGGCTCTTCCTCTTCTTGTTCCTCTGCGTAATCAGCGTTGTCTTTCATCAGATCCTGAAGTTCGTCATCGAGATCTTCGTCATCAAGCTCATCTTCCATATCTTCATCGCTTGGTGACTCTGATTGGTCTTCTTGGTCAGAGTTTTCAGGTTCAGAGTGGTCAAGTGTATCGTCCATCCGCTCTTCGCTATCGAGATCATCATCCTCGGCATCGGCATCAGCATCGTCGAACTCCGCATTTATTCTGACACTTGAAGAGTCCCCTGTATCGCTAGGTTGTTCGCCATTAGTGAGAAGTAGCATCGGCGTATCATCTTCGTCCCCTAAGAAGTCGTCGTCGTCTTCATCATCCAAGTCTTCCTGATCATACGCCAGTCTAGCACGCTTCCGCGGGGGGAGAGCAGCGGGGGGTCGACTGCTCGAGGCTTTGAGGCGACGACGTCCAAAAGGGATACCGTCAATCAAGTGTCTGCCATCGGAAGAGATCCGATATCGACCACTGATTCGACGCTGTTTGTTGTCGTCTCGATCGAGGGCTCGAATGAAAACTCGGTCGTCGGGTTTGAGGACAGATCGTACCGTTTGGAAGTGCAAGCATTCGAAACTTGTTCCATCGTCATCGTGTAGCTCGACCACGTAGTTTTCTAGTCCTTTCTGCTCAATCTCTAGAGGGATGGTCTCGTTCACTGTCTCGAGCAGCTTCGAGATAGTCGGGTCGTTCTCTAGAGACACGTTCCAAACGAGCCGTACTTCCGGGAATCCGTCCCTTCGCACCACGAGGCGCAGACGCATATCCTTTTCGGTCATAGCCACGTATGTTCTTCATACAAGGGAGCCGGTGTGAAATGGATGTGCATGTAAGACCTTGGTGATGGGCCCGGTATAGGGGAAGTTTAAGAAATTGTAGTGTTCATGAGGAAGGTGTTGTTATTGGAATTGTAGTCAAATATCTCTGTGCCCTAGGAGGTAGGGTTGAATTAGGAAGGAACAGAGTAAAGTAACTTCGTGGGTTGACTTCGTTACTCCATATTTCACGATTCACAATTCACGAAGGCGAAGGCTTAAATGTAAAGATTGGCGATCTCCAACGGGAAACCGCGTTGCGAAATGTCTTGGCAGATATTAATTTTTGGAGAGCTAGGGGATTGATGTGGGGCTGTCTCCACTAGCTAATTCTATCTGGATGTATGTACTAGGTACCGTACCCGGATATCACTAAGTTGGCGGGGTAGAGTAGAGAGGTCCAATCGTCTACGGGTCTTTTATGTCACAATTATCATTCTAGAAGGTTAGGACAGGTGCAATGTGCAGCATTAAGGCGTTTGCATCCAAATATGCATTCAAATAAGTGGAATACATATCCAAACGAGGTCTTGTAGAAAGAGGGCATAAGTATATACTATCAAGATACATATATGCTATCTCGACCAATCCTACTACCTAAATAAGTAGTATCGTAGATATAGGTACGTTACGAGATTTGGTTCTGTATATGAGTAACTCTATATGCCATGGAGTCGATGTGTTGTACGATGTCGAGAATCTAGACGCCCTTCTATCGCCGTAGAGAGTGTATAAGGCATAGAAATACCACACGGTTTCTCTTTCTACTCGACCACCTTCTAAGAGAGCCTCGGATATACCTATATGCGCTCATTAGGGAGGTAACCCTCCCATGTCTAGCATATGTCCCATCTTTTCGATCTAGAGATTTCATATGTTAGTTATGAGTCGCCCAACGATATGGTGCCTAATATCTTAGGAAAGGGTAAAGGTCTCAGACACAATAAAATAAAACTCACCTTAGTCTTCAAGTATCCCTCCACCTCCCGACTCCTGAAGCCCCCTTTGCCATTCCAGCTCAGCGGTACCATCGCCACGCGTTCCGTTACCCTCACTTCCATATTCGGGCCCTCGACCGCCCGAATTTTGTCCGGGTTGTTCGTCAGCAATCGGATCTCCCTCTGTCCCAGGTCGAGTAGCATCGCCGTCGCAAGCCCATAGCTTCGCGCATCCGCTGGATGTCGCAATAATAAGTTCGCCTCCACCGTGTCGGATCCTAAGTCTTGCAAGTTATACGCCTTTAGCTTCTCGCCAAGGCCGATGCCACGACCTTCTTGGCGCAGATAGATGACAATGCCCCCGTTCACGGCGCTAGGAAGCGACATGAGACGTGCCGCCTCATCCAACTGCTCGCCACAGTCGCATCGCGCGGACCACGCCGTCTCGCCAGTATAGCATTCCGAGTGTATCCGGACAAGCGGAGGACCGCTGGGAACTACTGCTGGTTCGTCCGCGGTAGATGATGTACCGCCCGCCATCCCGCTCTTCGTCCGCCCAGGGTAAAGACGACCAGTGTACGCGCCCCTCACCATTCGATCCATCTCCGTCTCCCCTTCCCTCGGCGCATCGAGCGACTTGCTTCTAATATGCGGGCCGAACACAATTGCAAGATGCTCTTTGTTATCGACATTGTTGGTGTAGAGATGTAAGAACATTTCCGTTCCTGAGACGGTGGGAATACGAGCGCGTACAATGCATTGAACCTCGGGTAGGGTCTCGAGTAGTTTAGGCCGTTTAGTACCGCAGCCACCGGATGGGATGGAAGAGTCTACGGGAACACCTCGGGGCTGTCGCTCGGCTAAGGGAGTGGGCGTCGCAGTGCCGGGAGTAGCAGGAGGTGTGAAGGCGGGAGAAAGTAGTGAGGGCGGCGGCGGTGGCTGGGCTGCATCGTTTGTGGAAGTGGAAGGGGTCGAAGGGGAAGAAGTTGGCAGATGCGCGACTGAGGAGAGGGATAATTCGTCGTGATCCAATCTTGTCACAAGAGAGCCTTCATTTTCCCGGATCGGCCGAGATCGCGGGGAATAAAAGGACGGAAGATCTACCGTTTCCTCGTGTCCCTCTTGTTTCTGCCGATCCAACGGCCCCTGTGGACCATCTTTGGAAGACGAATCTGGGACGGGCATGCCTTCATGCGAAATCAATTAGGTTTTGCTTTCGCACGAAGAACGGCGAGAACGGCGAAAACGGCCAAGGAAAGAATAGACCGTCGGATAGCCGCTGACGTACCGGGATCTATGGGCTTTGGTGGGGTCCCTGGGAATTTTAAGTATGGCGTAATTCGTATTAGTACATTTATAGGTTATACCCGTATGTATCCTGCACCGAAGACGGAATATTTAAAGAACATTGAAATCAATAACGTTGACGATGAATATTGAAAACATGAGTAAGTATCGGATATGTAGATTGGAATACTTCAAATTGGTATATCCAATTGGCGATTATTCGCTTAATAAGAACCTTCTGCTAGGTGGTCTACTATGTACATAGTAATATGATGGTTTAGCTTACGTCAATATAGACAGTTTCTTAGTCAGGAATACCAAGGTCCTCGCTAGTCTTGTTACACGAAAGTCAGCAACCCTTCACGGTTTAGAAATGTTAGACGGGTACATCCATGGATGTTTAGGAGTTCACCTAAACAATGAAGATACACCTAAATCTGTTAGGTAAGCGTATATCTCCGAGGTCCTTGGAGCTACATAATAGTATGCAGGTAAATTCAGGCTTGCTTTTCTTTACCAGACATGTCAGCCGTGAACACTTGCATGGTTTGTGGGTCCAACTCACCTAGGCTCCACGCCTAACGCTACCTGGTAATACCAGCATTCAAACACGTCGTCTACCCGCACTTGGACTTAGTATGGGAGAAGGTTGGCAAACACCCGTTGGTATACATGGAGATGCCAAGGTAGCTATTCCTCTTGCCTCGCCAGTTCTCCTCTTGAGACCTCGCTAGCAGGTCATCTTATTTCTTCTTCATCCACTTCACAACTTGCCAGTGCTAGTGCCAGTATCAGCACAACATGCCTCCTCAGGGGCTAGTGAGTTCATACCAGCAGTATAAGAAAGATACCGATAGCATTGCTGCTTGGCTTGCTTCAACCGCAAAATCATGCGGTTACCCATCTGATCTGCTGACTGGCGGCCCTGCCAACAAGCCGGCCTCGACTCGACTGAAGGGCAAAGCGAGGGCTGAAGCCAAAAAGAAACAGGCCACTACAACACTACCAACAACCAACAAATACATAATTAAGATCAAAGAATTCGTACCTTTGGCAGAGTTTGTTGCCTCCAAACGTGAAGTATCTGTTTCAGGTTCGTTCATAGCAACTTTACGTCGAGTCATCGTAGCTCGTGGAGGCTTCGGTGAAAAGCTTGCCCAACATGGGGCTGTTCCAGATGAGCTGTCAGATGCCAAACACGGATACTTCGTGGGCATCCTTGAGAAGGTCTACGAAGTCTTGAAGCCACGAGTCAAAATTGGCCTGATAGATTCCTCCCCTGCTCCCTCAAGCGACGAGTCCGACGCCGATGACTTCGCCAACCGATTCGCCTCCCTCCAGGTCTATGAACCTTCAGATGATTTCCTTAACGCGCCGGACTTGGAGAGACCGAAGCCATTGGAAGGTGACAAGATAACTTACGAAGCGGAACAGGCCACGTCTTTAGAGGATCTGCTCGTTGTCGTGACAATGTTAATCAATGATATCAACAAGATCCGGGCACGAATTCAATGGATCTGGTCTAATTATAAGGACGGACTCTTTGATCTCGCCGTTGCAGCTATTGCTACCAACACCGCAATCGACTTAGCAAGGAACCTCAGTAAGTCACTTCGAGCTTGTTTCGCATATCTTCATCAGCCTATCCACCTACTTTGCATTAATTCAAAGTCACAACCTCTTACATCGAATAAGAACTGACGGCATATTGCAGTGGAAGAGGTTGAACCAATGTTCAAGGATCACGGTGGACTATGGAAAGTCCTCAATAGATGGTACCTCGTCCAGATGATGATGAAGGGGTACGAGCCTTTTGATCTATTCAAAAATGATAGCACGGATAATTTCAACTATGATACTTACGATATTGCGGATGGGACCTACATATTAACATGTAGACTCATAAGTGCATTCATCCCGGTCATACAACCTGGAAACGTGCCGTTGTATAAAGACGGTATGTTTGGCTACTACGACCCCCAAAGTGACCGGGCGTCCAAAACCGGGTATCAGAAATTCGAGGAGGATCGTGTCCTACTTATGACTATTTTCACCGAGCTAATGGCGGTGGTTCGTGGCATCGAAAATTATCCAGTTGAAGATGAATTCTTGCGCGGGATCCGGGAGCTAGCCAACACAAAACAAGTCTCATTTTATATTGTTTTTGCTGCCCAGGTCTTCCTCGATATTCACTATACCCTTCGCGAGCATGCCGGGAAATGCTTTGAAACACTCGAGAAGAACCTCAAGTCTTTCGACCGCGAGATTGAAGAATACTTCAGTTTTCATATAAACTTGAAGATCGACAACTGGCCTGCCAGAAACGACGCCATGTTGCGAGAATACCAACGCAAGATACGGTGGATACTGCAGGACCCTGGGCACCAAGTAAAGATCAAGGCATATCGACAAACTGGCCAGACACCTCCAGTATCAATGGAAGCTAACCGGCTGTTAAAGATGTCTCCGGTTCTCAGTGGTTTAATGCTTTACCACTTCCGCTCGGAGATATGGGACGTCGGCATCGCGCTTGCAAACGCGTGGGGCTCGATCACCTATTCACTGCATCTGTACAATGCGCTGCGGAGCGAGAAACTCTTGTCGAGGACTTGGAAAGACATGGATCTTGTAAGGACACTGCTGGGAGACTCGTCTTTCTTCGTAGGGGATGCACCAGGAAATCTAGACCAATACATGAAGAAGTTCTGCCTCCAAATGGGCACCACCGTGGCGGCATTCACTAAGAATCGTCGCGGAAAAGTGGTCCTGGAATCTCGGGCAGGACCCCGAGGAATTAAGGATGGTGCACCCGTTTCTTTGATGTTTATGGACCGCTACCTCCGGGGAACAGGGCAAGTCGACTGGAAGCCAGAAGACATTGCAAGGATTATCGATCTTGGCATGTGGGAAACCGAGGGCTCAGAAGAGGACGGTACCCTGATACTGGGGCAAATCGACGACCCCGAAAAGCTAAAGCAGAAAGCGAAGACACGGCGCGGTAAGGGCTCGGAGAACGCAAAGCTATCGCCAGAGCAGTTAATTAGGGCGCTCACGTTCGCGCTGCAAGGAGAAACCCTCGAGCTATCGGTATCGTACATCTCGATGCATCGTGAATGTTGGTCACTCTTGCGAGCCGTCCGGAAGCATTGCGACCCTCTCCTCCGAGAGCTATATACGGCAGCCTACATGGAACGTGAGACAGAGCTTTGCTTCGTCGTGGGATGGATATTTTTAGAGCCTGTGAAAGACCGAAGTACAACGCTTTTATTAGAGGCTCGTGACGCGGTTGATCAATTCGTGCGGAAAGAAGGCACCACGGTCTTGGGCTTGCTGAATGACTTAGATATGCCTGTTGAGTTTGTGACGGAGAAGAATGATTCTGAAGCTGAATTATGATGGAGTTGATACATAGGTAGGGGCGTGGCACCTCATAGGTAAATACTGAAGCACGTATCTCTCCTCCTTCCCCTTTCCAGCATGCCAGGTGTAAATATGCATAAGCTATAGCTTCTCCCAACGTCGAAACTCTTAAGGAGATAATGTCAAAGAGTTCCAACTTGCCGGCATTAGTAGCACTCTTATTCTGTAGGAGAGAAGGTATTCGGCACACATTGGGGATTATTTCCGACCCACAAGTACCTAGAGGTCATGTCGAACTCTATTCGCTACCATTCATTACTTATTAAAGGATGCTTCTTCCATCCCGAGGATATCCTGTTACCCAGGTAAGCAGTTTCCCGCGGATCCGATACCCAATCCGCGGGGAAGTGTTTCTCTCCAACCTACAGGGTGGCCTGGCACTCATTTATAGACCAACCCACTCAATAGTTCATGCAGATATTCTATCAAAGGTCTCTTCATACAAGCAACATTTATATATTACATATCGTTATATCTATCTAGCAAATCAACAAATTCTGTTCAACGTCTAACTTGGTAGTTATGGCACCGGGAATCGTAGAGCACGAACCTATCGTCAACGGTTCTGATTCTTCACCCCGAGAGAGCGAGGCTGAGTCGCGACCAAAGCTCTACGCCAACGTGGACCAAGACCAACTCCAGAAGAAAACGTCGCAATTCCTTTTCAACTATGGCACTAAATTCATACCAGATATCGTCTGCGGTGCTAAGGGCTTGTATGTCTATACAGCAAAGGGTCATAAAGTCCTCGACTGGACGTCGGGTCAGATGTCTTGCTTGCTGGGACACGGCCACCCCGAGATAGTCAAGACGATAACAGACCATGCGGCAAACCTCGACCATCTTTTCTCCGGCATGGTTTCGCCTCCCGTCGTCTCCCTAGGCGAGAGGCTCTGTTCTTTGCTTCCGGATGGATTGGACAAGGCTTTCTTCCTATCTACTGGGGTAAGTATTTCCGCGATGGTGAACTGGGAACTTCCCAGGGCACTCTTCTTAGGAACTTGTCAATATTGACTAACTTTGTATCTTAGGGAGAATCTAACGAAGCGGCCATTAAACTTGCAAAAGTGTATACTGGCAAATTCGAGATCGTGGCCGTAAACGGGTCTTGGCACGGAGTAACTGCCCAAGCTCTTAGTGCCCAGTACCATTACGGAAGAAAAGGCCAAGGACCACTTATGCCAGGTATGCATATGCTACCAGCCCCGAACGCGTACCGGTCTATCTTCCGAAAGCCGGACGGCTCGTACGACTGGGAGACCGAGCTCGACTACGGGTGGAGTTTGATCGACCAAGCATCATGCGGATCACTCGCCGCCGTCATAGTAGAGTGCATTCAGTCATCGGCGGGCATACACGTCCTCCCTACCGGCTACCTGAAAGCCCTGAAGAAGCATTGCGAGCGAAGAGGCATGCTCCTCATTGTCGACGAAGCGCAGACAGGCGTCGGGAGGTGCGGCGATACGATGGCAATAATACACGAGGGTGTAACCCCCGACATTCTAACGCTGAGCAAAACTCTTGGGAACGGCCTCCCCTTGAGCGCCGTGGTGACCAGTACTGAAATCGAGAAGGTCTGTGTGGAGAGGGACTACTGCTTCTACACAACCCATGTGAACGACCCTCTCCCTGCCGCGGTAGGAAACAAAGTCCTGGAGATTGTTGTCCGCGACAACTTGGTCGAGCACTCTAGGTCCATGGGAAAGATACTGCATGAAGGACTAAGACGATTGCAATCCCGATACGGGTGTATCGGAGATGTTCGCGGAAGAGGACTGATGGCGGGCGTCGAGATTGTCACTGACCGAGAAACAAAAGCACCTGGAATAGAATTGGCAAGTTCTATAGCGGAGAGGGCGTATGAGCTTGGGGTTTGGGCCAATCTGAGCAGTCATGGGAGCTTTGGTGGTGTTTTTAGAATTGCGCCTCCGATCACAGTGACGGAGGAGCAGATTCAGGAGGGACTTGGGGTGCTCGAACAAGCATTCGCTTCCAGCCCGGGGTCCATACCGTTGTATTAGTAGCTGCAACTATGCATTCATGGTGAAAATTGTCGACACTGAATGCTACTTCAACTTATATCCCTACTTGGCACACGGCGAAAATTATCCAAGTAGGTAATGATGATAATGGTACATGAGAATGAAACTTTACAATGCAACCCCTTTTCCCCTATCGAGGTTCGTTGCCAAGACTCAAAAAGGGGCTATATCGTTTTCCGCGGAAAACTCGGTCTAGCAGTGTCTCCGCAAATCGGAAGACTTGTTCGTAGCGCCGAATCTGTCTACGCGGAGTCCTAGAACGTCTGACTATCTGATGATTACCTGGTACGTGGACAGAAGGATGGAAGTATGCGTATGGGAACGTAAATTACCTACCTGTGCATCGTGTTTTCATTTTTCCTATAAAGAAAGGAATTTTTCCGTTGGTCGCATCACTAACGACCGGCGTCTGATATAAATATTCATTACTATTTCCCGCGGACAAGCACAGACATTTTACATGCAGTCGCCGGGTTCACAGGAACGGCCTTACAGGTCTCATATACGACCGGCTTGTCTACCTTGTCGGAAAAGAAAGTCCCGCTGCAAGATTGAGACTGAGTCATTATCATGTTTAATGTGCCGGGCACACGGGACCGAATGTGAATTTCCAGCCAAACGGCAAGCGAATTCTGTCCAGGGGAAAATCAGGAGTCATAATTACCGGGCTCGAGAACGGACGATATCCGAAGATACGCCACGGCGTCAGCCCCATATCACTCCTTGTGGCCATGAGGGGATAGCAGACGGACGTCCGACCACCATCAGTGATCCTAAAAACACCATTATTGATGCTGCATGGAATGGGATTAACTCTCCTAATGTTCATCCAACTATTCATCATGGCCCCGATGAGTCCCGGCCGACGCCTCTGTCGATTGAGGATACGGAGAACGAAAACCCTCATATAATTAGTCCGGCAATGACGAGCGACAGTCAGGTGCTGACAGATTACCTATCTACTATGGGAAGCGGTGGATGTGGCATACGCCTCATACGCCCAAAGCAGACAAATGGAAGCCGGCAAGTTCTTTTCACCGCGGTACAGAAGCGCCCCGTGGGACTTTCCATTAGTCCTAGTCCATCGCACACGAAGTGTGAAATCATCGAAAAGTTGCTCGGACCATGGACGGAGAAAATGATTGACTTGTGAGTAATTTCTTCCCGTTACAAATGGCCACATCCAATGGGTCCTCATTGATAGCTATGGTTCTACAGATATTTCGAAAAAGCGAACATATGTTTTCCCTTATTAGATGAGACATCATTCCGGAGCCGATACGCAACTGCCAAGGATCGTGTATCGCCAGCCCTTCTGGCATGTCTTTATGCCAATAGCCTAATTTATTGGAGGTACGAGCCTCAGCTCGCGGGACAGCAGCCTCCAGATATTCGTTTCGTGTGGAATCTAGCTAGCGAGGCTGCTCAGTCCGAACTGTTCCTATCCCCGGGCATGTCTACAATCACTGCGGTGTTGTTAGATGTTGGAGGCCGGCCGACAACAGCCTTAGTAGGGAACGGCGTCCGACTTGGCAGTGCCATATCCCTAGCATATTCTTTAGGCTTGAATCATGATCCATTATCTTGGGATATATCAAGACCTGAGAAGATGTTACGAATGCATATTTGGTGGTCATTACTCATACATGACAGATGGTGGGCCTCTTTTTGAAGTATTTGAATTGCGGTAGTAGCTCATATGGTAGCAGGTCAAGCTTAGCTTACGGCACGCCGCCGCATATACAAAGGTCTTTTTACGATGTTCCCCAGCCAAAAGTAGAATATCAGCTTAACCAAGCGGATTCCCCAAGACGCCTGAGTGCCATGGCCATCTTCGTCGCACTTTCAAGATTAACCGACATTTTAGATTACTACTTACAGTACCTCTATCAAGTCGACAAGGAGGCCGACACGCTGGTTACTAGCCTAGAACTTCGTCTTAATAGATGGGTCGAGAGCTTAGACGATGACGCCCGTCAGGTAATAACTCGCGGCGCTTCATTACACGTTCCAGGTGCACCTAATTTACGGCTAGCATATCTTTCCATTCAACTACTCACTCATCGTATACGGATGGAAAACACTCGATCTAGAGCGGAGCTAGACGAAGACAGCCTAGCTAATCAGTACATACAAATTCGGCGAACGGCGGAGGATATCGTCTGTCTGGTTCAAGAGCTTCAAGAAAAGCAGCTAGGAGATTTCTGGCTGCCGATCAGCTCCTTTATATTCCCATCAACAGTCACCTTTCTCCTACGCTGTGCGCTCGAAACTGGGAAATCGCCTAACGATCTTGCGGGAAATAGTTCTTTCAAACTAGCCCGAGATCTAATCACCGTTTTGCGTCGCCATAGAGACACTTCGGGTTGGGACCTGGGCGATATCTGCTTAGCACAACATGCCGAAGTTATCGAAAAACTTGCGTCGCCGATACAGACTATCGAGGATAGCGCTAGCATCACAAGTTTTGGAGATTTGATAATTCCGGATGATTTATTTATGAATGATATTAACGATATCTTTGGGAGCTTCTAGAGGAAACAATCCAGGACACTGCATTTTACCATGCTAGGGGAGCGAACGTCATAGTAGATGTTTCTATTTGCGATTCGCCGCAAAGACATCCTCCTTAATCTGCTCAAGTATTTCGACAAAACGAGCGGGTTGTGAGACGAAGGCAGTGTGTCCGGCGTCGATGTTGAATACAGTGCATCCGGGAATGGCATCTGCGACAGCCTGTTGTATTTCGCGTGGCACGGTCGCGTCCTTCTCACACAGAATGTAGTAATATGGTAGGTTGACATCAGTCACAAGGTAGTTGGTCGGAGTCTCGATAGCTTCCTGGGAGATGGGTACGAGGGTATCCCATAATTCGTCTGCCTTGCTTTTGTCGAGGTCATTATAAAAAGAATGTTTGCTGATTTTGGCGGGATAGGCGAGTTGTCCCTGAGTGGTTATGATTACGATTAGTACCCAGGTACGAAGATGAAAGGGTATGCAGCAATGAGGCACATACTTTTTCTCCTTGGGGACCGTGCTCTAGGAAGGGCGGATACTCATGTTCGACACCATCATCGAAGACGCCAATTGCCGTGCTCCCCCGGACTAGGGGAGCTGGTGCGGCGTTGAATACTACGGCACGTATACCACCCTTCTTACCAGCGGCTGCGCGTTGCTCGACGGTCCAACCTTCGGTGGCTGCGAACCCCGGAAAGCCACCATATGAATGGCCTACGACGATAAATTCCGTCCCGTCGTCGACGTAGGGAGTCATCTGTGCTCGCAAAGCCTCAACGTCATCCCAGAGCGTCTTTCCTCGGCTATCGTTGCCCAGCGACGGGTGCGCCGATACCAACACAGGGTCGAATATTTTGGCATCTTGAAGACGCTGCTTGATGATGTCGAAGAAGTGGGCCGGGTGAAAAGCGCCTCCAGAAAATATGATACCTCGTTTTGGCGAATCAGACATTGTTCAGATGTGTATCGTAGTATCGCGTATGTAGGTAATATAGATGCAGAAAGATGCCTTATGCGTACACTATACAAAAGGGTTGGTACCCCTTCTTATGTAGCAGCCGTATATTGGAATACACATGGGCATCCTGGATACCGGAATTGAGATATCACCTTCCCCTCCTCGCGTAGGTGTCCTTAAATGGCGAAGAACATGCATGATCTCCTAACATGCACTAACTTGAAACGTCAGTTTTGTGCTGGCCTGCGTATTTCGGTGAGTAATCCATGGGGTTTATACCAAAGTTACGGTATGAACCATGGATGTAGGTACTATATTACGACATAGCCTCGCACGGGAAGTAGACAAGGAAGTTTTACCAATCGGATATTTGACTATGTTACTCAGCTTCAGCTCGAGATAATCGACCAACCTCTCGAGCACTACGTGAGTCTCTCCCATACTTCAAGGTCAAGCATCTGTGCTTCTTACGAAACTCTCACAATATCATAAAATTTCTTTCTCCGCATAAATGCCCCCAGGTTCGTCAGATTTGTTGAACCTTACCATGTATTTGGGTGGTGCTTCGGTTAGCAAAAGGCCCCAGCTCATATGTGATAGATCATCTACCGGAATCTAGGATTACAATACGGCTACCACCCAAACAATGCACATATCGTGTAGTTATTAACCTTTAAATATGGAGAATATCCTCTTACGTTACTGATAATCATAACTTTCCTTACTCATGCCCTTTTCCGAGCCTCTAGAAGCCAAGGGATACCTATCTAACCTTCCTGTCGCTTCCTGACTTGAGGTGGAAAGGAGTATAGTAAGAGGCGGGTTAGGGTATGGATCTTGTTCTTTGGAGTTTGTAACTCAGGTATTCAACTTGATTCTGCTATTGCTACTATGACCACTCAGGCGATCTCAGCTGTGGACCACTCCAACACGGGTCTTGTTTTCCTCATACCCACCATTATTCTGAACGTCCTTGCTACCATATTCGTTGCGTTGCGTATCTATGCACGGCGATTCCAAGGTCTCAGGCTCCAATTCGACGACTGGATAGTCGTCGTCGCGTTAGTACGTTACCCGTCGACCTCGCCCCTATCTCCTTTTTTCTTGGCTATATTACTCACCAAAGTTGTTTATTAGTTTTTCAACCATGCGCAACTCACCGGTGAAGGAATTAGTAAGTCCCTCATGCTTTTTTCTACTTGTGAAAATTGATTAGAATATAATCTGACTAAGGACGTCTAGTGGTGAGATATGGCTTGGGTGTCAATGGCGAGATAGTCGCGGCCACATACCCTGGCGGTGTGTCAAATTTCTTGGAGGTTCGTCAACCACTCCTAAAAATATTCAACATGTCAAGTGAAGGTAGACTAATGCATATACATCGCTGTTCTAGGCCTTCTTCTTTCTGCAGTTGATATATTCCTGCCTATCGCCACTAGCTAAGATTTCGCTTCTCTCCCTTTACTACCGTACCTTCTTCGTCTCTCGCAGCCTGCGAGTTTCGGTCTGGATTATGACCGCGCTGCTCATCTCCTGGGGAATCAGTGTTTTTGTGACCAGTATTTTCACATGTAACCCCATTCGAGGATTCTGGGATTTGTCGATTGAGGCCAAGTGCATCGACAGCGCGTTATTCTTCGAAGCTATCACGATACCCAATATCATTCTCGATTTAGCCACAGGGATTCTACCAATTCGCGAGGTGTGGAAGTTACAGATGGGTAGAGACAGAAAGCTTGCTTTTACTGCGATATTCACTGTCGGTAGCATGTGAGTTGACATCTAGGTAATTTCGATGCCTTTCTTGATACTAAAACACGCCCACCATCTATAGTGTTGTCCTTGCTGCAATAGCACGTCTTGTCACCGTCAAGGTTTACCAGCCCGCTGGAGGGTCCCTAAATACGACCCGTGAGTTAACATCCCGTCTTGTGTATACGAGTATTATATATTTGTATGGCAACCATTTACTAATTCGCCCTCCCTCTTGGCAGAAGCGCTCGTGCCAGCATTGCTTGCGACATCATTCGAGGTTAACTTTGCGATCTACGGTGCCTGTCTTCCGCCTATAATACCCCTGTGGAGACATTGGTTCGGTCAACCTCATAGTTCAGCTAAGAGTTCGAAGTCTACTCCACCATTCCACAGCATAATCACGATTGGCCAGCGTTCTAATCGGCAACCTCGCAAGGTGGATGCTACCTTCGAGATGTTGGAGGAGGATTCCAGTGAAAATCTAACTCGAACGAATACTAATCCTGGGACTGAGGGCATTGCTTTGACGTCAGTGTCTGCGAGAGAGTGGCCTCAAGGTGGTCAACAACAGATTCACTTACATTCGTAATCAGAATTTTGCTTCGTATTTTTTAAAGAAAAAAAAAAACTACGAGATTCATTGCGAATACGCCGACAGGTTTGGGTGTTTGGATGACGTTATGGGAATGGAAAAATACTCATTAAGTACGCATTATTGGTTCAGTTTTATGATTGATAAAAGGTTATACAAGTGTGTTAAGTCATGCCCGAACTCTGAAATAAATTTCAGAATAAAGACATTGAGACCTTCTAGCACTGAAGTCCCCAAAGTAAATATATCAAAACGTTTCCCGTTGAAAGAAAAAGAATTCGTTGAACCCGCCTTGAATCCGCGGCTATCCAGGGTAAAAAAAAATGCAAGACACTAATTGGAGCACGATACAAATGGGCTAAACTTCGATTGCCCGCCGGCAACGATCAGATAGTCATCATCATTTATAAGCTTGTTTCTACGGTTTGCATGGAATTGTTGGGGGCATCTGGTCGCCTTGAGAGACTAGTTGTTGTGACGCCCAGCTACCTAGGTTGAGTTGCTCCGGGAACATCAATGGATGAGATGGAGAGTCCGAGGGAGAAAGTAGGAGGTGGAGAGGGTGCAATTAGGTAGAGGGAAGGGTATTTCCCCTAGAATTGGAAGAATTGGGAGAGGATTTCTATGCCTGAGAACCAAGTAATACCGCATCTACACTACCAATCTAACCTTGAGTTTATCCCCTTCCACTATCTCGGCTTTCCGCTCGAGCAACTCACTCATATCCCACGTAGAGCTAATGTACCTTCCAGCCAGCCATTCGCGATGCTCTTGCGAGAGCCACGTAACGGTATCTCCAGGTAGATCGACGTTATCGCTAAGTCCCGAAAGGGTCTCGGGTGGCATGCCCTTCTCGGCCAACTCTGTGAGAACGGCGCCGGGATGGACGGAGTACGCCAGCAGTCCTTTATTCCCCGCCTCGACCATTAGGAATTCAGTCAGCTTCAGTACCGCTAGCTTCGAGGTACCATATGCGGATGCCATCGGCCTAAGGTTGTGAGCGGCGACGCTGTTGATGTTGATCATGGTCTTTAACCCATCTGGAGTAGAGACGAGCAGTGGAACAAAGTACTTGCTCATGAGATACACTCCTTTCAAATTTACCTCCATCGTCCGCCACCAGGAGCTAGTGTGAGAGTCAGGTACGGGGAGAGCGGGAGTCATAAAACCAGCATTGTTTACGAGGATATCTAGTTTGCCATTGAACTGCCTCTCGATAGTCTCGGCGCATTTACGCACGCTGTCTTCATCCGTGACGTCGAGTCTAATCACCATAGTTCGTGGGACACCATGCCCCTTTTCTCTTGCGGCAGTCGCGATATCACTGACAAGCTGCTCAGAAAATTCAGATATGTCTGCCACGACAATGGCTGAGGCTCCTGCTTTAGCAAAAGAGAGGGCAATATTCATTCCGATACCCCTAGCGCCGCCTGTGATCAGAACATGACGACCCGCATGTTTAGCTGTTTGAATAAAGGGATACGAAGATCCATGAATCGTGGAAGTGAATGTTCCTCCTATAAAAGGTGTTAGGGAAAACTCATCGCTCTCGGGCAGAGATGCTTGAACTCACCATTCTGAGGCGCAACAGGAGGGTAGGAAGTCATAGTATGTCGCCGTACGCTATGGTTAATTAGTGCTTTGATGAAATTCTGAGCTTTGAACATCTAGAAAAACGCAGATAATTTATTCTATTTGTTAAATACGATATCCAAAACACACCTGAGGTGTCTATCTCCATTGTTAACGTTTGCAACTTACTCGGACGTGATTGGTTGGGTAGTCGTTGCTCACACCACGAAGGACATGTGATATCACTCCTGTGCTGCTCTCAGTTCGCAGTTAAGGGATGAGGCCTACGCAGATCGGCTTAAGTCCGAACGGCGTTAGGTCTTCTCGCGGCACTATTGAAGTGTGAATATTTTATCATAGCCTAGCCTACCATCACTAATATTTCAAGTTACTCTAGTCGAATCGCTCTGAATAGGTTTCATCTACATTGGAAAGGGGAGTGTTGGAACATATTCAACTGAAGGGGTATAAGGCTATGTTCGTAAGATGCTCTATGGGATCTAGTATGTCATAAACTATGTCTCGCCTCAGACTACGAGGCGGACAAAACAAGCCACGGCTCCTGTCCTGTGTGGCTTGGAAGTGTCAGGGTGACCTGCCAATCTCTTGTAAGTTGATGTGCATCCTCCTTCTTTCGAAACCGACGGATGCTTTTTTTTCTTCAACATGCTGTTTGCTGACCGAGCCATTGCTAGGAGCAGACCTAATTAGATACTTGTGGGTATTCCTGTAAAAGCAAAGATAAAAATTTCAGAAAAAAAATGACAAAAGCAATAACAAAGCGTGCAGACTAGGAGGGAGTTCCCCCTGAACCGAGTGATGCTAGTATCAAGCCAAGTGCTGAGCCTTTATGTCGCTGGCTAGCAAGTATAACGTGCCGACGCAGGAGTCGGAGTAATAAATAGAAAATCGCCATTCTTTTTTGTCTTTCCAGTCCAAGACCCATTTTCTCGTCGCCGGAATATGCTCTGTCCGTTTTTGTCCGCCAAGTCCGAGCGGATGGAAATGAGAAGTTTCCGCGCCCTGGCGCGCGTCATCGTTGTTGAGACTCCTACTATTTCCAAGGAGGTGGGGGGTCCTTGAAGAAGGCCCGAGAGGTAAGAAACAAAACAAAATCAGAAAAAAAGACGGAAGACAGACACGATAGACCAGTGGAAGATACAAAACGCACACTCATGCACACATACGCGGAAAACAAACACCAAGAACCAGTACCGTGTACAAAATGATGATGAAACTCCTCCCGCCTTCCCGACGTTCTCATCAAAATAAGCTTCTCAGGGGGGGGGAAGGACCGCGCAAATTAAAACCGGAGGGGTTACAATCATTGGTTCGCCACACGGATGCGGATTGGCGAGGGAGGGCGGCAATGGATCGACGGGGGATGTAGCCGAGCCGCCATGCATATGTGGAAGGGCGCCGAGGAAGATGCTTAAGTGGCTGCACACCCGTGGGCATACGTCCTCGCGCAACCCACCAGCCGGCAACACGAAGCGCCATACATCGAAAAAGGGCGCTGCCTCCATGATCTGCTCTCTACCCACTAGGAGCATTAACCAACATCCGGAATTCCGGAACATGAGGGCAGAGTCAAGCCAGAGATAACTCGCGCGAGTTCGAATTAGGGTTGGAGATGTGGCGGGTCGCATTGCTAGAGCTAGTTTTCCGGGACAGTCGAGTAAAAGGAGGCGTTCATCGAGGCGTTCATCCACCGCAAGGAACACCCGACGCATGCAAGATGGAAATGATACGCATGGTCGGATGGGGGGAGTGGATGAGCGGAGGAGGAAGTCTAGGTAGGTATGTAGTAGGTAGGTAAGAAGAAAACGAGGTGACGAGATATTAAAGAGTCGGGAATAGAGAGAGAAAAAGGGAGAGAAAGAGAGCCGGCTCTCCCCAAGGTTGAAGACTCTCCCCTCCGGTCGCTCGGGGGGACGAAAAAGAAGAGCAAAAACAAAACAAAGAAAGCTAGAGAGACAAGCTGCCAGATGTTCGCCTTGTTTCTGGCAGTAGGAATTTCGTTGCATCAAGGGAATTCGTACGATGGTAACTGACTTTGACTGAGCTGGCCGTGATCTATTGGCCCCGCTCCCCCCCCCTTGGACATACGTCGCACCGCATGCCGCCATCACCCGGCTGTTCAGCCAACCGGGCACGTCCAAATATAGGGCGGCAGATTCTTATCCCCCACGGAGGTTTCCCGCAGATCGCCGGTGGGTGTCCGTATGCATGTGGGAAGACACGCTACTGCCACTCCCTCGGCCAGTCGACGTGGTAGCTCCATCCAATGTGCTGCTTTGCGATGAGTAGCTCTGGGATGATGACACGTGGGAGTCGGGCACGTAAATGTGGCCGTTCGGTAGCACGGAACCACTGCTTCCTCCACCGCTCGACTGGGAGTCCCTTCGAGAACTATCCGTTTTGTCGCTGTAGATATAGCTCACCGAGTTGGTGTCCTCGGTAGACCGAAGGGGGTGATCGCTAGACGCGTATATCCCCTCGGCGGCGGCGGTCGCACTCGACTGGTAAGCGGCGCCGTCATTCTGCCCGGATAATCTGTGTGGGATGCTCGGTGGAAGCGAGCTGGGGGCAGCGGAATACGACTGGTCATAGCTAGAGCTTAAGCCGCCGTAGCCGACATCAGGTATTGTGCTTGTCGGAGAAGTCTTCGAGTTGTTATACGACGGGAGACCTTCTGCGCGATAGGTCGAAGAACCTGTCAGAGTCCGATTAACTTGTGGCAGCAGACGGTCTGATGGCACGACTCGATCGGTCGCCGATGGAAGGGAAGCAGCCATCCCCGAAAGCGAGAAGCCGGTAGGGGATTCGCTGCTTACTGCCGGCCTGTGCACCAAGCTGCCGTATGAGTAAGATGGCGCTTCAGGATCCACGTAAACAGGCTTCCCAGAACCGTACCGCCCATAGCTTTGCACCATATGAGCGGCGTCTTGGCCAAGTATTGGGTAGGGGTAGTTGAGGCCGTAATCCACTTCGTCTCCATATCCGTTCGTCCACCCCGACATAGAATAATATCCCTTACCCCCGTACTGATATTGGTTTTGGCGGTACGAAGTTATGACATCTCCGCCGGATATGTCTGCAGGGTATTGTGATATAGGACTCAGCTGTGACACGGAGACGCGGGATTGGTTACTATATGGCCGGGCTGCCTCGAGATTATATCCGAAATCGTTCCCATCGTTCTTAAAAGGAGTCTCGAGTGAAGAAACCTGGAAGATCATCAGATGGTTAGAAAATAATACTCCATTTCTTCTTCTCCTCTTTCTTGGCTTCTTAATAGATCTGGCAGAGAATTACCCGTAAAAAGAGGCACGGTTCGTATCCTGCGTTCTTGCAGTTTGTGCATGGGAGGCCGTTACCCGGGTCGCCGCTACATCGAATCTTGCGTTTACGGCAGCGGCCGCACTTTGTTTCGTGGCTTCAAGTCAGCGTTCAACGCGTTCCTCTCGCTGTCGGTGGACAAGGGGTTACGAGAATCGAGAACGAGGGATAGAAAGAAGAAGAGTTCTCTCTGACTTACTGCTACTGCAATCCTCTTCCGAGGTTGCGACGACTCTGAGTCTATGTCGCGGTCCGTCATGGTAGTCGTTCTGCCGTCTTGGGAGGATAGATGGAAACGGCGGTCTGAGTAATGAATGGGATACGGAGGACAGGCACGACTATATCGTCTGCCAGCATCGCTGGGAGGATAACAAGCGGGAGTCACCATTGTCTTTTTTTGTTGTTTTGCCACCACTCGAATTTGCGCGGCCAGGTGCGTGAGAGACAAGGTCAGTGTTCAGTCCGTCCCCGTCCTATCGGAATTGTGTCAACGGTGAGGGGCCCTTGTTTTGCTCTGCGACTGCAGGAGGGAGATTGATGAAGAAGAACAATGAACCCTTTCTGCAAAAAGGAGGAACAGGGGGGCCAGGCTGTCCGACAGTTGGTTCTCGCTATCCTCTTTTTCAGCTGTGGGAATCTTAGCTTGATGAGAGAGGTTCGAGCTTCGATGGGTCACTCTCGTCTTGTCAGACTCTGATGTTTCATCAGAAGGGGGAGAAGAGAAAGCTGATCAAACTTGGCAGTTTGTAGACGCGAGGAGGAAACGATTCCCGTACTCAGTTAGTAAGAGGATCGAAGAGGGAAATTGAGAGGCTGCAAGTTCAGTGACTGTTATAACTCCGTACCACACTTTCTCAGCGGGCAAGCCTCAACGTTGAACGTTGTTGTTTGTAACTAGGTTCGACTAGGTTTAAGCACGGCTCTCCAAGGTAGAGGCCTATTGAGGACTTGTCATATTCCTCCTGGTTCATGACACAGCAGGTGTCACGTCGAGAATGTCCATCAGTATGAGGTCGAATTAGTTAGCCGCGTTACACCAAATCCAAGTGTACCAAGTCAAGAGACGGTTGGGTGCATGGCTTATGCATGAGAAAAGCGTAGGTTAGCCATGTGTACGCTAGATTGGATTTGGATTTTGCAATGTATCCCAAGGTGCTTCGTTTCACTCTGAAATAAAGGAGAAGAATCTACGCAAACAGCTAGCCCACCTATAAGGCCAGGGGGTTGGTTAGGGCCGGGCTCGAGAGGTAGCCGTGGCGATCACCCTGGGGGGCGATCTAGAGCTGGAGCCTTGGTCAGCGGCCAATCTCGATTCAATCTATATAGATGATGTAGAGAACCAGCTAGACCTCATATCGACTGAGACCGGCATATTTTATTCATACTAGAACTAGATTACTTTAAGATGCCGTTCCATATATTTACGGCCACCATCCAAGTGTTTAGGAGGCGCATCCTCACATTAGGAATGGTTAGCCTAGCTGTGTCTAATACCTCGTTGTCTTTACCTAAGCTTCTCTACCTCCTGTCATGTTCATTGCCAGGTTCCTAACTTCAATAACTAGCGAAAATAAAATCAAGTCCAGTTTCAAAGTAGTTAGGTATATTGGAAAATACCAACACAGTGTATACCAACGAAATCATCCTCAGCAAATACATCTAACCACTGATAATGGCACACGCGCCACCTTTCAGCGAGCACTGACGCTGTGTGATTTAGTCATAGTCATTCTCACATTCAGCCAACCTGTCTCCTGCGCGGGAGACAGGAAACGGGGGTTAGGTAGGTAACGAGAAGCTCAACCAACTACCTATCTAAAAAGGGTCGCGGGAGATTTGCCAGAGCAAACACAGCCAGGTTACTTTTGGTCAACGGCTCTCGTCCTACTGAGAACGCAAACGTCGGGTAAGACAATGACATGACTCTGCTCGCTCCTCTGCGGTGAGCAGAACCCCTTCCTCCCAGTGCTGCCCAACGTCGAGACATACCTCAGAATAAGCGCCTACTTGCGTGACGCAGTTATTCGTCACCTATTGCATGTGTGTATCGGTACCTTTGTGTGACGCCGCGGAGCATATGGGAGAAAAGGAGAGAGCAAAAAGTGAAAAGAAAGTGTATGAGGTCCTCGTCGCTCCTCCACGATTCCAGCGCCTTGACCTCACCCTACTGCAGCCTCCTGCTATGCTAGATTCTTCAGCGGGGTAGAAAAACGAAAAGTGACGAAAGGATCTTCTTCTCTCCCACGTTCAGCCAAGCCTAAGTGAAGCCACAGCCGCTCGATCCGGCCTAGTGAGGCGTAGAGATCGATATCCATTACAAGACCAGTAGGTACAAGGGTCTTAGGTGATGACAAGTGCTCGCCCATTTTCACCGGCTGAACGTACAGGTAATTTCTACGTGACTAGGAGCGTCAAAAGCAAACTCGGATACAAGTCCAAGCATGTTGTCCATCTTCTCTGTGTTTGCTAAGCTGTCAATGTTGAAGATGAGGCATAGGGTTAGCAGAGAATTCTTCTTCATCATCTAAACTTGACGCAACGCAAACGAGAGTATACTGTCGCACGAACCTCCTTCTCCTAGTCGTACTCTGCGAGAGTGTTTTGGCACCTCCCACCGTGTACGCCCGAATTGACTCGATACACTCTCTTACTTAGGCGAGAATTAATCTGGGTGTACCTGTATTCTTTATGCCGTTCTTATGCGAACATTGCAACGAGACTTGAGTTTAATGAGTAATACTAGGGTCGTGGACGTCGGGGAAAATAACATACGAACGACGAAGTTGCGAATATTACGCCTTCCAGCATCCTTTCTGACCTATCACTTTTTTTCTGCCATGAATCGTTTGGGTGAACAGGATCTAGGTAGATCGATATGTGGATGATGAAGCTGATCATTGATCCGATTTGGTATGCTCGTTTGGCTGGCAAACTACCGTATGCAGAGAGATGTGATGTCTCGCACAGATAGATAGGATTTCCAGCACGGCTCCATAGTCAGTGAGCACACTGTAGGTACCTACGCCTGCGGAAGCGCCATGTGGATTACAGATACGCGATATCCACCCCTGTCAAATATGGCTTCTCTAGCTAAAACCTCGACACACGGCTAGATGAGACCATATGATCACCTGCTTCGGTCTACTTTAAACGACGTCTAAAGGTAACAGGTTGAGGGCTCGGAAATATGTTTCAATAGCATCAATAGCATCTAGACCTAGTGACAGTCTAGTCATAGTACACTACACCTCAGTTAGATATTCCCAGTCAAGCGCCGGATAGGGCTGATAAAAAGCCACCAGGCACCTAATCGGGACGTCTAGAGCGATCACTAATCCCTGGCGGCAACGGAAAACTACTAGTATAGGGATAGTGAAGTTACGGGGAGAAGTGGTCCAGAACGATATTCAACGAGGGCAACCCGTATCGAGTAGACATAGATCTTGTCGACCCAGCCCGCCCACGACAAAATCCCACCCCCTCTCCCCCCCGCAAAGAGTCCTACTGTCCCTCAACAAGCTTCCGGGGTCAGGACGAGCTTACCTAGTAGCAGCTTAGAGCATCGACGGAAAATTTCCCCCTCCAGCTACCTAGGTACGCGGCTTCTTGCATGGCCCCGCTGTCAGTCATCTATAGTAGTCTGCAGCTACCCGTGGTCGTGCGACCATCCGCTTCATCATTGGCTGAAACCGTCGGTCAGTATGCGAGACATTTGGGGGTTCAAATTACGATGGAGCCATGGAGCTCTCGTCGATAGTGGGATTCAGCAGGGAGGGCGTCGATTTCTTCGTCAAAGATACTTCCAAGGTCATCTACCTACCTGGGCAGGTAGCTGTTGCGGCCGAGAAGGATCAGATGAGGTAAGAACCTTACTTAAACCATGTCGACGATCCACCGGGGGTTGGGGTCCTTTCCGGGAGCTCGTGATCGTTAGGAGGGCCATCAAGCTTGGCTCGAAAAGGGGCGTGATCGTGAGGGGTTGCTCGATTCCCTTGCTCCTCTTCTTCGTGGGACGCTATGTCGTCGCTCATCTCTTCCTCCTCAACTGTTACGAGCTAGAACCAGCAATAATGTCATCACAGTAGCACCTCGACGACCCCTCTGGTGAACGCAGCTAATTGAAGGGTTGACGTGGCACAGGTTCGCTCCAGAACTGAGGGGTCTAATTCTAAGGTGATATGAACCGGCCAACAAGTCCTCAGCGAGTCGCTGTCCTCGTGTCACCGTCGGAGCTCTTCTCGAGACGTGTTCATTTATCGAACAGGCCACGGTCGGACTTCCGATATATGCTTATTGAATGGTCTCAAATTGATGAGAGCGGGAAAGCACATCAACTCGAAAAGCCTGACGATTTCTGGTTGGCGTTTTTATGGTGATCCCTCCAGTTGTAGCCGCGATGCTCTATGATGAATACTAATGATAGCCGACTAAACCCGACAAACACAGGGGATGGGAAGACAGGGTGTGTTGGGTAAGGTATTCAGAGATGACCTCAATACAATAAAAGGGGGATATCTTCGGTCCGAGATAGACAAGAAGATCTGTAGACAAGACCTCGATATAGAGAACTATGTCGAGAGGAGCTCGTCACACGGTCGGGGACCTTGCAGAAAACGGTCTAAGAGGCGACCGGCATTGAAAAAACAAAACCTGTATTCTGATCCCGTACGAGAACTCCTGCGGGCCTGCTAGATAAAGGGTAGTATCGATCGGACCCCTAGACGATGGCGTCGAGTGGCGTGGCGTGAACCCTTGCAATTCGGATCAGAGATGCCAGGAACGCCTAGTGGCGAAGACGGGTAACAATAAATTCGACTCGCGAATCTCACATTCTAGTAGGCAAAATCCGCCGTCGCCCCCACACTCGGGAGGGACATGTTGCAAGCTCGCGACCACGCCATCCGTATCTTGTTGGTCCATGTCCCATGTCGTCCGATGCGAGTTCCCACTATACCTTGCATATACAGATGCAGAGTTCCCCCAATTCCAGTTGCAGTATTTTGTTACCCCCTAATAACCTACTAGGTACCTACCTATGTAATCATCGAGCTTAGCAGCTGAGGCAGATATGGGTCAGGTGAGAAGGTGACGACGGTCGCCTGGGTATTCTTTCAACGAATCCTATCATCCTTCGGCAAGGACTGGGCTTCGCAATAGTGACAAGGTGTGAAAAAGGTGATAGATCCGTCTAATGTGTATAGCCTACCTACTACTAGATCGACGGTCCTGTAGACGGCGAAACATTCGGATGTCGTTATAGTCTGCAAGTCGGCGAGCGGCGGCAAGCCACGAGCCCCTTGCATCATTGAAGCCGCCTTCCATTGTTCCATTGGGCTTCTATTGTGCGGGTAACTGAAGATGATAAAGGGATTTAGGTTGGGGTATATACCCGGAATACTGGACCTAGTTCTTCGCGGGATGGGGATGATTTACATATCTATGCTAGATGAAAATGGGGCACAATTCTTGTGCCTCCAAACTTCACTACCTACCTTAGACTTCCTCGATGATGACCCCTGACCGCGTACTGATGCCATAGCCACACCTTCATAGATCGAGCTCTTACCATTGTATCAACACGCATTCAAGTATCTTCATTCTCGTCGACCATATCCGACCCAGAACCCCGAACCCTTCCCCTTCGACCGATGCATGCCTATGCTAGTAGATGCTTAACTCCAAAGTAAAAATTAATCTCAATACCCCTGAACAATTCACAGTTTCCCAGCCACCCAGCAAAAATTATCGAGCGACGACCTCGTCCGTGTCACCCAATGGTAGGGTCCTATGAGACGTGGTACGTTGAACAAGTTCATGACCTAGCAACCGAGGCTTTTGTTATGAAACCTAGCCGCTGAACCTAGACGGCGGGATTCCTCCCTTTCAAACAATGAAGGGTAGATAGGAACCACCCTGTCGTGGAAGCAACGGCTGCCTGCAATATCTAGAAACCATGTGGATAACAGATTGGAATTATAGATTGTCGAACGTATCCATGGATATTTCTAATGACCAATGCCCTGATGCTGTTGCGTGACTTATCTAGATATATCGCCCTTGTCTGGACCCCCAGGCTCCTACGTCGCCGGCCATTCTCCGTAGCTACCGTGGTGATGGTCGTTTATTGTATTGTCAAATGTTTAAGGATCATATCCGCCGCATACATCTAAAACACGCCGATGGGATAGAGAAACATGTAGCTACTTGCCTTTTCATCCCAAGTGTAATACACAGCTAGCAAAGTAATTCTCGCGATAGATATCTTAGAATGTAATTCTCCATATATTTTAGTTCATTCCAATGCCGAGTATCCATCTTACAATATAGACACAAGGGATAGGATTTGAATAGCATACGTAAGGCTAAGTGGAAGGTCAAGGAGGGACGAGCCGGGCTAAGAGGTCCAACTCACATGAAATGGTCACATTCTCTAAGTTAGGTTAGCTATTACTCTTTTTATGCAGGCCAAATTACATATACCTGTGCTCAATACCATATTTGCATAGCGTAAATGTAGGCATGTCTTCGTGAAGGGGTAAAGCACCGTGGCAATGTATGACGGCCTCTATCTTGTTCGATTCGGTTCAATTATCGGATAAGCGCCTTATTTAGGTGTAGCGGTGTTAATTACGAGCTATCTTCGTCGATTGTCGCCGCGCGGTCGGTCTCTATCGTAATCTCTACCTTGATCTCTTCGACGACGGTCATCTCGAGGCTTGGGGCGATCATCCCATCGAGAATCATCGTACTGGTTTCTATCACGAGGTCCGTCCCGCATTGGACTTCTACTTCGCCGTTGTGGGGCCCTGTCTCTGCCGCGTCCGGAACCACCATCTCGACGTCGGCCTCGATCGTTACCATCGCGATCCCTATCTCTGTCCGCATCCCTGAAACGATCGGAGTCTCGATTAGACCTGTTATCTTGATCTCTGTCATCTCTCTGTTTTCCGTAACGACCGCGTAGCTCCTCCTCCCCGTGAACCATATTGTAACGGTCCTCGGCGTCATCAGGGTCATCCTCTTCCCTGTATTTCCTCCACTTCTCCAATTCCTTGACACCACCCCATCCGCCGCCGCCGTGCCTGCGTTTTCGTTTCGCATTTTCTCCGCCTCTCCATACCTCGGCTAACTTGCTCACACTCTGACTAAAGTCAACGTGTATCCTTCGGTCATCGATGAGTACCCCCTGCATCTTGAAATAAGCACCCTCGCAGGCAGCCTTGTCCTCGAACTCGATGAAGGCATACTGTAAACTATCGCCGGTCTTCTTATCTCTTATCACTTCGCAAGACAAGATCTTGCCAAAGCGGCTGAAGATAAGTTCGAGGTCGGCATCGGTAGTGACGGGATTGAGTTTGCAGACGAAAAGCACGTTCTCGGGAGGCTTGACTTCGGCAAAGGGGAGATCGCCCATCATTTCTAAGGTTAAAGCCTGGGCGCGGGCCTCCCTCTCTCGCCGGGTCTTCTCGGCTGCTTCCTCATCTACCTCTTCGTCCAGGTTATCATCCTCGCCGATTCGAACTGTGGCGAGCTGCGCCTTAGATGGCTGGGGCGACTGGCTAGGCTCTCGTAGCCCTGACGGATCATCATATGGGTCGTCAAGGATAATGGTGTGTTTTATCCGAATATCGACGAGCGGGTGTCCATCTTTGTCGGTGATCGCAGTGTTGATTTTCTCCAGCGCATCGAACCCCTCGACAACTTTACCAAATATAGCGGATTTTCCATCCAGGTAATCTGTGTTGTCACCCAAGGTGACTACGAATTGGCTTCCAGCGAGACGAACATCGGGATCAGAAGGGTGCGGAGCGGTGGCCATAGAAACGGTACCCCTTTCGAGGTGCCTCAGCTTGGGGTGAAAAGTAGCAGGGAAAGTCTTCTTGGAAGGTCCAGATATGAGGCCCCATATGGAGGAACCGCCATCGGAGGAAGCAGAGGTAGGACCGAGAGGGTCGCCGGTTTGGAAAGAGAAGTTTTGTTGGATTGAATGAACAGGTGAAAAGTTGTAGTATTTGACTTTGCAGAGCTTAAGGAAATTCTCGCATTCCTTCGGCGCGTAATCAACCAACAGGTCGATTACTATGTCGCCGGCGCTCGTCTCAAGTAAGACCGACATGTCGTCGCCACGGCGTCGTGATCGCGACCACGACTACAGATATTCGGGAAGATGTCGTTCTTCTGATCCCATATACGGCACTATTCGAAAATCGGAATAATCGCGGATAGGCACGGATGCGGTATGGATATAAAGAGACTTGAACTTTGAAAATGATATGATGAAATCTAAGATCCTAGACCTAGGTACATTAGGTAAGCTTCTAAACCGTGACGCACTTTAAAGTTCGCGTGTTGATTGGTTCCAAATTCTAGGAACGCTACACAGCCACACGGCCGAGTGTACAGAGTTACATACGATTATGCATGTGGCTCAAGGACACGGATATATGTATGTATTTCGTACCATCATATGCTCCGATTACTTTCATCTCCTTACAATCACGATCACAATACATAAGTTGAATAGCGATTATACATATATTCATAAGGGTCTAATTTATACTTCGAAATCCCAATCTTCCACTTACGGGGATACCTTCGGTCGTATTAAAGCATACGCAAACATGATGCATCTCGGCATCTTTCGACGGTCCTTCGATGCAGCAGAACACTTCCTTTACATCCGTCCATCCATTCTCAACCGAAACAGTAATGGGAAATCCATCACTGTCGCCAGCCCCCAGCTTCAGAATTATCAACCTGATCAGCCGCTAGGTTGGCTGTAAGATGCCTTATAATCCTTCCCGGTACGCCAAACGCCTTTAACAGCAAATAGGTATCGAGTTTCCCATGCCTGACCTAATAAACCCATAACCTATAAACCCCCAAACTCTGATCCGTCCGTCCGTCCATCTAGTTAAGTGGTTTGCTTTTCTTCTCTTCCCTGTTCTTTTCTTTTCCTTTTGTCGTTTCTTCATTCTCGGAATTGCCCAAGCAACGGCCCTCCTTCTCGTCTTTCTTGCGATTTGTTTCCGCCGCCTAGTCGAAACCGCTGTGACTTCGACGTCTCCGGCCGCTGCGCAACTCCCTCTCCGTATCCATCAACCGTGTCTGCACCCACGTTCGCATTTCCCGGTCCTTGCGTACCGTTTCGCAGTTTAGGAGCTCTGTCAGCGCTCGCTTGATGCCTTCGTTCACGTCGAAGAGTTTCTGCTCCCCTGCTGCCATCTCCTCGATCAGCGACTCGTCAAGGACCGGCTCTAGTTGCGTCTGCGAGCATCGGTATCCCGAATTTCTCATCGATGATCTCCGGTGGCTTCGAGGAGGTGACGGAGAGAGCATGGACGGACTTCCGCTGAACGAACGGGTCGGCGAAACCGAAGGCGACGTGACCGCCGTAGAAGACGTGGTATATGAAGGGCAGAGATCGTGCATGTGTTGCCGCAGCTCTTCGTGCTGATTCTGTAGCAGTATGTATTTCTGCATGGCGAAGCCGATGTTGTGGCCCGCAGCCAACTCAGGGCTCATCTCCGACAACTCGTCTGCGTAATGCATCATATTTGGTGTTGTGATAAAACGTATTCAAACCGCGGTATGCGTCTCACGGCGAGCTTCATTGAATTAAAAAAAAAAAAGTATCGAAGTCGACGGGGAGGAAGCAACACTCCAGTTGACCGATCGATCGACCAACGGTAGAATGGCTGGATGACGCCGGGTGTGAGTGGGCGTAGCGGTGGGTTTTCGTTCTCAGAGTGTGCACGAGGAAACACACTTGTTTGCAAAATGCGCTTGTGTCCTGTCGATCCGACGATCACAATCGTAGCGTCGTCCCCTTTTTCACAAGTGCGGCCGACGGGAGAGTTACTTTTAGTAGAAAAAGAAATTCGGAATGATTCCTTCTAGAATACAACGCTCCTTAATGAGGTTGTAGATAGGCTGGGTAAGTAGGGATATAATCGGGCTGGCACGAGTAACTTCCTGTCGGGTTTATTAACCAGGACAGGGGCAAAGGCGACTTTTTTTAATATTTTCCCGGGTTGTTGCAAGTTCCAAGATTTGCAAACTGGGGTACGAGAACACAAAACTTCCGTGTAGATATAAGGAAATGATGTGTGAACTTTTCCAGCAGTCGTCTAGCACAATCGATGTTGGCGCTGTCAGAAATATAGCCGGCGGATTAGGTTTGACGGTCTGGTATGGCATTAATAGGTTGCAGCAGTGGACCCAGGTATTCGTGTCTCTCTCCCTTGGAGAAAAAATAAGTTGGAAGAGACCGGTTTTGTCCAAGTCGGTAGGTGCCGGTTTCGTATCGTGGACTTGTGTGGAGGTGGAGGTGTGGGAGTGGAGGCAAGTAGTAAAGGGGTGTAGAACCCGACGATAGCTGCAAGTTCTAGGACCGGTCTAGAGGAGTTGGTGGAATCCTAAATTCGGAACCGCCAAAAGCCTAAAAAATGAAGAGGATGCAACGCAATGGATTTAGGTATGTATGTATCGACAAGGTACGCGGCGCCTATTATAATAATTTAAGAGGACGAGTAAGAGATCGAGTTGGGAGAAGTGGCGTAAAAATGATGATAACAGGGCAACGTCCAAGTTGGTGCAATGTAACAATTAATTAAACGTGCGAAATTGGTAGGAGGAAGCTAGAGGTTGGGTTGAGGAGCTTCGTCTTTCCCGTTGTTGGACTAGACTCGGCCCTGTTTCGCAACAAGTTCTATTACTACGGTGAAGGTAAATGGTAAAGGGTAAAAGGGTTAAAGCTGGAGTCCCCCCCTTTGCGAAATACAGGGCTTCGGCGGCGTGATTGCTGGCTTTAATTTATTGGGACCTCCAGGGTCGAGGCCGGGCTTCTAAGAGCTTCTGTTTCGGTCCTCGAAGAACAAATGACGGTGTCGATATTTCGAAGCTTGATGTCAATCGTCAACGCGTTTGTTTCCGGTAGGGTAGCTGGGTAAGCACAGCAAGGTAATGTACCTAGGTATGCGGTTTTTGACTTGTCACTTTTCGTAGCTTGTCTTGAGTTTGCTCGAACACTGCGAGATCTTATGTTCGTTTTATTAGCGGATTTGCCGAGGACATATGTAATATATATAATATACTGTATATGGCTATCCCCGGATACAATCGCAATAACTACTAAGAAGATATGGGAATTTCGAAGGGGCAAAACAAAAATTCGATTCCACCGGTTCACGAATAATAGTATAACACCTGATGATGGTATGTTTAGCTCGGTAGGTATCTGGAGCTGTGTGTGTTTGTCTTCCCGCACAAAGAGCTCCGGTAGGAGCAGGAGATGTGCATATATGTGTGTAACTAATTGATAGCGCGTCAGTTAGAAGGACTGCACGGGGCAGAGGGAGTTCTTTCGTTGGTCGGATCGAGAATTCTTTGGATGTAGTATGTACCTAATCTTTGGAGAAGGTGTGGAGAAGTATATTAGATGTAAGAGAATACATTAAAATACAGAAATGGGGATTGATAGGGGGCCATTCGCACAGTGTAGCTAGGGTTAGAGGTTCCAGTCTTTAAACTGCTGCACCTTGTGTTCCCCCCGAGCCTGCCCAGTCTGCCAGCTAAATCCAATCACGCACGACGTCCCAAGGTTCGTCAATCGGGCAGCACTCGGGAGGTCATCGATAGCTTGATTTTATAGTGGAGATGACGAAACTAACTGACCTCTAACGACCTATTTGACAACTACTACCTACTAGGTACTACTATAACATGTTGAGCAAGAGTATTATCTGCTGTCTACATATTATCAGATTCTAGGAAGTGAAAGTTTAACCATAGGTACTTACTCCACCTAAATGTCTAAAGTGGCTTCAACTTACGAAGGCGATGATGACGATTTTTGGTAAGAATGATAAGCAAATGACGTCGATTGGGACTTCTAAAATTGGTATATCTCGTTTGCTTTCAGACAACACAGTCTACACACTGTCCCAGCTCGACCGGGAAGTAACCGAAGCTGACAGGTACTTCTCCAGAATCTGCCCAACCAGCCAACCTATCACAGCCTAATCCCTATTCGACATCAAGATGGAGTCTAGAACAGCGCACACGATGCCGTTATAGCGATACTATCACGCTACCAAAGTCGGGGCTAGTTTGAAATGCAATGAAAATTATCTAATTGATATCTAATAGATACTGATTAGAGGCCATGTGGTTGAACGTATTTGCAGCCGGGTCGAATAAACACTCGACGTCGTTTTAAAGTCGGCAATCGGGATGGAGCCGTAACCTTTTGTAAGGGTGACGAAGTCCTAAGACATATGTTTCTAGAACCGTCGAGAAGGCTTTGTCGAAACACTCGCGGCAACGCATTAGCCACTAGCAATCCCATCTTCTTATCATATAGATGGAATCCGCATATTAGCGAGTCGAAAATGGGAACGCAACTCTTCTACAGTGGTACCGAGAACAGACATATATGTTTCCTCACGTTCTAGAGCAAGTATTGAATGGCAGCACAGTAACCTGATGTGAGTCGCCTCTTATCGGTAGTTCACCTTCAAGTCTTAGCCCTTACGATACCGGCAGGTTTGCTCCGTACATAAGTAGTGTCGTATAGGAAACATGTCTCCATCACATTATTGCGTCCTTCATAACATCCTATAGTAACTACCTAGGTAATCCGTGTGCATACCCATACTCTAAAGGCGATACCACCTCTCCAGATTCCCTTATCGTGTAGTTCTAGCCCCCGTTCGACTAACGAGAGGCTCCGTAGGCCCGTCAATGTGCTATTTTCACGGAGCCGCAATGCGAATGCACGTATATCGGGGGAGTAAACGGCTCAATCGGCATCGATGGAGCAATAGAACGACGGAGCATTAGCTCTAGTGCATAGATTAACAGGACTACAGCAGCCAAAGGAACAAGCCACTATCATATGCGCCATCTCACTTAGCTATATTTGAATCATGTAGCTAACATGACATAGTTATGTACCTACATTCCATTCACCAGGCAGGGGTTGTGTACCAAGAGAATGGAAGCTCGGCAGTACCTGCAGAACACTTTACCGACGTCGATCCAAGTACATACATATGAAGTGGTCATTAATTTTCCGAAAGAAGCAGGTTATTTTGTGTATGGTTGTTACCCAACTGAGCAGACTTACTGTAAGTGTATATATGATAAGCCAGATGACGACAATACTAGGTATCACTTAAACGACGAGGACAGTTATTTGGTATAGCAGTATAGGTACAAACCATAGGGACGAAACCAGGATACTCCAGTATTACCCCAGATGTTCTAGATGTTTGCTGGTGGCGCTTGACGTCTATCGTGTACCACGTACATTTTATGACATCGTCATCCGGATTCACTATAGCTCTTCGGAGGTCATGTCCAGGTTCGTACCTGTAAATGTCCGGGATCAACGCCCGGGCGTAGATATCTTGGTTACCGGACATCCTATTCCGCCAGCTTCGCCAATGATCGGATGGATCGAGCGCGCTGTGTAAGGCTGTAATTTCAACTTTATTCCCGAGCCTCCTATCCTATCTATTTACTACAGGAAACAACTCCAATCGTGGCACATGACGTAGGTAGGTAGCTCAGCCGCAAAGGTACTAAGGCTGACTTGAGAACTTGCTTTGAAGACGATCAAGTGTGTAGGTACACTAGGGCCAGGCACACCGCAGTTTGAATCTGTGTAAAATACTAAAGTGCAATTCATTACTATTGTGCGGGTTTCGGAATTAATAGATTTACTGAATACCTAGGTACCTCCCATAGAATCGGACATAAGTGTTTTCTTATTGTCTTTGAAGCATTACGAGGCCAAATGATGTTCCTATCCACTAACCCTTTATTGAGCAATGGATAGAAGAAACGTCTGTGTTTGTAATTTTAAGTCATATTTTATGTCATGTTTAGGGCGCAGAACTATGGCGCGGATCTACCTAACAATGTCGCTGCAGAGCTACCCCGCAACAGGTAAATAAATATCGTGATCGTTGTTCCAATCAAGCCGAGAGGTTTTCTTAAAAACAACCATAGGAGTGGTCCATATTGTAGCCGAGAGACTCTGCACTACTCAATTATCAACCATGATCACTCAACTCCCATCCAAAATCCTTATCATCGGGGCGACGGGCGGTATTGGCAAGTATATCACCAATGCTATAGTCTCGGCCGAGCCCCGTATCGGCCGGCAGATCTCTATCTTTACATCGCAAGCTACGGCAACTAGCCCCGCTAAGCAAGATCTATTGTTTTCGTGGAAGTCTAAAGGGGCGTCGATCATCACAGGTGATCTGAACAACTCTGATGATATCAAAAAGGCCTACAGCGGCGTCGACACGGTTATTTCGTGTTTAGGAAGAAATGTGCTAGCCAGCCAGATTGAGCTGCTTAAACTTGCGGAAGAGAGCAATGACGTGCAGTGGTTCTTCCCTAGCGAGTACGGTACGGACATCGAATACGACGCCTCAAGCAAGGATGAGAAGCCGCACCAGACAAAGCTCAGGGTACGGGAGTTCATTCGTGAGCACGTGAAGAGGGTCAAATGCACCTATGTCGTTACCGGACCATACCTCGACATGTACTTGACGTTGATACCGACAGGCGAGGATGCCGGAGGCTACGACGTAAAATCGAAGAGGGCAGTAATCGTTGGAAGTGGTGATGAAAAGGTTGGACTCACCACCATGCCAGAGTAAGTCTTCACTACCTTACCACCTTACTACCCATATGTTCGTGCAATCATTCAATTGACATCACATAGCGTTGGTAAGCTAGTGGTTGCAGCTCTACGGCATCCCGATGCGTCGATGGGAAAAGTCCTCAAAGTTCAATCGTTGGTCACAACTCCAAACGCGATCTTGGAAGAGTTTGAGAGACAGACAGGGACGAAGTGGACAGTCGACCATACGACAAACGAGAAGCTCCGCGAGGTGGAGAAGGAGAAGTGGGATGCCAACAACCCGTTGGCGGCGCTATACACGTTGAGGCGCATCTGGGCAGAAGGTGGCACTCTGTATGAGAAGACCGACAACGAGATAATAGGTCTCACACCGGGAGACATGGAACCCCTGAGCGCTGTCGTAAAGAGGGCTGTCAATGGGGAAGGATACTAGGGGTAGTTTGTCTTCTACGACATACCATAGTACCCATAACATCCATAGCACCCATAGCATCCAAAGCGGACTATGGCCAAGAGAGTTGAGTTCCCATGATGAGATAGTATGATGTTACGGGGATATGAATACTTGTGCTAGAGTGAATCATGCATCTATGTGGTGTAATGCTGGTAACCCATGGATGTCTGTGTACCCCACTAAAAAGATAATTGGGTCTATCGATAACAAGTCAGCAAGTGCTCTTGCAAAAAAATTTACGATCGGGGAAGCTTCGATTTGATGCCGACGATTGTTAATTTTTCCCTGACTCTTAGTTTCCGAACCAATTGATCACTACAAGAAACATAAATCAATTGCGAATTCGGTACTTACTTAGTCTAGTTCGCCTCGTACGAAATGGCGGACGAACAAGCGTCGACAGCGGCGCTAGCTTCTGAAAAGAAGCACAAGTCTCATAAGAAACACAAGCGACACCTCGAAAATGATGGTACCGAGAGTAGCGAGCGAAAACACAAGAAGTCGAAGAGTAGCGCCCATGTGCCTGTCATAGAACCAGAAGTCCCAACTCGGATAGAACCCAAAGCGTCAGAAGTAGTCGAGACGGATGGCGCCGACAAAAAGACGGAGAAGAAAAAGCGACGGAAACATAAGAGCCATGCGACAGATAACGCTGACGAAGACCAGCCGGCACCAACGTCAGCGCAAGATGGCGCAACAGATGTGGACACAGCAAAGAAGGAGAAAAAGAAGTCAAAGTCAAAGGATCATAAGAGAAAACACGAGAAGGCTGAAGTTACTGAGACGATCATACCCTACAGTCAGGGAGATGTCCCCGACCCCGAAGCCATGGACATTGATTCGGCGCCAGCTGAGAATGATATCTTCGGCCCTGATGAGTTTGGGCAGAAACCAGCCGACAAGGCATACCCCTTCTTCACCCAGACCGTTTCCCAGTACCTCGCCTTATTCCCATCTGGTCTGATCGAACCGGTAGAAGGTTTCGCAGATCAGCACCTAAGGCCTCTCCTCAAACGATATGTCCCCAGTTTTCGCGGTGTTCTACTAGCATACCGAAACCCTCGCGTTGGAGAGGCGCCTGGCAAAGGATCATTAACCGAAGAAAGCGCACCAGACGACGTCGTGCTGCTCGAGTCTATCAACGAATATGCTGTGAGCTTTGGATGGTTAACAGTCGATGTAGACGTATTCCGTCCGACCCGGGGTGCGTGGATGGAAGGTATAGTGAATCTACAAGGCGAGGGCCATATTGGCGTTGTCTGCTGGGATTTATTTAATGCTTCAATTGAGGCCGGACGACTGCCTCACGGTTGGCATTGGGTCGACCTTCTATCCAAAGGCAAGGAGAAGAGCAAGGACAAGGGTAAGGGCAGGCAAAGCGACAGAGAGAAGACAGCTGAGGAAGCCAAGCTACCTACTCCTGATCCCTTCGACGACCCCAATAACGAGCTCGATAATGACACAACCCAAATACATACTACGGGTTACTGGGTGGACGAGAATGGTACAAAAGTACGCGGAGGAGCTAAGCTTTACTTCCGGATCAAGCATTACGAGGTTGGTGTTAGTGGCGACTACGGTTACTTAAGTATCGAGGGCACTATGTTGAACGAGGAGGAAGAGAAGGCCAAATACACCAAGGAGATGGAGGTCTTAAGGCGGCGTAAGCAAAGACACGGGGGTCTCTTGCGGAAAGAGCAGAAACGCTTGCCCGAGTTTAGCATGACCAAGTTCGGTGCGAACGAAGCTGAAGACAACGAGGCCCAACGTGCTCCCGTGCAATGGGTCGGCAGTCGTCCTGGTAGCGACACGGAATAGGCAAAATCGTAATTCACACGTATATCCATCATTGGGAGTAAGCGGACATTGGCGTCACTGGTTCGGTTGAAGGTTATCAAAAATTACCTGCTACGCATGTCGATAGGAATATGCCAATACGTTCAACATTATCAGGAAGTCGATCTGTGACTAGAGTCTGGTTGATCCTGACGGTTGACTAACAAACATCCATATATGGGTTACTTAATGCACACCTAAGCACTAGTTCCCATTGACATCAATTTTTCGTACGTGGTTTCAGGGGCACTCCTATTTTTTCTTCTTTTTTGCCCCTTCTCATCAGCTGGAGTTATTGGGATATCTCTCGGGATTATGTTCAGCGTTGTACCGAAGATTCGGCCGATAAGGTGAACATTATGCTAGACATATGTAGCATTCTAGCCCTCCTAAACATAGAAGGATATAAGCTGTGCGGCGCTGCAGCTGATGGTACCTTACATACCACGATCCAGGTCCTGCAACAGCTGATCTTACCCTTGAACGGGCACCGGGGTACTAGGCTACTAATACGACCAGCCATTTTGGGTAGCTGTCATCCATCTCACAGGCTGATTGATGACGGTTCGTATCGCTACGAGGAAGCTTTTTGTGACGAGTAAATAAGATGATCAGCAGTTCGGATGCTTACCTAGGTATACGGTGTATAATGCGGCTGCACCCGTACGTTATCCATGCAACTATCACGTTGCGTATAGGAGAGAAGGAAAACTGTTTATCTATAAGTAGACTTGGCCTTGACTTCTGACCTTCGAAGTTCGAGGCAACTATTCACCTAGACCACCAAGTCGACCGAAATCACTCTCATCACGTATCATCAATAGATCACATAGAAAGGAACTTGAAACCCGACCAATATGATGTTCAAGAGTTACACCTTCGTTCTCCTTTCCGCCGCCTTCTCTTTCGCGTCAGCATCAGTCTTGCCGAGGGCGACGTGCTGGACTGGCGAGATTCACTCACCATGCAACGGCGCCACTACGGGCTGCACTCCGGATGGAATTCTGGTGCGTTCGGTTATGGTCTTCACTTCTTAAACTATCAAGACACAGCTTGCTGACTGATATCCGACATAGGTCAAATGCGAAGCTGATAGCGGCGCGATGATTTACGACTCTATGTGCGGAGGACCGCCGGGCACATGTACCTACGACGCAGCGTGCAACGCGTCCTGCGCCTAGAATACATATTAAGGGGACACTTTGTAAGATGATGTGTTGGGTATCCGAGCTTACTTTATGGTACTATATTGATGGCGTGTACATAAATCCTTCAGCTTTACTTTCTAGTAATATGTATGTGATGAAACTTCGTATTTCTGCGTATATTCGAGATTCCTATAAGAATGAGGTCAGCGCGATGAAACGGCGAAGGACAGCGCATTGCTTAGAACAATCCACTTGTAATGTTATCAGTCAAAGTGCTTAGTCGGATTGTGAATGACATCAAAGAAAGCCTCATAGTACTTACCCACCTAATTGTAGATCTCCGATCATCGTGGGTCCTCTGAATAAATCCGGGGTAAGTACCTAGGTAATTAGCGAGTTGACATGGGAAAAGATGAGTCTTATGAATATTCTAGAAAAGGATCGGATGGAGACACTTTGGACAAGATCAGATTTCATATGCTCCACACGGTGCCAATCGAACTGATCAAGCTGCTACAGATCTATCCATATCTCTTCGAGTTTTCATAATAGAAACCACCATCTCAAACGAGTCCATAGTGCTTGATATTCAGCCAAGTGCTTTATTGGATAAGGGGTAAGGTATGACTATAATAAAATATGCAGGGACCAAGCGAGTTCGGCGGCGTTAACCCATTTGATAATGGATGTTCCATACGCCCTTCACAACGACATTTTAGGATTTACAAACTTAAAAGCCTCGAGAAATCGTGTTGAATGCCTACCTAGTATCTTATTCCATATATAGTAGAAAATATGGCAAGCCGGACCCCTAACCCACTCGGCGCGCCTGTCGGCGGTAAGCCGGCTCAACGTCCGTCCCGGGAGACGAGGTTGGTTGGTCGACACGTTACACTAGTCGGTTTGACGAGTGCGCAACATGCAGACGAGCTCTACCCGCATGTATCAGGGCCGAAGAATGCGCATCTCTGGGATTACTTGCTCGAAGAGCCGTTCGATGACATTGCCGTATTCCGAGCTAGTATTGAAGCCAAAGAGGCCAGTCGAGATCCCGTATTTTACGCCATCTTATTGAATGATGGGGAAAAGGACGAGGTCGCCGGCATGGCTAGTTACATGCGAATCGAACCCGGCCACCGCTGTATCGAAGTCGGCAGCTTATTATTCTTGCCGAAATTACAGCGCACGCCGGCTGCCACCGAAGCCATGGTATGTAACATTAACCCCTTGCTTTAAATCATTACTGACCTTCTGTGTAGTATCTGATGGCACGACATGTATTCGAAGACCTGGGCTACCGAAGATACGAGTGGAAGTGTAATGCGCTTAACGCCCCGAGCCGGAGAGCAGCTTTGCGTCTTGGGTTCACGTTTGAAGGTCTCTTTAGAAAACACATGATTATCAAGGGACGTAGTAGAGATACCACCTGGTTTTCAATGATTGATGATGATTGGCCCGGTATCAAGCAAGCTTTGGAAGCTTGGTTAGACCCTTCGAACTTCGATGACGAGGGCAAGCAGAAGAGGAGGCTAGAAGAGTTCAGGCAATGATAAACAGAGATGAAAAATAAGGCGGTAGACCTGGATTATAGAAAGAGTAAATGAAACTTATAAGAAGTCCAGAAGTCACGACAGATTGGGTTTTTGCAAAGTTGCTTAAAGGTAGGTACGTATTAAAATGGCTTGTTTGTGGCAGATCATTCAATGTGGCGCACAGAATCAGCTGATCACAGCTGGTGTGAAAGCCATCTGCAAAGCTCAACTTCCCTCGTTGGCGTTTGCCAAAGGGCAGTAAGAGAGAAATTTCATCATAATCAATCCCGTGGTCCCCTTCACTTGCCTAATGCGCATCAGCTAGGTAGGCAACCAAAGCAAGCCCAAAGTCGGACCTGAGTCCTTTGATGGCAACTATATACTAGCTAGTATATTACCGGCCGTGCAACAATAAGGGCCTCGAAAGAAAATGTTGCGCTCCCTGCTGAAAAGAGTCTCGCTTCCAGGACGTCGTACTCCGCTCGGGGCCGGCCCGCTAAATCGCAGATTCGGGTCGTCGTACATTCCGGGAGCAGAGCTACCCAAGGTTCCGGTTCTCAGGCCGACAATATGGGCTATCGCCGCTACGGCTACTATCTACATCGGGTGCGCTACGTACAGTGTCTACCGGGAAGTCCGGGTCGTCAAGCAGAGAGGGGACTACGAGGAATATGTGATTAATTCGTACGACGACTTGGAATACGTCAGGAGGCGCGGGGATAGCTCCCATCGCATCCCGTCCCGCCGGCAGACTACGGCGGCGAAGTGGTATCCGACGGAGCAGCTCTGGACCATTTTCAAGGGACGCACGGACGCAGATATAATGCTCCTATGCGCTGCGGCCCTCAACCTCAGCCTTTTCGGAATTAGCCCTCTTGCTCCCGGATCCGTGGCTCCGTATCTGAAGCACATACCTGTCTCCAGCCCCAATAAAACGCTCCTGACCTCTGCCTTTGGACACAGCGGCGCTATTCACACCACGCTTAGTACGGTTGTGTTGCTCCAGCTCGCTTCTAAGACCACGCGCTCTCGTGTATTCGAGGGAAACGGTAGCCACTTCGCCGCTTTTTATCTTTCGACCGGCATCTTTACATCGCTGGGGCATCAGCTCGCAACTTTACTGCCGACGCGGAAGTATCGATTCTTCCGTTTAACGCCGGCAAGGGGGGCAAGTGGCGTAATCTGCGCTTGTAAGTTATATTTGCAGTAATTCTCTGTTCATAATTCCGGTTTGGTGGCTCGAATTTTGTTGTTCGTCTATGAAATTTATAGTTACTCCCAAGGTCTTCATCGTCACTGACTCTTTGTGTAGTTCTGGGAGCTTGGGCTACAATGAACCCCAATATGAGACTCAGTTTCTTATTTCTACCTGGATATTCTTTTCATGTCCAGGACTTTCTGGCTTTTATGGTGATACTAGAGACGTACGGGCTTTTTATCGGGTTACCATATAAATCCATGCCACACGCGGCACATCTGAGCGGGCTAGCAATTGGGTCAGCGTATACTTACTTCGACGGGAAGAAAAACGTGTGGCATCCTACCTGCCAATCCGCCTTTCTATTGATGAAGCGCTTGAAAATGATATGACGGGGAGAAGAAGAGGTGAATAGCACAGGAGCTCTATGGGACAATGAACAGTCGAGATTACACTTATAGAGAAGCTATTTGGTTGGTATGTTTTCTGGGTACCCTCCTTAGAATTGTATGATTAATGATTTCCATGGGTGAAGTTGAATGCTGTATACTAGGTAATGCCATTCAGTGTCAGCAATATATTTACTATAACGAATATCGAATTAGGAGAGGAGCATTACTAAAGTGAATATTTGATAAAGCAATCGTTCATTTGGCGGCAGCTGCCCGCACTGAGGTCATGATTCTATAGTGGGGCACCCGGAGCGGATAATCCACTTTACCGCATGGTTTCGACCAGTCGGATTGAGGCATTTCTTGATTAGCGAAGCGGCAAAAAAGTAGGTCGAGGTTTAACGAGAATCCGCCATCCGCCCTCCGTCCTAAATCCCGTCAGTCCGCGTAGATGCACCCGATCGATTGATATCATCGACCTCCGACGGACCTACATCGCCTCTTTCTCGTCCAGAGAACCTCTCCACTCAACCTCCAAGTTCCCTCATATACCAAATATTCGTCGATAGCATCAATTGAGCATCGAAGCGATGCTGTCTTCCTCGAGAAGAGCAGCCACCTTGGCTTTGAGAGGTTTGTTCTCCTCTTCTCCGATATCTTCACCCCTGTATACATCTATATATCACCTATCTAGGTAGATACGTATAGAGATATACCTAAATACGCATACTAACTCTCATCCACAGCCAAGCCGACACCCCGTACTCTCGTCCCTTTCCAATCCATCGCCAACATCTCGACCACCTCCAAGAATGATGCCACGTCAGTGACGCCTCACAGCTCCACCGGCCTCGCGCAACGCCAGCGCAAAGAAGTGCCGCTTCTCAGCCAAGAACCCAAGAAGGGCGTCATGCAATATGCCCTGTACGTCATATTCGCCTCCCATCCTCTTATCTACCTATCCGCACATATGAAATATATAACAATGCGCAAAAAGATCTAACATACCATGCTCCTCCTTAGGACGACGCTCGACCAGATCGCCAACTGGGCGCGACAGTCGTCGCTATGGCCCATGACGTTCGGGCTGGCGTGCTGCGCCATCGAGATGATGCACCTGTCCACGCCGCGGTACGACCAAGACCGCCTGGGGATCATCTTCCGGGCGTCGCCGCGGCAGTCGGACGTGATGATCGTGGCGGGCACGCTGACGAACAAGATGGCGCCGGCGCTGCGGCAGGTGTACGACCAGATGCCGGACCCGCGCTGGGTCATCAGCATGGGCAGCTGCGCCAACGGCGGCGGCTACTACCACTACAGCTACAGCGTCGTCCGCGGCTGCGACCGCATCGTCCCCGTCGACGTCTACGTCCCCGGATGCCCGCCCACCAGCGAAGCCCTCATGTACGGCATCTTCCAGCTCCAGCGCAAGATGCGGAACACCCGGATCACGCGCATGTGGTACAGGAGGTAGAGAAAGGGGCTGGACGAGGAGAAGGGGAAGGGGGGGAAGTGGGAAAATAGAGAAGAGGGAACCTTTGGACTGGTCCGGTGCGGCGGAAGATTACTCTTTCTCTCTTGCCGGGCGTAATGATGTATATAAGATACCGGGGCTGCATTTAAACATACCTATGATTCACAACGAGAGTACTGTCTTATGAGTAATTGGGACCTGTCTGACTTGGCTCCTTTTAGGACTATCAGATGCTATCTCCAGCTAGGAGCGTAAGGTATTTGTCATATTTCGATGCCTTTTCTTGGCAGAGGAGCAAGAGGCAGATATCGGAATATTATCCGCATTTGTTGACATATGCTTCCAAAACAGAGAGTAAATCGATGAAGATACGATTTATCAAGATATTCGGCCTCAGTAGACTAATTGCCGGGGTATATCCGGCCTATTACCTCGTTAGGTTGACTAGGCCTGAGATCTACAACTTGATTTCTTGATTTCCTGATTTCACCTCGTCATGGCCAACTTGTTAATTTGTATAATTTCATTTTCAACTCTCATTTTCTCTTCATTGAGAGATCCAAATCGCATCGAGTTATTGAACAATGAGTAGCGATACCCCCTTGCTCAGTAAGTCTACCCCTATTCGAGGACGGCGATGATGTAAGAGGTTTCTCTTCTGAGCCGGAGACGGAGCATCCGTAAATATCAGAAGAATGAGAAGGATAAAAAAAATGGAGTTGGGATTGTAGAAAGGTATTCTTATAAACTAACTTTATGTATAGGTCAAGATGCTGGTGATCCTTACTACGAGGACGAGCAACGAGCATTCGCGGAGAGGTGGAAGTCCGGCTACCACCGGGTCCAGACGGCGATATCTCGCTTCACCAACTCTCGCACGAAGCACTGGATCCTGCTAGTCCTCATCATCCTTGACGTTGCCGGGATCTTGAGCGACATCTTCATCGCCCTCATCACGTGCGAGATAGGCGTCGAAGACGACGAATGGGTAGCTCCGACGAGGAATGCTCTAGCCACCTTCTCGTTGGTCATGAGCTGCGTCTTCCTCGCGGAACTGGGCTTATCCGTCTTCGCCGACGGCTGGGGGTGAGTTTCTTTGAGTTCGGCCCGACGCGTTCCCAAACTAGCATGATCGCGCTTATTTGCTTACCTACTTACTCTACGACAGGTACTTCCGGAGCTGGTTTCACAGGTTCGACGCCTTCGTGGTCGTGGCCGGGCTCGCAGTTGACCTGGTCGAGAATAACACGGCGGAGGAAATCGCTTCGTTGATCGTCATCCTACGTCTGTGGCGTTTCGTCAAGATCGTCGACGAGTTCTCCGTCGAGGCCTCTGAGGAGATGGAGGAGATGCGCAAGCGTATCGAGGACCTGGAGTCGCGTAATGCGGCTTTGGAGGCACAGGTTGCGCAGAGATAGCAGTTAGATAAGGTATTTTCCGCGCGTCGTTTATGGTATGGTTCTGGCGTGCGATTCGGCCGTCGGTGGTGTTGAAGGGGTTAAGGTTATGGCTGGATGTTGGAAACCTTGATGTGTTTGAAGGTTAGTAAGAAATAGTAGCGTGGCATATTGGGTTCTGTCATCCCATCTACTTTAAACCCTACTAACACGAAAGTTGCTTATAGTTGGCCAAGAATAGCTGGAGGTGTTGATTGGATGATGTCTTCAATATTCAGATACCCCTTTTCATCGATTCATCTGAAGTCCCACTCACAACTACCTTTCTGACAACCTGTCAACTGTACACCAGGTGACAACTCACTTCATGCAGTACCGAGGCAAACATAAACGGAGATGATGAAGCTTGATATCTCTGACTCTACAATCCCATCTTTTGGACGAAAGGATTCTCCAAGCACCCAACCACATAATAAGTTCGCTTCACATGATTCACCTGGGCAACAATAAGTGGCAAAAGAGTTCTTCGCTCACTCTACTCTAAACTGCCCGTCTGAACTTTCATGCCACCTGATGATTATGCTTACATTTACCTACCGCTGTCACATTGTCACAAGAACTCTACTTCAATCTAAAACTCCTAATATGGTAAGTCGTCCCAAAAATGACTAAACATTCACAGGATTTTGAGCTTTCATAAAGACTCTTTAAGCCACCATACGGACGGTCATGCATCAGTGAACTATCCTCTCTTATACGCGTCAACGCTAGACGTCCTTGCCTCTTTCCCAGATTATTTGAGCCCAAGAAGGGCTACTTCTAATTCTATTGTACGTAGGCTTGATTTTTCTTCTTTTCCCTTACTCCTTTATTTGTATGGCCTTGGTTGATCATCCGCTCTTTCACTATTCTTACTAGACAGACATACCTACTCTCATTTTCGCACATAACATATTTTAAACACCATGAGATCTATCATACTCCAAGGAGTCGCATTTCTGGCCGCTGTCGCCTCTGTAAATGCCGACACAACAACTTCAACCTCAACTTCTTCCACCGCAACAGCATCCGCCACTTCTGTCACCGCCGCAACGACAACCACAGGCTGCGCCGCTCAAAATATCGTCGACACCTGTCTCGATACTACCGAGAGCTACGTAAGCCTCTGCGGCACAACGGACTACCAGTGTCTCTGTGACAAGTATGTCGCGATCGTCGTGTACGGCACCCCCCTATTCCAATTTCCGCAAAACCAGCCTTTTCAAAGACAGCACTAACCCTACCGCGACAGATGCTTCAACAACTGTCCCAACGACCCCCGGGCGCTCGGCTACACGCAGCAGAAGGACAATTACTGGTTAGTCACCACCCCCTAATTCTACCTAGTCAGGAGAACCCCATCCGTTGCTAACATGACACAACACGCGCAAAAGCCAAAGCGCCAGCCTCTACGCCACCACCTCCGGAAACCTCACCATGAGCCGGACCGCCGCGCCGACCTCTGTCTCGGCCGCCACGACGTCCACCAACGTCGTGATAAAATCCATGGACGTGTCCGCCACCCCGGGGGCCACCGAGAGCGGGAATGACGCCCAGGAACGCATCACCCGCGTCGGGGGCATGCTCGCGGGCGTTGCCGGCTTCGTGGCCGTTTTCCTATGAGCTACGGTCCGCGTGGGGAAGAGAAATAAGGAGTAAGGGGCTTGTTTTTTTTTTATAGGCTGCCGGTGATTTTTGCGTTCGATTGACTTTGGGGTCTATGGATATCCAAGGGACTGGATAGAGAACTAAGATTCCTAATGATTACACCGTAGTATCCGGTTTTAATATTTATATATTAATTGTGTTTGTTACTTCATCTTGTCTAGGTAGTTCCTCCTTAATCCACAGCCAAGCCAATATCACCGTGATACAACAAGCCAACCCCCTCATCCAATCCACGACACCCAAACAAAGCACATCTAAAATATCCCACTTTCACCACCGTCCTCCTAACCCCCTTTCAATCTCCTCAAAAACACCCACCCCCCTCCTCCCCAGCGCCGTCCCCACGCCCACCGCCGCCGCCCCAACACCCCTCATCCGTCGATACCCATCCGCGTCCCCCACGCCGCCCACGCCGATAATCTGCACGTGCCTCGTCTCCGGCGCCTCGTCCAGCGTCTCCCTAAGCGTCTTCACGTTTCCCAGGGCCAGGGGATGCAGCGGCGGGCCCGCCATCCCGCCGATTCCCGTCCCGGCTAACCTCGGCCCTCCCTTTCCCTTCCCTTCCCCCTCTCCTTTCTCGCTCGAACCAGTACCAGTAGCCTCGAGAACCAGGCACGAGCCGAGCGTATTCGTCGCCGTGACAAAGCTAACCGGACACACGCTGCCAGCCCTCGCGGCCGCGCCCCGGAGCGCGCTGACCAACATGGCAAACTGTCCGGCATGCGTATACGGCGGCGTCTTAACGCCCCACGGAATCCTAACACCCTCCCCATCCCCATCCCCGTCCCCCTTCGCCCGCGCCCCCGCGACACCAGCCAGACCCTCCAAATACGTCCCCAGCGCCACGGCGTCGTACGCCGGCGGCGGCGCGCCGGGGATATTAGGACAGCTCAGGTTGACCTCCAGCGCGAGCGGGACGCCTTCCCCGATCCTTTTCTGCGCCTCCGCGACGCGGGCGTAGCACTCCGCCACGTGGTCCGGGGGTCCCGTGACCGAGACCACGAACCCCTTACCACGGGGCCCTTTCTCCCTCGCTATCGTCTCGACGAACCCGAGGTACGCGTCTAGCGGTATGGGGCTGTACCCCATATTATTTAAACTGGCGCTCGCGCTGGCACCGGCGGTCTCGTCCCCTCCCGGCGTCGAGATCCGGCCCGTCGGGGTGTTGGATCCGGGGTCGAAGAACGAGTACTGGTGCGTATCCGGGTCGTGCGGGAAGCCGTTCAGCAGCGCCGTCCGCGTCGTCACCGCGCCGGTGGACGGGCACTCGAACAGGGCCGTTAAGTCTTCCAGCGTAGTCGCCCATGGGTTGGCCGAGTTGAGGAGGGGCGGGTTGATGCTGAGGGCCGGTGGTAGTGACATCGTCGTTTTCACTATGGCTGGTATCATTCGGCGCTTATCAAGGAATATATCTAGGTGGGTATATATCTATTCAAGCTATCTAACCAACGTACAAAAGTATTAATAATTAAGATGAAATGCCTACATGTATCGAGGTTGAAGATGGTATCAGTTCATAATAGTGGGGTTCACTCAGTTCGAGATAAGGAAGATAAGCTCGTAATTCACCCCTATCTTCTGCCTTCGAAACGTTAAATATTAGACCACAAAGTAAAACTGGCACGTTGTCCAAGTGCCTAGGTAAATGGTAAATAGTAGATTTCAGATATCATCTAAAAGCAAGTTTATATTCTGCCAATAAATTTCCCTGGGAAATTATGTTGTGTAGAGCATTGAACAAAGCCGCACGAACTCCTACCTTGTTAATCAGTTACAGCTATCACCACTTCACCATATTCCCTTAAAGAGGAAGACGGCGAGTGTGTTGTTAATGTAGAATATAGCATTGGTTTCGTTAGAAGCAGCGCTACACACGAAAATCCCATTGCTCCCAGACCCGATTTTAAATCGACGAAGAAAGCGGGCTTTCATAGATCCCGGCGGCGACGTTTCAACCACCACGACGGCCACCAGTGCTCATCAGAGTAATCTTTTGCTTCTGCTTCTTCTTTTTCTTCCCACTATTAGTTCCGGGCCCGCTGCTAGGCCCAGCACCGCCTCCGTCGATATCGAATGCCTCCATCTGCATTGCCAATTCAGCAGCACCTAGGAACTCGTCATCTTTGAGCCATCCGTCGTTAACTTCACGCTCTACGACGGGTGCTAACTCGGGCGAAGCAGGAATAGCCCGTGTTCCCCAAACGGTTTTGGAAGTCGACGGACTTGTCGACATGTCCGCAAGCTGGCTGAATCCTGGCCGAGGATTCGGTGGAGTGGTGCCCTCGACAGAACCGAGCGGCTGGAAGTCCTCGGAATTCATAGTAGGTGTAGGATCAAATTTATCTCCGTTGGTCTGGTCAAAGTGCCTTCGAGCACTACGACCGATAGCCGAGGCTTCTAAGCGTTCCGCGTGCAATCTTTCGCGCTCTTCCTGCGCTGCTTTGTCCCGGTGTACCTTACGCCGGCGCTCTAGGTCACCCGAAAATGTGTCTAGGATATCCGATGGGACTATGTCCGTCCAGTCGCATTCTAGGAAGCTCACAACGCAGCCGTGAGGGAGGTGTCCTAGATACTTAGCTCGCTTCCTTAAGGCGTCATCCACCACGTGGCCAGTAGAAATGTGCTCGACACGTGGAAGTAACGTTGACGGGAAGTTGGAGAAATCGCCAAATTTAGTCTTCAGAATGCGGATGTCGAGTGGCGACAGATAAAGGTGCGGAGGCGCCGAGTAGAAATGAAATTGCTGCTTGGCCGGCTGCTTTGCCTTTATAGCGCTGGCTGACGGTGCTACTACCTCCTCCTCTTGAGGGTTTCGGATCTTGTCCTTCGCGGTGATAATAGCTCTGATAGCTCGCTGTGTCCAATCTCCTTCCTCTACTCCAAAATATTTCTCATCATCCTGCGCCTGTCGCCGCAAGTTATTTATCTCCTCGTTATATTGTTCTATTACGTACTCATTAGTCCCTTTCATGATTCTAGCATAATCCAGGACGTTTGCTGCAAAGTGCCATGGCACGTCCTCGCCCATGTTGACGATATCCGGACCCCCTTCATTTGGTAAGGCCAAAGTGGAGCCTGCGTCTCGAACCATCAACCTCAATACGACATCTTCTCCTGGCCTTGGTAAGGCGCACTCCTGGCCAGCATAAAAACGAACGGGTTTGACTTCGGAAAGTCGGAAGGAATCTTCGCATATGGGGCACTTTTTCCATCGCGCCTCCTTTCGCGGGCTCGGTTCATCGTCGTTCGTCGAGTTCATGAATCGTAGTAAGCACGGTAAGCAGAATATGTGGCCACAGCGCGCCATACGAGGAGCCACGGGATCTTCGAGACATATAGGACAAGAGGTAGATTGCGATACGGTCGAGGCTATAACCTGGAGTACATCGGACCATTCCAGATACTTATCAGCGTCTGCAGCTTGTAAAGAGTAGTCTCCGGTAGGCGAAACCACGAAGCGATAGTTCGCATGGACAAATCTGAGCTTTTTATTAGCATAGGTTGACGACGACTCAACAGGTGGAATAAACGCACCGTGCCTTGTCCACGGAGTGGTACCCAGAACCAGGTCCCCAGGTAGGATGTCTGCGACTCGATCTAGAGTGGTGGTGGTGGTCATGGTGATAGCGCATTGGAGAGGAGAAATCTAGAAGATGAGTAATGGAGGTTTGCCCTCGACGGCTTGAGGCGTTTCGTAGAGCGCTCTATTTAGATAGTTCAGCGAGATAATTTCTGGGTCTACTTGGAAGTCAGGGCCAGCTTACGAGCTCAGCCATGGCGTCATCCTCATCCGGGGGCGCGATGTCTCTCAATGGTCTTCTTTGATTCCGGTGCTGCTTCCTCGACCCTTGTCCCTTCCTCGGAGCTGAATTTGAGAACGACGGGCTCGACAGACCGGAACGACGAGAATTGGATTCGAAGTTGGGTGCAGGGACGGAGATGGGTTGCGAATTTATGGCGTGGGATGCTGGAGATGATAGGGATTTCCCTCCCAGATTGGTCGAGCCAGAGCTCATTGTGAAAACGACTGTCAAGGCCAGCCGTAGTTGGTCGATGAGTCGGATGACAACAGACGAAGCTGAAAGCCAACGTCTGACGACGTCATAAAGCCTTGGTTATTCCGCCAGTGCCAGTAAGAAATGAATGAGTGCGATAAGTATTTGGTCTACTGGCAAGATTATAAAGATTCGCTCGTCAATGATGAATGATTCGATTGGTAAGTCAGGGAGTCGGCTGCAATTCGAGGGGTCCAGAATGGACGGACCCCGGAAGTTTGAAGAGAGGAAGAAGCGGAAGAGTCACACGGCGGGGCGAAAAGCTAGGTGATGATTTGATGTCACTACAACGTGGAACTACGGCGTCGCCACCTGCTGCCAGGTGCGTTTGGCCCACTTTAATAGAGTAACAAAGCAGGCGCAGATACCCAAGGTAGGTACTTGGACACCTACACAATGTACCTAATATGTACTGCCAAACTAGCATCACACCTTCCATCATATATCACTCTCAAGAATATATAAAATTTCGATACTAGACCTTAGGTAGGTACTTGTCACAATTGTAGTTTGCTATATCCTATCTTTTAGCAACTAGTAGTACCTAGCTATACTAGTACTCTGAGTCATTTCATCTCAAGACCACATACGGTACGCTTTGGACACAATATAAAGGGCGTGCTGAGATGATATAGGACAATTAAATGTCAATTATGACAAACTATTGGTCCAAGACATCAGAGAATTATGTAACGCCTTTTTAATCACAGGTACGCATAGAAAGGGGGCTCCTATAGCAGGCTCCAGGAATATTCATCTATTAAGTTTCTTTTCCGCAATTTTCACATTACCACACCGCGGGTCTTTCTGCTTGGAAGACATGCTAGGTTTCCAACAGACGCCTTGTGCCTATACCCCAGCTAGACGTTGCCGCCAGTCCATCGCGAACAACAAACATTCCCTACTCCGTTTCGTAATCCTGGATTCCACCCTTCTCAGGCCACCTAGACACGGTCCGAGACGTCGGATAGTAAGAGACATCAATCATAAAGTAAGGTGAGGGGAGGGAGGTGAGGTGAAGTCAACAGTTCCTTCCAAGCTCGAATGTTGTTCATGAGGACGTAGCAAGAACCACAAGTAAAAAGAAACAGCTAAACCGTAAAAAGACGTCAACCACCCGACACTTACCGTCGAAAGCAATGTCAGGCCTTTTCTTGCAAGCTGATGGCAAGATGGCATTCGTAGGTTGGTGGTTGGGGAATGCCGAGTAAACGGATTTATATGTACAACAAGATGTCTAACAGCGAACAATACCCTGCCAGCACCTATCATGGTGAGTCGACGCAAGATGGGGAATCATGAGCTCCAGAAAAGAAAAAGAAGGAAGAAATCGTACCGAAACGAGTACCCAAAGTGAAGACCAAGCAATCAACGCTTATTTGTTAGAAAGCTTGCTTTTCACCTTGCCGAAGAGGGCACTGAATCGATTCTTCTTCTTTTTCTCGGCCGATGCGGAGCCATCAGTTGCCTTAGCGCTACTCGAGGCAGCAGTCTCAGCAGGGGTGGTTGGCGAACTCGGTTCCGCAGTCTCGGTTGGCTTAACTTCAACAGGCTTAACCGTTTCTTGAGTGCCGTTGGTTCCATTGGTACCGTTCGCGCCGTTAGTGACGGTCGATTCTGAGGCTGCAGGAATCTGGATCTCGGAAGATTCGCCAGCAGCATCCTTCGACTCTGTCGGCTCGCTCTTCGACTCGCTCTTCGGCTGCTCGTCGACGGCTTTCACGGGCTTAACCTCCTTCAGGAGCTCGGTCTCAACGGCCTTCTTGTCCTCGACGGCTTCGGTGTTTGCTGCGGCCTCCGGGGCCTTTCCTGCTTCGGCGATAGATTCCTTCACCTCAGCAGGCACCTCGGGCGACACTTCCTCGCGCGTCTCCTCCTTGGCTGTGCCAGCAATTGCATTTTGGACTGACTCGGGAAGTTGCTCCTTGATCGGGTCGGGCAGGTTGGCAGCTGCTTCAACGACGGACGTTTGTACCGTTGAAGCGGCACCCGTAGCTTTCTCGACAGCAGCGTCCTTGGCAGCAACCGCACCGGCAACCGCAGCGCCACCAACGGCGGTAGCAGCAGCAGCAACAGAAGCAGCAGCCTCGCCGGGACTAACGACCTTCTCCGTCTTCTCGGTACCCTCACCGGCCGTACCTTCAGAAGTGGAAGGTGCTTCCTTCACCTTGTCCAGAAGCTCACCCTCAACGGCAGCCTTATCTTTCACCTCCTCGGGGATAGCGCTAGCTTCGGGCTCGGCATTTGCCTTCTCTTGGCTTTCTTTCACCACATCAGGAACCTTGGTCTCGATAGGTGCGCTAGCAGCTAGTGTGGCAGTCGTAGATTCCGGTGCAGCAGAGGACAAAACAGCAGGGACACCACCTAACGCGCGAATAAGTAAGCGCTGACACATACACAAGGGAGAGTGAAGGGTGAAGAGACTTACCTGGAAGTGAGTCACTCTTCTCGTAGGACTCGGGGTCTAGCTTAACGTTGTCTGTAGGAGCAGCGGCTGCGAGATTCTCAGGGACCTTCTCACCCGGGGCCAATGTGATGGGATTGACAGCGCCTGCGGTAGCCGGCAGGGGGTTCACTGAAAAATCACCACCCTTGTCAGCCTCGGCGGGGTCGGAGGCGGCAGGCGTCTCGGGGAAAGTTCCAGGCAACTCCTCGTCCGTCTTCTTCTCCAGCGGCGCACCAGCGGCCAATGCAGCGGTGGTAGAATCCGGGGCGGCAGAGCTCATGATGGCAGCAGTTGCGGGAGCTTCTGCAACAATACGATCGGGGGTCAGGACGTTATTCTCGTTTCCACTCTCATCCACTTCCTTCGGTACAGTGTGGTCGGTGACCCAGTTACCGTCAACAACAAACTATAAGGGAAAGGTAAATAGTTAGTTTGGTATAAGAATATAATAGGTTGGACAAGACTAAAATCGTGCCTTGCAGTATGTTCTAGAAAAGGGATTCTAGGACAAACAAAAAGAAGGAGAAAATATGTAGGATGAATAAGGCAGTATTTTGTGGGCTGTGGGCATAAGATCGAAGGGGTTGTTGAACAATGACAAGTCCACCTAATGCAGGATGCCGCATGACCCGAAGCACAGCTCAGGGAGCCCAGGGCAACTGGAGCCTCTAGCCTATTTAAATACTAATAGTCTTGCGGTAACTGCATTCAGGGACAAGGTTCCTTTAAGGAAACAAACGCAAGTCAAGACAGGTTAGGACTACTCCAGTCAGACTGGGCTGGGGGCTAGCTGGGGGGCATGACGGTGTTGGGACGCCACGATGCAGCTCGCCTGCTCATGCACTTGCAAGACCCCGAATAGTGACGTTCGAATTTGCTCAGTACCTAGGTCGAGCCATGGCACAAGACCTTCGCAAAGTGCGAGCAAGGTGCGAACAATGAAAAATGATAATGGTTTTAGGGCAGATGGGGGACTTGATGGGAATTTGTTTGTATCCCCACAATCTCCATAAACCCCATGCCAACCCCCCTCATAAGGACCTAGGGCAGCTAGGTAGTGGTAGCTGAGGCCGAATGTGTGATAGTAGTATGCCACTGCCAACACAATTGACCTATCAGAATGGCAGCCCACACCGCTTCGTTGCATTCGTGATCGACTTGCGTCATACGAAGTTCACGGAGTTATGTTTTGCATCTATGGGACACAGGGCGGGGTCCAACGGCTTTGAAGCTCCTTGTGTCCACTTGTCCATCTGTCCAATACATAACAGTCATGTACTGCATATTGTCATGTATCGTGACAGCAGGGAACGAAGCTGAATAAGACTTGGTGACGACGCGCAACAGAGGGAATTGAATGTGTAACTTGACAATTGAATGTCTACCGTCGCACATTCGGTATTATTTTATCCGCTTATGTGAGGTACTGTAGGCATTCATTATTGCGCAAGGCTGCCTGCTAGCTTATGTAGCAGCCTAAGTTATCTTCATCACGAGAGCACCTTGCGCTCTTCCGGGCCCACCTGTTCTGGTAATCGCAGAGGGGAACAAGGGAAGAAAGGGAGGCCCGGATAGATTGGATGATAACAAAATAAACACTGCGAGGAAGGATGCATTGAGGCATTGAGACGAACCTTGTAATAGATCTTCTTGGAAGCATCTTGAAGTGTTACGTTTTTCTCGAAGTGATCATCAACCTTTTCGAGCTTCTCTGTCTTCTTCCAATCATCGAACGTGCCAGTCACGTAGACTTCGGACGCAGGATGTTCCCTATAGCAATGCAAGAACAAATATATCAGCCATGCTTGTTACCAATTCGACTGAGGATGATAGAGTGTGTGATGGACGAAAATAATGTGATCGCGTGAGGTGCCAGCAGAAGCTCAACAACGATGTGTGACGAGAAGGGTCAGATTCTAGTCGCAATTTGAGATGCGCGCAGAACTGAGGTGGAAAAAGGCAAGGTGTCCTGTCAGCAAGATACTTACCATTTGAAGAGAAAGCTACCCATCTTCAACGTTGTATAATATTAAACAATACAGAATTGGAATTGCAATAGGTCGAGAAAGGGATTGGAAGGAGGATTGACGGAATTGATGTTCTGTGTCTCGGTCGCTTCGAGGATGAAGGGAAAAAGAGAAATTCGCGGCGGGAGCTTCTCAAAGTCTTGTCTGGAAGTCTGCGGCTCACAGCGTTGTAAGGGAGCTTGTAGGTACCCAGGTAAACTAATCCAATAAAAGAGGTCCGATCTATCGATCTTTAGCCCTGGAGGTCCTAGCACCTAGCGGTAAAGCGGTAAGACCGTCCCCCAAATCCCCACCCATGCAAGTAGATAACGTCAGGTACCCGATACCTTCATATGTATGTACATGTAGCAATATTGCGCTATCATCATCTCAACCTGCTCAACGCAAATACTGGTAATGAATCTCCAATCTCCAATGAATCTCCAAATTCTATCATGTATCTTTTATGCACCTACCACTATTATTTAGGAATCTGAGTAAGAACAATTGACGAATATACCTAGGTACCTATACTTTATGCTTCATCCAAACCACGGACACAATGCTTAAAGTCAGAATAATTATCAAATACCAAATTTGGTCTGATGTGTCAGATATTGTCAGATATGTACAAGCCTCTTTATTTCCACATCCGGAGCAATTTCCACCTTCGCATTACATCGAAGCCATCCCATGCCAGTATCCGTCATGGAACCATCTACCTATTTCCATTCGCTCATCTACTGTCCGATCACATGTAAGATCCCGTCAACCCGTTATTACTTACCTCCGAATAACGCCGAGCCAAGGAACTGTGCAGCAAGTTGTGCTGTCTCTTCTATTTGTTGAGGTCAGTATGAGTTATCCAAGTCACCAACAGTTAAACTCGACGATTGTGCAGATTGTTCCAACTCGTTGTTATATTCCCTACTACCCATCATGAGAACGCCACCTAACATGACGAACCTAAAATACATTCATTACCCATCGTTAATCGTCCTCAAGCAGTACGGCGACGTAGGCAGTTCCGGGGATAAAGGCAGAAAATAACCGTTTTTCCCCAATGGTCCATGGATATTCGAAAAATGGAGAAATAGAACATGCTCCTCCCCGAACACCCCCAAAGTGCTGGTAGACAAATCCCATGCATCCATATATCCTCTTTTGCTGTTAACGCACCCCCCTTTTTTTGTCTTCCCTTGCAATGCGTTTCTAATGGTACAAGTGTATCTCTGACCCTCCCAACCTGGAGTCTATAGTTAGGCATCCATGACACAGTCGAAAAAGGAATGTAACTAGAAGAAAAACAAGACAGAGAAATGTGATAAATAAGGATAGAGAAGAAATAAGAATAAAGATAATATGAGATTGTTGAAGAAGAGAAAGCGAAAAGCGAAAGTAGAGAATCGAAAAAGGTGAAAAAGGAAGGAAGAATATAGAAATACAGGAGAAAGAAAAAAAATATAAGAAAAAACAAGGGGGAAGAAATAAGAAATTACAACCGCCCATCCGCGCCCATTATGTATCCCTTGGGCTCTCCGTCTCCCTTTCCCCCATATTCCCCCTAAATTAGAACCACTTGTGATTGCCGCGTTCCTCGAGGTTCTTCAGCGTCCGAGTAGCGTCGACGAGCAGGCGGTTCTTGCTCCCGACGGCCTCGTCCTCGAGCCTCCTCCTAACCATGCTAACGATCGCCATGGTCTCCTTCCGGCCGCGCACGTTCAGCGCATTTTCCGAGCTTAATTCGGCCACCATCTTGAGCCACCTCACGGCCTCCCGCTCTCCCTTTTCTCCGGAATTAGCATTAGAGTGGTTATTGTGGTGTTGGTGTTGGTGCTGGTGTTGGTGGTAAGAGGAGGCGAGGTCAGAGCCGGCGTTGGTGCTACCTCTGGCCATCGCGCGTTGTCCGAGCGCCCAGCAGATGAGCGCGCACACGTACATCCCCCAATAGTCCGAGATGTCCAACATGTGCCAACTCCCGTCCCGGCCCTCCTCTTCCTCGAGATTCGAAATGACGGTTGCGTTCAGTACATTGTGATTGCTGCAGTCAACGAAGGCCAGGAGTGCCTTGGCCGCAAACCGGACGGCGACACCGGCGTGGAGGGTGTTGCACCAGTGTTGGAGGCGCCTCTTGTGCTGTTGAAAGACTTGAGAGGTCGCCACCTTCTTCGTGAAGAGCCAGGTTTCGCCGCTGACTGCGAGCAGGTCGTGGAGAGGCGTAAAATGCAAGGCCAAATAGGTGTTCCCAACGGAAGATCCCGGAAATAGCCTGGTGATTCGCTCGGTAGAAGTCTCGTCTACTTCTGCTTTGAGGTCCAATATGGAAGGGCTAGGTCTTTTGGGTAGCCGGAGCGCTTCCGAAGCTAAAAATACAGTTTGGTCAAGGTATGGCGCGTCAGCTACTTGTTCCGCAGTAGTCTCGCCAGATAGGTTGGTTGGTTCGGTGTTGGTGGACCACGACTCGAGGAGAACTTCCCACGATTCCGACGATTGGGCGGCCCAGAGGTCTTCGGTTGGTCTAATTAGGGGGATAGAGGGTGTCGTCGACATAGGAAATGGTTTCATTAGGTGTTGCTGATAATACACGGATGCATGGACATCCAAAACAAAACAAGCGGCCAAGAGTCTCCGTCGTGACTCGTTACTAATCCATTCGTTCCATCGGTCATGTCGCGTTGAGGCTGAAAAAAGTAAACCGTCCGGCATTTGGTGATCGGCCATCTGTAAGGAAGAAGACGTTGAGTATGGATACCATTGGCCAACAGGAGAAGATAGGAAATTACTAAAGAGATGATCCTGAAAAGTAGAGTATATGAGAGAGCCAACAAAAGTAGGAGCAATATGAGAAGATTGAGAACTTACCCGAGAGTATAATGACTGGAAGGGCTCCGACGAGCTTCTCGATACACTTCGTCCGCGGAACCGCGAGTAGAGCTCGCAAAGGAGGATCGCTTGCATGACTTGGAGGTTCCATTGCGTACACTACGTCTGTTCATTTAGCGGCCTGTTTTTTTCTTTTTTTTCACGGGAGAGATCGCCAGGCTAGTTTTGACTTACGGTCTTGACCTCCTTCCAAGCAAATTCATGCAATTCGTTGCCTCGGATACGATCCTCCTTGCTCTGAAGAAACTGCGTACCAACGGCGGCCATGGCGCAGCGCAGGACCTCGTCAGCAGCAGTTTTAGCGCTCTTGCGGTGGACTAATGGAAAGAGAGGGTCGAAGCGCTTCCAGTACAGGTCGATGTATCTCGGGATGGCATTCCGGACGTGCGGTGACAGGTTATTGGCGGTTAGAAAGGTTGTGCCCCCGAGTGGTCCCAGGAGCTGTGTTCCCTTCTGCCGACCCGTCGAGGCAGCGCCGGGAATGGATGGGGCTGCAAGGGTGACTAGATTTTCAGCCGGTTGAGCGGACAGTGAGATGGTCGGTGGGGTCGGACTACGAACTGAAGAGTAGGGGTTGTATTGGTGCGGGTTCTCGACGAAAGATGGATCGTCTGAGAACGATAGCGGCATCATTGATTGATCGAGCGCTGGCGCCGTCGGGGAGAAGGGTGTCCCAAAGAAAGGTGCCGTGGTGGCGATATCAATCCCACCACCAGGGCTGTGTATGCTATGAGAGGTTCCAGAGTAGAGGCCAGTGCCAGGCCAGTCCGATGTTGGCGACTCGTACCCCCGCGGCATGTTATTTCGCCTGTGGCTAATTTCCGAGGGGGTGGAGTAGTTGCTCTCCGAAGCAGATGACGGCCAAGGAGAGCCGTCGTGACCATGGTGGACAAGACCTGGAGGCATACTGTTGTCAGGTATTGTCAAGCTAGGCAAATTCTGGGACAAGCCCGTTGTGGTGTCCATGTAGATGGGGAATGGAGATGAGGTGCGAGGTGTGAAGCCTATCTCGAAAGGAGTACCTGTGACTGGAGATCCCCCGATACTCGGGGGCGGGTTACTGATAATAGAAGACAACACATAACTATGACCTCCAGAAGGGGGATTGGAGGTTTGGTAACTCTCACCCCGACTTGTATGCTGGCCACTGCCGCTACCTTGGTTGCTCATAGACTGGTATGGAGATAGGCTAGTCGTGTAGGCCGCGCCCGACGACATATCGGACGGGTCAGCCATTGCCTGTCGAGCGCCAGAGACGCCACCCATCGACGAAGAGCCATGGGTCATGTAGCTCATCCCAGGTGGCCCTTCTGCAGACGTCGGTCGGCTAGCATCTTCGCCCGTACCCCTTGACGCCTTATCATCTTGGTCGCTACTAATATGTCAGTTTAGGGACGTTGTCCTAACGCGATAGCCTACTCACTGTCTCTGTGCGTGACGCGCAAGCAAGTCAGCTCTGTGAAAAGCCTTGTCGCAGTTAGGGAATGTGCACGGATATCTAGGATTCCCATGACTCAGTTGGTGGCGCCTACGAATCAATGTTTAGTATTGTGTGCTGCGAAGGTCTCTCACTGGGATGCTTCACCTAAGGTGTTCTGCCCTCGTAAATGTCTACTCGCCGTTGAAATCAGCGTCCATAACGTCCAGAGCAGATCTGGAATAGCCAATTACTCACCTTAGGTGGTTTACATATATCGCATGTATGAACCGGTACACCCTTCTTCGCTCTGCTAACACGCCTGGTAATAGGGGTCAACTTGACCGGGAGGCTCCCTTCCCCTGGAGCGTTACCCATTGGTCTCGATGGCATAGACGGCGGCATACCTCCTCCGGATGACGAGCTTTGGGCGTGGCCTCCGTATCCACCGGGATCCATCGACTCAGAACTAGTAGTGCTCCGCCTACTCACGGACGCCGGTCGTGCTGACGAGGTTGACGGGGACGACGCGGTAGCTGTAGATTTGGATGAACGTCCTGAAGGGCCGTGCCGTCTAGTTGGGGCTGGAGTTAGTCTATCGTCTTGATCTTTTGGCTTTGCATGGCTCGACGTTGCCGCACGGGAAGGATCTTGACTTTTAGATGGCCCGGGTTGAATGGAGCCGTCCTCGTTCTTATCTATCTGGGTAGAGTCCTCTTCATGGGACATGTCGGACATGTCCATTATAAACTCTAAACTAGTCATGGTGTGCAGCAGAGAGGCTCAAATTGGAAACACACAGCCCTGTAGATTTGGATAAATAAAGAGTATAATGATAGAAATAGTCACAGAAGGGTAAGCCTGGAGATGGGGAGGGGTGGATCTGTAAAGAAAGGGCAAGGCTAGATAGACCTCAGCCTTCTAACTGGTAGTAGTGTTCAGACTGGTTCGAGATGTGTCTGGTGAATAGCATATCTCCGTATGTGATGAAACGGAAAATGCCAACAGCGAAGCAAAGAGGTAGGCTGAGCTGCATTGCTATATTGAGATACTTTAACGGGCCGAAAGGGCATGAGCAGCAAGCATAATGGAAGACAGATGGTATGGAGAGGGAAAGCGAAGTGGTCAACGAGAGTTGTCGGTCATGGCCAGGCAGGCTGGGTGAGAATCCGTCCGCCTGGCCATGTACCTACCTCCTAGGTACGTAGCTGCAAGTACGTCGTAGTGTAAGGCACCCCTGCCATCAGCTGGGCTGCATGGGTAGGTATGGACGAGGGCGCGCGACATGCAAGGTACTGGTCCTAACGGTGGTGGCTCATTTCGACTATTTACGGGATATCCTCCATGAATAGTACGTATATACGGCAGTATGTACCATGCGCTTCTTGGCCGTCTCTGAATCGCATCTAGATTAAACCGGTTTCTGTTCATTGATAAGTGAAGGAATTAAGGAAATCATTCCGCTATGTAGGTACTTAGGTCTCCATCAGTACAGTATATTGCTGACAATGCATAAGCAATTAGTTTCTAGCAGCGTAACCACTGCTCGTTGTGTAGGCGCGCATGTGTATAGATTTGCACGTGTAGTCTCGAGATACATACATAAGGCGACGTTCCGTACCGTAACCCGATAGACTGGGCCGCGGCAAGGAGTGCCATAATTAGCAGGAGAAGAGACCCCTGGACGTCAGGGCAAAGCAGAGCGTGGCATCGGTAGTACAATACGCACATGCCCTGCACGCACCATCGCAGATTTAGGCTTGGAATGCGAGTATCTGTCATCCAGAAGCCATAGCGAGATGATGCCGACATAGTGCTTTGTGTGGAGAATATTAAACCATCAAACCATTTTTGTGATGAATTTTGCAGTCGACTATTGATGTCTCTGTCAATCAAGCTCTGTGGATTTTGTGTGTAGTTTTCCGGGGAACCGTCCTAGCCCATGGTCGGCTCGAGACGATGGATGACCAATGCCTGCTAGAGCAAGAGTGGAGTACCTATACAGGTCCAATTCCAATCTGACAGACTTATGAGCCAAGGGGGCGCAGCTACATAAGCGTAAAGATGCAAAGGCATTGCATGCGACGCGGTTCGTGAGTAGCACTAGTACCGTACAACACCACACATAAAAAACGGTGTACTAAAAGCCGGCCAGCACCGGCCAGAGTGTGCAGGCGTGTGTGGTATGGCCTGGCTTTACGGTTTAGAGGGAGGGTTTCACGGCAGGCGTTGACACGTTCCTACCATCCACCCTGCTACCGTGGTATGAATTGCGAAGATTATGATACCAGAACGCAGATCTTCACCGGAGGACCCGGCTCCAGAGAGTCGGTTGTGTTCTAATTCGTACGAATGGCCCGCTGCCGTTGGGGAAACAACCGGCGCTTCTGTCGCTTATCCAAGGCGCTCCAGATAGAGGTAGCAATTCTGAAACACGACACAAAAGCGACGATAGCTTACACTACACGGCTGACTGGCAAAACTCGAAAAGGCGATATCTCCGGGGTCACGAGACGTTGAGATAGGGAGAGACAGGCGATCCCGAAAATAAGTGTTGATTATAAACCAGAGATATCAAGGATTCCATGATTTTGAACACCTTCAAAGCTTCCCCGCGGTCTAGCGAATCCATCGGCTTGTTAATGGCACAGGGGGCTCTGTGTTCTGTCCGTTTGAGGCAGATATTCTGGGGAGCAGGTTCAAGACATGCCGTCTTTCTCGGTTTTCAGTATAATACTGTCTTGCTTGTCAAGTTCCCTATGTTACAACCCAAGCTTTGCACGGCCCGCTACCCAGGTGTAAGACTAGGGGTGCATGCGGGACAAAATCCTTCAGGCTGGAGCTCGAGTTCCTATTGGTCCGTGTTTTCCAGCTCGACCCGTGGTAGGCCAGGGTTGAGATGTACTAGTACCGCAAAAGGGGGCTTGGATGGACTCTAGAAAGCCTAATTGGACACAATCGTTCAACCACCCACTTTGCCCTACTGTGAAAATTGATTCTATTAATAACTGCTAGACGTCACTGATATTAAGGAATTAGAACGGGTACTAACACCTGTATCATCGTACCATTCATCAGTGTGGTAGTAAGCCCAGACAACCCAGAACAGAATATAGATGGCCCGGACCAATACAGCACGATGGAGAAAGACCAAATAAACTTATTGAGTAAGCAACAAAGACAAGCTAGGATTGGAGGTCTGTTTCGATATGTTTCATGGTCGCGTGTATTCAGATGTGGCGGCTGTTTCGACGCCATACGCCATCGGCAGTGATCCGAAGAGAATCGTGAAGAGGTGGATGGGGTCCAGAAAAAGCTACGGGAACAGGTGGTCTCTGCTTGTTTCTCGGCTTGTAGGCTTGTATTAAAGGGATGGAGATAAAACAAACGCTGGCCTAGGTGTCTGTCCAGTCGGGGTCCGGATGCGTTTCGTTCCTACCTACATATGATTGCCGAGAGGGATGACCTGCATAGAAGCGTGCGAAGATTTCTTCGACCTATTTCTGCATTCGATAGGCTTAATAAGGCAGAGTAGGGCTAGCGACCACGGGAGAGGTACGTAGAAACTACCTAGTAAAGCAGGATTTGCACATGTAGATATTGGATGGATGTATTGATCAACTAGACACACCCGTCGGCACGTAATAATCTTACACAACAGGGTTCCCACGTTTTTCTACCTTCTCGATGCATGTCGCAGATACAATGTCTTCTATCAGTCTCTTTCCGGAGGCGTGTTACGAAACGACGCCATTAATTTGTAAGACTGCACTTTCCTGGAACCTTCCTCACTCGGCATCTTCGACGTTTGGGTGCGGAGTTTGCGGGATCGGACGACTAGCAAGTGCAGTCGGCATGCAGACATACTTAGCAACATCGATTTGAATAACTTGGACAGCAGTTGCCCGCAGCAAACTGTATAGCCTTGAGGTATGTTTAGAAGTCGCGGAGTAGGTAGCGAACCGTTCTTACCCCGCTTGCTATCGATTATAGATTCTGCACCCAGCCCCTTTTGCATGGTAGGTATAGGAATAGGCACGTGCATGTAAACTACAGCTTTACATACTACATACTACAAATTACAAGAATGTTTGTAAGTTAGCCCTATCCAATATATCCAATGTTTCAACTTTCCAAGGCCTCAGGGAAGTAATAAGTTCAGGTTATGTAACACGAGTTGCCTTACAGTCGTTGCTTAGACAGCGGGCGCTTAAGTGTTATTTTTAGCCGGGCTGCGTTGGTGCATATTGGCGTCTTGATGCGTATTGGCGCACTGGCGTATTATAGCACCTTCATTACCACACACCTACATACCACACACCTACATACCTAACACTCACATATACGTACATACATACACCTACCTACCCTCCACCCTCCACCCTCCTTTACATCATCTCAAATCCGGTCGCCAAAATAGCTCCCGTCCAACAATTTCTGTATGAACCTTTCCATGTCTTGGCTCTGCCGCATTCCGCATCTGGCTCTGAACAGCCACATTTGTGTGAGTGCCCACGACCTAAATGGATCTTCCCTCCTGCAAGACTTCTAATAGCGTCTCAGCTAGCTTTTCTCTTTCTGGAGACAATAAACGCAGCGAGTCCATATGAGGCAGTATGTCTTATTGTCTTATAAGCTGCACAAGCGCGGTGTGCCGTAGAATCCTACATAATCGCGTGGTACTCACTGCCATAACACGAGACATGCATCGACAGGCAATATGACTCGTCAAAAAAACCAAAAAAACGTGCCTCTACTTCCACCTCAACGTCATCTCAATATTCTTTAAAAGTCTCTCTCGACTTTGTCTCGGTCCCGCATTGCCGCGGGATCGCGACACGAGATCTTCAACTTGGGTGATCTTGAGTTATCTGCATGTCTTTGCTCCTGCATTCTAATTCGGTCGTCAGATGCGTATCGCGGCAATTGTGCCAAGCCTATCGTTGGTTGTCGGCTCACCGCGTCGTACCTTGCATCTGCTTCATCGACTATATCGAGTCTGACTTAGCCTCGCCCGACGGGAGGGGGAGAGCACATTTAGACTCTTGCATGCTAACCCACCGTATAGTACCCCTATCAGTCCAATAGCCTTAGAAAATGTTCGTCATGACAACTATCGGCTAGATCGCGGCTGTGCTCAGCATGTTCCAACGTCTTCTATGTTTGCGGAGGATATGCGTTTTTGGAAGTAACGCCTCATAAGAGTTGCAATATCTCAAGAGTCGACTCTATTTCTAGGTCCGAGCATTGGTAGAGACCTTTTTCTCGTCCTATCGTTTCGGTCGTCGTGGCAGTGATCTAGGTCTATACCTGCATATGATCGTCCATCGTCTGATATCTCTAGCCGTTACGGTAGACTTCATCGACAAATATTCTTAGTCTTCCATCCACACCAGTGCAGTGGTACAGGGGCAGAGGGGATATGGATGGAGCTTGTTGGGGGTAAATGCTCTTCGGAATGCCACCTGAAAATCCTTAATGGCTCATAGGGGAAGCCCAGGTAGCGTGGCCCCTGAGTTTCATATACCGCGTCCCGCTTCCAAGACCCCATCCTCATACCACGAGACCGCATATATTACGTTCACATTCTGCATAGGCCCATTAACTAGTAGGAAAGGGTGTTCCTGTACTCCTGAAACGAGCGGGTGCTTCCGTGCAGTGCTGCAGTAATCAGGGACCTGGTATAGCCTCGAGGGGAGCGGGGACTCAGGTAGGTTTAGCACATTCTAGTTCGTATTTTGACCGTATTAATTCTATATCTATATATATAAGGATATACTATTATAAGTTGATTGTTGTTAGTGCTACCTACTGCTAAATGCAATGCAAGTTTCGCCCAGCTAGAACGTGGCCAACGAAAACCAAGTTAATCCAACTGAGGCATGTTCGTGATGAGACCAAGTACGATTCCCAGTCTAGCCTCATATATGTCGATTATCTAAAGGTCTAGGCAGACTCATCATGCACGAGCTAAAATAGGACAAGAAGTTATCTACCTATGCTCCTCTTATTTAGGTGGACTTGCAGCAAAGACAGGCAAGGGGTATTAAGACTACGATCAAGTCCAGCTCCTGCCTTCATCACAGTACCTCTTCATAGAATTAGTGATGTCATAGAAAGGCTCTTATTGTATAATAATTCTTTAAGCTATACAGATTAATATCAATAGCCCCCAGAAAAGCTTACGTGGCTAGAGGTATAGAACAACCCAGATGACTTTCTACGTACCGGGGAGACATATAGCAACCGGCTCGGGGTACACATCTCGAGCAATATATCCTAACCTGTCATAAACTGTAACCTTTAATCTACCTAAACGTTTGAGTCTTACACCACTCGGTATTGCAAGGCTAGACCGACGAGCGAGGCGAACTGTCACTGCTGCGTTACCGTCTGTCCACTGCTACTCTGCCGTCAAGAATTATTCTCGACGACTGGCCTTAGATTCCAGATATTCGCTTCTCGGCTTCCGATATTACGAGCCTAGTTCTCATGGTCTCTCCTGACCGCTGCGCCTAAGACTACTCCCAGACCCCTAATTACACCCATCGCCTCATATGCAGCCATCCGCAGCCATCATCCCATATTCAGTAAGGCAATAAATCACACTGTAGCGTATACCCTATGTGATCCTCCCCCTTTGATACCCACCGCATAGTTTAGCGTACTATGACCATCCTATCACCATTGATTCTAACCAAGAAGCAACAGCTTACATTTATTAAGTTGCATATGGCACAGCATCGTAATACTTGCCATGATACGTAACAGGATCACATTCGTATGCGATGACTCCATACTTCTAAAATAATCGCTGACTTCACATTCGGGTCTTCGTATAAGGCATGATTAGGTACCTAGCGATCAGGCCACAAGCGTTTCTATACCTTGCCGCTCCAGAGTGCGGTGAGCTTGACTATCACTTCACTAACCACTCACACGATATTCATATCTACAGCCATGAAGCCTTTAATCTACATCTGACCCTACGACATGGATTGCTTATGTTGTACGATTATATTAAGTAGCCCTATATACTAAAATGAAAATGCCTACCTCTCATTGAACGTGATACAACTACAGCAAGAACGAGGCACATACTATACCTAGATAGCCTTTCACATAACTTGAGGCTATTATACATGTATATTATAATGGTTACATAGCAACACTTCCCACCCTAATGTCGTTCCATAAAAGTTTTAAGGTAAGAGGAAATCCTAATATGCACAATGGGTGGGTACCCCCTTAACTAGCTACCTAGTTGCGTAGGTAGGTAAGTATTTGTTTCATTAGTTGAGCAAAAATGGATCGCGGTGAATGAAGACGTTGACGTTTCATGAGAAATTAGTCTTTCCGCTGGCCAAAGTGGATGATATCAAATCTCCTATTTCACACCTCTTACTTGAAGTTCGAGACGTCAGAGGTCTCTAGTAGGCGCTGGAACCCCCTTCCATCTCATATAGCATATAGTAGAAACCGGAAGGAAAGGGTCATCAATGCCTAGGTAATGATAAGGGAATGACAGTGCGAGCCTCACACTCCTTTCAATGGATATCAAGAAGCTCCTAGTCGTATTATCACTTAATGCAGGTGAGCTTACCCCTTTTCTTTTATCAAGAATCGGCAATTTGAAGACAATATACCAACATCTATCTTAGTGCCACTGATTCTTATTCAAAACCCTGTCCCCAATCTCTTATTCTTTATAAAACTGACAATGATAACATAGAAAACATAACAAGAAAATCAAGGGCTTATAGTCACACCAAGGTCTCGCCTCTGTATCGCACATTACTACCTAGGTAAGTAATTTGCTGCAATCTATGACACACCCATTTCCAAAGAACCAGCAAAATATATATATCTACCTCGAGCTCATCATTTTAGAGACCAAGCCATTGCTGTAGCACTCGATGTTGGAACTAGTCACTGGGCAACTAAAGGGGTAAATGCTATCCTCCTCACAAGTAACCCAACCGAAATAAAATCTCATACTGAATTTCACATTATTCAAGTCCAAAGACAACCCGCATCAAAATTAGTCATGAACTTTCATGTTGGTTATTACGTAGCTTTGTCAGATGGGATTAACACACATAAGCAGTGGAGTCGTCCGTTTTTTCCGTCTACACCCCCCCTTTAATTCATGACCTCCGACTTCCTAGACCCGGCAACTAGGCTCAATTTTGTGTAGTGTTAGGATGATGCAAAAGCCATCAACGCCATTCGTTCCTACTTAATGAATTTTCTTTATACCCCAATCCCTAATCATCAACATCTCGATTATTCTCGACATCGCCTTCGTCCTCTGAGCCGAACTGACTATCCCCGTCATAAGATCTAACGCCTTTCGCGCTGACCTGTAGGCTGGCTAGCGGTCTTTGTAACTAACTAGCTGACGCAACTGGCCGCCCACGGTCGTTGTTCTTGTCGTTCTTGTCATCACTCTCTGAATCGTCATCACTGGGCGGCCGGCTGTCTCGGAGGTTACGTCGGTTCTTAGTCATCTATTGAAGTCAGTTATGAGCACATTCCATGCCAGGAGTGTATGGACTCACCCATGATCTTACGCCACCGATCAAGCCGATAGTATACCCAGTGATGAAATCATTAGGAGCTCCAGCTCGCTCTGCCCCCGGCGTAGTAGGAGACCTAGCAGCAGCAGCCACAGTGGCGGCTTCTCGTAGGCTAGCATCGCCGTTCGCGCTCGGAGTAGCGGGCATGGAAAATCGGTTTGCTGGCGATGGACTCTGAGGTCTGCTCGCAGGCCAATATTGTTTAAGTTCGCGGCTAAGTTCCTGTCCAGTCGTAGTCCAATTTGCCTTGATGTTATCACGCAGATCCTGAACGTGTCGCTTGATATCGAGCTCGTTCTTCTTGATCCAACTGACGTTAAGCTCCTGACGCGTTGTTCCTCGTTTTAGCTGACGCGCGATGTACTTCTCGTAGTCACGAACAATCCTAAACAGGTTCAAGTCAGTACTGCGGTCTATGACATTTGAAACAATCGCAATACATAGTAACTTACTTCGTAATGATGCCCGTCGTGCTGACACCCTCAGTTCGTTGGGTTACCAAGAATTTGCCAGCCTTTTTGATAGGAGCATAGATGTCGTCACCTTCATCAGCGCCGTAAGGAATATCATCATGGGCAACGTAGTCAATGCGATGTTTTTCAAGAAACTCGGGCGTCACAATCCAGGGGCAATTTTCAACAACCTCATCAACCCACTTGCAATGTCTAAGCGTTTCGGCACGTTCACTGCCCGAGAGGACGGTGAGGCCCTTGCGTTTGTGCGTCTCCTCATCGCCCGTAACGCCAACGATCAAGTAGACATCGTCAAAGGCTTTCTTGGCCTGTTCGAGTTGGCGCATGTGACTATTGAATTATTTAGCTTCTTTTTTTTTAAGTTTTTAAGTGCGGAAACAGAAAACGAGATATCGCTCCCTTTTTCTTTGAGCAAAAAGTACATACCCAAGGTGAAACAAGTCGAAGACACCGTCGGCATACACTCTTATAGTGCGGCCGATGGGCGGAGGGTTTGTTCTATATCCGACAGGGTGTACCAAGCGGCCGGTGGGGGGCGGTGGCATAGCAACTTGCTTTTTCTTCTCCTCATCATCGTGTGCTGGCATATCCTTGGAGCTAGACTTCCTGCTCTTTCTAGCGATCCGGTCTGCGATGTCAATGCTAGCCTCGGTAGTGTCGCTGGGTTCGCCAGGATCTGCCGTGTAGTCGGTGGTTTCTATGGCGGAGGCACGGTCGGAATTGGCTCGTTGGCGTTTGGCTGGATTCGAGTTACCGGCGGATTCCGACTTGCGGTGAGTAAGCCTTCCAGATTCCGGTGCGGTGGTGTCTCCTTCTTCGCCGGATGCATCTCGGGAGGACGGCTGAAGCAGAGGGTTCTCGTCCATTTTGGAGGTGCTCGAAGCTGCCGGACGTTTGCGCTTGCCGGCATGAGAGGAATTCGACGGCGAGGACATCTTTGTTTAAACGGACGGAGGAAAGAGATAAATAATAATTAGGGTACCAAGGCAAGATGGGACTTGGGGCAGACCAATTCTTGCCGAGGAATTGTCAGGAACAATCGGAAATTGACGCGTCGGCGTTGCAGCTTAAAGCTTGAGTAGTAGGAAGGATGACACGCAGGTCGAAGTCAAGATTTGACTGGGTTGACGGAGTGAAACGATACCGCATACAAGACGCAGCACACTATATGCAGCTCCTCTGCCAGGTAAGTGTGCAGCTTCCCCGTCAAAGGGAACCAGAAAATGGGGTACCCGCCGCAGTAGCGTTAATAGCGTTAATTGGTTCTTTGACTAGAGAAGTCTTGGACAAGCGTCATGAGTCTTTAATGTAACAATTTATTAAGTATGGATGTAATAGGTATTCAATGATTAACTTGCTAGAATCAAGCTTAAATTGTTAACATGGTTAACATTCGATGTGGTAGCAACGAATAACGAAACGTCAATGACGTTGGAGGAGTAGTTGTAGGTGATAAGACAGGACCAATAATTCTCGAGTTAAAAGGCTCAAACGTGTCTTGAGCACCCGAACCTTGAAAGTGGGATTTCAATGATGTTAATGGGAACACAGGAAACCACGGTCGTCCGTGAACATCGGTATCTGATATATCGATAAAGAAAAATAAGGACACACTGAACTTTCTTTTCCATCAACCAGGTACCCCCTTGCCCCCGGCCGATGAACGCCTCAAGGTTATTACGCTAATGATGAAAGGGGTTGCAGTAAGAAAGAATATTTCGAAAAGGAGATTGCACAAATTCGACAATACTACTTCCAATACTACTATTCCTCCCGCCAAGTTCTCTATCCATGCAAGCTGTCATGAATTTGCAAATTTTGATAATTTCAAAAATCTCAACAAATCATTCGATCGCCGTTTAGGGACATGTAAGTGGCGTCATGATTCGCCAATTAGCTTACACGATTCTATAGTAGGTCCTTCCTCGGTACAGGTGTGGCTCGCTTATACCTGCAAACGGTGTAGGTAGATTCATATCCAGCCACTGTCATTACATAGAAAGTCAAGTCAAGCCACGTTGACTATTCGGTTTAGGGGTTAGGCGATGTGTCTATATTCAAGTATCAGCTCTTTCTGAGGTAATATCAAGCTATAGCTTTGTTAAAGTTCAACTTTATCAACTACTAGGTAACCAAAGTATGCGCTTAATGTCCAAAATGTGACTACCGTTATTAATTGTGTAGGTATGCAATTATTTGAATTGGACTGGATGTTCACTTGTATTCAATGTTTTCAGTAAATGAATACCTACCTACAGCCTGTGCTCATTTCTTTGTATACATGTAATTACCAATCGGAGTAAAGTTGAGATTGAAGCCATCTCCAATTATCTCATGTCTTACCATCACGGAGTGTTCTCTCATGATCCTCACATGCACAATAGCATTTAATCAATAAAAATTCAATTTTACTTCTTTATTCATTCCTTGGTATATCAATCAAGTCATTCTAGCTTAAGTATATATGTTCCCATATATTGTCGCCGTCGCATGTTGCCCTTTACCTTTGCTTTACACGCCGCCAAACCATGATGGCAACCCGACCGGGAGGTATTCGTTCAGATACAAATCCTTAAAACATGGCCCTGCTAAACCCGCACCCCGCAGCTGACGCCTCTCGACCAATTCCACCGGTGTGGGCAGACCCCTCGATGAGGGATCCAATAGCACGAGTGGGTGTGAGGCATTTCTAGATCTTGTGATATATAAAAGTCGATCCCGACTTTGCAATCAATGACATATATGGATGGATATGAACATATATGTCGACTTCATTTTCCCCTTGCGAAATAAGGTAAGCGTTTGATTCCACATCGGCAACCACCTCAGGCAAGCCGAACCGCCCGCTGCTGTCGCGTGTGCCTACCGCACCGGTGCGGGTGCTTCGGGGAGCTCCTGAAGCAGAACGCCTTGGCCTTCTCGGGGGCCGGGGGGCCGAATTTCTGGGAGACCTCGCAGTACTCGGCGTCGTCGCCGCCGATCCACTCGCGGATGTGCTTGTGCAGCTCGCAGCGCGCGGTCTTGCACTTGCGGCAGTAGACCTGGCCGCGCGGCGACAGCGTCGCGAGCGAGTTCTGCTTGCCCCCGCCGCCCCCCGCCACGAACGGGCCCGAGATGAACGCGTTCCGCCACACCCACTCCATGTCGTTGGGCCCCTCCCGCCGCGCCGACAGCGGCACCCTCCCGTGCATCCGCTTGTGGATCGCGTAGAAGTGCGTGCTCGTCAGCCCCAGGCACGTGCTGTCGATCGGGTCCAGGAAGTCGAAGATGGCGTAGTGCAGCTCCGACGGGAGGTCCTCTAGCGTGAGCGCTACGCCCGGCTGGTGCGTGAAGGGGACCGGCTCGACGTCGGTTACCGAGTACGACCGTAGCGGCCCTGGTAGGATCGGGCGCGTGGTCGGAGCATGATTTGTCGCCCGAGGAGCGGGGGAGATTGGGTTCGAAGCAGATTCGTGCGGTTGCGAGTCGAAGTACGAATCTGTCTCCGCCTTTTCCGCCACCGCCCGTGGTGTGCCGACTGGGGTGAGCAGACGGTATTGTTTCCGCAGAATGGCGGATGTGTTGGCTGATGCCGGATACTCAGTCGCGGTGAAAGCACGCCGAGGCACGTGAGAAAGGCCCTTCTTGGGCCCTGTTTCCTTCGCGGATCCCTTCTGCTGCTGCAATGCCGCCGCCGATGATTCTGAGGCTGGGCCAAGATCAACTTCGAGGAATCTGTTCGACAGATCCATCATGTCGGGCGTCCCTGGTGATAACGCCTGCCCGAGTGAGGGGGCTCGGAGGATTTCAACCATTTTGAATCCTTGTAGGTAATTTCAAGTTCAAAAAGCTACTTAGAGAAATGTTGCTCGGCGATAATCGATACCGATGCGCCGCAGCTATTTTGAACTAGGTAGTGATGCAATAGGTGGCTAGTTTGTATTTAGAGTCGAGTTACGACGAGACTAATGAGCCTTAGGGTCAAATGATCAATAAGACGCTCTCCGGTCAAAAATTTGTAGCGGTTCGATAGCTACCAATGATAGGTGCCGTTGATAAGTTCGACTTAGTCAGAAATAGGTCAAAGCTGGCGCTTAGGTACGGTGGATCTTTGTTGCGTGAAGATAATCTTCAGAGGTTCGTGGGGAGAAACTCTTTCGATAGTGGGTTTACGAGTCATGACACTAGTCAGAGCCTCGACATCTGCGTGGGACGGGGGAAGGGTTATTAAATCCGCCATCGAGAAGAGAGCGGTCAGGGGGCGTCAGCTACGGCCGGCGCAAAACCTAGCCACAGCACGCTACGATACGAAGATCACTATTCGGTGGAGCTTGGGATCCACTTCTGGCAACTTGGCGAGGCGCCGAAGAAAGGGTCTGGAGATCTATTGTATCGTGACAAATGGGGAGAGGGTGGAGTGGTGTGACCCGCAACCCTCGACGCCCCCGACCGGAGAGGACACGGGATGACGGAAGAATCCTTTGGCAGACCGGGCCTAGCCAGAATGATGTTTCTGCTCATGATTTAAAAAAGCCACTAACTAGTTACGGGAAAGGGTTCTGGAAGACAGGCTGAATCCGGCTCAGACATTTGGGCAGTTCGGCGCATGCCAGAGGGATGAATTTTTTTCCCATGTACTCTCTTTCTTTCAGTTCCGGGATATTTTCACTGGTAACGCCGGACATCCCGGTTCGTTTCTGTGCGATAACGGACCGCGTCCAGTACATAGCAATAGTTCTTACTGATGTACCTCCTTATTCAGAATTGTTCTCTGTTTCAGATACATGCCGTTGCTCTAGCATGCGTAGTAACACTTCAAGGGATTCACCGCTCGATTGGAGGTTAGGCTTAAGCCACTACACAAGTACATACATAGGGAGGGACCATACGAAAACCCCAGGTTGCAGGATGAGGCCGTGACAAGGGTCTATCCCGCTTATGGCTGACGGCCAAGTTCGACTTCCCCTCAAACACTACTGCAGGTCTCTGCCATCCGCTTCCTACGGTGGAACAATTATCCACATTATAGTTGTTTGATACGAATATGCAACGCTGGTAATATGTATTGATACCTAGGTATGTAGGTAGTCGTAAAAGCGGAATCGAGCGCACGATTCGGAGACCTGTCCAACCTGTCGGTACTTGATATAGCAGAGATATGCGATGTCAGACTTCAGAAACCTCGGGGATCGGCATTTAAAGAGTTGTTGATGTGGCTGCGGCCGAGACGAGAAAGTCTTTAAAAATTGATAGTTATAGGATCTGATGAAGAGGGGGCTAGACTTGTTACCGGCCAATAGGGTCATAGCAGCATCGCCATGTAAGGGGTTGGCTATCAGTCCGATCCCTCTCCCAAGCAGCCAAGTAACTTGATTTTAGACATCCCTCCTTCTAGGACGTTCTGGATTGTGTATAGAACTAGAGATGGCTTGGCGCCCATGCACCCTATCCGCGCTTCCAGATCCTCACGATCGTATCCACAACTATGGGGTTCTGACGTCTCACTGCCGATTATGGACCCATTTACTAGCGAAACTTGTCTGCTGTGGTATGAGGTCACTCGAATAGCAAAGGGAACCCTTATTCTCATAGTAGTAAAGGCCCTGTAACTACACTATGTAGTCCCCGAACCTGTTACTAGAATTGCCAGGACGTCGGGTGGGCAATGTTGGTTAATAAACAAGGCTGACATGAGGAAGCATTGCCTAGGACTTCGGAATACCAATCTTGGAAATATCTTGCTGCGGTAAACAATGACCCGATTCCCAATTCCGCGTTAAGCCGGGAAAAATGCTCCGATCGTGTGTTGGCAGGTTTCTTCGCTGAGCTCCGGGCCGCGAATGGGATCAACATAGCCTGTTATCCTTGACTGCTGACGCAATAGAACTTAGCTTCACTATAATGAGTCTAGATCCAACTGTTCGCCTATGCAGTACGACATCATGTAAGGCTGGTGATACCCTTTACACCCATAACTGACGATAATTTGAGATTAGATTTAATTGATATTTTCGTTAGCTAGGTACGAGATAATTTGAAATATGTATCATTCCAATTTAACTGACAACAGGACCGACCACATTGACGGCCATGCGGGGTATCTGGATACGCTATGCTTGATCGAGATTAAACTTCACCAGCATCGTGACACCTTTACGAATATACTCGCCGATGAGGTAGTGGATAGCCTGAGTTATCAGCGATCTCAGACTATCAGATCGTATACGTTCTATCTTATGCACCTAGCTTATTGTTAAAGTAACGAATCACGACAAGTAGGAAATGTATACCCATGACACTTATTTTTATTGTCATTGTTAATGCAAAGCTATGCTAGATTGATTTCCAGTAAAGGTCTAGTCAATACTAAGTAGTTAACCATCACTGTAACTGAAGGATAAGGGTATATTGAGTTGTTCTCGGCTAGAAAGCTAAGGTGAACCTCGCCAAGTAATTGATATTAAGGATAAGGGCCTGCTATTAGGTGTATATACTTGTAGTCATCGACGACTCGAAGCTGCTAAGGTCAGTCAGTCCTTTGGGAAGACTCACCACTGGTAAGTACAACGTCTCCTGAGGGTTCATGTAACATGTGCTTGCTTTATTTACGATATATCTATCAAGACCAGAGAGAAGCCATGGTGAGCTGAGTGACTTACTAGTAGAGCTTAGGATCAATACGGTATATGCATAAGGTATGCTGCCAACTACAGCTCGTTTCTACGTGTCCGCCTGTGGATACAACTGCAAAATTATTGGAAGGGCAGGACTTGGCATATGGTATGGATTAATACTTGCGTAATAAATATCATATATGTGATTTTATCTCACGCACAGGGGCGTTTCTATTACAATGACTAGGTACCTATGGTTTCTTCCAACAAGACATACTAAAAACCTTTGGATTAAGTCGACTCCTCGACTATAATTAAAAAATAATCTGTTACTCACATCAATAATCGTCTTACATGGCTAGACGCAAGCATATTGATATCTGTCGAGCCTCATCTCTATAACCAACTAGATTTAAAGCAAATAATCTAAAAAGTATAAGCAAATACAGCATGAACAGTCTCCATTCAAGCCTTTCCCTGTTAACCCGACTTTTGTATTCTTTTTAAGTAAAGGAGATGGAGCTCATAGACCTTTGAGATAGCACAATATGAATTAACTATGGTATACTTATCGAATTGCTAGGTTTGTGATCGAAATGAGGCACAGACGTAGACAACCTCAACCTCCATATTATTCGTACCACTGAGAAACGTGCCTCATCGAAGGGAGTGATAACAAAGTGTAGGTATCGGCGTCATGTGCTGCAACGACATAGGCGTTGAACATAGGTATTTAGTAGAGGTAGGCTAAGCAACTCGTCGTCGTGATTACCATCGCATTGGTAATATACCGCAACGCTGGGGCCATGACTTAGCATAACACGAGACTCTGAGAAGGTGTCAATTTTTAATTCTTCTCCATAGACATACAATATGTTTTTACAAGGGCCGCATTCGTAGATCCAGTCGATAGGCAAATTCTTATATGCCGATCCAGATGATGCTGATGACGACGTCCATGCCCTTGCCCTCTCCGCCGTCGTATTTGAAACTCCACATGCCATCTGTTTTCTCGTTCCAGAATGCCTGCGTTGCCGAGTGCATGCCTCGTCGACCAACGTGCGGTTTGCCGTCCGTGGCAGTTGCGTTACCGCCGTCGCTCGTACTAATAAGCGGGCCGTCGGCCTTTGCTTCGCTTCCGCCTTTGGGCTTGTTCAGGGCCGAGGTCGGGACGAGATGTTGGACGATGGTGCTGTTGACCACATATTTATGAGCCGGGGTTTGGGAGCTCGAAGGCGTTGATTCGGATATGACCGCCCTGAGGATTGAATTCTGGCGTTGGCATGGTATGTTAGCTAGATCTAATGAATAATACGTATTGAGGCGCTTAGGATGATGAACGGACGTACAATTATGGTCCCGTTCCAACCCTCAACCTTCGAATGCTCGTAGAACTCCGCACCGCCGATGGCGCTTTGGCAAGCCTATATTTGACCGAACTTAGCTGGATGGGCTCCCCCATGACGATGCCTCCTGGGGAAGGAGGCTAGGCGAACGTACATCCATCGCTATCTGCTTGAGTCTCGTTGTGCTAATTGGCTAATCATTATTCCTGTAAGTTTTCACGATGGATACCCAGGGGGTAACTGATTGTGACATACAGCATTGCTTGGTGGCGAGGCCATCTTGGATCGAAGAAACGCGGTTTTGTAGGATTAAGATGGGAAGACACGTGCTGGATTGTAAGTAGCGGTAAATTTATATTATCCCCCTATATGAATCGTACCACTATTTGTTGTCAATTGGTAGTTAAATGGACGTAAGGTAGGATTATGGCAGCCTTGTGAGACTTTTTTTTCAGCCTTCTCTCTGTGACGTTGTAAACAGGAAATGAATGGAGGCTAATTTGAGAAGCCCGTTTGTACCTAGTAAGATCCTTGCTTCAGCTTACATATGCGGGCTGCTTCATCAACCGGGTTCTTTAGCACTCGTTTCAAGCCTTGCGCGGGGCAACTGAGCACGTGAAAACTCCCTCTTTTTGCTCTTTCTTTTTCTCAACTCCGTGTTCTAGGCTTGCCCCCCGGTCGCTTCCATAGCAACAAGCCACTGAGAGCAATGAGATGATCCACGTGGAGACTATTATGTAACTAGCGCCACCGACTAAGCCATCTTGGAGATGTTTTTTGCTCTCCACTATTATCAAGCACCTTCAACATCCAATTACTCGCCATCATCGTCATAGCTAGTAGTCTTTTTCTTCCTTTTTTAGTTTTTCTTTCTAGTCTGCCTATAGTTTGTCTTACGATTGAAGCACAAATTCTTCTTATTCTTTATTGTCCGCTCTTGCTCGCCGTCTTTGACTGGTCTAACCCGACTCTATCCTCTCGCTGCAATCCAATCACAACAACACGAAACCCGGTAGCTATCAATTGGTTACAAATATTGGAACGCATACCGGCTAAACCACTTCAGCTTACTGAAGCTTAATTCCACGAATCATATTCCATTAGCCACCTGCCTGTCACCAATTGCCCGTCATCAATTGCCCGATATGTCTAGCCAACCCCTTCTACAAACCGCTCCAGGTAAACAAACTCCTATCTCGAGGGATCGACAACTCTGGAGGTTTCGACGTGAATTAACATGCTTTGATCAACTACTTTAGGCAAACGAATTGCCCTACCCACCCGCGTCGAACCCAAGGTCTTCTTCGCCAACGAACGTACATTCCTATCATGGCTAAACTTTACCGTCATATTGGGAGCCTTGGCTATCGGCATGTTGAACTTCGGTGACCGCCCCGCCTTCATCTCGGCTTTCCTGTTCACAGGCGTGGCTATGCTTACCATGATATATGCGCTGTTTACGTATCACTGGCGAGCTAAATCGATTAGGGTAAGAGGGCAAGCTGGATTTGATGACCGCTTTGGACCGTCTGTCCTGGCTATCATCCTCTTGTTGGCTGTCGTGGTCAACTTCGTGCTGCGAATCACTTATTCGGGCGGAGAGGGTGGTAAGAAACACTAAGAGTAGGCAAGGAGTTGGTATCTGTTAAACTGCTGGATCGGGACGAGTCGACGCTTTCGGGATCTAATGAGAAACTGAACCTTGAGCCACAGACGCGTGTGCCCAAAATAGCGCACCTGCGATATCCAGACGATAGTCCCCGAAAGAAATTGGAAAGGATGGATGGAGACGGAGAATTTGTACATCAGACAGCATCATGTTCTAGCATTGTGTTTGTTCCTTATGAAGGGCAATTTTGATGGGGGTTATGTTGGATATTACGGAGTCGAATTTTACCTATATGAGCATTGCTATACCGGGTTTGGGAGGGGAGCAGTTCAATGTTTCATAGCTCGATATCTCTCGAAGAAGACAAGGTCCGTCCGGCCTCCTCGTAACTCCTCGTGTTGATTTAGGGTATCTCATTTGGTGTTTCTTGGTTATAATACGTCTTGACGAGAATATTAGCAATGCTGAGCTGGCTATGTCGAACCCGTGCTCGTCTGTTCTCCGTATCTCTTTAACTCCTCGATAGAAACTCGGCAGAGGAATAGGCTCACGATGGGCACTCCTCTTAAGCGGGGTTGGGTTTCGATGGCTCTCTGAAAGGGGGTCTTCATGACCTCAAAGTCCACATCGTCGTCATCGAGCCTTGTCTCTTCAATGACAGTATCGCCTTCTCTTGGTATTTCCTTAAGCTCCTCGCCAAGCGCAATGTATTGAAACCAGACACGCCCACCATCTGTTCGTTTTCCTAGTTCCCGCTTCGCGATTTCGGCTACTGACACTAGCTTGCCCGCGTCAGATGCCTTGGCCCGAAGGATAGATACAGCCGTCTTGCTCGCAGGGGAATCAAGATGTTGAAGGATCGCAGCCACCTTTTTCTGGATTTTGGATGACGAGATTATTGAGTGAACTTGAACATCGTATTTAGACTCCACGGCTTGCAATATTTTAGCATCGTCCGTCGACGATAAATTGAAGCTGTTCTCTGGCCGGGCTCGTTTGTTAGAAAGAATCGGACCCGTCTCGGCGCGCTTCCGCTTCGTGGGTGAGCTACAATCCTGATTGCCCTTTCGAGGCCTTCCAGGGACGGTCATGATGCCGCCGACAGGGGAGATCCGATCTTCATCGAAAACTGCGGATGACTGATGGGTTGTGTTGGCTCTTATATGAATTGTTGCAGTGTAGTAGGATGACTATTATGTAGTTATGTGGCTAGGTACAGGGAAGAATTAATTGCGACCTTATCGATAGCATCTGCCGTCGACCGCAGGTTCAGGTTTCGGATTTAATGCGCAGGTTGTGCAACGTAAATGGGATTGTAGCTGTACCTAAGTACCATGTACTTAGGTATTTACATGCATGATGTTAAGAACGAATGTTTCGGTTATCGATAAAACATCCTTCGCTGTCAAAACAGGACCTTGCAATGTACTATTTCGCAGTTCAGACACTTTCGAGACATGTCTTTTCCATAATTGGCTGATCACTAAGGCAAAGACCCTGTCGCGAAATGCAAGCTGCAGTTGCCTAGTGTTTGCCAAGAATTAATCAAGATATTATGCATGAGGACATCGTAATATTGTGACTAGGGTATCAAGCTAAACTCTGACTTTTCTGAGTCGCTCTGTGATTGAAAAGCCGCGCAATGTCTTCGCACCAAAACACCTTATCAATCTTGCACACAGTTGCCGCCTATGTATGTGACTAGTTGGTGTTGATATATACATAGGTATGATATAAGTCTTTATGAGTTTCCTATGTAGGCGCCCTTGGATTGTGTGCATCCGTTCAACTATCCAAGTATCTGAGGAAGCATGTCATAATGCGTAGTAAGCGTGGTCAAGCCTGCCTACCTACACAGCCTATCACTTTCAAACCTCATCTAAGGTTACATGATCTGTTTATCAAAGCTTGGGATCTATATGCGCCTATCATATACTTCCCTGGCCGCGTGAAACATCCCTGGGCAACAAGTATGGGTGAGATAAACAACTCAAAAGCTCGAGCAGTCTTCTTGTGTGATAGCCCGTAGCCTTACCTATTTGATATAAAAGTTATGCTAAATGAGACGGTGTATTTCATGTAACATCTATAGACATTTCAGTGTTGTTAGTTAGAGTTTCTAAGTACATTGTATACCAGTAAAGTTAGGCTACTACTACGTATAAGATTTATCATGTCTCAACTTAGCCATGATCTTTGATACGTATCTAATTACCTATGAAAACATGGAAAGAAATGAAGCGCAATCAACGACGATTGCTAGCCTTGTCAATGTAATATCCTCGAAAAACTAAAGCCTTGCCTTCTTGGGCACCCTGGGCGCCTCATGGATGCTCAATATTGTGGGTACTTAAGTACTTTAGCATACATATGCAATAATTCGGACAATTTTGTACAATGCTTGGCCTTCCTTCGCGCCTTTTCGTGCGATAAGTACCGAAGTAACTAAAAGCAGCCATGTGACACACACCTTATTGAAACCTCTAATACACAGATTGTCACGCTCCTTCTAAAGAATATATCTGCCTACTCCTTTCCCCTTTAAGGGGTATGATTCCAGGTTGTTGCCACCACATTTCGAAGCTCCTTTCCCACCTACTACGTATGCGTCTCCCATCCTTTACCACTACAGTAAGTGAGTCATAAAAAGATATCCTAGTCAGGTTGTCTGATAATGTTGGTGCACATTCAAGTTGTTATTTGTTACATACGTGTGCATAAACCCCTTTATCTTGAAGCACGAACCACGATAAAGGTCGTGCGTATTTTGTGCACGTAATAGCACCATGACGGCATGTACATAGTACACTTGTATTCTCGAACATCCCTGCCGCGCAACCTGGTTGAGATACCCCTGCCTTGCTTTGTACTATGTGTACTTGCCCAGAAATCCTAAGTCCAACCAACCATCGGACTGTCGGGCAATTAAAACAAATCAAGGTGCTGGAAATTCACGAGTTTTTACGAATTAACCAGTAAATACTCGCAACTCTAGGCATGTAGCCACCCACCCCAACATTAGAACATCAGAACACACACCGGCAACAACACTATCAGGTAACCAGGACACCCCCATCTCCCACCTGTAAGTCCTTCCTTTTTGCCCTTTTGCCTTTTGCATTTTGCATTCTCGCGTCCTCTAGAAGATAGAACTACCTAACCTTGCACCGTCTGCACCTTGCATCTTGCACCTCGCCTTGCCTTGCAATAGACACCTTTACCACCTTACAATCTTACAACCTTTCATTTTCATTTTCCTGGCCTTTTGCGCAATCCACTTGTCGCAACAACCAAGAAGGAAGAGAATCGCAAGCAAATGATAATCGTCTTTCTTCCGATTTTCATTTAATTCATTTCACGCGTTCCTTTGCAACAGTCATTTTTTTAATACTTACCTGATTCCCCCCCAAATCCACATCGGGCGCGCGACCTTTGCCTTACCTCGTTCCCTTTGCCTCTTTTTGTCTCTGGTCTCTAGTCTAATCTGACCTTGATGATACGCGCCTTTCTAATACCACTACTCACACTACCTACTACGTACTGTCTGCGGAATCGTATTTGATACCGTTTCGCACCACTCATTGTCCCTTTTTCGCAACCTGCCCTTTTATCAACAAGGTCATTTTATTTTTTGTTGTCGCCTGGGTCGCAACTTTCTCCTCAAATGAGACGAGTCTATATACATCAATACTAATTAAATACGCGCAAGCATTTCGAATCATTTGCGCTGCGCTGCATTGCACTGCCTTGTCACCTTGGCATGGTATTGCGCATTCCTGCTCTTCTACCGCCAACCCTGACTCAGACTTGAGTTTCGTTGGGTTTGACCGTGGCCACATCAGCGCGCGGCCTACTCCTTTTTTCTGCGTTCGACAACCCATCAGGATCCGTATCCCGCAATTCGATACGTGCGCCAATCCTTGGTCCTGCCCTTTTGCCTTGGTACTGGAGACTACCTTCTTGCTAGTTCAGTTCTAGGACTGTGGACTCTGGGCTTGGTCCATTCATCAACGGGCAGTAGCCAGGCTAAAAAGGGTGGTCGCATCCGCCGGCTCAGCCGATTCCCGGTTGTACACTACGTACACCACACTTTCTACCTGCGCCTACAGGGAAGGAATTAAGGGAATTAAGGAACGAACTCTACGTTCATTCGCCCCTACGTCAGCATCGCCTTCCCATTTGGCGTCGCACTTCTAACAATAGTTCCTTCTACCCCTTTACAACCTAGGACAACGTTGTGAGGTACTTTAGGTACTTTGGGTACTTCGGAATTATTTGTCTAGGCCTGATCTGTCAGCGCTCCGACCACATTCATACATCATCAAGCATCCCCCCCACGCCTCCTCGGCTTGGTCCTCGACTTACATATTGTTTTCCTCCTGTCGGGTATGCTCATGTTCCGCTTTTGGAGTTCAGATTCGAGGGGAAGCGATAAGACTCTACAAGTTGAACAACCCATGCTTGATTTCGGAAAGCCTATTCATCCGTGGGTGTCGTCAGAGTCTTCAGTTACTACTACTACTACCATATCTTCGCCAACGACTCCGAAGCGGCGCAAGCAGAGCAACGTCGCGATAGCATCGCAACAGGCTCCAGCTTCGTCCGCTCGAAAGCGGGCGAGGACAGATGATAATGATGAAGGCGATCGCGCAAAGGCGCATAAGAAGGTGGCCTTGTCGGTAGAGAAAGGTGAAAGGGATGTGCCGCAGGCTGTGTCGTGTGAACCCGACATGGATCGTGCTAGAGATATTATCGAGGAACAGTTCAGCCTTGAGATTCTACTCAAGCACGACGAGCTACGGTTGATTAATCAAGAACTTGCCAAATGCCAGGTGGCTTTGGAGCAACTGCGCAGGTGTCATCTAATACCGTATCCACAGAATGTTCCCACGCCGGAACAAATGGTGAATATCATGAACGGATCAGGCGCGGCCTTGCGACCGAAGTCAGGCGAACAGTTGCCTCAGTGGGCACCACCTTTTGGCGTTACTGATGGTCCGTATGCGCGGCACTACGCCAAGTGGCTCATTCCTGACCCTAAGTTCGACGGCATCCACCCCGTGGCTCCTGCTCAGACCGAGACTTCACGATTCAGAACATCGGTGGATGGTAGATCGACAAGAAATAGTTTCACCGAGTCAAGCGCGTCTCAAGGTAGAGGACGGCCCGTGAGGGGATCCGCAGGACAAAAACTCCAGGCCCTATCCAGTGGTTATCCACCTCCTAAAGACAAGAGCGGCCCTTGCGTCTTGAAGCGATCCGACGGAAAGACTGTGAAGCTTGTTTGCATAGATTGTCATCGCGAGAATTTCTCAAGTACACAGGGGTTCATCAACCATTGTCGCATAGCACATAAGAGGGATTTCAAGAGTCATGAAGAAGCTGCGGTGCACTGTGGCCATCCCATTGAGGTCGCTGACTCTGGGGGTATTGTAGGAGAAGAGAAATCTGTCAGCCAAACCGCTCCCCCGTCCGGCCTTGTCCACCCTTTCGTCCGAGAGAATGCTATGTCCGAATCCGAGGCTTGCTTCTCTGTTGTGCGTCGTATTGAAGAATCATTGGAGATGTATCGCCGGGGCCAGTTGCCTGGCGTTTCCTCGATCCCAGGCGCTGCTGGAAGCTCTCAGAGAGCTCCCACTAACGCTGCGCAACAGTCGAACTTCTCTCCTTCGGCTGACTCCCCACATCTCTCCCGTCTGCTTCAAAGCAGAGGTTTCAATGGCAACCTAGGCACTCTCATCAGTGAATCTAAGGCTAAGGTAGACTTAGACCAATTCTTTTCCCCCGAAGATGAGTCGTCAGATGAAGTTGATCTAGGTGGTAATGGCAACGTTCGTGGTACCGGAACTGTGGCCCCGTCCCTCGTGCGGGTTCCTGCGAGGGCAACGATGTCGCCCGCTCTTGCTACGACTCGACCTACCAGTAGCAAAGGCCATCCGCTTGTGCCATATGCTACCCCTGTACCAACACCCGCCCCACGAGTCACATCAGGCCCCGAGCCGGAGATGATCGTAGATGACGACATGTTGGACGTGGATTTGAGTCCTCATACTGCCGTCAGCAACAATGCGCCATCACTTGTTAGTGACGATGGCGAATACGATGATTCAGAAGCCGATTCCGAGGTCGAATCTGAAGTGAACGACAGCATTGGAGCGCAGTCCATCTCGGATGTTGACGAGATTGACATCGACGACGATCACAGCGGTGCACGCTCTATTAGACATCACCGTGGCTCCACTGGCGCTGGAGCTGGGACGACGGTACGCCTACGTAAGGATGATTCCAAACACGTAACTTTTGTGAGTCCTATCAAGGGCAACGGGAACGACAACCAGCGACGAGGAGGTCGAAGATAGGGGCACGGAACTAATAACCTAAGTGCTTGATGCAATCTATTCATGTGGAGTTAGCGGTTGGCGACCGCGAGGGTGAGGGGGGTGACTTTTCTTTCTTATCGTTGGACTACTGAGTTCTTGGGCAACTGCCATTACCGTACGACTTTTATTACGCCATTGCCCTTATTCAGATTTTTACGTTCCAAGATGTGCCCCGAGGATGGGAGACGCGTCTCTTCTAGGTTACGAAAGTTGTTTCAATCAGCATCGACACGGAAGCACATTGGCGTCAGGTTGACAGGTCAATTTGAGATTGCTGGTAGAGGCTAGAGGGTGGCACTTGATGTTCTGCTTTTGATATACATATTCTCCAGGTTGCGCAAGCTAGCCGGCAATGATGATGAGGTTGTTTGCAATGCCCGTAGGCTAGCAGACAGGCAGCCGTTTCTGTATCTATAAGTTTCAAACAGCTGTACAAAGAAACAATTAAAAACGAAAGCTTTCGGAGTCAACGCAGGGCTTTACATGATCGTGAATTCAATTTGCTTCCGACGTCTCTAAATGCGTGATACGTATCTCTCCGTTCAATACATAGATTACAGGCGCTGTCGCTGACTAGGTACATCGCCGACCGAAAACACCCCTTACTGCCTACCTACCTAAGTACATCCATATACTTCTCTCCGCAATTTGCACGTCAAATCACACAAAGGGACGTTCTCGACGCATAATGCCTCAGCACTAGCTATGTACGCAGGATGCAGAAGTGTAGCAGTGAAGCAAGAAGGTGAGCTGATTGGACGGCGACAGACGAGTAGGCTATCAGGGGCAGCGCAACGGTTGCGTCGTATGGGCTGTGTCAAAGTCCAGCTCCTGCATCGAATCGATCGATAAGTCCCTACTTGCCTGCCTGCCTGCCTTCCTACCCAGTTTACCTACCTACCTACCTATCTACATAAGTACTATTTATGTAGGTACCTATGTATGATAGCCTCTGTCGCACGCAGCTTTGCTCTGCATACTCCCAAGCTAATACCTAGGCAGCCAAGATATGTGCACATTGCAAAGACGAAGAAGCCGGGCGAAGAGTTTGTCCTAAAAGTGAATTCGATATTGCTACCCAAGGTCCGTCGAGTAACCTAGCTACCGGGCTCAGCCAGCCTCGGAGTGGCACTTGAAAATACCTAGACAAATGTAAGTCGTCTTCTGTACGACCTGCTCGGCAGTTGCTAGCGTGAGAAAATAAAGGAACGATTCCCATTAGTAAACAAAACAAGAGACATCTCAGCTCGTAGGTACCTGCTGCGTAGGTGCGCAAATGCCTAGAACATCAAATTGCACTTTGAATTTACTGCTATTATTGCCCCCTTTATTGATACGCCAATACACGATATAATATAACGAATGTTAAACTCGCCCCCGAGTTCCTTGATCTCTTTCATTTATCTCCCTAGAAATAATAAGATACATGACCCCTAAGATAAAATAAGGATACGTGCTATTAGTATTCCCCAAGAAACCCCTATTCGGATCGGAGGGGCAAGGAAAAAGATGGGGTTCAAAACAAGCACAAAAAGGAGATGCAAAATCCTTCCATATTTCGGGTTCTGTCACGAGGGGAAACACATCATTCGTCGTTCTATATACAGCAACAGCGATGAAGAAACGCCAATATAGCCTTCTACTCCTGGCCGAAGCCCATCGTCTCTTCAACTGCTGTAGTCAATTTGCCCTGCAACTGCTCCAATGATTTGTATGGGGGCAAATCTAGGCGGTTGAAACTGCGTGATTGTTAGCATATATCTACGAGTAGGATCACGTTCTTGCCTAAGACAAAGACCACAATACGTACCAAGTATGAGCCTTTGGCAAATTCCCAACTTCGCCAGCCTTTTCGATCGTAAACCTCCTTGGACCGTCACTGCCTTGGAGATCCTTGAACCCGTTGACGGGGATTCGTGAGGTACCCGTCGTGAACTGTAGAAGTCGGCTCTTCTGTTCTCCATCCCAGCTCCGTACTGTTTGCCAGAAAAATTGGATGACCTCGTCGCTTTCTGTGTAGCCCCGGTAATCCGTATGCTTCTTCCAGTCATCTACGTCGATATCGGCAATACCGCCAATTAGCAGTTCTAATTCGCGTTCGTCGAAGACGTTGATTAAGTCCTGGGGAATAAGCTCGTGAAATCCTTCCTTAAAGGCCTGGAACTGCTCTGCGATACGCTTTTCGATACGCCACTTAACCATAAGATCCACGTACTCCTTTTTATTCTCATTCGTAACATCGATGTTGCGCCCGTTAGGAATGAGGTCCTCGACCGTTACAACGCCAAAACGCTCGTCTTCGGTAGAGAATGTCTGCTCGAGTATACCGCCCGAGATATCGTTATCCAGCATCCACTGCAAACTTCGATGGAAATCCGCGTCCACACCCTCCATGTCGGCTAAGACCACAGATTTACCCAATATCATCTTGTAAAGCGCACCGATGAAAAACGCGTCGAGGAATCGTCGGTGGAAGATGGCGAGACCCACCACACGACCGATGAATTTGAAGTAATTCAAATGCTCGGGGTTGATACCGGAGTGTGGGTTGATCTGAAGGGTATAGTTGTCGTGCGCGGAGTATTCGAAGAGGCAGTAAAAGGGGTTAAACATTTCGTGCGATAATAGGAAAAAGAACTCTCTGGAAAGACCACCGTAATCCAAACCATCCTCGCCATCAAATTTAATCATCAAACGCTTTTTCAAGTCCGTAGCCGACTGCCGCGATATCTCCGCAAACGAGTCTTCGAAGATGTGTGATCGTCGTACCTTCATATGGCACTGGCCCGAAAGTATCCGCATAGCGGGTTGCGAGCGAAAGTAAATTAGCTTCCTCCGGAAATCTCGCTTGTACTGTGGCACGTTCTGGTCTAGGGAGGATGGTAATCGAGGGTCATCCCAGGTCGTCGTCTTAGTATTATGATCCACGAAGTATACGCGAGCTGTGTTGGTCAACCGCATTTCCCAACCGCTAGGCAGAGGCCCTAGCTGTGATACTGGCTGCTGTTGTATCGTTCCGTTGGTGTTATTTTGACCACCATACATTCTAATGTATTGCTGGCGTCGAGGATCGACCCAGGTCGTCGTCCGAGTATTATGGTCGACAAAGTATGGTCGACCTTCGGGAGTCCATCGCTGTTCCCATCCAGGAGGAAGTTCACCGGTGCCAGGACTAGTAGCGCCGGTGTGCATCAAGGTACCTTGACCGGGACTATGCGGAGAACCGCTAGGCTGTTGCGGCGGCTGAGACTGTTGCGAAAGCGTGGGGGAGTTCGCGCCAGTGCGATCTTCCGGTAAAGTTCTGTTCTGATGCCTTTGACGTTCAACCTGAGTAGCCGCTTCTCTCTCGCCACGATTCTCTGCCGACGTGCCGGTCTGAGTTGGGCGATTCCAACTTGTAGTTCGCGTATTATGATCTACATAGTAAGTTCTCCCCAAGTGATCCTCACGCCGCTCCCAGCCAGCAGGCAGTCGGCCTTGGGCGTCTTCAAAGGGGCTCATCTGGTTAGCCGGCCGAGCCGCCACAGCATTAATAGAGGGCGCACTTGCGCCGTTGGGCCTGACGGGCAAGGCCATCTGTGCCCCCGGTGCAAGCCCGTTGGGACCCGAAGCCGAGGAGGTTGGCCGTTCCGAGGCGCGATCGGCGCTCGCTGTAGACGCCTGGGGTACTAGTGATGGTCGACTGGAGCTTGCGGGCGACGGTTGCTGTACAGGGCGAGCAGGGGTAGACAAGTTAGTAGACAAGTTGATGATCAATTTACCATGAACAACAAGATTGTCCGTGGACTTTTTGAGGTCTCTCGTGAGCATTTGGTCTAAAAGGATATGGTTGTCAGCTTATACAAAGCTAGTGGCAGGGTGGCGGGGAGACGATTGGTCATACCATCAGCACCTTCTGCCAACTCGATGACATCCCCAATGCGAATGTTGATAACTCCCAGGAAACCCTGATCCTTCTTCTTGAATTTCTTCTGGTCGAACACCTGCACGGCTAAGATGCTATCCTCGGTTGCTCGACTAGACACTAGGTGAGTATGAGGGCCAATGATAGGTCGTAGAGGGCAAATGCGTACAAGTCGAAACTCTCGTTCCAATACGGATTGAGGGTTCGTTTCGAGACGATGGTAGTCTTTGTCTGTTCGCCGTTGATCGTGGCTACAGCGAAGGGATCGGGTAGACCTGTATTTATCAAGGAAATAGGTTAATGGGGTTATGGAATGGTAGTTAGTAAAGATGGCGAGGAACGTACGGAAGACATCCCGTTTATACAGGCCGTCGGCAGCGATGACTACGACGAGGAGGTTAATATGTACGTCTCGTCAAGGACAAAGATAGAAGCGATAGGGAACGATGAGAACGATGGAGATTATGTTGGCGATGAAAGGTAAATAGGACTCGAAGACGCACTCGTGACTCGCAAATTTGGTTGGCTGTAGAACAAACTCGATATCAGTTTCAAAACGTCTCAAAGGTTCCAGCGAGTTTCTTGAACCCGATTAAAAAGGTGGATAGGACAGGATAGGATATTGAATAGTCCGTATTCCATAGTACATAAGAATAATGATAATTATAAAAGGGAAAAGAATGAACGTACGCTGATGGCCCCGGCTCAGAACGACTTGCGGTCATGCTGGACTGGTGGATGCTTCACCGTTGGGAATAAGGTCAAGCGTTTTTTCACGCCTTTGCTCTCATGACCCTCTCTTCTCTCTCTCTTCTCTCCTCTCCCACCGTGGGCGTCCCGTCCAAAGGAGGGGTTCGTCCGTCTTTCGGGTCAAGGTGGATAAGCCGAATTTAAGTAAAAGGATAAGACTCTAAAATTGATACGTGCTTCTCCCTTCCCGTCTCTTTAAATCCTTTTCTAATTTTGGCCTTATGATATTGACGTTTGATGGCGATGGACACTAGCGAACTAACGAGAAGAAAGTTATGAAGTTCAAGTTAGGTAGGGTGTAGCGGTAGTAGTGGGTAGCAGATAGCAATAGTAGCCGTCTCTAAGGTTTCTCAATAGTGGTGGCGGTACCTCCGATGTATTGGATGTATTAGATGTACAAGGATTGTTAGAAACATCAAGGGCGCAACACACCTGGCCTGCTGGCCCATAGCGCTGCTGAGTTGACCTAATCAGCTAATCCAATGGCGGTGGCATTTGATTAGTTGAGGCTGTGCACGCGCTAAGAAACAGGAATGATTGATGCACGTACTTCTTGCGCACGTGCATTCCCGTATCTGTAGATAAGGTTCTACTTAAACTTTACACACTTGGTTATATATATATAAAAGTACTTGCTAGCAAGGTGGAGATGGATCTAGTTATTGTGCAAGTATCTAGCTCTCGCCTTCCATGCAGGTAGGTAGCATGAGCTTAATCCGTTGTATCAATTGATGATGTACCTACCATTAGTCAACCCTTCGCTCGGCGCTCTTAAACATTCTCTTCATCCTAAAGCATACCGGTATGTTTCACCAGAGGAGAAAAGAAGACATGGAGTGCTTACCTAGCCACCCTATTTGTAAACAAAGATGTCGCCTTTCTCACCTAAATAATTCTAATAAAACAACAATACTCCTGTCCCTGTGGTCCTCTTATCCACTCTATTTTAGAAACCGAGGCACTATTTTCCTTAGCTACCTATGTAGGTACGTAGTCCTGACGCGTGGACGAGCAGGCTGATAAAGCTCCTATCGAGCGGCCTCCAACTGTGTCCATGCTTCATACTAGGTACACTGGCATCTAAGCCTCGCGACTTCCAGGATAATACGATCAGGAGAGGAGAGACAAAATCCGTTTATTGGCTCTCCTAGCTAGATCTGGGCCGTGCCGTTACCCGACGATTACTTGGTACATAGATGAGTAGGTAAGCAGGTAGGTAATCCCGAGTTCATTCCTGTAGAGAGCCATAGCAGAGAAAACCAATCGTACAAATCACAAACCAATATTATGTAGGTACTAATCCTTGTTGCCCTGGCGCGATGTGACTTTGACGACAATGTTGGTGTACATAGACGTCAGTAGATTACGATGGGACCAGTTTATGTAATCGATCGGTTTCTTTCCCTGTTAACCCCCTTACATAGATCAGACTTGATGTCAAACAGATAAGATCCTCACTTTGATGATGACGACGACCATCAAACGTCGATTTATCTGTCGTAAAACTAGCAAATAGGCCCATAAGAACAGTGTAAATATCACCCGGCCCGGTCAACCTTATTTGCGATCCTCCACCTGAAACATGTCGTATACATATCATAACAGCCCTCCGGATTATGTTTCTTGCATCGCCGAAGAATCAAGCAAGGCCATAGGCAAATTGCGTAGCTAATTGTGAGTCCATGAGCCAGCCACCAGTCACTCCTGGCTGGATGCCATCAACATCACTTTGTCTTGGCGCCCTTGAATTTGCGACTACCGCGCCTGGCGAGTAAGCAACGAAGATCGAAACGGCAAAACACTCGTATGTCGGTCGTCTTGTTACGGTTGCGAATCTCGCCTGACAACGCCCTCCCGGTCTTGGATACGGATATAGAAGAAAGGGACAGTGTTATGCCATCTCTTCAAAGTCGGTAATGTTATAAAGCCCTGTATGCGTCCCACATACCCTGTCGAATAATGTTTCCTGTTCTTGAGAAGGAACCAAGTTCATATGACCTGGCTCCTTGGACTATCAACCATATTTACCCACTAGTACGATCCTCGAACTCCAACAAGGGCCATTGACCGGCGGGTCTTAAAAAGAGAGGACGGGACGGGTTACCTCTCAGTAAGGGTTAAATCCACCACCTCGTGCTCGTCCTCGGTAACCGCCACGGTAGAATCCTCCTCGTGGCATATATCCTCCTCTTCCACCCATATATCCACCTCGTCCCGGGCCACCAAATCCCCCACGGCCGCGGCCTCCCCGGCCACGGCTCAGACCCGGAATGTTGGTCCGCTTCGGAGTGACCTTGATGTTCCGTCCCTTAAGGACGCTGTCGTTCAACACCAGGGCCTGAGCGACAAGGCTGGGTTCAGTAAACTCAACGTAGGCATATCTATACGCAAGAATGTGAGCCAACGATAACCTGCAAGCTTTTTGTTAATAATTCGGACTTACCCCTTTGGCTGACCGGTGAATTTGTCGAGTAGGATGGTGACGCGGTTGATAGAGCCGCAGCTCTGGAAGTGGGCTTGGATTTCCTCGGGAGAGACAGAGTAATCGACATTTCCAACAAAGATGCTTCGGCTATCTACGTCGGATCGGTCTTCAGAAACTTCCTGACCTCGCTCTTCCAAGGCAGCATGCATCTCTCTTAGCTTGGCAGCTTCTTGTTCCATCTCGGCGACGCGTTTCTTCATGGCAGTGATCTCCTCCTGTGCGCGTGGGTAGGATGTGTTAGTCTCTTAACCTCCTTATGTAGATCTAGGTTTCCACAACGCTGTACGTGTAGAGGGTCAAGACGGATGACGGGATACATACTTCATCGTTACCCTCTTCGTTGACCATGGGGTCCTCACCGGGGACATCCCGCTCGTCGTGATTCGTGTCAGACATGTTTGGTGACGGTTAATCCCTAGGTTTTCTTCTGAGCTGTTAGTACTAGGTTACTAGGTAGAAAATCATAATGAACAAGGCAGAAAGACCAACCCCTCGGTGAATTGTTGTTTATGGCGAGAGCTGGCTATCGAGAAATCCAAAGATATCTTGTACGGAGGGAAAATTATTGCATCCGGATATTGCTACACAAAAGAATGCGCCAACGTCAGAAGCTGGTTTGTGGAAAATGCGATAGAAGGCGACGCAAATGCCCGGGCTTCAGTTGTAATCAGTTGTAAAGCTCTAAAAGCTGCAGTGGAGCAGACAAGATCCAGAGATCCTTAGGTAATATGGTTCGCGCGCTAGCACGCCAGGTCAGCTACGCGGTACGTACCGATCTCATCTTTGGCCTAGGCCTAGCCGTTCTTTCCAAGATTTTCCCTTCACTTTTCTTTGATAGGACGGCAGTATACATGGTCCGTGCATGGGTAACAAATAATGCACATAGGGAAACAACTACATACGAATCCGTATGATATATACAAAACACTCCATTTCTACTATTCTAGCCTACCTATCGTCACCAACAAATGTGTTAATTTTCTGCAATATTATACCTTGTTAAGTATATAGGTCTATTAGAAATCACTGTAGAATATGCCTCCGTAGATGCATATCTGACGTAGTGATAGGCCGTATTTTTTCAAGGACATGGCTCGTCTTGAAATGTCCTGGCATGTTAGTTGATTCAAACCTGAGTAACATACCTAGGTACATTAAGTGATATAGGCATACTACTGGTAGGTAGAAACATCTGGAAAGTAAATACTACAAAGAAGTTTCTACCACGTTAACAAGGGGTTATCCAGTACAATGTCTAACGTAACCTACTCGGGCTAGATGAATGAACTTCTATGATATAGGTAGGATAGTAATAAGGGCTTTAAGGCCTACACAATGCAAGCTGGGCATATTATGACCATACAATCTTAGAACTAGAGCCTGTGAACCTGTAGTTTAGAGTTGTTAATCATCTCTCGACTGGCGTTATTGGAAAAGCTGGCATGGTCAAGAGGGTAGCCAAAGACACTAAAACTTACCTACCTACTTGATATCACGCCCAAGATAACCAATTACAGCAAACAGACAAACACATTTACTAGAACAACTTCAACGTGCTATGCTGACACGTCCGCAAAGGCAAATAAAACCATGATTCGAAGTCACTTTCTTCCATGAGAACCGATTACCAACCTAGAGTACAAAGATTTCCCATCCATTAATCTATGATGAGAACCGTCCCGGAGCGTACAACATATGCAGTAACAACACAAATACAGATGCGGTTTCTTGCTCAGTCATCACCAGATGCCCCATTCCACCATTCTTATCACACCCTTGATCACCTAGCAACCATCTCTTTGCTCGTCTTCGGCTGCCAGGCTGAGTTTTGCCGTTAACTTAAGTCGTATGTAGTATTCGTCGATAGAAGACAACCCATGAAGTGAAGGGATAAGGGTGTAAGTACAGCTTGCCATCCCTTCTGTCCTAACATGAGCTATCGCGTCTGTTAGGAGCCCGTCGTGTTGGTATGCTTCCTTCAGCAGCTAACATCGACGGAAGCCTTAGAATTCATGAGCAGGGCAACGATGAGACCGTAGAGACCCAAGACTTCGGCAAAAATGAGGATGAGGATCATGCCGACAAAGAGTCTAGGTTGTTGAGCAGTTCCTCGCACACCCGCATCACCGACGATACCGATAGCGAAACCAGCAGCCAAACCAGCAAGACCCACAGAGAGACCCGCACCCAGTTGAATGAAACCCGTGTACAGGGGAAGCTGTTGGGTCAAACCATCGGAAATCAGGACGGAGACGACGAGACCGTAGATACCAATGATACCAGCCATAATAACAGGAACGATGTCTACGTAAGTTAGTATTGTTGAACAGAATATTGCGATAGCGAAAGTGGCGCGTACTCTTCACGATGAGGTCAGGTCTCAGGACACCCATAGCCGCAATACCAACACCGGACTTGGCGGTTCCGTAGGAAGCACCTAAGCAAGTGAAGACGATGGCCGCCGTGCAACCCATGGCGCCGAAAAAGGGCTATTTCATCAAAGTTAGCACTGTATCCAATGTCGCGTCCCTTTCGCATTTTGAGATGACTAGATCGATCTTCGCTAGGACTAAAAGGACGAACTAACCGCGTAGACCGGGCTATAGAGAATAACGTTAGCATTCTAATCAAAACACATCAAGAGCTGGGGTTGCAATTGTAGATTGCTGTTTGAAGCTTTGTTTGATGATAGAAGGGGCTGGTGGAAGAAGGCATCCAATAAATTACGTACCAAGCTTCAGAGTAACCGGACATGATGACGGTGGAAGACGAGCTTTTCTAGAAAGGGGAGAAGAAAAAATGGAAATAGAAATTCTCTGAATGATAGACTTTCAAAGCGAACAGATGAGAATGGTAGGATGAATTGGGAATTGAGATGGCAAATCTCGAGAGCTGTACCGGTAGTAATAAAAAGAGACCTATGGCTATGGGAATGTATTACGGGGAGAAGTGTTGCTTTCGCGAGGTAGCAGGTGCTTGTTGCAGTTTGGCCCTTTGATTGGGGAGAACTGGAGAAAGGTTAGATTGACTTTGCAGCTCCGAGTCACCTGCAAAGTGGATCTGCGGTTATGTCAGCGGAACCGGCATAATGTGTCACCGAAAGGGAAATTCCGCATGTGTCGAGTCTTGGCATCTAAATCCAAGTTGAAGCTTTGACATTGTCGAACTTTTTTTTTCTGTCTTTTTATTCTTCAACGAAAACACATCCAACCAACCACTTTTGCGCAATTCTTCATAGGGCGAGCCACCGCAAGGAACCCTGTGTTATATCATAATGTCTGCTCAAGATCAAAACGCAGGTAAGTCTAGATATTCCCCCAAATGAATAATTGGCATGATTGTACTGACTCATCCACAGCTTGGCCTTTGGCCGACCAGGCTCTCACGCAAGAGATTCTCGACCTCGTGCAACAGGCTGGCCGTAAGACTACCACTATTTTCCTGGACGATAAATCATTCCGCTAACAAACGTGCCCATAGATGCCCGTCAGCTAAAGAAGGGAGCCAACGAGGTCACCAAGACGTTGAACAGAGGTGTTGCCGAGATTATCGTCCTTGCCGCAGACACCACTCCGCTCGCGATCCTTCTCCACCTACCGCTGCTTTGCGAAGACAAGAATGTGATCTACTGCTACGTGCCTAGCAAGGTTTGTGGAGGAAAGATATCCTGGACATACATATGCTAATTGAGATGGGCAGATCGCACTCGGCAGAGCTTGCGGTGTATCTCGAGCCGTCATTGCTGCCTCGATCACCACCAACGAGGCCAGCGATCTATCGGGCCAAATTCGTAGCCTTAGGGACAAGATCGAACGTCTCATGATTTAAGATACCCCATAGTTAGGAAAGGAATTCAGGGCCTTGTATAGGAAAATTGTACTAGGCTAGAAGTCTTAGACGGACTGGACGGATAGCCCAGGAACAGCCGTACGCAGGTATAGACAATCTACTCTGCATTGGACCGACTAGTTCAATATAAGATGCAAACCTCATGCTTGGTCTCCACCATACCTAGGTGCTTAATGGTTTAAACATCAATAGGAACGATAAGCACATAAGTACCGAAGTATTTATGCATATGGATCACACTAGCGCATCTGCGTTCCAGCGATGTCGCCCTATAAAGTATGCCCCACCGTGTGACGGCATCAGCAACCCCACCAAAATTCTACTATGTAAGACATCCTTCATTAGGACAAACCTTAGAACCTTGAAAGACTATTTCAAAATGACCATCTCAACTTCCTGGAGGTCGACATGACATAACTACTTTAGAAATTCGTTTGTACTCATTATCTCTTAGTTCAAACTAATAGAATTCTCTATACTGACTTACGAATATCATGATTGAGGTCTTGAGTACTAAGAATGCCTAGTATAGCGCGAAAGCTCTTGATATGCGCCGCCGTCGACGGCCTCATAATCCAGCCGCTTGCAACAAAAGGGCAGCGAGCCCAACAACCCCTCAAAGTCAAGTATGGCGATGCTACAGTATCCTCGCTTCCTCGCGATCAACCGCCAGAAACACCAAAGCTAAACTCGTCCTTCGAGGCCTTCGGTGTCGTAGGTTCGTCTTCTCTAGAATACCTGAACTGTTCCTGTGAACAGATCATACCAGTAGAACTAGTCTCCCTCTGACTGTCCCTTTAATAGGGCTCTTCACTGTTTCCCGCTTAAGCTATCTTATAACTATTACCGGCCGCCAGCAAGTTGCGCAGATTCGCGGTTTTCCTGTCTACGTCGTGACCGACGTCGCGCTCACCCCCTGCACGAGCCGAGCCGAAGCCGAAATAGCCATTGCGAATACGGCGACTAAGCTCCGACGCGCGTCAGCAGACAAGTTTGTCGACGATAGCGACTCAGAAAGCGAGGTCGAGGGGCCTTCGTTTTCTGGTGTTGATGACACAGAAGATCCAGGCGCCTTAAGCGACCGTGAAACTTCTGAAAACAAAGATGTGTCTGAGGCGGGAGGCGAGAGAAGCAGTATAGCAGAAGACGTCATCAAACGTCGCGGTAGCTATGGACGCTTCGCACAACGCTGGTTCAGTCGCAAAGGTTGGATGATGGACCAAAAGCGCAATTTGGGCATGAGCAGCGTGGTAGCAGAGGCTCCAGACAGCCCAACTAACAAACCGAAAAACGGGAGTCCTGAAAGGGAGTTGAGTGAAGCAGTAAAGCAGGAGGGGGTCGATCCTCCATCAACGCCGTCCGTTGGAGAGAGCTTGATGCCCAAGTTAATACGATTTGCGCACATTTGGCTTGGGACATCCCGGAGCTTCTTCTTCTCTTATGACGTGGACCTCACGAGGGGCGTTGCTAATGCGCCCTCCACGACAGAAAAAACAAACCTTCCGCTACACCAAATAGCTGATTCAACGTTCTTCTGGAACCAGAACTTGATGAAGCCCTTCCAAGGCTCTGGTAACGACTCAATAATATTGCCCCTAATGCAAGGCTTTGTGGGACAAAGGACGTTCGTCGTAGATCGTCATCCGCCGCAGTCCGATTCTCAGGAAGATTCGATGGAAATGGCTGATATGTCACCTCCTCCGGAACGTGATACCGAATTCTTTTCTCCGGAAAGAGCATCTGTTGATCTGAGACCATCTGAAAAGAAGTTTGCCATCACGGTGATTTCCAGAAGGTCAACAAGGCGGGCTGGGCTGCGTTATCTACGACGCGGCATAGACGACAATGGGCACGCTGCGAATTTTGTTGAGACGGAACAGATACTCTCAACTCCGACGTGGGACCCAACGTCCAAGATCTTCTCGTTTGTCCAGGTGCGAGGAAGCATACCACTTTTCTTTACCCAGTCACCCTACTCCCTCAAGCCGATCCCGGTACTACAACATTCCCCCGAAGCCAATTATCGAGCGTTCAAGAAACACTTCGAACTTTTAGGTAACACATATGGAGATATACAACTCGTAAATTTAGTTGAGAAGCACGGTGTCGAGGCTATAGTCGGGAACGAGTACGAGAAGACCGTCCAGAAATTTAATGAACAAAGGGCAGAAGACACTCAACCACTCGCTTTCGAATGGTTCGACTTTCACTCCGCATGCCGCGGAATGAAATTTGAGAATGTGAGCCTGCTTTTGGATACTTTGGGTAAAAAAATAGAAGAGGAGAGTAGCACAGTAGAAAAGGGGGGCCAGATAGAACGGAAGCAAAACGGCGTGTTGAGGACGAATTGCATGGATTGTCTAGATCGTACCAACGTCTGTCAGAGTTCCTTTGGGAAGTTCATGCTTGATCTGCAGTTAAGAGAGGAGGGTTTCGACATGTCAGCCCAGCTCGACCAGGAGAACTCGTGGTTCAATACACTTTGGGCTGACAATGGAGATGCTATATCCAAACAATGTGAGTCCGACCCCATCCCTTATCAAAAACCAACAATACTCTAGCGTGAAGTGCTCTATTTGCTAATTCGGGATGTCCTAGATGCCTCTACTGCTGCAATGAAAGGCGATTATACTAGAACGAGGAAACGAGACTACCGTGGAATGGTGAACGACCTTGGACTATCCCTTACACGGTTCTACAACGGGTAAGAAATACGTGCTCTAATAAATTGTTCAATTGCTCACAGTGCACACCAGAATGGTCAACGATTATTTTTCGCAGGCCGCTATCGATTTTTTCTTAGGCAATTTTTCATCTATGGTCTTCGACGAGTTTGAAGCAACTATGATGAGCAAAGATCCCGGCGTTTCGATGTCAAAGATGAGGGAGCAGGCTATCGAGACATCCCAGAAAATCGTCATCGAGGATGATAAAGAAGATTTTATCGGCGGGTGGACTTTGTTGAGCCCTAATACGTCTGGTTCTATCAAGACCTCGCTGTTTGAAGAAGTGGTGCTTCTTCTGACCGACACAGCGCTGTATTTATGCCGATTCGACTGGAAACTTGACAAAGTATCTTCTTTTGAAAGGGTGGATCTGGCACACGTAGTCGGCATAAAAGTTGGCACGTATATAACCTCCGCCATCTCTCCCGCGGAAGCCGACGAATCGAGGAACGTCGGACTCGTCATCACCTATGAACCAGGCAAGTTCGATGTCAAGCGAACTAACACACGATCGCTATCCAGTACGTCGGGACAGTCAGATCACATATCGGGCAAGGATGTACTTGGCAGTCCGGCAAAAGCCCCAGCCGCTGTATCTGGAATCTTGAACCAAGCTATTCTTAACGCAATCGCGGGCAAGCCGCAGTCGCAGCCGCAACCTCCACGAAAGATCGCCCTCAAAGCGCTGCATTCCAGGACGGCAGTATCGGATACGAAGGACACGAAGAAGATGACGGAGAGCGAACAGATCAACGTTATCGCTGCGGAGATCGAAAGGCTGGTCTTCCTCAGCCAACCGATCCCGACGGATTCGGAGCGGAAGAGCATGATAGAGAGAGGGGACATCATCTCCCTCGCCGAGGCGAAGAAGAGCACGGGGATTCTGGAGCAGTGGGGCCATAGCATAAAGAAGTTGGTTTGGGCATAGACGGATCTTTATAGCTGCCCATTACGAAGTGTATATAATTTAGATAATACAAGGTCCTGGCAGGTATTAAACTACTTCAGTTACTAGACGGCCCGGAAGTGGCGCGGTACAGGTGCATCTGGTAGCGCATATCTTGTAGATCAATGGGATACCGCAGTCCGTCGGAAAGCCGGAACCAGATAGAGTCGTGTGATTTCAGCTTCTCCCACCTGCACCCCTCGGGCGGCAGCTTGTCGGCCTGGAGGAGGGTGTGGTCTAGTAGCCATTGCATCGGGTACTTTTTAGCCTCTTTGCCTACTGCCGCCTCTGAGTAGCTCCCGGGACTGTCGACGACTAGAAGTAAGGAGCCAGCCGGGATAGTAGTGCTTAGATTCCGCAGGAACGCCGTGGTTAGCTTTATGCCTCCTGATGTATAGAGCTCATTGAGCGTGAATAGCATCGTGATGAGTAAAGGTGTCTGTCCAAGGAGTTTTGATAGGTCAGTGTTATCTAGTTTCAGCACGTCTTTCTGTACGAATGTCGAGTGCAGACGTGTTGCCGGTTCGATTAGAGCCGCATTTGTTGCTTTGGCTGCGGTGCTTGCGTATTTAGAGAGCGGAGGCGGGGTCGTGAGGCCGACGTGAAGCTTCTGCACTACTTCGGCCCACGGGCCGGTGTCTAGAAGCGTGAGGTCGCCGGCAATATTGGAGTCTGTGTCCCGGAGATAGTCACCGAAGGCCATGATCTCAGCAGCGCCGCCTCCAATCGCAAGCATCCTCATTGTAGCACCACGTTTCGTCTCCCGTTCTTCCTCTTCCAGGTCGACCGTTGGAGAAACCCGGCCCATCTCAACTTCATCCTCGAACGAGACGTCGCTGTCACTTTTACTATCAGTGGCACCGGTAGCGAGCGGCAAAGGCACCAAGTCGTCGGTAATCTGACTCAGTATTCTGCTATAGCACAACGCGCGGCTGGGACTCCATCTCGCCACGTACACTTCGAGGAACTGCTCGTTGCCAAATGCGGTTTCAAAATCTCGGTTGAACAGCGCTTGCTTCACCCTCTGCAATACGGTGCTGAACTCATCGTCGCTGAGTACTTCTTTGAACGTGTCGCTGAAGATGTTGAGTAGCTTCTGCTGCGCTTTGATCTCCTCTGGTGAAAAGGTCGCTGCCGCCGACTGTTGCTCTGTTGCTCCTGAAGTCGATCCGGAAGCCGGCCTCTCCGCCGACTTAGAGGCGGATGTCGAGGTTCGAGGCGGAGGCTTGGTGGTTTTTGAACTGGAGCTTCTCTTAACCATACCTTTTTCTAATCTCTGGAAGAGATAGTCTAGGTTTTCTAGGTTTCGTTTAGAGTCACTTTGATTGTTTGGAGTCAATTTCTCCTATTCCCCAAATATTCTTAACTTTTATGCTTGCAATTAGACTTTTCGGAGTTTAGCATTAGAGATTGAAGAAGTCTGTGATCAAAATTTGATGATCTAGACAATCCGTGTTAATTGGTTGAGAGCAACAGCACAACCCAATACCATCGAGTCATTTTTAAACCATGTACCTATCTATTACGCATACTCCCTACTTCTAGTTCAAGATGACAATAAATATATAATTTGTTTACTATAAGGCCGCAATAATTCAACCGTATTATTCTTAGGTATATCGAGCACCTTACTACGGATTGGATTGATTTCATTAATCGATAAAAAAACCTACAATTATATCTCCGAGACTCTCGTAAAAGTAACGGCCTTTAAAAATTCCTCATGACGTTGAATGAATCGATGTGTACTGTATAATATTAATACCCAGGAGTTTCCCCGTAGCAACTTTTCTGTGTAGTTGGGAGAAGTGTCACCGTCATTGTATACCTAGGTAAGCACCACATGGCTAAAAGTTGAACGACTCGTTGATCTGGATGTTTGAGCAACTCCGGCCAAGCCGACCGATATAACTTTTATCGGAGGGAAGCGAGCGATAGATCACGATACTACAGATAAAACCAGTACAGTCACGGGAGGAGCAGACATTCCGCCTTTCCGCTTGGTTCGCTATTGGTATGGGTGTGATAAATAGGGATCTAAAATAAGAGACGCTCGAATGATCTTCTTCGACTCGCTCACGTTGCTTGATAGGGTAGCCCCGTGCGTTCGCGGGTTTAGAGCGTCTAATATGGCTCACCTTCGGGGCTACTCTTATGGGATTACGCTTGGCCCGTCTTTGAAGGTTGGAGCTGACAAACGCTGACATTAGGTACTAATACACACCTGGGTACGCATGCAGGCGAGTACCTAATATATCATAGGTCCGATACGGAGCGAGATATAAGACGGGAATTATGAGTTGGTTAGAATAGAATGACCCACGATGATATCTGTAGTTACGAAACAAATAAGTAAAGACCACTGTTCTTGGAGGCTCAAACGACCTAACTAGATTTCAAACATGTCAGTAACATATATAGTACAAATCTCGCGAATAACTGGTGAGTCTTTTTCCGGACCTATCAGACGCATTGTAATAGATTCGGCTCGCGCAGGGCTGCAGGGCCATTGAAGCTAGAACTCTCGTTTAGTTGAGCAAGAAGGATTTTCCAGTAAGTATGCTCGGAGATTTGCCCCTTTTGCTCGCGTAGTAAGAGATATGGTCACACATGGGTCAGAATTTGAGCCGTTCAAGGTTACTTTCTTGTATGCAGAATTCTATTGTGAGGTATTCTTGAATCTTGACAATTCCTCTTGTAACGAAATCGGGAACGCAGTATCGGATGTTGAGAAGGTGACGTAGGTACAAGATGGGATGCTGTATCACCACGTTGACGGCAAACTTCTTGGTGGCGAAAACCATTCAGGAACTTCCGAAATTTTGAAAAGAAGGAAAAAAAATGAAACGAGTCGGTCAGTAGCGTAACCAAGTGTTTGGGGAGGAAATACTGGAGCTTGGCACCTGAACAGGCATTCGTTGTTGAGGGTTTGATAAGAGTTGAGAATAAATGATGAAATAATGCCGCTCTAGTCAGTATAGTACCTATAGTACCTGGTGGTACTTGACTACAGAATCCTAGTTCACCCCGGCTCTTTGGGAAGTAAACCCCCACCCCACCTGCTATGATTGATCGCCTCCGACTAATACTTGCCTCAGCGGACTTTAGTGAGCCATGCATCTAGCGTGTCAGAAGCCTTCGGCCCCTCCAGGTCCCTCTTTCCAAGAGAAAGGACCCATTCAAGGACGCCCGTTGCCGCTGCCGGCCGTCTACACTAGGTAGAGACTGCAGAGGTCAAAACATTTTAACCATCCGCGATTCTTCCCACTCTTATTTTCTTCCTTCTCCCAAACCACTTTTTCAATTGACTCTCTTTTGAACACAATTTCCCAAGATATCTCTGTAGAAACGCAATCATGGGATACACTGAGAAAGACTGGCTCGCCATTAACACCATCCGTGTTCTTGCTGTAAGATGACGACTCTTTTCTTAACCCCGCCCCCGCTCTGCCCCTCCAATCCTCCATCGTGAGCTCATCGAAGCTCTTCTCGCTCTGCCTTTTTTTTTGCCCTCATCACGGGTATTCCCAACAATAATCGAGCAGTACTAACAATTGTCTTCCTCTAGGTTGATGCCACCTTCAAATCCAACTCGGGCCACCCTGGCGCGCCCATGTGAGTAGCAATATATTTATATAAGACTATACTGGTTTTTCTTTGAAGGAATAGCTATTGACACCAATTGGTACAGGGGTATGGCACCGGTTGCCCACGTTCTCTTCAACAAATTCATGAAGTTTAACCCCAAGAACCCGAAATGGTTAAACCGCGATAGATTCGTGCTTTCGTAAGTTGAATTATTGTCCTGTGTTAACCCAATCCAATTATTAACTATAAGGGCTTCAGTAATGGGCACGGATGCATGCTCCAATATGCTCTTCTCCACCTTTTTGGATACGCTGTATCTATGGACGACCTTAAGGCGTTCCGAGTGAGTTTCCTTTCCCAGCCCGAATGTAACTTACAAGAATGATGTAAAGCTCATAATAATTATAGACTGTTGACAGCATCACCCCCGGACATCCCGAGGCTCATGATACCCCCGGTGTCGAAGTTACCACTGGCCCTCTTGGCCAGGGTATCTCCAACGCTGTCGGTCTTGCGATTGCTCAGGCCCAAACAGCAGCCACCTTCAACAAGGATGGCTTCCCTATCGTCGACAACTACACCTACTGCTTCTTGGGTGATGGCTGCTTGATGGAGGGTGTTTCCAGCGAGGCGAGCTCTTTGGCTGGCCACTTGCAGCTGGGTAACCTGATCGCTATTTACGATGACAACCAGATCACTATCGACGGTGACACTGCCTGTGCCTTCACTGAGGATGTCGTCAAGCGGTACGAGTCGTACGGCTGGCACGTTGAGGTTGTCAGTGATGGTGACCACGATCTCGACGGTATCGAGAAGGCCATTCAAAAGGCTAAGGAAGTCAAGGACAAGCCTACCCTAATCAAGCTTAAGACCACCATTGGGTTTGGCTCTTTGCAACAAGGTACCCACGGCGTTCACGGTTCCCCCCTGAAGGCTGATGATATCAAGCAGCTCAAGCAGAAGTTTGGCTTCAACCCTGAGCAATCCTTTGTCGTTCCACAAGAGGTTTATGACCAATATGGCAAGAAGGCAGCTGAGGGTGCCGCTCTCGAAGAGGAGTGGAACAAGTTGTTCGCAAGCTATGCTACCAAATACAAGGCTGAGCACGACGACCTCGCTCGCCGTCTTAGCGGAAAACTTCCCGAAGGCTGGGAGACGAGCCTTCCAGTCTACACCCCCAAGGATGCTGCCGTTGCATCTCGAAAACTCTCCGAGATTGTCCTCTCCAAGGTTGAGGGTATCATTCCCGAGCTCATCGGTGGCTCTGCCGATTTGACAGGATCTAACTTGACTAGGTGGAAGGGTGCTACTGACTTCCAACCCCCTTCGACCAAGCTTGGTGACTACGCTGGCCGATACATCCGATATGGTGTCCGTGAGCATGGTATGGGTGCTATAATGAACGGTATTGCGGCATATGGTACACTTATCCCCTTCGGTGGTACTTTCCTAAACTTCGTCTCGTATGGCGCTGGCGCCGTTCGTCTATCTTCGCTATCTCAGGCCCGCGTTATCTGGGTTGCTACCCACGACTCCATCGGTCTCGGAGAAGATGGCCCTACCCATCAACCTATCGAGACCCTTGCTCACTTCCGCGCTCTGCCTAACATGATGGTCTGGCGACCGGCCGACGGTAACGAGACCAGCAGCGCCTACTACGTTGCTTTGACTTCTAAGCACACCCCTAGCATCATCGCGCTGTCACGACAGAACCTACCTCAGCTCGAGGGATCGACCATTGAGAAGGCGAACAAGGGTGGTTACGTCTTACACGATGTCGAAAACGCCGACATCACTCTTGTCTCGACAGGTTCGGAGGTCTGCATTTGCGTTGACGCTGTCAAGTACCTCCAAGAGAAGCACGGCCTTAAGGCACGTGTCGTCTCCATTCCTTGCTTCGAGGTCTTCGATTCGCAATCCAAGGAGTACAGACTTAGCGTTCTCCCCGACGGCATTCCATCTCTGTCCGTCGAAGTCATGAGCACAATGGGTTGGGAGAGATATACCCATGAGCAGTTTGGTTTGAACAGATTCGGTGCCTCCGGTGCTTACAAGGACGTCTACAAGGCAAGTTCTATTGAATTTTTTCCTTGTCCAGTACCCATTTACTAACTAGCACAACAGAAGTTCGAGTTTACCCCCGAGGGTATTGCGAAGAGGGCTGTGGCTACCGTTGAGTTCTGGAAGGGCGTTCCCAACATCCGTTCGCCCATCAACCGTGCATTCCAGCAGCTTATTTAAAAATAGAGGAGCGATGAAGACTTTTGGGATGATTCCAAGTTAGCTGGCGCAATGAATAAGATGGTTATCGCGGACATATAGACTTGCGAGCCAGAATAGTTTGAGACCAGATAGCAATAAATGCAGTGAAATTTTAACAACAAAATCTAGAAACCTTCGATTAAATATGTTCATGTTACTAAAGAGGGCAATATGTTTACCCTATTTTGAAATGCGAAGTAAATTCGCTATTCAACAACGACGTAGATACATACAACACCCCGGGCAACAATTCTACATCGAAGTAGAACTATTTCAAAGCTCAATAGCTCATATTCATCTCCGGGGTATCATGAGCAAACCTACTCTAGAAGCCCGGAATCTAACACGGCCTAAATTTTACTACTTCCGAACCTGAACCATTCGCCATCCGGAGGTCCCTAGGTTAGGTATGTAGGTGCCGGGAGCGAGTGCTTCGCGGAGAAACGGCTTCCCACCTTAGACTCTAGCGGGGTGACATTTCCTTGCCCACATAAATGTACCAGCATGGAGGTATGTAGTAGATACTTATTCCTCCTACTTTTTCCGCCTCTGCCCCGCTCCCCTCTCAATCACCAGCATCCCCGGCCCCGGCCCCGGACCTCGCACCTCCCCGCCCTTGCCCCCGCCCCTGCGCTTGCTCTTCCCGCCCGTCCTCGTCCTCGTCCTCGGACCCGGCCTGCGCCTCGGCCCAGCGGGCCTGGATCTCGCGGCCGACGCGCTCGAGCCTAGCGGCGGCGCGGCGCGCGTCACGCGCCTCGTCGGCGGAGGGGGATACGACGAGGCCGACGAGCATGGGCGGCGCGTTCGCGTCTTCCGGGGACGAGGAGGCGTCGTCGATGCTGTTGGTATTGTTGGTGGTTCCGTGCTGGAGTTGCAGTTGGGCTAGGCGGCGCTCGATGGCGGTGGCTGTGGGGCTCGCGGAGGGGGAGACGGGGGTGCTGGGTTCGGAGGGGGAGGGGGAGGGGGAGGGGGGGTCGTGAGGGTTGAGTCCGAGGCCGTTGGGAGGGGCGGCGGGGGTGGTGGTTCCTGGTGTGTGGCTGCTGGAGGGATTATTGTTGTTGTTGTTGGTGTGTCTGCTTGGAGGTGCGTTGGTCGTGTTGGCCGCTGCTGCTGTGGTAGCGGAAGAGGAGGAGGGACGGGAGTCGGCGCGCAGGAAGGATTGCAGGACGACGGGCCCGGAGCCGGCGTGCTCGACGACGATGCGCTGCGGCGTGCCGAGGCCCAGGCGCAGGGCCGACTCGTGGGCGCTGAGGGCGCCGTGGGATAGCGAGGTCAGGGCGTCGAGCTGGTACTGCGTGCGCGCCGAGGTGATGAGGGGCGTGAGGGCGCGGTCGGAGAGGTGCAGGGAGAGGTGCGGGTGTTGCGAGGGGAGGTTGGCCATCTTTTCGGATTTGGGTTGGGTTTGAGGGGGGTTTTTCGTTTACTTCCCCCTTCGTTATGTGATATCGCTGTTTATATGTGTTTTCCCTCTGTTTTATTTCTCCTTCCGCCTAACTATGTGGGCGGGAGACGTAGTGAATCGGAAGCTTCTGTATCAGATAGATGGATATAGAAAGATTAGATCTCCTCGATAGAGATTCCTGATGGATGGTTTAACCAGTTAAATGGATTGCAAGCAAGATAAGCTATAAGTGTAGTGTTAGCTTAGGATCACTAACATCACGGAGCTCGAGTGGATGTTGTTTCGTATGGTGGAATGCGATATGTAGGTAGTATGAAATTAGTGACCAATATGGGAGGAGCGATCTTCTCAAGTTCTTTGTCAAAGTGCCATGTACCAAGGTACCTACCTAAGAGAAGACGGGTCAGGCGGGACTTAGAGCGCCCCTACTAGACGCTCACTTCCGTTTAGGCCTGCCTAGCTGCTAAGTTCCGTTGGGCGATGGGCCGTTAAACTAAGTTGCAGGTAAGGTCATGCGTAATGACGCACTTGGTTAGGAAGCAGCTTTTCATTGGCCTATTACGAATTCTGTGCTACCTGAAGCGGAGCTGCTCTCGGTACCTGTCAGTTACAGTCCCTAGAACTTAGAAGGCCCCACATGCCGGGTTGTGCACTTGACCAATTCTCAATTCCGCCATAATATCTTTGACATCCACAACTCCAGCATCGTCTGCAAAGGCCGTAATCCGCGTGGTACAGACATCCAATACGTGCAGTCTTTCTCTTCTTGGGCCCTCGAATAACGATATCACGATATCACGATAACGACATATTAAATATCTTACATCAGACTTACCACCTACTCGTTCTAATAATATACCAATTCCGACCATGTCGCAGCGGTTCTAGGAAGACCGTGCGGGAAGAAAGAGGACGAAGAAGACGGCCGTGGTCGACTACGAAGCTATGACCAACGATAACGTTCCTGGTAACACCGTCGGCGGTGGAACTTCGAGGTGGTTGCCACGACCCGCTCGCGCACCGTCGAGGAGTGTAAGTAATATATAATTCTGCTTATTGGCTTTTCTCTACCCTTTTGTTCTTCCTTTATTTCCACGTATTCGAGTTTTGTGAGAGACGTATAGGAAAATTGTAGGGCGGTGAAATGTGAAATGTTGCTGTACTGACGCGATGCCCCGACGACGACAGAAGCTACGTAATGGCACTTGGGTTGTACCCAGCACCGGCGAACGTACTCGTCGTCAATTTACCCTTCGATATCCCCGCCTCGATGGCTCCAGCGACGACGACAACTTGCGCCCCCTCACCGAGGGTAGCACAATGAAAGACAAGGCTCGGAATGCGTGGCACAATGCTCGAGTGACGGCTAGCAAGCTATGGGCGTGGTCAAAATCCCCCAAGGGACGAGGCACTATTAAATGCTCTATTGCATACCTGCTGGCTAGCATGGGAACCTTCTGGCAGCCTGCTGCTGCCTTTCTAGGTCCGATGGATGGGAAGCATATCGTCGCCACAATCTCTGTTTATTTCCACCCGGCAAGGTCGGCGGGCTCGCAGATAGAAGCGGTTGCCATAGCTGTCGTCGCTGTGTGTTATGCCATGTTCATCGGAACTTTGTCCATGGCCACTTCGGTCCTCTTCGGTTCCGTGTTAGACATGGTAGAACTCTCCTATGCCTTAGTACTCATCATCTTCATCGGAGGTGGCTTAGGTTTTGTCGGGTGGGTTAAGCAGAAATTGAATAACCCGCTGGTGAGCGTTGGTGCCAGTATAGCATCCATCGGCATCATCACCATCGTGACAAAGGAAAACTCGGTCCATACTGGTGTCTTCACGAACCAGAAGATCATACAGTCGCTCAAGATCCTGCTTATGGCCACCACAATATCAACCTTGGTCAACATGCTCATCTGGCCCGTCTCCGCGAGGTTGGCATTGCGCAAATCCATGCAAAGTGCTTCCACTTCACTTGGCGCTATGCTGTCTATGATAGCAAGCGGGTTTTTGAGTGGCGCTGAAGAGGATTTCACCTCGTGCGAATTTACAAAAGCATCGTCTACGTACACCTCAAATTTGACGCAGATGAATAAGAACGCGCGAGAATCCAAATACGAGTACTATTTCTTGGGACAGGAACAAATATATAAACAGGACAAGGCTGTAGTAAAGTCGATGGAGAACCTTGCCCAATCCCTGGGAGGGCTGAGAAGTGCGGCTAACACCCAATTTGAGCTTCTCAAGGAAGTATCCAACGGAAACCTGACTGCCAGCCCGGCCGTCTCGCCTACTACGAATCCCGTTTCCCCAACGTTTGGTCGGTCTTTGTCAGCGATGTTGAAAAGTGGCAGTAATAGGGTTAGCTCCCTTAGTGCCATAGACGAGGCACCCGATGAACGTAGCGATCGAGAAGATGAGCCGACTCCTACGCAAGAAATGCCGTTCGCTATTTTGTCTCCATCGGGTGCGGCCTTGAGGACGCCGTCTGATATCTTCGAATTGTTCATCGCTCGTCTTGGGCCATCTATGAAATCACTAGTGCACACCATGGCAGAAATGCTTAAAGAGCCGCCGTTTGGTGTTCCTGGCTCGCCTATCACAATCAACGAACGATTCAAGCAAAGTCTCTCGGATGCAACCAGTCTGTATAATCAAGCAAGGGGTAATGCCCTCGAAGAAATCTATAAGACTATCGAGTTAGGCAGGACCAGATCCGAGTCCGTTCAGGCAGACTTCGAGGAAGTTGCCGCAGCTTGCGGTCACTTCTCATTCAGTCTGCTAAGTTTTGCGGACGAGATGCAGATTTACCTTGATACACTAGACGACTTGAGGGATGCCGTAGAACAAGACAATCGGACTTGGAAGTGGTTGATGTTTTGGAAGCTCATTAAGTTCCCGTCAAGAAATAAGAACGACGATGTGGAACAGTTGTCTTTGCTCAAACCAGTTAGGCGATTAAGGCAGTCTAAGATGCCCAAAGGCATTCCTGATGCGATGAAAAACAGGCGTGGCACTCTCAACTGGGATACGGTACCGCAAGGTGAGGGTATATGGGACCATATTGTTCGAGCTACGTCTCGAAATCTCTTGAAGTTCTTCAAGTTTCTCGCAAGGGATGACAGTAAGTTACCGCTCCACAATTTTTCGTCTCCAGATAACTTTTACTAACCCCTATCACAGTCCGTTTCGGCCTTAAAGTTGGCATTGGCGCTACTTTGTACGCCATGTTTGCTTTCATCCCTCAAACGCGACCCGTATATGCCCACTGGCGAGGAGAATGGGGTCTATTGTCTTTTATGATCGTATGTTCAATGACCGTTGGTGCCGCGAACGCTACTGGTATGGCTCGTTTCACCGGTACCATTATGGGTGCTGCCTTTGTCCTTGTCAATTGGTGGATATCTAATGGCAACGCCGTTGCGCTCGCTTTCCTCGGTTGGGCCGTCTCCTTTGGCGCGTTCTACATAATGGTTGATCGCGGTAATCCGGCGTTCGGTCGCTTCATATTACTAAGCTACAACGTATCGTCATTATACGCATACTCCCTCACGCAGCAAGTCGACGACGACGATGACGATGAGGGCGGCATCCATCCCATCATTGGATCTATCGCTTACCACAGAGTTGTTGCGGTCTCTGTGGGTATTGTCTGGGGCCTTATAATCTGCCGTCTGATTTGGCCTATGCCAGCTCGTCAGAAGTTTAAGGAGGGTTTGGCCGTTCTGTATCTTCAGATGGGCCTCGTATGGAAGCGAGGCCCGTTGGCTGTTCTCCTCCGTAATAACACAGCCGCAACAAGCTACATGAAGATAGGTGAGCAAGCCGCGATGCAGCGATATGCAACTCAATTGCAAACTCTCCGTGTGGCCGCGAACAACGAATACGAGCTTCGCGGGCCGTTCCCCTTCCAGGAATACGGACGGATCATGGCGTCAACGCAACGTGCACTGGACGCGTTCCACGCTATGAGTCTCGTAACGCAGAAGCACGGCCGGCTGAGCGCGGGCGAGAAAGCGCTATTGTACTATACGGCAGAGGAGAGGGCGCAGCTGTGCGCACGCATCTGCCACGTGTTCCAGGTGCTCGCGTCAAGCATCATGCTCGAGTATCCGCTCACGGACGCCATCCCTAGTGTTATGGTCATTCGGGATAAGCTCCTCGGCAAGATCTTCCGCTTCAGAAAGGAACACAGCCACCCCCATCACGACGAAGGGACGGAAGATGGAGGCAAAGCACCAGCGAACGGGCACGCAGACACGGACACAAGTACTGAAGCGGACGCCGGCAAAGCTAAGACTCCGAAGTTGGGCGACGTCGTGGTAGAAGAACCAGATTACGCGCTCCTGTATGCGTACGCCCTAGTTACCGGCCAGTTGGCAAAGGAGCTGAAGGTTGTGGAGGAAGAAATTGAGAACTTGTTTGGACGGCTTGATGAAGATGCCCTGCTGTTGCAGTAACGAACGGAAGTGACTGTGCTGGGTTGAAGTTCAAAACTGTAGGTCTACGTGAACCATGTCTCTTTCTTGTGCCTCGAGGGTTGTAGGCAGTGTCTGTGAGAGAGAAGGTTATATAAATTATAAAGCATCGATAAACAGGTCGTGCGACCCAAAGGTTTGTCTGTTCGTTTTAATTACGATTAACATGACCCAAAATGGGAATCGGGATGTCTTGCTAGGAGTTGGGGTTCTTGTTGCAACGAATAGATACACGACGTATAAATATATGCATACATTGGGTTTATCGATACATTTAGTTGATTATTTATTATGATGATGAGTGAGTTACACCTTTTATTACAATGCTCTTACCAAGACTACCTACCTACCACACGGCGAAAGTTTTTAACCACATCCCCCTTTTTCTCCCGTCCCCACATATATATGCATCTATATAAAATGAATACCTTGATGGTCTACACCAGTTCGTCGTGAGCGACTCCCCAATTTCCTCTTACCCATCTATTCCTATCACAAGTAATTAAAAGAAAAAACGAGGGGACAAGGGAAGCAACACAAAAACCTGAGACAATACAAGTCAAGGTCTGTCTAAGTCTAAGATCATCCTCGATTGCAAAAAGTGCTTAATATTCGCGCTATATGCCGAGCTCCCACTCTACCCACCCCAAAACTCCATGAGATTGAAGATTCTACAAAAACAGTTTTATTTTTTTACCCAAAATAAAATGCCAGAACCAGATCAACTCGATTTGATTCGATTCGCCTTCCTTCTTTCTTTCCTTCCTCCCCTTCCCGTTTCCCCTTTCTCCCTTTTGCGGACTCGGCTCCTCCTTCTGGGTTTAGTTAGTAGTACATATATATATATAGACTACGCAGTCTTTTTATCATCGTCTTCACGATCCCTTATCTTAGTATATAGGTAGGTTAGGTAGGTGTAGAATTTCCACGGGGATGGGCGATCAGTCGTCGTAGTGGTCCTTAGCGCCGATGACGCCCTCGCTCTGCTTCCTGCGCCTGCGGCCGATGACCTCCTTCAGCCACTCGCTGAGGGTGAAGCCCCAGTGGCAGGCGACGAGCACGCCGCTGAGGATGTTGACGACCTTGACGCCGAAGGTGAGGAAGCTGTCGCGGCGCTCCTCCACGTGCAGCAGGATGGGCTCGATGTCGTACTTGAAGAAGAGCCCGGGCACGAGGCGTTCGCTGACCTCCTTGCTCTGCTCCGTGACGGCGTATTGGTTCGTGAAGATGGTGCGCTCCGTGCCCGAGCCCCGTTGCACGCTGTATACCGTCGGCACCACCGACATGAAGTACTGGAACTTGTGGAAATGCGCTGTGGCTAGGTTGATCGTGCGGTCGAGGGGGTTCACGAGAGACGGGTAGTAGGGCCCGAACGAGAGCTCCGAAATAACGTGGGAGAAGTTGAAAGCTGTGCGCAAGAAAGGTGAGTCAGTATTACTTTTCCCAATCTTGGCTCTAACATATAATAAAGCGTAAAAAGTGAAGGGTCGTACTCACCACCATGATCCAAATGCTGTCCAGCCTCAGCATATCCGTGGCCCCTCGCAGTAATATGGAAATCGCCCTGGACCTTGTTCAAGTCCAGACTCCCGTAAATACGACAGCTATCGGCCTCGGCGCCCCAGAGCCTCGGCGTCTTGCCCCAGCGGGCCTTCTTGCGGCCCATGGCGACGATATCATGGACGTGCTCCTCGCCGAACCCCTCGTCGTGCCATCCGGCGCCGGTGACGGCGCGGCCGTGGCTGTCGAGGCCGAGCTTGTGCACGCCCTTCGCGTCGACCCACTGCCCCCACGAGGTCGCGTCCTCCTGCAGGCGCGAGGCCGCGAGGATGCGGTCGCCCGCCGCGTCCTGCACGTTGACGTGCAGGTCCTTGCACTTCATCTTGACCACGATGTCCAGGTTGATCTGCATGCTGTGCCCGACGCCCTTCTCGACCGCGAACGTGTGCGTCTCCTCGCCCTGCCACCACCGCCCCAGCTCCGACCACAGCAGCACCAGCGACACCACCGACATCGCCACCGTCCACTTCCCGCCTCCCGACGTGCGCGTTACGTACTGCGGCTTCGATTTCGCTGGAGAGGGGGGTCAACAAGGGCCACCGGTTAGCTTTCGTCGGACTTTTGCGCGATTCGCCCTCAGCAGGGAAGGGAGGTTTATGGATAGAAGGAAAGCAGGGCGCACTTACGGAAAGCGTCAAAAGCGCGTACGAAGTTCCCCGGTTCCGGTTCGTCATCGTAGTGGCTCTTCTCGTTATAGCCGTTCATGGTGACGGCGATCCCCTATCCGGGATCCAGTATCGAGTATATTAGGTAGGGAGTCTCGTGTGCGATTCCGAACGCGCTGCAGGCTCGCCGAGACGTCTAGCTAGGCAGAGCTAGCACGGCATCTGCTTCGATCCAAGGACCTAGAGAGGGTTAATGTCGAGTTGGGTTGCGGAAAATAGCGATGGTTGGCATTGACCATTAACGAAGGGCGAAGGTGGATGATGTTCCAACGTTGGAACATGGAATCGCACTTTTAGCAGCTATCGATATTAGAGGACAACTTGCACCAAAAGGTACATCTAACACTCTTACCTGCAACTAATCGCTAGCCAAGTGGACCCCGGCTCCAGGTGGAGACGGAGACCCTTCCAGTCTTCTCGCGGCTGAATTTGGAGAAGTGGGGTCAATCCACTCACGTCGTCGTAAGCACATAGGTACAATTCGAAGACATCAACAGAATTCTACCTACATATTTACCTTGCTGCTTTGCATACCTACCTGGATATTATGTATACAATTACGAAGATAGCACATTAAAGACGCAGTAGTACCTAATGAAAGTACATCGTAATTCGCACAATTTTATGAACACAAGTGAATTGAGCTACCGGACCCTATCCTTATAGCTCCTGCGCATGCCAACAATCTGTTCCTGTTGCCTAACTAATGAGTGGAATGAGATGTGGATGTCATGTGGCATCTGTAGAGATCATTATGACCTCTACCCGAAAACAAGCAAATCGTCAGTAAGTAGATAGTCCTAGGAGCCGGCACCGAAATGGGAATGAAGAAACAGACAGCACACTGAAATAACGCCTCTCTTTCTTTGCCACGAAGTCGCCCTCGAAACCGCCCTCGCAAAGTGGTGTTTTCGGCCGAACGTACTGCGAGGCTTCTCTCTGCTGCTTATTTCTTCGATGCCGGCTTGTGCTGTTCTGAGAGGTATTCCTCGTCCGACGCATCGAGGATGTCGTATTCCTCATCGGTCATGAAACCCTCATCAGACTCCGCCCACTCCTCGTCCTCACCGCAGTCCTCAAAGTCTTCCTCCTCCTGCTCATCTTGCACAGATTGCGCAAGCGTGTCCGTCTCTGTCTCAACTTCTCCCTCTGATCGAGCATTCTCATGCATGCTGGCAGATGGCGATTCGTGCTCCAACTTGGGAATGATCATCTGGCTCTCGGCTACATCAAGAGTAGGCGAACTGCTAGCTTCTTCCTTCTCGGGCAGAGGTTGAGCCTCCACGACCTTGGGGGGCGCCTGGACAGTTACGTCGCACCATAGCTTGTGGCCAAACTTGACGCCATCGGGGGTGGTTAGTCGCCAGTAAGAAATCACCTTCCCCTCTCGGTCAGGGGTGCGCATCAGGACAGTAAAAGGAAACTCTTGGCCGGGCTTAAGTGCGTTGTAGCAAATCGTCGACTCGGAAGCCGAAACCAGCTCATGAATACCAGCCGGGTGAGTGGGGTCAACAGCCCCCATGTAGTCACCACCAACGAACTTTACTGAGCAACCAGCTGGCCAAGCATCTGTGCCCTCGTTGCGGAGAACCCAGACCTGCTCAAAAGTGTAGTTAGGAGGCAGGATGGTTCCATCAGCGACTCTGTCGTGCTGGAATACGGCGACAAGGTCAGGTGTACTCGGTTGCTTCTCGACCAGAGTTGCTACCTCTGCATCCACTTCTTCCTTCTTTACTTCTACTTCCTTCTCTTCCGGCTTAGGTGTCTGCTGCTCAGTGGGCTGCACATCAACCACGGTCTGCACAGGGGTAGCAGCAATGCTCTCGTGAACCGAGGCATCCGTTGCCGTAGCTCGGGTAACACGATCGCCCATCGTAGGCATGCGTTGACCATCCTCATGCTCACCAGTGGTGGTGACGCTAACGTGACGCACGGGCGTCTTGAACTTAATTAGAGGATGCGTCTTATTGTGCTTGTTAGAAGGGCTAGCCTCGCAGTTGGCGCAGAAATCGGTGTCGTGGCACACAGCACACTTGTATCGTACGCCAACAATGCACTTTGACGAGCCCCCATGGGTGGCTGCACATAATGGGCCATCACAGCAAATACCGTAGTGGGTAGCACGAGATGCAGATTGCATAGCTCGGTCAGCCAAAGGCTCGTAGATAGCCACAAAACGATGGTTTGCGTGGATGAAGTCGGCATTCTGGACACATTCTGAGCAGTAGTCCCAATCAGGGCAGTCGAGGCACTTGTGTCGAATACCGCGCACGTACTTGTCGCAGCCGTCACAGATAGCGTTGTGGGTAGCATTTCTACCAGGGGCCAGACGCGAAGATACGCTATGATCGAAAGTCGTACCTTTCACGGCAGGGACAAAACCATGTGCGGGGTGGTGACCATGCTTATTTTTGGCAAAGCAATTCTTGCAGAGGTCGTAATCGTCACATGTTGTGCAGTGTAGGAAATCCTCTCCGGGGAAGTCCTGGACACAACAGTTGCAGGTCCGATCATTGAAAGGTGCACTCCAGGACGGAGCCCAGTTTACACTCTCGGCGGGTCTAATAGGTAGGTTGACAATAGGGGCAGTAGCCACCACCTTAGTTGGCTTGGGTCGGGATATCTTAGGAGCAACGTGGGTGCTGCTGTAATTGATCTGGCCATCCTTAATGGTTCGCTTAATGAGCCAGTGTCCATCACCATAACATGTTATGCCCTGGTTGACACAATCCTGGCAGAGGTCAAAGTCACCATCGTCGCAAGTGGAACAGTGGAAATGCGCATCAGGAACAGCTCGGTCACAGCTGTTGCAACAGACGGTGAATGGTCGCTTAGGGCAGCTGGGAGCAGCCGTAGCTTCTTCCATCTTAGCTTCCTCGATCTTTACCTCCTCCGTCTGGGCCTCCTTCGCCTTAGTATTGCGGAAGTAATAGCTTTCTGGGAGACCCGAACTCTTCCGAGACTCTTTCGAGACAGCCAACCTCTGCTTGAGTGAGTCAATAAGACGGGAAGTGTCAGCCAGCGGCGATGCAGACTGGGAGAAAGGACATCGACTGGTATCAGTCAAGCTGCTTTGCGTTGCCTCGTTAGACTCAAGGGCCATTAGGGACTCGGCTGTAACTGCGGGCGTGGATTTAACAAGGTCGACAATTTCTTTGCCTTCTTCGTCTCGTCTAACGTGGATGCTGGGCATACCATATGTACGCCATAGCTTGATGAAGTCGGGCAGGTTCGAGTGAATGTCTGACACAGAAATGGAATTGAGGACTTCAGTGCCAATCTCGGCAGAAGTATTGATAGGGGACAGGGCTTCAGATGTCAGGTCTAGAGAAGGTTCATGGATGGTAGGTTCAACAACCTCCTTCGACTCGACCTCGGGCTCGTCTTCAATCGTAACGGGCTTGGGTGCCTTGACTTCTTCAGGTTCGCGGGCAGGCTCAGCTTCCTGCTTAACTTCTGGTTCGGGCTCAGCCTCGGGCTCAGGCTTCTGAGTAGTAACTCGAAGCTTTAACTTTTGCTTGGCTTTGGCGGCTCGGTAAAGTTGCTTATAGGCTGGGATGTTGGCTGGGTGCAGGACAACAAATGAGCCAGCCGAGTCTGAGTAGCGCTCAAACGTGGCCGTGGTTTCTGACGGAATCTGCAGGGAATGGCGAAGCTACGAAAAAGGAAATGTTAGTAGATGGTTAATTTGAATGAAGAATTAAAAATAAACGATGGATATATCGACGTCAGATAAGAGTAACTAACCTTGTTCTCCAACGTAGATACCACAAGCTCACGAAGAGGAAGCTTAAATCGACGGGTTACACCATCGAAGCTAACCTTGAGGGTAATCAAGGTCTCGGGAGTTGCGGTTGATGACGAAGCCATCTTTACCGGAAGACTAGTGGGGGAACAGAGCTTGTTAGTTGATTAAGTTCGAGTTTTGTCAAATTGTTGATGGAAAAAAGGAAGGAGAAAAGGGCAGCGTCGGGCGTCCGTCAGTGAATGACGAGGCAATATACGCTCGGCGGAGAACTTTATGGTGGGAGATGGTAGCGCCTAGGCTCGATGGATAGGGAGTGGATTGAACGATACATGGAAGAATGAGGACAGAGCAGGGTATTACATACATATGTACCAAAGGCAATCGGATTACTAAGTGTCAGGTGGACAATGTCGCTTATCAGGAAATGGTGGTGTTTGTGGTACTGTACTCCTAGATTTAGGCGGTCAGCTTCAAGAGCCGTATCGTGGCCTCAATCAAGGACCAAACAAAGGCGCAGCCGACGAAGAGGATAGGTATAAATGCGATATGAACGATGGATATCGGTCAACCGAGACGAAGGTAAGATTCTTGTGATGGAAAGAAAAGAATATGGAAAGATGGATGGAAGCCGATACAAGAAAACGAAAAAGCCGTTGAAGGTTGTAAGGGTGTAAGGGAATGACGGAATTAATGTGTTTGATGAGGAGAATAGGAAACCTTAAGGGAAGAAGGTGGTCCGAGGCAGACACCGCCGATCTGGTCAGTGCCAGGTGCTCAGGAGTCAGGAGGGGAAGGTGTTTCGATAATGCCTGTGCTCTCCAGCTATTGCCGTGAAGGGCACTCGGGTGAAAGAGATGTTACCAGATTCAGGGCTAACTTACATGTACGTTAGACGTTTGAGTGCGTGCAGGACGTGAAGTTAGATCACCCCGTTAGACCGTTACTGGCCTAGTGAACGGGCAACTAAGTAAAAGACTAGACCGTGATGATCGTGGAATACGGGATGTAACTTCACGTCGGTGTGTTGGTGAAGTTGAGAAGTTGGTTTTAATGAGGAATGTAAAAAGACGAAGGATGGATAAGACAACAAATGTACTGATTTCGTAGCGGCAATTGGCACCTGCCTAGGCGCTGCAGGCAGATAAGTTCCTCGCAATCAAGGGAGCAGGGATACCTACGCTAGGTACCTACGTACAGATAGTAAGTACGGTACATTAGATACCTGCGCTGTACTTGGTAAAGTAAATAAATGCACACCATTGGCGTATGAGGGCGGCGAGTCTAAACGGCGGGTACTTGGTCCAAGCTTTTACTGCTTGTACTACTCTAGTCCTGCTGGTCAAAGGCAGTAGCGGGGCCAGTGGAGGCGACAAATAAGATGGGTTAGCGAAGCAACAAACCTAAGGTAGCTTCAATGACGGGTTGCTTAAAGAGAAAGTGGGGAAGGAGACGAGCAAGGCTGTTTTCTGATATGCAATACTTGCCACGGGTGTACATGGTCATTCTTAAGTCACAACATTAAAGTACTTACTTCCAAACAATTCCCGGATACCTACTGCCATATTAAAACAGTGGTCCACGTATGCCTCTACACCGTGCCTACATTTACTTTTCCTACTGTGCTCAATAATCATATACTTATTATACCTAGCAAATATCCTGATTAAATACCTGCAAGTACGTACTGATACTACTTACAGCCCCATTAGACACTGTATTTAAGTCACCTGGGGAAAACCACCAAAAGGTACCTACTATACATGTACCTAGGTACATATAAACGTTCGTCAAGTTCTTTCCTATATACAACAACATTCAAAGCTCTAAACGGATCTTAAAATTTGGTAACTTATTGAAAGTTTAGCTAACGCAGCAATAAGGTTGACCGTTCGCTCTAATACAACGTTAGATCAGGGCTCGTTGTCGCTGTATGTAGGTATGCCATCATGGAATAGATGCCGAGGCAAGGTGAGGTTTTGACATTTACAAGGGGCGTAGTAGGTACATACCTACAATACCACGCTACCGTCGCTACCTACAGGTTGCCTTACGAGGCTCATATTTACCCTTGAAATCCTCAACACTATATAGGTATCAAGTGATGACGATGACGTAGCGAGGATCTCGGACTATCCCTTTGCATGCGGCGTATCCGACTTTCCTTATATGTGACCTCTTTTCGACATCCACGGATACCACATATTACCTACATATCTGACCGAGGTATGCTAGTACCCATGAATGTAAATCGGAATTGAAAATTACCTTAATTGGACAACTGCTCTCCGAATATACGGAGCTAAGTCTAGATGCGGCTTCAACTACTTCAATTGCCGAATTACGTTCTTGCTCATTTACTCAGGAGATATAAAACACGGGGTTAACAGTTCACGGAACGGAGGAAGGGCAACATGCCAAGTCATGGTTTCCTTTTTTTTTTCTATCTCGCGGACCGCGGCCACTGCCACCATCTAGTTTCTCATTAGGCTCCGCCGAACTATTCGTGTCTTGCATCATGCCTAGAAAACCATGACGCGGCTTGTTGTCTAAAAGGACGCCTCTCTAGTACGATTCCTAGTCGCACAGTTCATCCATAGCTGTGTTGGTAGGTACGCTAAGCCTTTCGTGAGGATCGTTACCTATTACACCACCTGTTATCATCAATAGAGTCGTGGCTGACTAGTAAAGAAGTCAAAGTTAGAAAGGACCTCAGCAATGATGCAATTAAATGGCTATCGATGGTCTCGGCTACCGAAGATACGAAATATCAAGTCACGGAATACGACTGTTCCTGGCTACTAGTCAGATGTGAAGTTCCGGTGCATCTCCGCCGCTTACGCGCCAATATCACTGAGCTAGATACTAAGAGACCAGAAATATCCGCGGATAGCTTCACCGATTGTCCCACAACATGCTTGCAATTGACTACGAAACTTGTCCTCGAATATACGAATTAGCTCTTCGGCTTTTAGCAATTGATGTCAACTTCCCCATGTCCGAGCCCTTCGTAGGCTCCGATCCGAGTCGGCCCGGAGCTTGTCCATCTTCGTCACCCCGGTGTGCCGCCGATTTATTAAGTCTTCAATGTTGCATTGCAGGCGTGCACCGTCAAGTGAAACATATTCAATTGTGACATCCTCGCATGCTAGGTTTCTGAAGTAGCACTTCAAAACGACGAATTGTTTTACTTGAAATAAACCATTGATCTTGGCGATCCTAGAGAAGGTGGCAAAGTGTTTGTCGTGAAGGAGATAAGTAATAGTTCGAAACTTGAGCTTTTTACTACTAAAATACTGACTTCTTACCTAGATACCTAAATATCTATTCCATGTTCAGATTCATGGAATTCTGGTCTTCAAATATGAAATAGTCTCCCGTCTATCACTTCGCCTAGGCCGGTTGCTTTTTACCCCATATTCAGCAACATGTCCTCTTTCCCAAGGTGGTGATTCCGGATAGTCGAAGGAACATATCTTTATTGCTGGAGCTTCCTCGTTTTTACGGGGCCAAAATATCGTCTCTTAGCTTCAACGAGTACGTGAATGCTTTTTGCATAGGTAGGTATCTTCGGTTTTTCATATGACCCTATTTAAATACCATATTTCTTAAAGCTCTTTCATCGTCAAAGGATGCCATTTTGCTTAAGACACCAGATTCAGGTTGTATCTGTAGCCCACACAATCTTCCCTGACGGCGTTCTTGAGCAATCATAACCGCCTTCTAGGAATTTATGTGCTGTAGCGAATACACGGAGGAACATATGCGGCGGGAACATCTTATTGCCCAAGGATAAGATAGGTTTAAACTCTTCCTATGCTTTAATGAGCAGAAAGCTTACTTGTAATATAACTTAACACGACGTTTACTTCGCAGCAAGCTCTGCAGAATTAAAAGGCTGGGCCAATGGAAATACTTACCGCGATATCCACTGCCAGTTCATGGCTCTTATTCTATTGATGATTTTCCGTTGGCGTGGCCGTCGCTTCTGACGAAATCAGCCCAACTAGCGGTGGCCACAACTGAAGCTCATATGGTTTGCATGTGTAAGCCAACCATAACTTAGCTAGTTCTTCAAGGTTGGGAATTCTATTTATTTCCTATGGGTAATAATGCCATATATCACAGCTGTAGTTGTCGCGATGTGTTTATGGCTTCAGCTTATATGAGATATAGTAATTTAAATGGCCCAAGTTTACGGAGGAAATAGACTGGAAGAGAAATGGGTGTAGGAGAGCACGTCATCCCAACATTATCTTGGTAATGTCGAGACACCATCAACGCCCTGCGTAGAATAGACGTTGCCATAAATAACACGAGCCTGTGTGTTGCCGTCATCTGTAGCTACCTTTACCTTAAATCATCTACCTATCGGCTTTAGAGCAATGGTCGGAGGAATCGCGCTTGCGCTAAACTTGAGTGAGTGCTATTATAGGCTGCATCATATATGCTTCCAGGGCCGGCATTGGATCTTGCGAGCGGTAAAAGGGCAAGATCAACACAGGTGGACCACGGATTTGCCTAAGACTCCGTAGCGCTTGACACGCCTTACGAGGTGGTCCATTGGCTACTAAGTTAAGAGATATCGACCAACGTGAGAGGTAAACAAACGTCGCGAATTGGCACTTTGTCGGTATGTGTATTAGGGGAGTGTCGTAGAAGTTGTACGTAAAATTGAACACTTTGCACCACCGAGACGGCCTAATAAAGATGGCGCGTGATATAACCGTCTAGCGAGGTATGACGGCAGGTTGGCGATACCGGAGGTCGCTATAAGAGGGAGCGGTAGGAGGCCGCTTCAATGATATGCCGGGCAGATGTACTATACTCAGCTTACTAATAGATCTTTCGTTACTGTGTAGAAAGACTAGCAAGCCGATAACATTGCGACACCTTGGCAGTACAGAATCTCGATGTTTTATACTAGACGGACGAGACCATGTGGCTTTCAACTACCAGTTATGAGAAGATGGCAGAATTTCTTCGAATCCACAGTCCAAGGTGGACAGGGATCATACAGGCAATGATTCATGCCGTCGATACGTGTAAAGGCTGGTTGGTCGAGAGTGGTGAGTGCTAGGTAAAGATTGGATTGTGCTGTACATTACAGTTGTACTCGGATGATTTGGACGTGATTCTGCATTGCAGAGGGGCTTCGGCGAATGATAGCGTATAGATAGAGGTATCTATACAAATACCAAAGAGAGGTCCACTACCCGTTATGCTGGCCAAAGGTGTTTGTTTACGGGATGCGGACCCTTTTTTGAAAATCAAATTCTTGCCGGCGTGCGAGCGGTGGCACAGGTACGGCGCTGTATAATACGTTGCGCTTTCGGCACATACCTACCTACCTCTAAGGTATGTATTTGCTGTGTAGGGGTTGGAATATTTCGAATAGATCGATGGCGGACTTAAAGAGCAGATATAATGAAATATACACCTGTGTAAAAGAGCATGCGGCAGAAGTATGTGTATGTATAGATGGATGAATCAATCTGAGTCATCAAATGAATACCTAGTTAGAACTTAGGTAATGAGTAGAAGAATGAAGGAGCACGAAGGTTATGACAGTATTCAGTATTGTCATTATTATTCAAGAAGATGACATCGGCTCTGATCGAGGAAAGGCAACCTCTTTGATTTGGAACGGAGTCGGGGAGGTAGGTACGGCTTCGTACTTGTACGTTCGGAGGTCAAGTCCAGCGAGACTTCGAGCACCAGACCTGGGTAAGTCTAGCCCAAACAACATTGGATCGCAGCTGAGCTCATTGGATCGTTGTGTCCCGCTCATAGAATGACAGGGAATTCTCACGCACAGACCAACATGACCAACAACATTGAACACTTAATTAGGTCACCTTCAGCAGCATCAGAAGGTTTTAATGCCTGGAGGTGCCTTCTCGAAAACCCCGATCTAGACTGTCTGGACTGGGCTCCTGGGCTTGTCTCCGCAGTGCGGTTTTTGGCTGCAACGCTACTTGCTCTGTACTACCTGGACGAGAGCCTGGCAACAACGACCTTAGCTCTGGAAGTGCTTACCGTACCGCACAGTACTGTACATCCCCGTACATGGGAGATGGATATCCACTAATCCACCAACCTACCTAACCTACCTTCAACCTTACACCAAACCGAAGCAGGCCTACCTAATCCTGACCTCGAACTTCTAAATATTAAACCCTTTTGGCTTGGCTTCTACATCCATCCAACAAAAAGCCCTCCTCGACACTACATCACCTAAAAGAAAAAAATCACCAAAAAATATCTCCTCCGTAGTGCTTGTGAATATATTTCACAGGCCTGGAGGCTTTTCTATAAAAAGTTCTTGTTCTAAGATTGTTTTCCTTCCTTGCCGTCTTTCTCTCTTCCCTGTCCTACTTGTCCAAACCCGGCTCGACCAGCAAAAGATAGAGAGAGAGTGAGAGACATTCTATCGTTTTGGGGGAAAGAGAAAAAAAGGGATCGATCCTAGGAAAATAGGCATACTGGCTTCTTAATTGATTTCTCTGACCTGCTTTCCTTTCTTTTCTGCACCGCAGGCGGTTATTTCGCCTTTAGGTTTTTTATTTCTTAAGGAAGCCCATCGTCCGATATCACGCCCGCCAATCCGAACGACGTATGATATCCATATCCACCAAGACGTCCACGTCTCCCACGTCTCCCACGTCGTGCCTGAGCATCCGTCAACAGCTCTACTAGGAAGCCTTTCGTTCCCTCGTCTATCGTCCATCCCTATCGTTCACCCCCTCTCAGCTTCGAACCTCCGAACCCGCCATTTGCTTGTGATAGCGCACCCTTGAACAGTAAACCGTTTTCAACATGGTAGCCGCAGTCCGACGAAGAAAAATGATCGGCCACCGCCGTCGGGTAGAAGATGAAGGTGAAGAAGATGGAGGTCTCGATCAGCTCGATATCGACGATGACTCTTTGACCGATGGGTCTCTGGCTTCCGAGGACCCCGATCCAGCCGACGACAGCGATACTAGTAACGTTGATGAGGCCTCACCAACCACACCTGCTGCTCCGAAGTTGACTAGTCAAGTGGCCAATGGTAATGGCAACGTGAAAAGGGCACAATCCAAGTCTTCCGGCAGCCCGCCAACCAAGAACCCCAGAAAGCCCACTCAAAATGCTGTGTCTGACACCGCATTTATGCTGAATAACCTGAGCATCGAGAGCGGAGCTACCCCAGTTCAGGTACTGAGCTTTGACGAATCTACCGAGCCTCCATCCAGGTCGTCGGCCCCTATAGTGGTCAGCTCCAATTCCGCCACCACAGCCACTGACCATCCGCACGACGCACCCGTTGATCGACGACGAAAGGAGCATGAAGAATACAGGCGCAAGCGAGACGAGGACCCGTCTTTTGTTCCCAACCGGGGATCATTCTTCATGCATGATCACAGGCACGCCGGTCCGTCTGCCAACGGCTTTCGTCCTTTCGGTAGAGGCCCCCGAGGGAGAGGTCGTGGCGGTATCGGCGGCCCTTTTGCTCCTATTAAGTATGTCACTAGAAACCAGCAGCAATCTGTTACCCCCTTTACTAACCTACGTAGTCATCAAATGCATAGTCCGGCTGACCCCACGACCAATGGACCATGGGCCCATGACATGCACGAGATAGTTGCACATCCTATACACGTTCGACAACCGCGGCCCTCATTTACCGATGACGGCCCACCAAACGGCGATGGTTTCATTCCTACCTGTCCTCCAAGCTCCACACCGATCAACCGGACGATGGCTACGGAGAAGCACGTTGGCAATGTGCAGATCAGAGTCTTTTTCCCAGGAGTCAAGGAGCCTATTATCTTTTCAGGCATACAAGTACGACAATATACGAAGTTGCCGGACCATCGACCACCATTGAGACGTGACAAGCCAGTCCGCATCTCCTTGCCCGATTTCCCGCCCCGGTACATTTTCCCAGCTACCGATAGGTCATTTATCTTTATTCCTAGAGCCATGCGTCCGAACCAGCGATTACGGGGAAAGCCAAGATCTGGTCTGGGATCTATTGGAGGTTTCTCTAGGAGAACTAGTGTCTTTGGCGGAAGTGTGTATGCAGGTAGTGCGTACACTCCGAGCGTTGCTCTGAGCCGGCGCTCTTCTATTGCCCCTGACTTAGGCAGGGACTATCTCGTGTCTCCGACTGGCTCTACCATGTCGAGACCGCCTTTACCTTACGATGCTTCTCGACCCGTTGTTAGGCTCCCCCCACAGGCTCGAGCTGAGCAACAACTTCCCGCTGTCGACGGTGCACCGGCAGAGGGCGCTGGTGCTGGACAGCCCAATATGAACGACCCCGCAGCGCATATGCAGCATCCTGTCCAGAAGCCGATCTTCCAGGAGAACCGGCCAGTCCCTCTCCCTATGCATCAGCCTCGGCCTCAGAAGGCGGTCTCGGTAGCCGGCATCGAATCGCCTGAGATGCATCAAAACCCGTCCCAGCCGTACCAACAAGCTTTCCATCAGCAGGTCCCTGTTCAGGTTTCGACTAGCCTGGGTCAAGAATCGCATGTTCGCCACCCCTCGTATCCGTCTCAACATTCAACTGGCACGCCTCTCTCTCAAATCCCAGAGCGCGCTATCCATGCTGCACCTTTCCAGCCGAATCAGTTCACCCAGCAGAATTATTATCAGCCATACCAGATGATGCAACCACAGCAGGGCTATTACTATCCTTCAGCTCCCTACCCTGGCTCGCTACCTTCGTCAGCTGGCGCACCGACCTTCATGCCGGGGACACAACAAGGCCAGCCTCAAAGCGAGACCCCTACTAGCCAGCCAAATGGTCAGGGTAACCCCAGTTCGAACTTGGTCGCTCAGGAAGTCAATGGCATGGTCTACTACTACGATGCGTCTCAGTTGCCACCTATGGCTACATATCCCTATCCAGCACCGCAAGGCTACCCGATGCCTGGTGGCGTGGTTGGCATGAATGGTATGGTCACCCCGAGTCCAGATGGCTATTACTACCCCCCATCAGGGCCTGGCGTTGTCTATTATCCGCAGTGATCTAATTCCACATGGGCTATTGACGTCTTGGCTTTAATCATCTAGTTAGAGATGGTAGGGTACTTGGATATGCGCCTCCCACTTCAACGGGATTGGGCATATTCTGTATCGTCGTTTAGGGCATCGGTCTAGCTACGAGTCTTGGGGCTCTCCTTTTGCTTCACCCCCTTGGATTACCACTGGCAATGTACAAGAACATCCATTATCCTCATTCCTACGGTACTATAGCATCTTTACGAGAGCTGTTCCCACCTGAAACCGGTCTCGGACTTGGCTTTGCGGGCAGGGGATGTCTTTCCCCCGCTACATCCGTCTGAGCCGGGTTTTCATTTATTCGATTCTCTCAGCTGTGGCTCTTATTGTGTTTTTTTCTTCTTCCGATGAATTCTGGGAGGGCCCCATACCGCATAGGCGTTCGGCGGAGTTTTTGCTTTTCTCTACATTTGCCTTTTTTTCTTCTTCCGCATGATAAGCGAGCTATTGGCCATTTTTTTGGAAGATGCACCCCGTGACGGTACCAAATTCGGGGTGTCTTCCTCACTGGAGCAACTGCAGAGGTTATCAGAAGGGACTAAAGTGGGAAAGTAGTTGTGGGGATTATCACGAACGCATTCAAGCGAGCTGGAGGGAGCTTAGTTCACCACTCATCACAAGAGCAAGGACCGAAGACAAGGAAAGAAAGTGGCTAGGTACCGCGGTTCAGTCGCGGACGTAGGAAACCTAAATTATTTTACCACCCAAACCCCCCTTTTTCCTGCCGCCTTCCTTCTCTATTGATATGTGATGTTTTTGGTATATACGTAACTGACTTGTTAAGCTGCGGTCTGATATATATGTGCGAGTTTTTAAATATTGATGCTGATTGTCTGGAATGCCATGCACAGTGAACTTAAATAATCGTCCCGGAGTTCCTCCTAATTATCCATTTTGTTTGGTATTGACCTAATCACATAGAGATGTAATGGCGTAGATCTAGGAAATCTCTTCATCAAAGCCCCTATTGGGGTTCACTTAATGATTTTATCCAACTTTCGCGAGTCATTATAAACAAGATGGGAATGCTGAATTCGGCACTGAATAACTTCAAGAAAATAGGGGTAAATTTGTAGCAATTCCATTCTATCTGGGTGAGCTAAGGACTGAACTATAACAGCATCGTTAAGATGCAATCCAAAGCGAGAGTAAGCCATCTTGTACCAACAAATTGCCGCCAACAGAAACATAGCTTAGTAACCCGAAGCGAGAGACAATGTCAATAGGAGCCTGCTTCAATCTGTATCATCAACCAGCGTGCGAGTTCGCCTATCGTAGGATTTGAATGAGCGCATATATTGTCGTGGTAAACATCGCAAAACTCTCCGAATTTCTAAAAGTAACTTTTTCTTGCCAGTCGATATCGCCTTAAACGAGGTATTCGTCCGTGGCATGATCCTTCTCTGTGCCATCGGCACCGGGGCTTTCTGGAGGCGGCTCGAGGTTCTGAGTTGCCTCAATCTTTGGCACCAGGCCCAAGCGTCTATTGCCCTGATCCCAGACCTGTCGGGTGATGTATTAGGAAAACACCTCTAAGGAAAAGAACTCATAGGCAGCAAAATAAGAACGAGCAAAGGGGATGAGATTGAAAAGGGGCGAACTTACAACATAGACACTCTTCAAAAATGTATCACCAAGGATATCGAAAGGCATCATGCCACGGCTCTGTATACCTCCATACCAATTCTTCTTGTCGTCCGTGAGAGCGAAAGCTAAGTCTTCCTTTTGGATCAGGTATTCCTGGTCACCAACAGCTACCTTGAATTCTGGTAAATCATCTGCTTTCACAGTAGTCGGGAAGATGTATCCTTGGTTGAGCCAATCGTAGGTAGCTCCGGGAATTTGATCGTACAACTTTTCAACCACTTTGTCTGACAGGAGTGCCAACGTAGTACCAGTGTCGGCGATGGCGGTGTTGCCGCTCAACGTAACCTTCTCGCCATTGATGGAGCATGACTCGGATGAGAAGGACCAGAAGCCTTCTTTGTTGTCAACTTGGGTCCAGTGGAGATCCTGTCCAGATTTCTTGACGAGATCTTGGTCAATGAAACCGAATGTATAGAACGATTCGGCATTCTTGTCACGCGAGCTGTAGAAGGCCGAGGTGAAAAGTTCGGCTTCCTTAGGGATATCATCCTGCTTGATCATGTTCTCAACGGGAGTAGCTTGAGGGTCAGCTTCACCAGAGTCTGTGACGGTGTTGATTTTGCCCCAAGCAAGACCGAGGAGACCATCGCTTGTACCCTGAGAAAACTGTCGGGATAACTTGGCAGCGCACTCAATCGTCTGTTTCTTGATAGCCAAATTTCCAATGATAAGCGTATCGCTTCCACAATCACCCGAAGCAGTCGAGCCGTCTCCATACTGGATCTTCCATTTCTTTCCTGACATCTTCACGAAAGTCTTGGACTTCTTGGGATCGAAAGCACTGTGACCCGAGTGGGCAGCCTTGCCCTCGAGGGTCGATCGAACCTACCATGACTATTAGATTAAAAGAGCAATAAAATGATGAAGCGATTCAACAAACCCATGTGTCAGCAGAACCAGTGTCGAAGTCTAGTAGTAATTTCTGGACTGGCTCGCCGATTCCGACTTCACAGATATACATGGAGTCGTTCTGCTGATCTTCAGCAGTAACCTCTGCGGTCTGGCCGTCATCTCCAGGATCGTTTTTCTTGACAAGTGTTCGTTCTGTGTGGACGACGCCTCCAAGTGCTGCTTTGAGCTCTTGAGGGAGGAGGCCATGTGTTCTAACCTTGTCGACATGGAGATACGGACCGGGTTTAGTAGGGTCAAAACGGTAGCGGTTCAACGAATGGACATAGGACTTGGTTCCATGACGCTGGTAGTTCTTATTGTGGATGATCTTGACCTTGGTGAGGCCTCGGTCTTCCTTGAATTTGTTCTGGGCAGCATACATAATTGCTATGATGACTTCAGGATGTCTGAGTGTGTTTCTGTTGAAATGATGACTGACGGTTGGTACCCTATACGGAATGGAACTGCTAACAATGCCTGATACTATACGGAGGAGGATAGGAGGAATATGTTGATGTACCTAGATATTGAATGAAGATAGAGGTTTAGGGAGAAGAGGAAATTCCTGAGACTGGAGGAAAAGGTAGAGCTTTATAAGATCTCAGGTTGTCTAAACCGCTCTTACTTGTAACACTAATGGAAAGAACTTGAACTGTCAAACATGGCCTTAGGGGGTCTTTCCTGCCTTCACTTCAAGGAGACGTAAAAAAGGGGCTCGGATAGGCTCGGATATTGAGACTTCCTTCCTGGTTCGTGGTACCTGCAACGGATGGTTTCAACGAAATGGAAAGAAATATCGGGAGTTACATGTGGTCATAACTTGTACAAGCTTAGGCTCACTACATGTAACATACCAGAAATTGCAACGACGGTGACAGCATTGAACGTCACGAGAACCTAATTTGATACGGTTTGTTTCGGCTTCCCTGTGTCAACTGCACTTTCCTCTTTATAAACTGCGATGTTAAGAAATGTACTACTCTCTTGTACAACTCCTGGGGGAAACTGCTGCCATGACAACAGATCAAGCTCTAAATTTCAACCTTGGTGAGATTTCGTAAATCATTCTACCTATGCAACAGAATCTTCCGCATACTTACCTACATAAATACTTATCCCACGTCTATGATTATACTTAAACAGCTTCATGATAACTTTTGACAGCTATTTGGAATTGATGTGGCTGTGCTTGATATAATAGTATGTAAAACCATTATCTCCTGAATGATGACATATTGTCTTGAACGGACGGGAGACTGAGAGTCAAATACACAAGATGACAACGGCAACTGGAAAAACTATAAGTAAATGACATGTGAAGACGAAATTTTCGGGGACGTTGACATTGACCTTGTCTAGGCGACCCAGCGACCATTTCTTGGATGTCTTACCGCAATATCTCAACATCGATGTCCCATACTAGAACTAGAACTCCACCTCGACTACATTGACGAGCGCAATGGAAGTCTTTGAAGTAACCATGTCGACCCTGTGCTAGCTAAATCTCAGGACTCGTCTGTTGGGCGATCGGCCGATGGACCATAGCCAGGGGACAAGCACGCATGACGGACCTATATGCCGCTTATGTTAACACTCTATAGTTTTCTGTTGCCCTTAATGCTATTCTCTTTTTCTACCACCCTTAGGGAATTATAAGCATTGATGCTCAGTGTAATTTCACTTTTCCACAGATAAAGCCTCGAAGTCCGTTACTTATCCAGCATTCTTCGCCGTCCACCAGTGAATCGGCAAGGACAGTTTCTTCGGCAGCGAGATGCCTATTTTGGTTAGCACCAGTCATTCGCTTGTCGGAGAAGGGTTAAGAATCAATACCTCTCCAGGGCCCACCTTCTCGTAGTCCCGTCATTCCCACCACTTCCCTGAAAGGCGTCAAACTTTCGTGGAACAGGAGGAGTGACCCATTTCCCGTTTCTCCAGAAATAGGGGGTGCTGATACTGCCTTCCATGATATACCCATCTTCGTTGAGAAGGAGCACTTCCTTCTTATCGCCTGGGTTTACTTTAGCTCGATTTCTCGCATCATTGTACATATCTCTAAATGTGGTTTTATAATGGGTGAATTCGGATTTTGTCGTTCTTTGGCTATCAACGAAGATGTCGTACATGGGATCTTTGATTGGAACTTTGCCTCCTCTAACCGTAACTGAAATGTTAGAGTCGGAGTCGAAACTCTGATTCGGTAGGTATTCAGGGTATAGGTTGTTCAAATGCGTCGCTGGGAGAGAGGATATTTCATAACCTAGACTTCCATCCCGAGCTAGGGTGATCATTAATCGATGGGGTCCATTGACAAGATCTTTAGTAGCGCCCTGAAGGAATCTTTCTAGGTTTTCTAGACCCTCTTGCCCGGAAATTGAGGCTATAGCAGCCGTCCAGTCCCAGTAGATAGCCGCTCTTAGCATGCGGTCTCGGTGAAAGTCGAGCATATGGAATGGGGAAGACTTCGAATTCCATCCAACATTAGTAAACCCTAGACTTGGAACTTTTAAGAGTTCTGGGTCATATCGGATGGACGTAAATAGACGAAAATCGTCCATTGCGATAATTCAGGTACCCAGGATGCATATTTAATGGATGGTATTTTAATGTGAGGTAGGTAAGAGCTACTTCGTATATATGCATTGTATGCATATATGGGGTAAGTAATTTGGGATATGAGGGATGGTGGGGTATTCCTGTCTTCTATCAGATCGGTCACCGCGGGGATGGATGACAAATACGGTACGTACACGTACTTAGATACGCTTAAGATGTACCCATGTATAGACATGGTAAACACGATATATGTACGACCTCGATGTACTGGGGTAGCAGGACTGATGACGAGAGGTTGTGGGCCAACAGGGTCTGAAGCTTTGATAGAACAGCGCACATTAAAGTGGAACCGCGGGCTAAATAGATGAAAAAGAGTACTTCGATACATGGCTAAGTAAACTTTTTTTTGCGCCTTGCAGACTATTTTCGATGGATTATATCGATTTTTGGTAAAGCTTCCTGCAACAACATCATCAAGTCCTCAACTCGACAAACGACGTACGATCCCGCGACCTCGACTCGCTCCCTATTGTCGCACACCCCCTTGACGCACGCAATTGTCGATATCATCCCCATTATCTCATTATGTCTCGTGCTTCTGCAGCTCCGCCGCCCACGCCTCCATTAGCCCGACCTGTTGCTATCCCGGTCGAATCTTCTATCTGGAGTCGCTTCACCAATTGGGCATCCGAGAACAAAGCACTTGTATATACTATTGCTGGTGTAGCAGTTGTCGTCACTAGTGCTGGCGTTGTGTATTATCTTAATGACGCTGTTAGTTATCTAGCTTCGATCTCATATCCCCCTCCGCCTGGTAGCTTACACTTATATACGAGCAGAAACCCAAAGTCGCAGCGCAACCCAAGCTCAGCAAGAAGGAGAAGAGGAAAAGGAAAGAAGCAGAGCGCCAGGCAGAATCCACAAAATCACCTTCCGCTACGGGTGAACAAACGAAAGCTCCCACAGTAGAGGCCTCCGACGAATTGCCAGAGATCAGCGAAACTACTGTTGCCACCTTCACTGACGAGCAGCGCCGGGACTATGCCTTGCAACTCAAGAACGCCGGCAACAAGGCCTATGGCAGCAAAGACTATAACCGAGCTATCGACCTCTACTCGAAGGCCATTCTTTGCAAGCCCGACTCCATCTTCTATTCTAACAGGGCCGCATGTTACAATGCTCTCAGTGTTTGGGATAAGGTTGTCGAGGACACCACCGCCGCTATCAGCCTCGACCCCACCTACGTAAAGGCGTTAAACCGGAGAGCCAACGCCTACGAACATCTATCCCAGTTCAGTGAATCACTCCTCGATTACACTGCTAGCTGCATCATCGACGAGTTCAAGACCGACTCCAGCACCAACGCTGTTGAGCGATTACTTAAGAAAGTCGCCGAACAGAAAGCCGAGGACATTATCAAGTCTAAAGACCCTAACAAGCTGCCGAGCCCGACCTTCGTCTCCAACTATATTCAAAGTTTCCGGTCGAAACCCCGACCTGAGGGCCTAGAGGATGATGTCGAATTATCGGAATCCACCGGTCTAGGCCAATTGCAAATCGGGCTCAAGGCGATGGAAAAGAAAACCCATGAAGGTTATGAGGAGGCTGCGAACGCATTCGAGAAGGCTCTCGAGTATGGTGACTTAGGCGAGCACGAGGCGCTCGCTTATAATTTGAGGGGCACCTTTAGAAACTTGCGTGGGTCACAAGAGCAAGCTCTACGAGATATGGACAAGAGTATTGAGCTCGATCCGTCCTATACCCAGAGCTACGTGAAACGGGCGAGCATGCATCTAGAAATGGGTAAGTAACCGGTGCCTGGTAATTCGGAAGAGCCGGAAGAACATTTAAACTGACCCCCTGTTGGTAGGCGACCGGAATAGCGCTGCTGCGGACCTAGAGCAGGCTTTGAGCCAGAATGACACTGATCCGGATATTTTCTACCACCGTGCTCAATTGCACTTCATCCATGGCGAATTTCAAGACGCTGCCAAGGATTATCAGAAGTCGATCGATCTCGACTCGTCATTCATCTTCTCACACATTCAACTCGGAGTGACGCAATACAAGATGGGCTCCGTGGCGTCCTCGATGGCGACGTTCCGTCGGTGTGTTAAGAACTTCGACAGCGTTCCCGACGTGTACAATTACTACGGAGAACTACTACTAGATCAATCTAAGTATGAGGAAGCGATCCAGAAGTTCGACACGGCCATGGAGATGGAAAAGCAGACCAAGCCAATGGCTATGAACGTCTTACCCCTAATCAACAAGGCGCTAGCGCTCTTCCAACAAAAGATGGAATTCACTGAAGCCGAGAAGCTATGCGAGAAGGCGTTGATCAGTAAGGACACTGCTACAAATATATGATAGATTGGGATACTAACGATTTACAGTTGATCCGGAATGTGACATTGCCGTAGCTACGATGGCCCAACTACTTCTTCAGCAGGGCAAGATTACCGAGGCGCTCCAGTACTTCGAGCGCGCAGCTGAGCTTGCCAGGACGCCCGGAGAGATCGTCAATGCACTTTCGTACGCAGAAGCCACAAGGACGCAGATCCAAGTTCAAGAAAAGTATCCCCAACTCGCGGCCAAACTTCAGGGAATGGGCGGCGCGGGAGCTGGCGGGATGGGAGCCACATTTGCGGGTGCCCGCTAAGAACTTGGCCCTCCACAGTTACTAATACCTACCTACCTAGGTACTTTTCAAATACAGTAAAACAGGGCGACTCCACTCCATCTCAAGGCGACTGCGCGAGGCTTAATTATTAGGGCTGGGTATGTTTCGAGTTCGCAACGAAAATTGACGAAAGTGGCCGAGGGATCTATAGGTCCGAACGACGATACAATGCGCTGGTAATGATGTCGTCCCTATTCACTGTACCTGTACCTAGTATTTGTACATAATTAATACCTCCCTTTCGTTGTCGAATGAAGTCGGACGCATCGGGGAAGTTGCGGCTGTGCTTTTGATGCACTCACGTCATGACTAGTGGACCAGAAATAAAAGGGGCTGGCGGTTATAGCTATCGTTATGGATACTAAACGAGTGGCGGGCTTATGTGTTTTACAGAATACATTTGCAGTATCTCGATAGCTTGACCGATGCGGTTCTCCTTTGCGTGGTTCATGTTTTTTTTTTTTTTTTGCCTTGATTTATACCTAGGTGATCGTAAATAGTGTCTAGCTTGGCCCCATCGGGCTGGATTCTTGGTTCACACGATGCGAAGAGGCCGATTTCATCGACAGTATAAGAAATGCTCATGGCTAGGTATATCCGATATACGTTAAGAGACTGAACGAAACATCTCGTAAGCTAAGCTAAAACCATCTGCCCTGTCCCTGTATACTCAATATAGGTAAACCTGAGGAGGTAGATACCTAGGTATCTAGGTAGGTAACCGTTTACTTCAAGTGACAGCTCTTCATTAAACCAACAGAACGACAGGATGTCGACAAGAAAAAAAACACCGAGATTTCTTTCTAAATCCTGACACGTGTAACCAAGCTCCCAGAATATATACCTAGTATTCACCGGAAATATCCAAAGCAAAAAAATGTCGACGAGAATATGTAAGAAACCCCCAATTTAACAAAAAAACGTGCCCTATCCCGGTGTTAAAAAATCTTCATCTTAGGTAGGTATATAGGTAGGTAAGTAAGTATGTATGTGTACCCCTTTCCTCTTCACTTCACCTGGATCTTCGCGATCCCGTCGGTCTCGACGCCGTGGCTGGACCGCGAGTCCAGGTCCGACTCGGCCGTGGAACCGGCCGAGGAGGCGGCGGCGGACGAGCTCGTGTTGTACTCGTCGGCGGTGAACTCGCTGACGGGGGTCTCCGCGCCCGAGGAGCCGGAGGACCGGGAGACCCTCTTACGACTGTTGCCGCCGCCGCCGCCGCCGCCGCAGCGGCCTTCCGCCTCCCGCGTCTTATTTATCTTGGTGATGACGTCGGAGAGCGTGTCGCCCAGCTGCTCGACGTTGTCGGCGTCGCGGGGGACCAAATGTCCTAGGCCGTGGTCGTACAGCTGCGCCGTGTCCTGGTCGCACGCGTTGTACAGCGCGACGGACGAGTACACGAGCGGGTCGTTGGACCCGAATACGTGGAAGGTAGGGATGCCGATCGAGATCCCGTGCTCGTCCGCGAGCTTGGCGACGAAGCCGTCGCCTTCGGAGACTAGGGGCGGCGAGCCAGCGAAGAATATGGCGAACTAAATTGGGGGGGAAGTGGACACGACCACGTCAGTTGTCTTGCTTTGGTGTCTAGCACAAATGGACTTGGATATTCCGAGGAAAAGAGAGGCATTGGCTGAGACAGGAAAGACATACCTTAATACGTCTTGGCACCCCCCTCTCCTTCCACCTCCTGTCCTCTTCCGCGCAGATGGACGCCGCCATCATGGCGCCCTCCGAGTAGCCGATCAGACCGTCGATCTCGGGGTCGTCATCGATGGTCTTGAACAAGCGGTCTAGTGCCTCGCGGAAGGTCTGCCACTTGAAACCCGCGGGTTTGTTGTCGTTGCTGTTGAACAGCCGCAGCGTGGCCTCTGGGCTGAGACCTCGCGGGATGTGCCGGACCCTGCGGATGGCCTCGAAGGCGTCGCCCTTGGCCGCGTCGATGAACCGGTATAGCGGTCGCGACCCGAAGTAATTCTCCCACCCTAGCGGCGGCTCGACCTCGTGCTCGCCCTGCGTGAACGCGAACGTCGCCAGGCCCCTGTCCTCCATGTGCTTGGAGAAGGGCCCGAGCTGGACGCCGAAATTCTATGCCGTCCCGTCAGCGCTGGCATCTTTTCCCTGCGAGGGGCTGGGGGTTGGTTGATTAGTGACCTACCTTGGCGCTCCCGAAGGCACCGGGTAAGCAGAGGAATCTCATTGTGGGCGAAGGGATCCGAAAGACGTGATTTTCCGTCCTCTTTTTAGTCTTCTCCGACTTGTTATATTAAATTTTATGAGGAGGGAAAAAAGAAGATGTGTTGCAGGCAGGAAAAGAAGACAGCGTGCCCTTTAGCTATCATTCTTGTATTAGGTTAGGTTCTTGCGTACCTTAGGTAAAGCTACCCCTTTCACAAGTCCGGACGCCGCGCAGCCAGTAGCAGGTATATCCATATCTACGCACGCTCGGATGAGTGTCATAGTCGGCAATTCCCTTAGGCGACAGGTTAGATGACTGTCTAGAGGTTGCCTTGCAACCCGTGGGGGCTGTTTCTAAACTCATGTCAAGACATGGCTATGGGAGGCAAAGTCAACGAAGATCATCCCTGAGAACTCACATCAAGCGATGGCAAAGTCAACTAACGTCAATTGAGGTCATCCCTGAAGACAACTCTTGTAGAGCGATGACCATGTGAAGAAACGTTAAGCGGAATCACCCCTGGGAACCCACGATCCAAGATCCCTGTTATTCTACGCCGCTAATAGAGGATTAATGCAGGCCGAAGGGAAGGGGGTCTTGAACGACGGAGAAAAATCTTGAAAACTTTGCCTCCATGTGTTCGACGCTGAGAGGCTCCTATCCCAGTACAGCAAGGCTCGGAGATGCAGCTAGGCCAAGCACATTGCGGCCTCAACAAACCGGTGTACTGTCCTCGCGATAACGAAGCCGGTGACAACTTACATGCCCACGGACTTCCGATACTCTTTACCTACATATCTTGTACGAGCTATTACGTAGTATAGCCACATCAGACTAGGTTTATGACGAACCGCACCGACCGAACCTGAACCTTGCAAGTTTGTAATACTATATGCTGAGACGCAGCTCGTGAGGGTGTCTTGGCTGGAGTGTCTTGCTGCGCAGACTTGGTTCAGTCACATACTACATACTCAGGGGGGGTTCTCCCGAGACGTATTGACTGACTTACTAAGAATTAAGATGACGTGAAGGGAAAATGCGTGATACCGACAAGGAACTAGGATATATGTCATTAAGTCTTGTAAAGAGCCGGAAGATAAGTTATTTGCTTTCTCAGGGTGTCACTCGTCTCAGACTGAAGGCAAAAGCGGCTCGCTGAGAGGCTTTACAGCATCGGACTTAATCGTGATATCGATTTTCATTCGTCTCAAGTGGAAGACTTCCCGTCTGTAGGAATCCCCGTGTTTCATTGTCAGTTAAACCCTTGGCAACAGAGTCTGGAGGGAGCCTTGCCACGCAAGCTTAACCCAATCAGTAGTTATATCGAGTCTTCGAAAGGAACGAATCATACTTGGTCCAGAATCTAGGAACGTCTTCTTACTCTTGATATATCATGACATCTGGCACGTTCGACCCTGGTGGTTCTGCGATTATTTTAAGGTTATCTGGCCATTACTCCTTGGCACCAGTCTTTAACTCCTTTTCTCACATCTCTCAACATGGAGTCTGAGACGCCGATGCCCATTGCCATCGTGGGCATGTCGTGCCGCCTGCCCGGCGACGTGTCTTCCCCTGGTGACTTCTGGAAGCTGTTGACCAAGGGCCGTAGCGCGTGGTCTAAGATACCCAGAGGTCGCTTCAACCAGGAGGCTTACAACCATCCTAATCCAGAGAAGAAGGGTACATTAAACTCGCAGGGAGGATACTTTCTATCTCAGGATCTGGAAATGTTTGATCTAGGCTTCTTTGATATAACGCGCAAGGAAGCTGAGACCATGGGTAAATATCATTCCTCAACCCTAAGTTGCATCGACTCATTTCTTTCCAGATCCTACGCAGAGACTCCTTCTCGAATGCTCGTACGAAGCTCTCGAGAATGCTGGCATTCCTAAGGAGTCTATCTCGGGACGAAAAGTGGGTGTGTTTATCGGTGGCCCTGACAATGAACTGGGGAAGGGCAATCTTCGAGACCTAGACGACTCGGCAATGTTCGACTGCACAGGTAATCAAGGGGCATTCTTGGCCGGGCGAATATCGTACTTCTTGAATTTATGCGGACCTGCCTTCGCCGTCGACACGGCCTGTTCATCTAGTATGCATGCGTTACACATCGCTGTCCAGAGTATACGGTCAGGGGAGTCTGAACAAGCTATCGTCGCCGCATCCCACCTCATCACGCAACCTGATATCTGGGTATCTATGGCCAAACTAGGGTGAGTCAGCTGATACTTCCGTCTTTAATAGGTTAGTTGATGTAATATTATAGGTTATTTGCCGACTCGGGGAAAACCTACGCATTTGATCATCGCGCAAAGTCCGGGTATGCAAGAGGCGAGGGAGCGGGGTGTTTGATCCTTAAGCCGTTACATAAAGCTCTGGAGGATAAAGACTACATTAGGGCTGTCATTTCTCATACGGGAATCAGCCATAATGGCCGGACCGTCGGTATGTATACTTAACCTATGTATCTGCCGCGAAAAGGATACTGACAATAAACACGTAAAGGCATCGTCGCACCTAGCTCGGAAGAGCAAGAATCGCTGTTACGAAATGTCCTTTTACAAGCCAATATCGATGCCAAAGATATCGGATTTTTCGAAGCTCACGGAACTGGCACCAGAGTTGGAGATCCTATAGAAGCTAAAGCCATATATAAGGCACTTAGCCAGAAGCTAGATGGATGCGATCCATTAAGTATTGGGTCGGTGAAGTCGAATATTGGTCACCTTGAAAACGCAAGCGGTATTATATCGGTCATGAAGGCCGCCCTTATGCTGGAAAAGGGGTTTATCGTACCGAATGCCGACTTCGAGAAAGAGAACCCAGCTATTCCCTTATCCGAATGGAATCTGAAGGTTAGTTCATATTAAGAAGCTCCTCTTAACGCAATACGAAAATTAGTTCTGGATGGAACAAATACTTACCTACCTTTATGATTAGATCTCACAAAGGCAGCAGCCGATCCCTCGAGATAAGCAGTATATATGCGTAAACAACTTCGGATACAGCGGATCGAATGGACACGCAGTACTCAAGGCGCTGCCAGAGGAGAACGAAATCGAGTTCCTGGATGCTGGCAAGTTCGAAGGCCACATCAAAACAAAACGATTGTTCGTACTGAGTGGCAACGACGAGGTGGCTGCAAGAAAGAGCATGGAGCAGCTGGGGATTTTCCTCGAGCAGCATGCCGAGCTTTATCAAAGTACCATGCCTCGAAACTTGGCCTGTAAGTTTGGATGCCATCCATACTAAAGTTGTAGGCGTACTGATGTTTGAATAGACACACTATGCCAACGACGTTCCCAACTACCATGGCGTGTAGCTTTGGTGGCCGATATGTGTAGCAAATTAGCAGTAGCCCTCAATGGTGAAGTGTCACCAAAGCGCGCACCCTCTCAATCACCAAAGATCGCTTTTGTCTTCACCGGACAGGGCGCGCAATGGCATGCCATGGGTAGGGAGCTGCTAGAGTCACACGCCGTATTCGCATCAGCCATCCAGAGAGCTGACAAACATCTTCTATCCGTCGGGGCCGACTTCTCATTGCTACAGGAGCTGACACGGGATGAAAATGATTCACGTGTTGGCATGGCCCATATTAGTCAACCGATCTGTACTGCCATTCAACTTGGACTTGTGGACCTCCTAGTATCATGGGGAATAAACCCTTCTGCCGTCATAGGTCATTCTAGCGGGGAAATAGGTGCGGCCTACGCAACTGGAGCCCTGACGTTAGAAGCGGCCATGTCTGCAGCGTACTATCGTGGCCAAGTAATCATTGACCTGAAAAAGAACTTTCAAGACGTTCGAGGCTCGATGATGGCGGTGGGAATAGGCGCTGCGGAGTTACAGCCCTTCCTCAAACAGATACGAGATCCTTTTCAAGCGGTAGCAGCTTGCGAGAATTCACCTAGTTCCACCACCGTGTCGGGAGACGCCGAGGCTATCGATCAACTTTCCGATATGATGACGAGCAAAAAGATTTTCAACCGCAAACTCTTTGTTGATGTCGCCTATCACAGCCCGCATATAAAACTGGTTGCTGAAACATATTATAACATGATCGCAGATGTGGAGTTAAGAAGGGGTGATGACAAAGTCGAGTTTTTCTCTTCTCTTCGTTCCTGCAAGCTTGCTACCGACGAACTTGGTCCGCAGTATTGGGTGGACAACCTGACAAATCCGGTACGTTTCACGACAGCGTTGCAGCTACTTTGCCAAGAAAGTGAACCGGATATTCTCATTGAGATTGGTCCTCATGCTGCCCTCAAAGGTCCTATTATGCAGACTCTTAAGACGCTTGAGCAGCCAGCTTCTAAAGCGCCGGCATATCTTCCAACTCTTGTACGAGGTCGTGATGCTACCGAGACATCCCTTGAGCTTGCTGGCCAGCTTTTCGTTCGTGGATATGAAGGAATCGATTTTTTTAACATCAACCACAGACGTTCTGAAACGGAGAAGCCCGACATTATTCCCTTCCTCTATACGTATCCTTGGTCGCGCCAGCGTTGTTGGTACGAAAGTCGGATCACGCGACAGCATCGACTCAAGCCGTTTTCACGTCATGACCTCATTGGAACGTTGACTGATTGGAGCAGCGACCTGGAGCCAACGTGGCGCAATTTCATCAGGCTAGAGGAACTTCCATGGTTGCGTGAATACCGTATTCATGATCGATCTGTGTTCCCAGTAACCGCCTTCGTCTCTATGGTTGTAGAGGCGGCCGGTCAACGAGCGGCACTTAAGGGGTTCGAAGCAGGTAGCTTTGATCTGCACGACATCGTTATTCCGGAGCAATTATTTTTAGCAGATGATGAGCCGGTTGAACTCCTGTTAAGCTTTAGGAAGCATGCTGCATCTCAAGCAAGCCGGGAAGAATTCCACATCTCTAGTTTCGAGTCCACACGCGGATGGCTGGAACATTGTCGTGGTTCTGTGGAGATCAAATCTCCACAAAGCGACACTGCAGTGGTTGGCCGCCCCAAGGAATACTTCAACCCCTCCGAAGGGAATGAAATATCAATGCCCGGAGCAGGCTTCTACTTCAACCTGAGTTCTGGTGGTATTAGTTACCCTCATACCTTTTGGAATCTGGTGAGTGTCAAGATGGGCACGCATGGAGTTAGTGGTCAAGGTGCTCTCCAGGATACGAAGCTTATTATGCCGCTAGCATATGAGTCTTCATATTTGGCTCATCCAGCCACGCTAGAACCCCTTATCCAAGTATCACAAGCCAGCCTGGGATTTGACGGAGATGGTGACCCACAGTTGCCATCTGCCATCAAACAGATCCATATCGATATTAGCGATGACTGGGAGAGGAGATTTGGGTCCAAATTCGTCGTCCAGTCCACAAAAGAAATCAAATCCGGGACTTTCCTGGCCGAACTGTTCTCACCAACAGAGAGCGAGCTGCCTACTGTCTCCATGTTGGGATTAGAGCTCGCGCCGCTCAAGACTGCAGCTTCTGAGCTACCTAGTCCCAGAGAGCTATGCTACAAGGTACAATGGGAACAAATTGAAGAACGACACGTTAATGGCGTGAGCCATGCCCATATCAAAACCCATGGAGAACGCGTAACGATAGTGACAGAGCGTACTCGAGACGACACACTGGTAGCGTCACTCTGCGAAGTTATTGAGGCACATTCTGGGATCTCTCCAGATATCTCGGGTCTAACCCAAATCAGCAATTTCAATGGCTTTTTCGTGGTGCTCTCAGAGCTTGATCGCCCCGTTCTAGCCTCAATGAATAAGGTCGACTTCGAGAAAGTTCAGAGCATGCTGACAAGAGCCGGAGGCATTCTATGGGTAACATGCGGCGCATCCAAGTTTCCTATGAACCCGAGTACCAACATGGTACTAGGCCTGTTTCGCACGGCACGATCAGAGCTTGGAAAGATGGCCGTTACTCTTGATCTCGACCCGGATAGCACATTGGATGTCGAGGGTCAAGCTGCGTTGATTGAAGATGCATTTAGGCGAACCATACTAGCAGATAACCCCGAAGCCGAGGTTGAATTCGCCGAACAGGGTGGAGATCTAGTCGTACCTCGTTTTGTCTCCGACGACGATATGAACCTACGACTTCACCGCGAGTTAGGAAAATCCGAGCCATACCTTCAACCACTTCGCCAGAACGGACGTCGGTTGCGAGCGGCTACGCAAGCCGATGGTTCTTTGGACACGCTTTATTTCGAAGATGTTTCTGTCGACGAAGACTTTGGCAAAGACCAAGTTGAGATAGAGGTTGAAGCTAGTAGGCTGAGTCAAGATGATATTTCGGCACTTATAGGCACCAAGACGTCTGGTGAACCAGAAAGATCATGCAGCGGTATCGTCACTCGCATAGGCAAGGATGTTGTCAATCTTGCTGTTGGGGACAGAGTTTGTGCCTTGGGTGGTGGGCGGCTGGGCACACACACCTGTGTAGCAGCTAACGGTGCTGTCAAGATTCCAGAAAGTATGAACTTCGAGGACGCGGCAATGATACCATCCGCCTTCGGCACGGCGTTTTATGCACTGTCACAAGTCATTCGCGTCCGAAAGTCAGAACGCGTGCTCATCCAAGTAAACGACGCTAAAGGATTGGCAGCGATACAGATTGCGCAGCAGCTTGGCGCCAATGTATTCGTTGCAGTCCATGGTAGCGAGAGGAAGGAGTTTGTTGTGAAGTCGTTTGGCGTTAAGTGCAGGAATGCCTTCGACACGACCAGCATCTATTTCAACCGAGACATACAAGATGTTACTGGTGGTGCTGGTATGGATGTAGTGCTCACCAGCTCATCTAGGCTGTTGGCCGCAGCCGATACTCTGAGTAAGGTTTGGGCAAGCATTGCGCCGTTTGGTCGTATTGTCCATATGCAAGGAGCACTCCATGATCACCTTGACGGTTGGAACGCTAGAATAGATCTTGCCGAAAACGTCAGTTTTACATCAATCAACCTGCTGAACCTGGCTACTACTCGCCCGCGGCTTATGAGGGATATCCTCCGGGACGTCTTGGGATGCATGTCAAGAGGGACTTTAAAGCCCCTTAGGAAGCTGGTAACATTGCGAACGAGCGCACTGGGTACGGGTTTGCAACTGATCCAGCAGGGCACACTGCATCCCATTGTCATCTCTGCTTGGAAGGGCGACATGATAATGGTAAGGACTATATTCATATTAGCTATGTTCGAATCGCTCTTAACTAGAACACTACTAACATTTTGAACAGGCATTGCACTACGCATCAAAGTGCTTTCTAAACAGCGACGGGACTCACATCATCATCGGTGGCACCGGCGGATTAGGACGTAGTATGGCTAGATGGATGGTCGCGCACGGCGCTCGGCACATCGTACTTTTATCGAGGACCGGGGGAGACGCCAATAAGCTGAAAGAACTCATTAACGAGACCCAAGGCAGAGCCAACATAATCGTTAAAATATGCGATATTGCTAACGAAGAAAGCGCTTACCGGTTAGTGAGGGAATGCGCTGAAACACTTCCACCGATATGTGGCGTGGTCCATGCCGCAATGATGCTTCATGTAAGTCCAGTCTCACTCGACAATAATTTCGGTTGGAAATTGTTTACAAGAAGATGCCTGACCATTGATAGGACGGATTGATAGAAGAAATGACCCACGACTCATATGTTTCGGCAACTCGTGCTAAAGTTAAGGGTACTTGGAACGTCCATAATGCGCTCGAGTCTATTAATGCACGGCTTGACTACTTCGTCCTCTTGTCAAGCGCTGCGGGCATTATTGGTAGTCGTGGTCAAGCCGCATATGCCGCCGCCAACACTTTCCTTGACGGATTCGCCTCTTGCAGAGCGGCGCAAGGCTTGCCTGGGGTATCCCTTGACCTTACAGCTGTGGCCGACGCAGGCTACATTGCCGAGAATGCGGCGCGAGAGGATGAGATTACCAAGAACTTTGGTGGACAGATCGTTTCCGAGGCCGAGGTCTTAGGGCTTTTGGCGGTGGCCACGTCCGGCAATTGCGGTGCTCAGTGCTTAACTGGCCTGAAGCTTGTTCCAAGCAACACGGGCACTTTGCCTTACTATGCGGATGACCCACGGTTCAAACATCTCAAAGCGGAGGCCGATGCTTTGATACGAGCTGCAGGTAGCGATTCGGGACAAGCCGTATCGTATAGGAATGCGTTCCGTGCTGCAGCTAGCAACGACGAGGCTCGTCAAGTTGCCATACAGGGCGTGCTACAGAAGCTATCCGAAGTTCTGTCAGTAGCACGCGAGGATGTAGATGCTCAGCGTACTACGGCATCGTATGGTCTAGATTCCCTGACAGCAATCGAGGTCCGCAATTGGATCACGAGAGAGCTCGGTGCGACTCTTGAGATTCTAGAGTTATTAACAAGCACGAATGTGACGGATTTGGCTGACTTGATTGTTTCGCGAACGAAGGCATAATTTTTAGGAAGGTCTTTATTTCCCATTCAGTCTGATAGAAATACAATAGAGTTCGTCATATAAACGAGATATGTTGAGCATTATATAATGAAAATATGCCTTTCAAGGTTGTGTGATAAGAAAAGAAGACGAACGGACGAGGGTGGACGGAGATGGGGAATATGTACCCAAGTATGTACTACACAGAATTATGATTACATAATCGAAACAGCTGAAGCTTTTCAATACAGGGGTGTATCCTGCCCGTTTCATAAGGTTATTTTTAAGTCAGATATTATGTTGCTATTAGGTATTACCTACCTATGCATCAGGTCGCGAATATATATGGCAAGGTCCTGTGTACTCAGTTAGATACGAGATCATTAGGTACTGGAATCAGGTCTTGAAAAGCCTTAGTAGAAAGTGAACAATTTTAGACAAAAGGTGAAATGGTATCATTGAGCACTATCTTTTGATGCATTAATTCATTCAACCCAACTAGCCCCCCTGAAACGCAAAAATTATGACATACAACCTCGCAATGCTTTTGTTGCCTGGAAATGGAAGTCGAAATAGCTGTAATGACCGATTGCATAAAATCTGCGCAGCATATTCTTCGCTACGGGTTTGTTTCCCGTTTTAGACCTCTGTTAAATGATGTAAAAGCCCCTACGCCTTGATATCTGTCTTGGAATCACCATTGGTGTGAGTGGTATGGGTGGTACGGTTGGTGCGGTAAGTGTCGATGCTCATCCGGCTCATTTGGCTTGCCATACTCAAGCCTGTGCCTTTTCTTGTCCTCAGCGCCTTTTCCCATCGCTTCTTATCCTTGATAGGAGCGCCAGTACCGTCTAGACCGAGTACCTCCATAAGCTCCGGCATCTCGGCGTGATCTCTTGTCGTCCGCATGCGGTGACACCACGTCACACGCTTCTCTTCGACCTTCGGGTCTTCCTGATCGTCTGCCTTATTATCATCACTGGTAAACTCAAGCCTCTTATCTTCCTCACTGCGTGGTGTCGTGACAGGTGTTTCTATTGTTAAGGTGGCCGGTTCGAAAAGGAACTCTCCTCCTACTTGTCGTTGGTCGCCCATTTTCATTACTAGGCCTGTCTTGACTTGTTTTAAGCCCTGGACAACGCCGGTCACGACTGTATGGGCCAGTGACTTTCCCTGGAGGTAAGCTGGTCGAGACCCCATTGCCAAGGTGCGCACCATTCCAAGTTCAGAATACAGGCGACGAGTCGGGTCGGCATAGACTGGAAATGGGCACCCGGTTTCTTGAAGGTACGAATTGATTAATTCGGGACCGCCACACCCTATAACCGCAATAAAGGTGCTGACTGGTAATTGCAGGAGAGCATCCGGGGTGACAGAGGCTGAAAGAGTGCGTAAATATTCTTGGCAATTCTATGATGTCAATTAGTACGCATCATCGTCCGAAAAGCATTGTCGTGAACTAACCCCGCAGAAGAAGTGTCGAATGAAAATTATGAGAACTCGACGCGGAGAGTTGTGGCCAGCATACAGGCTCTTAAAGGTATGTGACTTTCCATCACTGTCGAGGACTGTGTATGTCTCTATTTTGCGCAGCGTTTCGATTGTCGGCAAATCGTTGGTAGTTTGTACTTCGCCCTGGAAATCCTGGGGGTTCACTGAATCGTCCTGGGGTTGAGCATCGGCCATCGGCCGTGTCGCCAAGTTGGTCTCGTTAGCATTTGTGGCAGACGTGTTTATGTTTGTAGTAGGCTTGGCTTCTTGGGTGGGCTTCTCCGTTGCACCGGGTCCTTTCGAAACATTCGAAGCAGGTACAGCCGCTATTGTCGGTTGCTTATTTTTCTCATTAAATGACGATCGCGGGTTCTTTTCATCTGCTATGGGAGCTCCCGAAGGAGTGGGTTGTACCGTGGAAGCCATGTAGGATAGGTATGCTTGCTCTCAGATTTTAGTGGGATGAATGCTTGACATGAGATGGCGGGGGTTGAAGGGTGATCAGGTTTGCTACCGAATACGAGGTGATAGTCGGGATTGAATGCTTGCTGTCAATCCTATCGACCTTTTCTTCTTATACTCCAGGCGAAGAACAACAGAGGTGATAAATACAATTAATTAATTAACATCTCAGGGAAGAGGGCGGAAGAAGATCGATGTTGAAACTTGGAGAGAGTTGGTACGGTCTATGTCGCGGGTATACAAGGGTAGGTACCTAAACCGGAGAGGTACCTCCATGTTCAATGCCTAAACGCCCAACCCGCGCCGCCCGCAGTACTTAAAATCTTGTCTACGTAGGTACAATACAGGGGTCAAGGCGGCTCTCTACTGGGTACATACACCACCCAGCTAACTCTTGTAGGTTGGATAAGCTAACCTAATGCCACATCCAACTTTCTCCCATTTTCGGTAGCTCGGTAATTAAGTACTTTATGTATATGGAGGTAGATACTGGGTAGAGGAATAAAAGGTAGTTTAGGTTCGATCCCTATGAGGCCTGTTGGTGCCTTCCTTTTATTCCCCTTTATCTGGTGATTTCGTCCAGGTGGTGCAGTGGTAAGTGCGTCGCTTTTAAGCATCGACCATGTGGTTCGATCCCATGGTGTGCGGCCTGAATCTCTTTTAAGAGTGCCGCCGGGGGCGTCACTTCCCTGCCCTGGTCTAGATACTGGGTAGAGGAATAAAAGGTAGTTTAGGTTCGATCCCTATTAGGCCTGTTGGTGCTGAGGTCAACTCTTTGTAAGTTAAAAGTAAATGTGATGGTCATGCTTATTTTATGTTACTTTGATGAAGCTCGGTAGAGCTCTGCCAAGGTATGAGATCTAATTAAAGAACCCTTACGTACTAGCATAAAGTTATTCTATACATCCATGGATATCAAGAGAGTTTCCCGACCACGTGGTTAAGGTTTCAGGGGAGGTTACATCCGCATTTTAAGGGTTCCTGCAACCCAGCGCAGCTCCAATTATATAAGATCTATCCAATATTACCTCTGTGCTCTAAGATATTTCTTTGCAAGGATAAGAACTACTACTATGTATGTACATACATACATACCTACCGACCTAGATAGGTAGGTATTATTACATTATTATCGTCCTATCTGCTAATGGAACGAGGGTCCCTTGTGAGGAGACTATAAATTATGCGGGTGCGGTAAAGGTAAAACTCTTTAATAGGTAAGTTGATTCTCTCACAACATAGAGGCATATAATTTTTAGGTGAACGAATGTATATTAGTAAGCAACGTCTACTTTGCCATGAATTGAACGCAGTAAGTCTTAAAGGACTTATGGGAATGCCGAAACCCTAGCCGAGTCCTCGTGAACGGAGGAGGACTTGCACTTGACGAATCAAGCGAGGCGTGGGATGGCTCCTGATCACAGGGCATTGGCCATATTGCTTATTGTCGTTCGTGGCCATTATCTCGGTCCTAGCACGGAATCTCGTAGCAGCTGCCTAACGCAAGTGCCGCAGCTAATTCGGCGTGCTGCTACGGTCTTCTCTGTTGTCTCCCACTGCCACCAGACCAAAATTCTAGGTTCGACAGCTCATGTCGTAACGTCTGTGAGTTGGACTCCGGCTGGACTTGCCGGTTGGCAGTAACTCGAGCGCGGTTACTTCTGTCGAATCAGCTGCGAATTGCAGCTGCAGAAGAGTTGGATGATTCCAAAGTTTGAAGGGCGGCAAGTATTAAAGCACAAGCTGTTCGATTGCGCAGCTCGGATTTGAATGATTACGAGTCAAGGTTCCAGGCCTATAGGGCACTAGGACTCCTTAACTGCAGAATCTTCTTGATTTTTCCAAATGTTGGTGCTTTTCACTTATCGTAGGTAATCAATCGAGTCCACCGCCAACCTGGCTCGCAAAAGCTGTGCTAACCGACTTCTCATCATCATCGTATCGACGTCGAAACCCGTTTGAAAAAGCCGGGTAAGAACTGTCTGCAACGTGCTGCTTCAGACGATCGCTCTGAGTGTAGGACGTTGGTCGAGAACGAAGAGCGTCTGGAAGACCAGCTCCGAGACTAGCGCCGCCTTGTCCGACGCCTTTGCTACCAATGACACTAGCGGTACCGTCAGTGAATTCGGAGGTGGCGACGCTCTCGCCAGCGATACTCTCTGCTCCTCGGCCCCTACCCTTGCCGCCGACACGGCCACCTGAACCTGCGTTGAAACCCGGAAGCCCAGGCCACTGTTCAGAATTAAAGTTGGAAAACATCTGCGGAAAAGCAGTATTACCGATCCCGGCTCCGCCCAGGGCCGAGCTATGAAGACTGGACGTATCATCAGGGATATACGAAATCATTGAACTTGATTCAAAGTCTTGGCCTGAATTCTGGCCACCATTGTATCCGGCCGAACGACCATTGGTGTAACCACTAGAGACGTATGAAACCTGCTGAGGACGCGGGCGGTATGTGTTTTTAGGCCGACTGAACTGAAGCAAAGATGTTTGTAGGTTGGTCAAAGGTCCCTCTACGAGACATTTGCGCTCTTTGAAATGCACCAGGAGGTGATGCCATAGTTCATGTTTGGACAGGACTTTGGGGTTGCCAATGATTACAAGACCAAACTTTGCACGAGTCAGAGCAACGTTCAACCGGCGCGGGTCAGAAAGAAATCCGATGCCTTGATTGTCATTGGACCGCACACAGGACAGAACGATGAAGTCCTTTTCACGACCTTGGAAAGCATCGACGGATGCGACCTCCACTTCCTTGTAAGACTCCTTCTTAAAAGTGCCTGTATTCTGCATCGTGGTCACGATGTAACTGCGCTGACCTTCGTACGGGGTAATAACACCGATATCTGAAGGTCGCACGCCGGCTTTGAAAAAGCGAGTCACAATCTTTTCCACATTGGAAGCCTCAGTCCGGTTGAGGTATGACGTTCCAGACGCAGAAATCTCTTCGTTGCCCAGATTGGACCAGAACATCATGGGCATCTCACCGACCGGCCAAGGGAAATCGACATCTTTACGAATTCTGTTCGGCGCCGAGACACCATTCTGAAGAGAACCTTCGTAGAACATGTTTGAGGGGAATTCAGATAAGCAGGGATGCATTCGGTACTGGATGTTCAGTCGGATAGGAGTAAACCCAAGTCGGACGAGACGCTCAAAGAGGGACTGGTTGAGACCGGCTTTGGCAGCTTTCTTATTCATAATCACAGGACCAAGCTGTTTGTGGTCACCGACGAGGACAACCTGCTTACAGCCTAAGACCAGAGGAATCATACACTCCGGTTCAGCAGACTGCGTCGATTCATCGATGAGGACATTTCGAAATTTCATCTTGGCCAAACGCGGGTCTCCGGCGCCAACACAGGTACAACAGACCACGTCTGCGTTGTTCAAAATCTCACGCTCAGCAGCACGAGTCAGCTGCTTGTATCGTTTCTCGTCTTGGCTTGAGAGTTCACCGGCGGTAGTCTTGAGTTGGGAGAGTTTCATCAGGTCGGGGTTGGTATCGAGCATCCGGACTTGCTCATGCAGAGCCAGGAAGCTGACAGAAGACTCGACGTCCTCACGAGACTTCGCCGTAAGGCGCACGACTTTTAATCCTGTGAGGTTAATACGCTCACAGAGTTGGTCCACAGCAACGTTTGATGGCGCGCACACCAGGACTTGGCCATTATTCATCTTTGCCAGATGATAAATGATAGTTGCGGAAGTAACTGTTTTACCAGTTCCCGGAGGCCCCTGAATGAGACTCAGAGGTGTTAGCAGAACGTTCTTGATAGCGCTAATCTGGCTGTTGTTGAGCTCCGGAAGACCAGGCACGCTAAACTTCTTAGGTAGGTTGGTCTTCATAGGAGCAACAGCAACTTCATGACCAAGAAGCTTGTGGAAAATATATCCGGAGACACTCATCTCATCCACGGCAAAGGTTTTCATAGCAGCCTGCATGCGATCGTAAGAGGTGGCTTTCCAGACGTAGTCGGCCGAGAAGTTATGGGTGCATTCGGTTGGTACAGATTTATCGTTTCCCGTCTTGCGTAACTCCAAAGTTACCTCGTCAGACTGACTGTTAGGGATCTTGACGACATATCCGACGCCCTCCCAAGGAGGTCGAAGCTCTCCCTTGTATTTGATTCGCATCTCATCGCCAACAGCTAGTTTGACATCACCAGATTCCAATTTCGGAAACGTAAAACTAGCGAGGTGCTTCGTGTTAAGACCTAAGTCCCATCGAACAACCAAACCGTCTTCGGATTGCGCTTCCTTGAGTTTTTTGTCATAGTCGGACTCCATCTTCACAAGAGGCCCAAATATGTTCTGGTACTGATACGGGTCTTCGTACTTCAGGAGAACGGGAAGCGGATCGTCATCGATGCTAGCCGCCTTCTCCAGATCAGCAATAGTAGCACTAGAATTTTCCTTCCACATCTCTTCTAACTTGGCGATCATAGGAGGTGTTAGATGGCGAGCACGAAGTTGTTCATTATCGCTGGGCGGCGAAACGAGCCAAGGAAGGAAACTTCGGTCCTCGATCAAAGGCTGCCACCTAGCAGTATCCCAGCTCATGTCCTTCGAAGAGGGCGTAGCGGCGCAAGGCTGGCGGCATAGAAGAACAACGACCGTATCCGATTTAGCGGGGATAAATCCAAGTAGGAAAACGTTCTTCGTTCCACAGTTATAGCATTCAAGAGTAGTGTCACCGAGAGTAGACTGCGGGTGAAGTTGTACTTCCTTATGCCGGGCCCGAACTAGATGATTGACAATGTGCGACGAGCTCGCATTACCTCGAGCGCTGCAAAACCACTTGTTGCAGGCAAGACACTTCACGACCGAACCTGGAGAATGGATGCCACAGTACCTATGATGGCACGTTAGCAATCTACCTAGGTGATCAACCTATAATCTACTTATTTTTGGGGACCTACGCGCAAGCATGTGGAGGCAATTTCTTCTCCTCCTCAGGAGCCTTGAGATTCAGGCCCTTCATAGCCCCAACAGGGACACTAGCTACGCTTTCGGTATCGTCGTCATCAAATGTCTCGGTTTCGTTATCATCGTCGTCATTCCGTCGCCTTGCGTTGCCTAAGCCTCCGCGACCACTGTACTTGCCATAGAGAAGGCTCTCATCGGGATCCAGTGTAGATAGGTCATCGTCGCCGGCGTTGATAGCAGCAGCAGAATCGGATACAAGGTGGTTACCCAGATGGGTAAAAGCGCCTTCCATTATAGCGCCGTCAGCCGGCTAGGACAGCCGGGTTTGGGAGGCAGTTACTTTCCACCTGATATATATTAATACTATTTAAATTGGGTTTGTGTGGGTTCACCTGGGTTCATAAATTGATATGGTATAGGAAATGGATAGAAGAGTGAAAGACGTGAGATTGAGGGTGAGGGCGAGGGGGGTAAAAGGGTTGAGCGATTGGCGAAAGGGCAAAAGTAGGTAGTCAAGTATCGGATTGTGGAAGAAAGAGAATAGAGGGAGTGAAGGGTTGAGGGAGAATCGACAGTTGCCGAACATACCTACCTGAGTGCCTTACTATGTGTAAAGTGATGCGTGAAATCGCAGCTTCAATTATTCCTCGTCGCAGCCTTATTCGGCGCAGGGAGAAGATTGACGGGTTATTGTTGTGAGGAAAAAGAAAAGAAGGATGTTATCACATTGTGGAATTCTGAGGTTTAGATTTCTGAGATTGCGATAACTTTCGCGCTTGCATCTTTCAATGTGGCGGAAATCCAGGCGGGATAGGGTGGGTCCTAAACGCTTGGACCAATGACCTCTTACATTCAACAGGCCTAAACCTGTCTAGGTATCGGGCAAAGTCTGATAAGCCCCGATACCAAAATTTCCCTTGAACATGTCCCAAAAAAAAGTTCATTGCTTTGGCCGGGACTTTGACTCTATTCATCAATTTGAAGCTTCCAAGTCATTACTCAGATTAAAGGCCCTTGGAACCGTACGAGATCAGTCGCAAAAGGCCCAGTGATCACCACATCACAATCGGATAGATATTGCATACAAATAGGCCCCCTATTAAACTAGCACCTCGATCAAAATCATGATTGTGCGTTGATCTACCTGGGATTGTCATGCGAACCTGCTAACATGACGATAACACAGCGCAAACAAGCTCGACAACGGCGCGACTACCTCTATAGAAGAGCTCTGCTATTACGGGATTCCGAGATAAGCGAGAAGAGAGCAAAACTCAGAGCATCCTTGGCCACTGGCAGGCCTCTAGATCCATCCATCGCAAACGACAAGGAACTAAGAAAAGACTACCAATTTGATGAATCTCGACCGGACCGAAGCAAGAATGAAGAGCTGGATCTCGATGATGAATATTCCCAGCTTTCGGGGATAGTAGATCCTCGAGTCCTCGTTACCACCTCGAGAGACCCCTCCGCTCGTTTATCAGCATTCGCAAAGGAAATCCGTCTACTACTCCCGACTGCCATACGGCTGAATCGCGGCAACTTGATCCTGCCAGATCTTGTTCGATCAGCACAGTCCAGCGGCCTAAGCGATCTACTCCTTCTCCATGAACATCGTGGAGTTCCAACTGCGTTGACATTGTCCCACTTCCCTCACGGACCAACGATATCATTTTCATTGCACAATGTCGTATTACGCCATGATATCCCCAATAGTATTCGAGGAACCGTCAGCGAGTCGTATCCACATCTGATATTTGATGGTGAGTAAGGTAGCGCATATGCCAAATTCACTAATGTCACTAACCTAAACTACAGGCTTTACTTCTCGCCTTGGTGAAAGGGTTGTCAAAATCTTGAAGCATATCTTTCCCCCGCGGGAACCCCTGACAAGCAAAGCTAAGCTCGGAAGTCGAGTGGTCACGTTTAAAAACATCGAAGACTCGATCGAAGTGCGGCATCACGTTTTCGTCCGAACAGGATATGACAGCGTGGAGCTGTCCGAAGTCGGGCCCCGAATGACCATGAAGGTATTTGAGATCCGCAGTGGTACATTGGAGAACAAGGATGGCGATGTCGAATGGCACCTAAACCAGTACACGAGAACCAGCCGCAAGAAGGATTATCTTTGAGGCTAATCCTATCAAATTCAACCGTCCCCGAAGCTTTACGCATAGCTAGAGGAATACGTGACGCCACGGTGAATGATGGATTTCCTGTCGGATCCAAGCGAACCTCCATACGAGCGTATAAATATTTTGCAACATCTCATTCAGCACCTCACCAAGGTAACAGCCGCTCAGCGTATAAACGAACTCCGCAATGAGCAGCCCTGTTCCGGATGGCCGGTCCATGTGCCAAACTTTGATATAGGGCTTTGAGTAGGCGGGAGTATTCTCAAAACCGCCAGCCAAACTCTGGCCCGGTACGGTGCCATCTTATTAGGAAGAACACCATTGGAAAGCCTACATGATATAAGATCATGGTAAAATTATGACGGTCTAGCAAATATTGTCTTAAAAGCAGATATCATGACAAGTGAAGAGTATGGCTACAAGTCGAGACAGACATGTTGTCTAAACTTGCATAAGAGCTTATCAATAAAAGAATGAAGTGAGAATCAAGTTTGGGACGAAGCTATCTTAGCAGTATGTTGCTAAGGTTGAAACTGAATCTACAACAAGCAAAGGCATTCTGAATCATAGTTTGGTTGGTATCATTTGAAAGTCATATTAGCAGACATCACAGAAAGACAGCAACGCAACGAAATGTTTATATCTGCTAGACAACAGATTTTCAGATATGCAGACAGTCAGCCCGCAAGAGTCAATCGTATGCGCTAGTGATGGGGCAGGCTCTAAAAAACGCTTCGCATAGTCTAAGCCTTATGAATACGACAGCGTTGTGGTGGTTTAGATATTATGTAAGTACGTATGTGGCTATCCATATAAATATTTAATTCGAGTCAGCCGTTTCGCAGCTGCCTAGCTACGGTAAGCTACCAATTCGTCCAATTCATGGGCTGTGACGACATGTGAGCATCTTTTTAAGTTCACAGCCCCAGAGGCAAAGAAGCGCTAGAGATTTACCATTGGCGGGTACGGGTAAAGCTAAACCGAGGAGGGTAGTAGGGATGGCAGGGCTCCCATCGAGGCCATGCCTATTTTTGGGGTCGTACAGCTTACAGTACATATTATTACCCGCATCCCGTTCTTGCCACTGTCTGGTAATGTACTTTCTTAGCTCTAATTTCCACGTGCATGAGTAGAAAGGCTTCCATCATGGATCTTTAGATTGGTAGTGGGGTACTTGTATGCAAAATAGACCTTCAATTTGATTTGGGCGAACTTCGCTCTTTGTCCAAGCCACCCACTGATGCCACTTGATGGCACTGGTCGTCGTCAATCATCAATCATCCAGCGAAAACCAGATTCGCGGGTTAATCCTTGAATAAGAGAATTTCCATGCGGGTTCTTTTAAGATTTTACTACGTACCCATCAACTCATATCTCGTTTTATCCGCGTTTTGTTCCCTCTTCCTTCTCCATTCTCGACTTTTATTTCTCCCGAATTAATTGCACGGAATACCTCTACTTCTAAATCTTGTGTCGGAGAGCAAGACAATTCGGAGGGGGTGATAGGCTGTTAGTAGCCTACAAAAAAATTGGACAAATTGCCCAGACGTCACTTCGGTCAGTTATTTGCAGGGTCCGTGTGTACCGTAAGAAGCAGCTGTAAAGGCTGTAAATTGATTCAATCCATTCAGTCTCATCCCTCTCCAATCCCATTCCCTTCTTTTTACATCATCACAATCATCATCACCATCATTACATCGCTTCCCGCCCGTCGCGCCGACCCGAGATCTTAAAACCATTAGGCTTTTTAGATTTCATGAGGGCGACGGCCTAAACAGCCATCATCATGTCTTACGGACAATATCAAAACAATCCATACCAAGAGGCCCCGTCGTCAGAACAGGGCTATGGTTATGGCCAGGTAAGCGACAGCAATAGCAATAGCCAGCAATGTCGGCGCATGTCAGTAACCATCTAACAATTATTCAGGATCACGAGTTGCAAAGCTACCCTCAACAACCAGCCTCGGACACGCTCTCGCAGCAGGACTTCCTTGGCCGGATTCAATTTCTTCGCAATGAAATCGGTACGCTCACAAGCAATGTCCGGGCAATTGCGTCGCTGCACCAGCGCGCATTGGCCGAAGCAGACGGCGGCGCGGCATCATCGCAACTCGAACGCATCATCGCCGATACCCAAACTCTAAACCGTGGCATCCGGGACCAGCTTAAATTCTTAGCAAATGACGCCAACAAGACTTCCGACGCCAGCCGTACCCTAAAGGAGCGCCAAGTCAACACAATCAAGGCCGAATTTGAGCGCGAGTTGCGCAGTTACCAGGAAGAGGAGGGTTCCTACCGTCAACGGTACCGCGACCAGATCGCCCGTCAGTACCGCATCGTCAACCCCGATGCTACCGAGGATGAAGTTCGCCAAGCAACTGAAGCCGACTGGGGCAACGAAGGTGTCTTCCAAACAGCCGTATGTTTTACCTTCCATCTTACCGCCGGTATATTCGAGATAGTGCAATACTAACAGGAACATGCAGCTCCGCACCAACCGTACCGGTCAAGCATCAACAGTTCTTGGAGCAGTGCGCGCTCGCCACAATGAGCTGCAACGCATCGAGCATACTCTGACGGAGCTAGCAAATATGTTCCAAGACCTCGCTGTATTAATCGAGCAGCATGAGCCATATGTACAGCAAGCAGAGGAGAATGCAGTTAACACCGCCAAGTATATGGACGAAGGTAACACGCACGTGAAGAAAGGTATCATTCACGCCCGCAACCGCCGCAAGTGGAAGTGGTGGTGTCTATTCATCGTTATCCTCATCATCTGCGTTGCCGTTGCTATCGGTGTCGGTGTAGCGGCCCAAAATGGGGCTTTTAAGAAGAACAATTAAGACAGGTTACACGTTATTTAACCGTGTAAGGGATGAGCGGATGACCACAATGAAATGTGCCTCCTCCAGGAGACGACACGATGAGGTTAAAAAGAAAGAGAAAAAACTACCGGGTCATGCGGGGATGGCAGATTTGGGAGAATCATATTAATTGCCGACATTCCGTCCAATATCTATCTATATGGACGTCGGCGGACCTCCCGGCCTCCGGTGTTTTACGGAGGAAGGGGGTAGGGTCCCCCTCTAATGCATCGTTTTCTTATGTACGCATACTTCTTTGTGCGGATTCTTTGCCGCTCGGGCGGCCGTGTCTATTGGATCTTCTTCTCAGGGTGACGGTCCGGAGCTAGACGGGCTGGTATTGTAGATAGGTAGATACGTACGCCCGTATGTTTTATTGCTTCTTTTCTCGGCCTCTTCAGTGTTGCGCCTGTTCCATGTAGTGTATTTCGTTGCTTCGTATTTCCAACTGTTGAGCGACTCTTGATAAAGAGTTAGTGAGAGGCAATTGCCATTTCGTACATGTGTACCGAGTGTCCAATCTCAGATATCGTAAGCTTAGGAGCTCCTCATGACAATATATAAAGCATAAAATGCAACCGTACTCAAATATCCCTGTGTAAATACAGATTGTCTATTCATAATTATGTCTACATACATATACCTATTTCCTCCAGCACCAGTCGGTTAGTCCAGGAAACAGACGAGCACCTGTTTCTGAAGTCAAGACGACATGTTGCTTTTCAAACAGAAAGCTCTCAGACGAGAACAACACTCATAACCTCATATTACAATGAGACGTATCGCATCGTCGTATAGCAGGTTCTATATTGATGAAGAATAGAATATATTTCACAGTGTATACCTAATACAGGATAATTTTATGCGATACCTGACCCGTATCCCCAAGTATCCAACATGCGGATATTCAAAGCAACAAAGCCAACCGTTCAAACCCCTTTTCTCGACACTCAATCAACTACGAACGCTCAACGATGCAGTTACTTGAGTCCTTGCAAGCCACACGTGGGAGCTTTGCACTCGGGGCAACCTTCGCAAGCAACTTGTCGAACAACGGAGTCCCTAACCCGGTCACAGGATCCCACCCCTCAGTAGCATTCCATCCCGCCCCTGGGACGTAGGGTGCCGGCAAGCCACTATAGACTGTAATATGTCAGTGTCCATGTAAAGACAGTGTAGCTCAAGTTAAGAATCGGCATATAAACCACAAAAAAAACCTATGTGGAAAGGGTATAAACATACTATCTGTGCCAGTGCATCCCTTGCTACCGCCCAACTTGATGTCGGTGAGGCCGCCATTTACGGCGTCGCTGTAAAGCCACGGGTTTAGGAAACCTAGAGGTTTCTGGCCGCTCTGGATGCGTGCGTTATTGAGCAAGCTAATGATGGAAGCGAAGGTTGGTGCCGAAGCTGACGTTCCGGCTACTTTGGAGAGTTGTCCTTGAGTGTACACGTTGAAATTTTCTCCTTGGGCTGCAACATCGGGGAATCCACGTCCACTGGGATTGTACAGTCCTTTGAACGTGTCGCCAATGCTGCCGAGGTAGGTAGTCACTGCTGATTTTTGGTAGTCGGGAATCGGGAAAATATCCGAAAAGCCACCAGACGAGAACGAAACGGCTCGCTCAGGCTCTACACCTACCGTGCCACCTACCGACGTAACGTAGGGGCAGGCCGCGGGGAAAATGGGCAAAAGACGTGTAGTGTTCTTGCCGTCGTTGGTTTGACACGCGCTACCTGGGCCGGTGCTAGAAAGAAGTTAATTCACTGATAGGTCTAAAATTCTCATGCATATATAAAAATACTCACTCTCCAGAGCTAAAGAGCACTGAGACGCCCCGAGCGCCAAGTTGGCCAAACATATTGCAAACCTTCTTAACATATTCCTTCGGCACTGACTGCTCATCCTCGCCATATGACGTGGTTAAGGTATGAGGAAGCTCCTGATCATTGAGTTTCAGTAAGTACGTTAAATACTCAAGGTATGGCTCATTGGACCCCTTTATAATTATTAGCAAGTTAACGCTCGGTAATCAAGGTTTTAATCTACTAACAGAACTCGCGTCAGGTTGGCTAGCAATCGTTAGCTTTTAATCAACTCACAAGGACGAAATTTAGGCTTACTCAAGATCAGGAATCAACGGTCCGCGGCCGCCGTTGGAATAGTATCGAATATGTGTGTTGAAACCCAACGACGCCGCATATTGTATATCCAGATTAGCCTCAACGTCGTCATCGACCGTGTCAGTCTGGTTGTTCAAACCACCATTAACCGACACAGTGGTGAAGTTCTGAGAAACGGCGTACGGAGCGAATTGCCCAAGGAATGTATCTAATGCGTCGTGTTTGGCGTATTCATCCAAGAAACCGCTGACACCAAAAATGGTTGGTACATTTGGATCCGCAGTCGTGTCACCCACGTTATAGAGGGCGCGCAAGCATTCAGGGGTCACGGTGCTATTACAGAAAGTCACGTTAAGACTCTGGCTGGGAATTTCAGAAGCGATCTGAAATTTCTCTTGCTGCTCGCTGACATCGAAAACCTGGATTTTCTGGGGTTTCACCTGGCCAAATCTAGTGGTGGGCTGGATCATGGTGATGTGTGGTCTCACTTCGTCGGGTACGGAATAGCTGTTTCGAGTTAGCGAATCTCAATGCTTCTCCGTCGATCAGGGATAGTGCATACTGCAGAGTCCGGACTCGCTGGGCTTTAGAGCCGGCATTTTTGTACACTTGAAAATCGGTGTTCAACAAGTTCGACGCCCTTAGTACGGTGGTTTTGAAATTTATCCATTCGCCGTCATTCTCGATATCGGAGGACGAGATACCGGCTGCCTGAAGCCATTCCAGCACGGCAGCGGTGGATTCTTCTCGAGGCTTCATCATCTCTCTAACCTCATCACGAGACATGTGTTGTCCGTACAGAGGATTCTGCGGGGTAGAGATGTCATAAAGAGTTTTCTCGAAGTGACCCAAGTTGGGCTGTTCGAGAGCAATCCGTAATTTGAGTACTTGAGCCGGATTTGCGTTCTTGACCTTAGTCCAACCGACGGGAACCTTTGGTAAAGACTCAACAACGACATCTTTACCTTCGACGGTGGCCTGGAGCAGCGCAATGGCAGCGCAAAGGAGTGAGGAAGACTTCATCGCGAGCTATGTTATAAGCCGACAGCGAGGATATTGCAGCACCGATAAACAATGCAATGACCAGCTACCTCTTCATAAGAAGAGCTGGATTTAAAACGAGCGAGAGAAAAGGAATGAAATAATAAAGCTCGAACGAGTTCGAGGAGTAGATTTCTATTAAGTATGAAACATCCCCGTATGAGGTTATGTCAGGGCGAACGACACAAATTAAGAAAGCTTGGCTGGCCGATGTAACCAAGGATTCTCGTTAAGAATGCCGAAGGAGTAAGTTTGGAATAAATAAATCCCATACCTACCTGGAACATACTCAAGGTATTCTTACTCAGCCGGCATACGGCGTGCCTACCGTCAAATTAAAATTAATGTCCATGCTGCGGTTTCCCATCTCGGGCTTCCTTCCTTCCACCTGCCATAACGGACACCTAGCGGCCACCTAACACGCCAATCAGGAAAGGGAGAACGCGACGTTATCGGTACCCTAAACATGCTACCAAGTACCTGGCTGTTAGGTGGGATTCGTGTATTCGTGTATTCGAAAGCTGTGCTATGCAGGTAAGACCACAGGATGAAGATCAAATTAGAGAAGGCCGATCATTGACTTGATCAGCGAATCTACATGAGCGCGATTCGAGAATACCTGCTCGCTCTAGTAAATCCATGCCTAGACTAGGTACACATTTACCCAAACACGTATCGAGCTAATGCCTCGACGGATCAATTGGCCAATTAACACTGTACAGATAGCACTAGGTATACATACCAGGTATACCTACCCCAGGCTGCCCAGGCTGTCCAGGGCTGCCAGGGTACGATAACAAGCAACGACTAAACCTCTAGCAAGGTCTATTATTAGCTTCCACCGTGCCTGCCTTTAGTGACTGACCTGTCATTTGCTTGTTTAAACCTCTCAAACCTCTGAGCCTCTTTAGATATATTTATACGGAAGCATCCCCATTCCCAATCATGTAAATCCCGTATAAACTATTTCAGCCGTCATTGCCTACGAATAGGGGAAGAAATTGTACCTAAGGAAAAACAAGAGACCTCTATTGAGCTAAGTTTCTCGTAATGTCTCACAACTAGACCCGTTCTTTTTCTTCTCGTCCGAATCCACCAAACAATAGGTGGTTCTTTTTTTCCTTCATTAGGAAGTTGGATACCTACCTAACTATTACGCTATGCTAATTGAGCGGGTTGTTAAACCTGTCATCGAAAGCTCCTACCATATAAGACTAAGTCAACCCAGTCTAGCCGTCGGTAATAGCAAGTGTTTGAATTATGTCAATTATATCAAACATGTCGGCAGGAACTCACCCGGTGTCTTGGCCCATGAAACATCTTTGACCGATGGCTCGGTAAACTAGAATCACAAGTTTGTGCCCAACACTCAAGATTCTTGTTAGGTGATAGCAAGATGTTTATGGAAAGAGGAAATCTTTTCAGTCCGGGTTCTAAGTCTAATAAGCCAGCTTATACTGATTTTTCCTCGCAGCGATCAACAGACCACGTCAGATCTTACAGCTCAATGTTTCCAATTGGATAAATATCAGCCGAACTGTTCTTATTCATAGCGTTGTTGCTTCAGGCATTTGTTGTGTGATTGTCTTGGTGGCTATTGGATTTGATGAAGTCTTGCACCAGACCCTGTTACAATAACACCTCTTATAAGCGGACCTCAAATCATCGCCCTATTCACTACAAGCTACAAGTCCTTACACCTTTCTAGGGGTTTATCGCTAGTTGAAGCCGAGAAAGGAAAAGGTGATGAGTTCTAGACCCCAATCGAAATAAATAAAAATATAACTACTAGGACCATCGTTTTCGGCTTCATTCGCGGGATTGTGGTCGGGGTGCGATTGGTGTAGGGATTATTTATGCGACGAGATCTACTTAAGCGCTACAAGAATTTCTTATATTGAGCCACCTCAGAAGCACCAGGGGAGACGGTATAAGGACGAACACTGCACGATGCGACTCGTGAAGGATCTGGGAAGACTCAAAGATGTGTATGCTCTTACCCGGATAAACTGTACATTTAAATGATAATATCAGTTTAACTAATATACCCAGATGTATTGGCAAATCCCCCAATATAACTTCAGTATCACTCGTTTATTTCACGTCCTGTCAGTCTAGTCTGAAGCTCCGGGTATAATCCCGCAAGCTCGGCCTCCCTAGACGCGATAGTATTCTCAGAAGTTCTGCCCTGGTGCTTAAGTGTCCACAGTCTCAAGCCTGTGATAATAGCTATGACCGCAAACTTCTCTCCTAGCTCACCCGTCTGCCCACTCTCCCTGAATTCGATCCTGAAGGGATTCATCACTGACCAATTACTGTTCCAGGCGAAAATAGCGACGACCTCTGGTCCTCCACTTGTGCTTCCTTGTGATGCCCCATCGCCCAGATTTGCGTCCTTCCCTGACCGGTTTGAGAGTCTCAACAGCTTGAACCCGCACTTCCACGGCGAATCGACTAAGTTCTTATCCTGGTCGCCTTTGCTCTTCCGCCACTCAAAATCCTCACGCCGCACTCCTTGTTTGTGTCCTGTCTCAGTTGAAAATCGGAATGTTGCCGTGCCCGAACTCGTGGCAGCATGCATGATTTCCGTGTAATTCTCGTTAGAGGCGCCACCTGAAGGTCGAGCTAAGGTAATGATGCTGTTCAGTGACGAAATATTACCGTTCTCATCGCCAGCCGCAGCGAGCATCGGGTCCTTGTCGGTTGGCCCATTATGCAAGATCACACCTGGTCTTCCCGGCCCCTTTCCACTCAAACCCGTGTGCACTGCAACAGCGAAGAGTCGTTTATCTGTAATGCTGCCTAGATGGAATATGGTACTAATCCTCCATTGGTAATGTGCATCTAAAATCGATGGAAGTGGCCGATAAAGGGTAAGCACGGTGTTTGACGATACATTAGGAATGCCTCCTGGTTGCGTCGCGCTCCGTGAATGGTACTCCGGGACAACTTCTGAATATGGCGGTGGTGCTAAGTCCCCATTTTCAGCTATCTGCGATTTTGGATGTTCCAGATTCCCCATCTTGTTACATGAAGTTCGTCGGTGTGTGTATAATCACCCACAGGTAGGTATCGTAAATTCGTAGAAAGGATATAGGGCGTTTAGATCAACATCCATGTAACAACATGACACCAAATAAGAACCTGTAGATATCAAGCTTAGGTAGAAACCAAGCTCAATCAACACAGAACTTCCTAAGCATAAGCAAGCTTAGCCTTTCAGGGATACTCGGATTTATCTACTTCCGACCTATTTGGGCAGCATTAGACATCAGTATAGTTGTTAAAATCCTCCTATATTTTTATATCAATTCGTCTATATCATACTGTGTTCTTGCTTGTTGTTGGTCATTACTTTGAGGCAAAACAGTCAAGAACTGATAATATAACAGTTAGCCACAAACTTTGCAGCGAATCAAAAGTAGAATCAGTAAGTGATTTGGTAAATCGCCATCCATGTTACTCTGGAACTAAAACTGAGATTATGTAAATATCAATACCATTCTTTGTGAGAATTAAGTAAAATCTAGTTAGTATACGTTTGGTAACCAGCCACAAAATGGAATAGAATAGTACAAGTTCACTTGACATCATATGAAGGTCGGCTTGCGATCGCAGTTCAATGTTATGATAGATTCATCAAGCGTTGACGGGGTAATCAGCGCACTACCTCCTTCAACTGTCTACCACACCTTCTATCCCGGAAGGCCAGTAAAGTCTCCATAGTCCAATGCTCACCGGTGCCATCGAAAGGACGCCCTTCTAAAGGTTTACCTTGAGATACTGGATATTTGATGATCAGGTTCTCGTGCAGCCAACCTCGATTGTGTCCTCGATCCGGGTTGCCCCTACCACACACTTTCTGGTGAATCGTATAATGGTCATCTATACCATCTTGACAATCGGAACACAGGCTTCTAGCCCACTTTCACATAGTTTCCTATCACATGGCCGTTAGTTGAAGGGTAAATTGTTTTTCGGCCCAAGAGGCACATACCAGGAAATTGGCCCTGTTTCCCATGACATTTTCCAATCCACCATTCGTTCTCATTCTTGGTTTTGCTGACAATTTCTATTACGTCTCCTGCCCTAAAACTTATATCACCTTCAGCCTGGGCGGAGTAGTCATATAGAGCAGTAACAGTTTCGACAGCAGGCGCTCCGCTAAGTCGGCTGGGCTTCGGTTTTGGCGGAGGAGGCTTTGGCTTCCCTGCCGCAAGCGCTGCTAATCCCGCCGAACTGGGACCACCTAAGGGCGGTGACATGGGTGGCTTTAGGCCGGCTGCGGACGCGGAGTATGGTGGAGGAGGATTCTCCACAACATCTGACTGGGATGATTGACCATACTTCGCTGATACCGGGCTCGGCGTTGATGACGGACCGGCAGTGAGCAGACCTGTAGGTCGTGTACTTGCTTCGATCGCTGGTGGCTTGTTCCCGTACTTAGGCGGCTTCTTTTGACCGCTGGTCTTAAACCGGACAATACTTAGCGCTTCGGTTTGCTCCTGAATACCCTCTCGTTTCCTCATGAATGCTTCCTCAACGTCGAGCGTTAAATCGAAATATCCAATATCGCAATGCTGCATCTTCTCGTGAAGTGTATAGAAGATGTTTAATTGCATGTAATAGAAGGATTGGAATAGCGGCTTGATGAATTGGCGCTCAAGAGTAAATAGCTTCGGCAATTCGTCTTTTAACAGATCGTTGAAATAGTTGAATTCCTGAGTGGCTTGCTCGACATCGCTTTCTGCCTTCCACAAGGCCTTCTCATCCTTGGCGCTTTTCTCCTTTTTATCTTGGATTTTCTTGAGTGTCGCATTGTGCCGGTCGAAGTCGAGCTTTTTGTGTTCACGCTTCGTCGCGGTCTTCCTGATGACCTTAAGTACGTCGAGCAGCTCGTTTGCCGGGCGGATGACTCGCGAATCGATCATCTCAAGTTCAGGCTTGAGCGACTCTTGTAAGTCCTTGACAATAGCTTCGTACTCCATGCAAGCACGGATACCTTCGGGGTTGCCTTGGATTTCCAAGGAATCTGGGTCAGACATGCGACCAGATATGGGCTTGTAAATCTCGGTCATGGCCTTGCTGAATTCAATTTGGTGGTTGAGCATGCCATTGATGGCGTCGAAGTATTTTTTGCTTTCATCGTGGAGGCGCTTGGTCTCGACCTCGAGCTCGTGGAAGCGTCGTTCGGCATCGATGAACACGGGATCTTTACTATGTTCGCCAATGTTGAATTTGGCTTTGAATTGTTGCGGCGCCTATGCGTTAGAGAGTGCTGGTTAGCTAAAGAGTGCCTTTTTACATCAGGCGCATTGATGCTCACTCGGACGACGCTCTTCTGAAAACCTCGGAAGCTCATCGCTTAACGGGGTTAAAGTGATCCTGTCCGATAGAGGGATGTCCGGTAAAGATGGAGATATTGGAAGGAGTATTATTGCCTTGGGCTGATGGTATTCTTGGTACTGCGATTAACTAGGTACCTAAATGATGCCCCGCGAAGCAATGCCGAATATGTCGTGTAGGGTGCGTAGTACCGATCGTCGAGTAAACTGGGAAAAGGATGAAGGATGTATAGGAGGAAGATGATAGATGATGTGTGCTGCAAGGCAGGGCTAGTGGTCAAGGTTGTACTTGTAGTAATTGTGGTGGTAGTAGTAAACTTGGGAATGGGTGCTGGGTAAACTTGGGGCTATTTCTTCGCCCAGTGACGACGTCGTTCCTTGTGGCAGTGCCTTAGCTCGGGCTTCGCGGAGAGTCCGCAAGGTCCACGGTGGTTGTGTGTGGCTTGGATGTTTATCTTAAATACTTAAACCGTTTTTTGGGAGCCTGGAAAATGGGACGAAGAGAAGTTACCAGGTTACTTGGTAGCTTGGGTAACTCCTGGCTCGTGAACATCCAGTTTTTCACCCCTATCATGTTACACAGCTTGATACTAGATAAAACATCAGATACATGTATCGGAATTTCCACATGATTCCAAGGTTCCTTCTCTAGATACTGTACATAGATAGGTACACTTGCCGTGTTCCGTAATGTGGGAAACTTTCTTTGTGTTAGGTGGGCTGTCACTTTAATCCATGCTAAACAGCAGGGCCTAAAAGCTCGCTAACGTCATCAAACCTGAAGGAGGGGCAAGCGTCATTGTGGATACCGTCGGGTTATGTAATACGCCTACCTGGTAGGTAGAATCTTGTACGCGTCATAGTTCATCCGTCCCGGTATCACCGAGCTTCAGCTGTTAGCAACGGCCGCCGAACCGACCGAGCTTCGGAGCTTTTTTTTCGCGCCTTTTTAGCATTTGCTTTGAAATTCGCCGTTCGCCATCTAGCCATCAACCATCCAGCTTCATACAAGCTCTCCGCAACCTTTCTCTTTCTTCTATACCTATCAGTTTTCTCCATACTAAATTTAATATCTTATCCACGCATCACAAAATCATGGCGAACGTCGCCTCTTCAGCCTTGAGACGGGCTTCGCGCCTCGGCCTCAAGCAATCCCTCGCTTCGACCCCTCTACGAGGAATTCCTTCTATGTCAAGAGTGGGAGCCGTAACCACAGCACAAGTTTCACGAAGAGGTTATGTATCAGAAACAAAGCGGGATAATGCACAAGTCAATGTCGAGACCGCAATACGGCTTGACAAGAAGGATTTTATGAATGAGAAAGGCGAACTCATCACGGGAAGACCCGGTGCTCCTGCGAATGCCACAATCAGCCCAATGGCTGAAGTTCTTAAGGAAGCTACTGTTTTAGAGGAAGGGCAACGTCCTATCTATCTTGATATGCAGGCTACGACACCGGTCGACCCTAGAGTCCTTGATGCTATGTTGCCTTTCTTCGTTAACGTCTACGGCAACCCCCATTCGCGAACACACGCATACGGTTGGGAAAGTGAAAAGGCTGTGGAGGAGGCACGAGAGCATGTCGCAAAGCTTATTGGTGCAGATGCTAAGGAAATTATATTCACCAGCGGCGCGACAGAGAGCAACAACATGAGTATCAAGGGTGTCGCGAGGTTTTTCGGGCGGTCGGGCAAGAAAAGGCACATTGTCACTAGCCAAACGGAGCACAAATGTGTCCTCGACAGCTGCCGACATCTTCAAGACGAAGGTTTCGACGTTACATATCTCCCAGTTCAAAATAACGGCCTCATAAATTTAGAGGAGTTAGAAGCCGCAATTCGACCGGACACAGCCATTGTTAGTATTATGGCCGTGAACAATGAGATTGGTGTTATCCAACCCTTGGAGGAGATTGGCAAATTGTGTCGCCAGAAAAAGGTCTTCTTCCACACCGACGGTGCTCAGGCAGTTGGCAAGATTCCTTTGGATGTTAATGCGATGAATATCGACTTAATGTCAATCTCATCGCACAAGATCTATGGTCCCAAGGGCATTGGTGCCTGTTATGTTCGAAGACGGCCGCGGGTCAGATTAGACCCTATCATCAGTGGCGGTGGTCAGGAGCGAGGTCTACGCAGCGGTACCCTTGCTCCGCCCCTCGTTGTCGGATTTGGTGAAGCTTGTCGTATCGCCAAGCAAGAGTTAGATGTAAGTTTTTATCTACATTTTCCCCTTCTAACGTTTTCTCTAAGCAACTGATGAACCGCTTAAACATGCATGGCTTGCTGAATTCCTTGACCGGACTTGTTCTGTTGAGACATAGCACACACGTCTGATTTTTGTCGCACTTCCATACGTTACCATTGGATGTCTTGAGAGGACCATTTTGCTGACGAACCTATACAGTACGATTCGAAGCGCATCAAGTCATTGTCTGATCGGTTATTGAAGGGACTCTTATCCTTGGAACATACAAGCCAAAATGGCGACCCTGAACGTTTCTATCCAGGTTGCGTCAACGTCTCCTTTGCGTACGTTGAAGGTGAATCACTTCTCATGGCTCTGAAGGACATCGCGCTATCATCTGGCAGCGCTTGTACTTCCGCGTCATTAGAGCCGAGTTATGTTTTAAGAGCACTGGGCAACAGTGATGAGAGCGCACACAGCAGTATTCGATTCGGCATTGGTCGGTTCACTACGGAGCAGGAAATCGATTACGTTCTCAAGGCTGTTCAGGAACGAGTCACCTTCCTTCGCGAATTAAGCCCTCTATGGGAACTCGTACAGGAAGGTATCGACTTGAATACGATTGAGTGGAGTCAGCATTGATTCATCACCATCCCTAATGAATTACTCTTTATTCTCATCTCGTCTAGGGCGTAGGGTGTAAGGTTATGAAATGATGCCACAATACGGTCAGTATGGCTAGTTCTACAATCTCTTACGATCAGGGAACCGAGACCGACGAGGCCTCGTTTGTACTTTAGGAGTTAGGCTGGTTGGTACGTTGTTTGGCTCGTCGCTCATTGCGAGCATACAATAGGCAGGTATATGTGGTTTCGAGTCGCTTAGGTTGTGCGGCTATTATGAGGACACCACGGGGGAAAAATACATATGAAACAGGATGTGTCTATTGATACCTATAGCATAACGTGCTTAAAAATGAAATACGAGTAAATCATTTTCTGCATAGGTGTTAATATGAAGAATCGGCCCAATGTAATTTCTCTTGCGCTTGTAATTATACGAATCCTGAATTCATTTTGTTGCTGGAGTTTCTCCCCACTACAAAATAAACCCCTGACCCGTAGGGCTGAGAACGATCTGATCCAGACTGCTGGAGAAACCTTGGCAAAACCAATAGAAGACTTTGCCGCCTTATGTTTTAGCAACGTAATAGGTCAAAGGTACATCTATACCTAGGTATGTACGTCATTGTATAAATGACCAGAAATGTCAACAAACAGGTCGGAGCATGACGCTGAAAACTAAGGACATTCCCATTTCCATGATGAAATTTTTTGAAGTGTAAAGTGGAAAACTGACGCAATTTGTATGTGGTTCTAGATGTATCATCTTCTTTAAGCGCGATACTTAGGTAGGAACATCCTGGTGGCTTGAAATACCTGACCCAATGAAGAATAAATGACATTGAATGACATCAGTGAAGACGGCCCGGTGCCACAAATAATGACGTCGTACTTTCCTAAAAGCGTAGTCTCGCTCCCCACTTTTATACCATAGGCACCAAACACCATCGTTACTTACATCAGGGAATTTAAGAGATTGCCTTCTGAGAATCTGATTACTAAAGTTGTCTATCGTGCAATTGCCCAGTAAATTTATTATATAAAGCACCCTTCACTCTCTTCCTATCTTCACATACACCTACAATTATTATACACTTCGAACTTAACAGACTACAAACATCAATCCATACAACCGTACAACCTATCTATACCAGAACCCCTTACTTTTACTATCCAAGATGTCAAACGACAACACATCTACTCTCCAGGCAGTCGTTGACTCCGTCACAGGCACCGTACAGAATGCCTACGGTAGTGTAACTGGCAACACATCCCATCAAGTACGCTACCCTCTTCCAAACCTCCCACATTTCCCATTTATTAACATGCAGTCATTTAGGCGGAAGGGCAAGCCAAGCAGAACAAGGCCGAGACCGAAAATGACGCTTCTCACGCAACAGCCAAGGTCCCAGGTTTCACTGCTTCGTCCTCAGGCGCAGTCACCAAGGATGACCCTAACCGAACCTCCGGCGCGTACAACCAGACAGTTGGTTCAGCTAAGGAGTTTGTCGGTGGATTAACTGGTTACGAGGTAAGTGCTTACCCAGAGAACATCTGCCTCATTACAGTACATTCTAACCTATGCGAACAGTCTTTAAAGGCGGCAGGTCGGCAACAGAACCAGGAAGGTCAACAGCAGGAGGCAAAAGGCCAAGTCAACGACTATGCTAGCGGCATTTCTGACCGTGTTGCTGGTACGCTTGGCGGAGCCGTCGCCGGTGTCACAGGCAACAAGGCTGCCGAAACAGAGTATCAGCGACAACATGACGCCGGAAAAACAACTCAACGGGGAGCCGAGGAGGATATAATGAAGAAAGCTGATGCTGAGTCTGCAGCCTCACGCAAGTCTTAAATTTTTCAGCGAGTTGCCATGTTGGGAATTAAATCCCATAGTTATGGCGTCTGGTTTTATGATACCCACGCGACATGAGATTATATAACTGGGATATGGGTCCGGTGGGCTGTGGAGATGGATTGATAAGGCAGTATGCGTTTATATCCGAAATAGACTCAATGCCCACCTATGTTTCTGTAATATCTAGATGCTTATGTGACTATGCCGGGGAGAGCAATCTATTATGATGACTACTGAATTAATATGTATGTCAGCTATCTGTCATGCTTGTCAGCAGACGGACGAATAGCAATCGCAACCAGCATAGTGAATTCGTCAACGCCCCCCTGTCGCGGCTCTCTACATGGGTAACACCTGATTCTGTAGCCCGCATTATAGGGCAGAATACTATGTAGGTACAACATCCATCAATGTATCTATGTGTTCTTAGTGACACTTAAAACTGTTGCGATTTCGCCGTACGTAAGACTCGGCTCTTCCCTATAGTGTCTTAGGCAGTGGGATACTGTTCGCAAGACCCCGTCATGAGGTACTTGTTGGCCGAGAAACCAGGCCAATTCGAACATCTGTATGGTTAGAAACATTGTTCATTTTCACATGACGCTGGCTATATCGGCATAGTCTTATGCAGATCAAATGAATCATCCATTTCCCGTATGAGGCTACTTATAAGATTACCGCATAGGAGTAAGCCGTAGCACCTACTACGATCGTCGATGGATGGAGCGTTGTAGACAAGGTATAATCTTGACCTTGACTTAATATGGTATATTGTCGTACAGAGAATCGTGAAAACCACAAGGGAAAAAAACTTCATTTGGAAGAAAAAGAGAAAAAGAAATTACCAAATGGAAGAAAAGATACAATGCAGGCTTCTGAGTGGCGGTTAAACGATGCAGCCACATTCAATTTGTGTCAGGTGAAGGTTGTAAGTCTTGTAAGAGTCTGCGAAGTCGCCAATCGACTGTGGTACGTACCTGGATGTGCCCGCTGTGGAGCACCCCAAATCCGCTTAGGTACGTAGTAGGACTTCCCGATGTTTCTGTGTACCAACAGCATCAAACCTTCTTTTAATGTGGAGCTGCCCTGCCCTATACTACTTTTCGAAGGTACTATGTATTCTTTCGGACCCCAACTTTTGAACTTACCCTGAATCAACCTCAATTCAGCATAGAGCCGCAGACCATACCAGGCTCCAGAGTCTTCAGGGCTGACTACGCCGTAGGAGCAGCCTATTCCCTCATGCACGACAAGCTTAACCATTGCCAATCACTAGCCCCCAACTTACTTCTGTTTTCCCCTAATATTTTTAGTGTCTTCAACCTGCCAACCGGGGCATGGCCCGCGGCCAGTCCCATCTTCATCGCTACTATGGCCCCTTCTTTTCCTAAGATGGGCAGGGTGGGCTGGATGGGTCGACTACTATGGTGTGCCGACATTTCTTCTTGACCATGACAGCATTTTGGATGTATCTCATTCTATGCTCGGGAGTGTCACTGTATCTTCGGTGAAGACAAACACCTGCAGCACTATTCTAGAAGCTATTCTTGGGTTCTTCTTTGGAAGCTGTCTATTATCGTCTAGTACACATTAGCACATCATCCCTTGATATTGCTAAGCCATGTACTACTCGGTTAGTAAGTTTTTAGATGCGTGTCTGGAGTGCCGGGGATGGCTAAACCGCGTTTCTCGGCGGTGTTGTTGGGTTGTATGCTATAGTAAGTAGGAAACCACTTTGATCTACGGTGTTGTCGAGGGTATCTAGCGCCTCCCTTTCCATACGACCTAACGGTGGATGGTCAACCTTGGAATCCCGCGCTATTCACCGGACATCCAGGCACCTGCCCATTCTCCCTTCTAATTCGCTTGCCGCACCGTATTATCTGCCATTACGAACCACCATATCCTGTTAGGTTATTGGTGGAACACATCTTAAGGCTCACCGAAGGCGTACTCTACTCACACCCTGACACACGGCCGTTCCTGGGACCATAAACTGCAGCCCAGATAGTGGAGCATCATGCGGTAACTCGGTATAGGCGTAGGTATTTCTTGTCTCTTGGGTTGTCGTCAAAATGACTCCTAAGACGAAGCTCGCCCTTTCTTATTTCTGCAATGTGCGGGTCGACATCTATACTCTGTCAGGCAGCACTACCCGCTACCTCTAAATCGATAGTCTACGGATTTCGCTGGGCACAAGTGCCCGCGCGGCTCTACCTCCAAGGGTCATTTGCAGGAGGAGTTCATACAAACCCCTGCCGGAAACACATTTCCACTGTTACTATGAACCGGGACAGATGCGTCGGTGCCACTCAAGAACGCTTTAAGGAATCGGTTTAGGTCGCCCATCCCCGCGCGGCATCCCCTTAGGATTCGAGTTCACAATCTACTTGTATCAACGGCCCACTTGTTCAGAGGTCATCCTACGACGTAGTTGTGCCATCTGCTCACTTTCGTTGACATACACATAACCTCGTGAACGTTGCCTAAGACCTTAAACCCCTTTCTCCGAGATTTCGGCGTCCTCCATCTTGGAAGCCTGAGGTAGTTGACGGTTCGGCTCCTCCTTTCGGCTGTCTCCTGGTGGTTTCAAGGATAAAAAAAAGTCGAGTGACACCGGCAGTCTTTTTGGTTGTCTACCACTCAGAACGCGAGTTTCAGGGGTTGACTCATCAGGGCAGGTCCGGTACTAATAGATTGAGGTATCTCCCTTGTAGCAGCTACCAGTGCGAGATTTTTACACCATACTGGTGGAAAACAATAAACCACTTCCAGACGAGTGTGACCAAAATTTATCATCTTCAGTCCGAGGTTAAATTATCCATCAATCCACGAACAATCTCGACCATGGGTAGAAGAACATCTACAGCGATGATGCGAATTGCGATCGCGGGTGCTGGGGGCTTTGCCTCCCTTCTGGCTCAGGAGCTCTCCCGTAGCGCCTACGCCATAATCGTTCTTTCGACAAAGGTGGTTGAGCCAAGGGTCACTACTACGTTAGAATTAACTAATGAGTTCATAGGAACACCCGGAATTCGAAGCCAATTACGACTGCCAGGTGGCCGTAGTCGACTATACTGTCCTTGAGGACCTTCAGTTCGCTCTCGAGGGCGTCGACCTTGTGATTTCCACCATTTCCGGCGCAGAACAACTTAACCTCATCGACGCAGCTAGACGGGCTCGCGTGCGTTGCTTCGTACCTTCTGAGTTTGAGGGCTCCATAAGCCGTAGGCCGCCGGCAGGAACTGATCCCTTCGACAATGATTCATCGACAGCTTTAGATCAGCTCCGGCATTGGTCACAGTCGAGACAGCACTCGATGAAATACACAGTATTCTCATGCGGCGTCTTCTACGAACGGTTCGCCCCTGGAGGCCTTCAAGCATTCAACATGGGCCTCGCCTGTCGGGTTAGGAACCAGGGAGACTACATGGTAGATGTAGGACAAGGGATTGCCGAAGTTCCAGAAGCTACTCCTCAGGGCCGTCCCATATACATCGTTATGACATCTGCAGTCGATGTAGCACGATTCGTCGCGGCGGCTGTCGAGCTGGGTATTGATACTTGGCCGAGAGAATTCAAAATGCGTGGTACCCGACTGACGACTCAGAGACTTCACGAGATCTGTAGTGAAGTTCGAGGAGGTGAGTGGCAAAATACTATCCATTTGACGCCGTTGCTAATTCGTAAAAGTCGAGTTCGAAGTGATCACGATACCATACGATCAGATTGAGCAGTGGCTTCGTTACTACGAGCAGAGTCGGGACGAGGCTAAATGGTACTCGATGCAACATCTCCTGCAGACCGCTAACGGCCGCTACACTTTTGGGGAGACAAATTTGAACGATGCGGTGGATGTACAACCTACGAGCTTTCGTCAGTGGCTATACAACACTTGGGGCCCGGCGTAGGCCTACCAGTCTTCCCGGTTCTAATGGGCTTGGATGGCTTGGATGGCTGACTGGGTATTCATGTACGCCACCTAGAAACACTCGGGCAGCCGTCCATGTATCGTCGACCATTCTGCCTACGACCGGCATCTCTGACTTGTTGCTTGTTTATCCAGCCACGGCGACTCTTCTAGGTGATCTAGAACACACCATGGCGGAGCCGAAGAGAAGCATATCATTTATTCTTATTTACCGATATTTTCTACCTAAGCTATAAATCACATGCATATCAGCATTTAGTTTTACTTAACTATTGGCCGTGAGCCTGCGAGCCTGCTGGCTAGGCGTAGCAATCTGAATCAGACACCCCTCCTTCATACATACAAGAAGACTCGGTCGAAGTTCCCGCTATTTTTTGGATTCTGGGTGACATCGTCCTATGAAGGAGATCTTGTGAGACAGTCTAGCCCAATTCATGGCACGCCAATTCTTATTAGTGTCCCACTTCCATACATGGCTGCAGCTATGGATACATGTACATCGCGAACTGCGCCCCATTTATATATCATACCGCCTCTCCCTCCTATGAAAACCGTAAAGTGACTGCTAAATCGTTACCAAACAATCGGGTTCGTAAGGCCAAGGCAGTGCCCCCATGCTGGCCATTCTCATTGGATATCAAGTGTCCCTGGTCTGTCTCGCTCACTGGATAGCCATTGCTTACACGAAGTCTGAGTGGCAAGGAAACGCACGATGATTTGACTAATTCCTTACACTTCACTCTCACTTGTCAATCTACCGGGACTCATTCGAACGTTCATGAGTTAAGTTACGACCGGGTGCTGCCTTGAGCAATGCCAGACTAACCTGATCATATATGCAGTCTCACGCGAACATACCTTGATATATATATATCTACACATATAACATTTGCCTTGCGGGAGGGCACCTAGGACGGAACCGTATGTTAAAATTCGGCGATGATCTTCGTCCCTGCAGCCTTGGCTCTCGATACTATGTAAACTGTCGTCACGTCTTCCCCTTATTGCCTAGGCTAAGCCCTAAATACATTAAAAATTCCCTTTCCCCAATGACCCCCCATAGGACCATTTTTGCGTCTCTCGAGCGCAACATGGGGCCCATATCCTGCCCTACGCCGATGTGCGTCAACACCCACCGAAGGCTGCAGGTAAGCCGCTGTGACACCCTTAAGTCACGGGTAATGGTACCGTACCATGGCCACTTGATCTGGGACCCCGTTCTACCCAGTCTTTACACTTATCGCAGAGCCTCAATTTTCTAAACTGAAATAAGAAAAAAAAAAATTTTTTTTGTGGTGTTTCCCTTCCCCCCCTTTCTCCAAATTGTTTCGGGTTGAACCGCGGGGTGGCTGGTTAAATCATTGCAGATTACCATGGGGGACCCACCTACGGGCCACACCCCCCCGGGCTACCCCGTTTCTCATTAAAATACTTTAATTTTATTTATATTGTTTTTAACGAATATTAAAGCTTTTTTAATAATTTTTTTGCGTATTTATGGTTTTAAAAATAATTTATTTAATATTATTTTTTTTAATTTTATTAATAAAATTTTAATAAAATTATTAAATATTATCTCAGCTAGCTCAGACTAGAGTTTGAGCAATTAGCCACACCTAGCCACGCTGCGCGTGGGCCACATGGCCCGTGCCACTGTATCTGTGGGGCGGGCGTGGCTAATTGCTCAAACTCTAGTCTGAGGCCGAGTGGTGCAAAAACCCCTGTCAAGACCACAAATTGAAGCTATTCTCAAAATTCAAATACACATTATGTCACAACCACGTATAATATGCCTTAGAGAATATAGCTCGGGGCTAGTAATAGATAACCTGAAGCTTTCTAGCTACTTAGAATACCGTTTGGACCTAAGCTCAGCATATCCCAGCCTTCGAGGGTTGAAAATTCAAGACCACAAGACCACAAAAATTATACCCGTTTGCTTTAAGGCGACAACACCACAACCAACGATCGGATCAATTTAAAACTTGGCAGCCGTGTAGAACTTCGATAGCTCTACGTCCGAGGCTATTTATATATTCAATAGCTTGAATGGTTGCTGTGTGAGAGCCTTGCCGAGGCACGCTTGCTAAGGCTCGCTTGATGAGGCTAAAGCTCGAATCAAGGTTGATATTGACGTGTCTAGAAGCAAGTTAGTAACTATTACTTATATAAAAAGGATTACTTACTTGAAGGATAGCTTTTTGACTGTATATTCGAGTATTTACCAAATAAACGCGTTGGCGCGTTCTAACTATTAGGAAGGTTTGGGTGCACCGCGATTTAAACGTACCGATTCTACTTGTTATACTTTGTATCAAAAATAAAGCCCGTATATTTAAGTCGCAGTATACCCAAACCTTCCTAATAGTTAGAACGTTGATTGAATAAGAATTTATTTGAATTATTTGAACGTGTGGCCTTGAGGGAAAAAAATCACCACTGGGCCTCAGACCAGAGATCCTGCTTTTGTGTGCGCGCATTTGATTGGTTAAAAATTGGTGTGGCTAGAAGGGTACAAAGCAAAAGCGGGGCTCTGGTCTGAGCTCGCTGAGATAAATTAAATAATAAAATAATAATTAAAATAAAAGTTTTTAAAGTTTTTAAATTTTATAAATTTTTCGATTTATAATTTAATATTATATTATTAAAATTAATTTAATTAATTAAATATTAATATAATTAATTATATTAAAAAAAACGTTTTTAATATTATATTTAAAATTATTAAAAATAATTTATTTATTTATATAATTATTTTAAAATATAATATTTTTTATATAACGTTATTTATATAAATAATAAAATAATTTTTTTTTATAAAAACTTATATTTTTTTTAAATTAATTTTTAAATAAAAAATTAAAATAATTAATTAAATTATAATATAAAAATATATAAAATTT